CTTCATATTTAATTACTTATTTAAGTACTTATTTATTTATTTTATTTTTTTTTTTTCGAAAACGTTAGCTACTTCTATATTTGTACACGTGAGGAATACTATAACAGGAGAAATTACTGCGAACGAGAAATTATAAAAAAATAAGAAAGTATTTATTTATTTTATTATTTTATTTTTTTTTTTTTTGAATTTTCCCCCGTTCACATTTTGCTCCTTTCATTGGTAACTTTTAATTTTTTTGCTTACTCTCTTTTTTCATTTCTACACACATGCCTTATTTGCCTTTGCGAAAAAAAAAAGATAAAAAATGACACATAAAATGATACATAAAAAATGACACATAAAATGATACATAAAAAATGACACACGTAAAATGACACACGTAAAATGAAACACATAAAGTGACATGTAAAAAATGAAATAATTCGAAAGAGGAAAGTGGTTCATCATTATCTATAAACCCCCTACCCACCCACACACACACACACTCCTCATGTGTATTCACGCACAAGTCCACATGCGTGAAAAACAGCAAATGTAAAAACCATTTCAAGTGACTCTTTGGCTGCAGCAGATTTATCGTTATTACATGTACACCTGTATATATACATAAATACATAAATTTTGTTTTTACTTTATTTTCCTTCATTATCACTCTATTTTTACGTTATTATTACCTTATCATCACGTTATTATTACCTTATCATCACGTTATTATCACGTTATTATCACGTTATTATTACTTCATTATTACTTCATTATTACTTCATTATTACTTCATTATTACTTCATTATTACTTCAGTATTACTTCATTATTACTTCAGTATCACACTATTTTTGCGTTATTATTACTTTATTTTTTTTTTTTTTGTCAACTTACATATATAACTCCCTAAACATATTTTCATAACATTGTGTATATCCATTAATAAGAGAAAAAGTTATCCCAGAAAATATCTCATATATACTTTTTGTACACACCTTACAAAATCGAATTAGGACGTGCGTAAAAAAAAAAAAAAAAAAAAAAAAATAATAATAAAATAAAAAATACCAGCAGGAACAGGAACAGTTACACACGAATCCCACTCGTGTTTTTATACAAGGTAAAGAAAAAAAAAATTTTTAAAAGTTTGATACACGGAATGACGCAACTGTTATATATTTATAACCTCTACTACCCGTTTGTGTGTATAAAACATTTTTTTAACAAAATCGTTTGATTACAAGTTGAGAAAGAAAAATCTACATATCCAGTATTAGTTAATATATTTATATGCACAGAAGAATAACATACTTTTGTGATGGTACAAAAATACACATACACATTATACACAATTTTGCAACTGTTTCTTCGATTAATGTCTATATGGAGAATATATATATATGTCTTTCCCAATTTTTACATTCCCAATCATACGTGTCTTTACATTTTTTTTTTTTTTTCCTCCCCTCCATTTTTGACTTTTTCTTTCATTTGTGCAACTTTTGCTTTTCCTTATTTCGAATTGTTTGTGCTGTCGCAGAGGGGGAAAACATCAATGCGACCAGCATAAGAACAAAATACTAGTCTCACAAGTTGTGAAGTGTTAGCTAAAAAGTAGTGCAAAAGTCAGCAATGTTCCTGTGACAACTGAGTGCAATAAATTTGAAAAACGAACTCGTACAACTGTAATAGAGTTGGTATTATATATGCATATGTGTTTATATGTATGCATATGTATATATATACCTTACACCCAAGGAGAGATGCGCAACACTTCTTTACTTCATTTTAGAACTCTCGTCAATTTTGCAAAAAAGGGAATAATGAAAAAAAGAAAAAAAAAGAGAGTGATCGAGGAAGAAAAAACAAATGTATCAATATTTATACAAGTAAATGAATAACTTGCAGAATTTGTTGACTTGCTTAAGTTCAATCCCGCCTCCACCCCCTGCACCAAAAGAAAAAAAAAGAAATAAGTCAAAATATGGAGGAAAAGAAAAGAAAAAAGAAAAAAGAAAAAAGTCAAAAAATGTAGGAAAAAAAAAAAAAAAGAAATTTCCTTTCCTTCGATCCATGAGCAAGAGGTTGAAAAAGAAGCAACAAAAAAAAAAAACCATGTTGCTTACCTAGAGGGGTAAACATAAAAGGCGCAAAGATGTTCTGTTCGTATGTTATAAGAAATACATACATATATACATACATATACATATTATAACATTATGCATGCACCACTATTTTTAAAAAAAACAAAGTGAACGTTTTTTTTAAGGCAACTACGAGACAATTATTATGTTCAATATGAGAAAGGGGAGAGTGAGTTTGGACTTTGCGTCCCACATTTGTATTGTGTATATATGTAAGTCATCGTGCATTTATTCATATCTGACTTATACACGATTTTGTTACTCGTTCGGTGAGCTAATCCTCTGGTATGCATGCATATATGTATGCTCATACATGCATGGGAGAAAACGGATTTCTAGGAATAAACCTGCTCTATATGAATTCAAACTCCCTGTTTACGCACATATGTGTATCTATGAATTTCGTAAATGATGTTTATTACACTAACAGTATGTATGTGTATATATATATATATATATATATATGTAGGTATGCTGCATGTATAACTAATACCAATTGCACTGAGGTAGCATTCTTGCTTTACCTGTTTTTCCACATGGGAGTAGTGACTTAACCATACATATACATGCACATACATATGCATACATATAATACTTACATATACATGTTACATATACAAATTACGTATACAAATTACATATACATATTACATATGCATATACTGATATGTACTATATATATACATATATAGCTATATGCACCGCTTCAGCAATTTTCTTCGGCAGCAAGATGAATCATTTTTTTTTTTTTTTTTTTTAATTCACGTGTTCCATGCATGATTTGTAGGTATGCATAACATTCAAGTTGAAAATATATTGTATTGTGGAATTTATATGGAGACGAGTATATATGAATCTGGGGTGATGGAATCATTTTATTTTTTTTTTTTTGCATTTTTTTGCTTCTTTCTTCCCTCTTTTTTTTCTTTTTTAAATAAGCAATTGAAAAAAATTAGCAAGTTTTATTTTATTTTAATACCCCTAATCTGGAATAATATCAACACCATTTTTGATACTATTTAATAGTTCCATATTACATTTTATTCTATTTAATTATGTTTATTTATTTATTTTTTTTTTTTTCAAACGGTTCCTTATGACAACATAAAAACCACGCCTTTTGTCATTTGTTGATTCAATTACTCATCCTTTTTTAATTTATAAATTTTTCGATCAGCATATATATAAACACATACATATATATAAACACATACTTATATATAAACACATACATATATATAAACACATACTTATATATAAACACATATATATATATATATATAAACACATACATATATATATACACATATATAGATATATACGAACCTTTGCAGAAACATTCATTACGCACAGTAGGTAAAAATGAAGAGAGATCGTTCAGAAAATTCCGTTGAAAATACAACTGATCCTAAGCACAGGTAAGAATAGCAACAACCATGACTAATCTAATGGAATGACTTACGTTGTTATAGCTGGTGGTGAGAGTAGTAAGTGTGGCCCCAACACATGTACAAATGTATATATGTATATATATATATGTATAATGCATTCCCCCACGCAAATTATACTGTTGGAATGTGCATTTGTTCCAAAGGGTACAAAAATTCAGTTACATATGACAACATGAGAGAGAAGTAGGATTTTTTGTCGTCCTATTTTTTTGTTGCCTTTTTTTTTGTTGCCTTTTTTTTTGCTGCCTTTTTTTTGTGGTTATGTTGTTAAGCTTGTTACATCACATCCAAACATTATGCTTACATGACTTTCAATATCTATGTTAATGCATTCCTACGTAAGATATATAAGAACCCAAATGAACAAAAATATTCCCATAGTTCTTGCCACGTTAAAGTGCAAGAATAGAGAATAGTAGAGATAGAGACAGATATAGATACAGATACAGAGATGTAGAGATATAGAGACAGATAGAGTGACGGGGGAGGAGGGGTGGGAGAAATGAAAAAAGAGAAAACTAGAAAAAGAGAAAAATTTACCCATTAATCATTTATGTGACAACACCATTGGCATAGATATATATGCAATGGTGTTTTTTTTTTTACATCCCCAAATGTGCAAATTGGCTAAAATATATTGCAATAATATATATATATATGTAAACGACACCATTTTCCTTTTCTCGATTTTCCGCAGCAAAATTGACAATGATGATCCATTGATACCCTTCATGAAAGATTTCGAAGACAGTAAGAAAAATTTTACACAATAAGAAATGCAAAAGTGTTCGGATATGTTCTATACACGATGTGTAGGCGTTTGTGACCTCCACATTTAGCGTATCTTCTGAATGTTTCTCTCTGCATTGCATGGTGGGGAGCATTGTGGTTATGTCATGGCACATCATACTCAACACGAGAACCCATCCCAATATTACATTAATTTGCATTACATTAAATTGTATTACATCACATTACATCGCATTGCATCACATTACATCGCATTGCATCACATTACATCGCATTGCATCACATTGCACCACATCACATTTCTTTTTTTTTTCTCGCGCTTCTGTCCATTTTTTCAGTTCAAAAAGATATAGAACAACTCGATATAAAATGCGCACATGAACAAATGAACATCCAGAAGCAGTATGACGAGAAAAAAAAACCACTTTTTGAAAAGAGAGATGAAATTATCCAGAAGGTTCCAGGTTTTTGGGCAAACACTTTGAGAAAACATCCAGCATTAAATGATATAGTACCAGAAGATATTGAAATTTTAAATTGTCTAGTAAAGTTAGATTTAAAAGATAATATGGATAACAATGGATCTTATAAAATAACGTTCACATTTAATGAAAAGGCGAAGGAATATATGGAACCACTAACTCTTGTGAAACATGTGACATTTGATAATAATCAAGAAAAGGTTGTTGAATGCACTCGTATTAAATGGAAAGATGGAAAAAGTCCAATTGCAGCTGTTTCTAATAATAGATCTGATTTAGATAATGAAATGCCAAAATGGTCTATATTTGAATGGTTTACAACAGAAGAATTACAAGATAAACCAGATGTAGGAGAATTAATTAGAAGAGAAATTTGGCACAACCCATTGTCATATTACCTAGGTCTTGAAGATTTTGATGACTTTGATGAAGATTTTGATGAAGAATTTGATGATGAAGATGAAGAAGATGATGAAGATGATGACGATGATGATGATGAAGATGAGGAAGAGGATGATGAAGATGACGAAAAGGATGAAGAAGAGGATGATGAAGATGACGAGAAGGATGAGGAAGAGGATGATGATGCAAAGGAGGATGAAAATGATGACTAGATATGTATATATAAATATATATAAATATATATATATATATATATATACGTTGTGGCAACCCCTTACACTCCCTTATGCTGGGTGCAGAGACGCCCGCACATCCCATTGTGTAGCGGAACGCAAAAGCAATTGCATAACTAAATGCAAAGCCAAGTGACCAACCCCCCCCCCCCCCCTCATCCGCATTTTTTTTTTTTTTTTTTTTTTTTTTTTTTTTTTCCTCCCTTTCGTCACCCCAGAAGCCATGTTTTACATATCCCAATTTTACACAATTTTCATTATGCTTTCATTATGCTTTTATCACACATTTTTCACACTTTTCCCACGATTTATGGAATTTACGGAATTTATACGTATGCTGCTTCATTTTTATAGGAAAAAAATTATATATAAAAAAAAAAAAAAAAAAATGTTCATTTTCAAGCATATTTTCCATATATTCGAAAAAAAATTGGAAAAAGTGTTACACGGGGGAAGTAGAAAAAGATTATTTTCCCAGTTCTTCCCGCATTGTGATTTCTCAAATTGGCTTTGTTCATCGAGGAGCAATGGATTCGTTCGCCTCCTTTTGTAAGTGGTAAAAAATAAAAAATGGATGCCGGAAACGGTAAAAAAAATAGACGTGAAAAAAATATAAGTGAAAAAAGTTGCGAAAAAAAGAAAAGTGAAAAAAGTTGCGAAAAAAAGAAAAGTGAAAAAAGTTGTGAAAAAAAGAAAAGTGAAAAAAGTTGTGAAAAAAAGAAAAGTGAAAAAAGTTGTGAAAAAAAGAAAAGTGAAAAAAGTTGTGAAAAAAAGAAAAGTGAAAAAAGTTGCGAAAAAAAGAAAAGTGAAAAAAGTTGCGAAAAAAAGAAAAGTGAAAAAAGTTGTGAAAAAAAGAAAAGTGAAAAAAGTTGTGAAAAAAAGAAAAGTGAAAAAAGTTGTGAAAAAAAGAAAAGTGAAAAAAGTTGTGAAAAAAAGAAAAGTGAAAAAAGTAGAATTTATGAAAAAAACAGTCAATGGTTGAGATAATGAAAAAAAAATTAAAACAAACAAAACGGATACACTTATTTCTCGTTTCTTTTCTACGTTCTTCTTCTTCTCCTTCTTCTTCTCCTTCTTCTTCTTCTTCTTCTTCTTCTTCTCCTTCTTCTTCTGCTTCTTCTCCTTCTTCTTCTCCTTCTTCTTCTCCTTCTTCTTCTCCTTCTTCTCCTTCTTCTTCTCCTTTTTCTCCTTCTTCTCCTTCTCCTTCTTCTCCTTCTTCTTCTCCTTTTTCTCCTCCATTTTATGCACTCAGCTGATATAACTTTTTTCCGAAATCAAGGGTATTATTATCCATAGATTCTTCATAATTTGTGCGTCTCGTACCAGTATAGTAATCTTGGTCGTCCTTAATAGCCTCGCTAAGAAGGAGGTATTGCGTGTAATCTTCTCCAGAAATAAATTTATAAGCGAGAGACTTGAGGTATTGACTTTCATTAATTTGCCGTAAGTCACTTTTAATTCTTTCCTTATAGGGATCCACAAAAACTCCTAGCAGTTCTTGTGGAATTATCAATCCTTTCCCTATATCGGCTATCAATTTACAAATATCATAATTAATTTTGCTATTAATGTAGGAGTTCTTTTCATATGCTGGATGGTTTAAAATAAAATTTCTCAAATATGCTGCACCTGTACATATTTTTCCACTACACCTTAATTTTACAAATTCGATATATTCATCTATTTTATTCTTAGCAGACTGTGTTAATAATCCTTCACTAAATTGTTCTTCTATATATTTAGAGCACAAAAAAAAAATTCCATTTTCCTCATTAAAAAATATGTCATATATACTTTTCTCCTCAATTTCATTATTCGTCGTATCATAATTCAAATTTTTTCTAAAGAAAAATTTCTCTTTCAAAATTGCATCTTTATTTGCTGAACGGAATAGGTTCTCCTCTAACATGGTCATAGGTATGTACAAATTTAATTTTTCTTTTAAAATAAACTTTGATAAAACCATGATTAATGTAACAACACATGCATTCTCAAAATCCGTGATCTGAATATCTGGGGTTCGAAACTCAACTCTCCATCCTATGGAACTTGGACTATTACAATGATTGTCTAATATGGGGGGAGGTTTAAATCTTACACTATTCCAGTTTGTGCTTTGAAAATTTTCGAAATGCTGATGTGATGAGAGAACCTTTTCTTCATAATCTTCCAAAAAATTGAAGTTGTCACTTAAGTAGATGCAGTTCATCTTATTAGCTCGGTTGACAGTGTTCGAGTTGCTGTCCACTGAAGACGCATGTTGATCGCTCCTATCCTGCTCTGTATGAGATCCGGTTGTGGGACATCCTCCATCATGTTCATATTCCCTATCTGGTTCCTTCGACAAGCTTGAAGTTAATTCTCTTATCCTTTTTTCAATCGACTGTATATCATTTTCGTTATAAGAACCTTGAAATACCACTATTGGATCTCTAACAAATAGGGAGGCAATATGCCTAGCTAAAAAGTCATCAACATTTTCTTTTATCAATTTATCGTACACATTTTTATCTAATACAACATCTATGTCATTATAAAAATGATAATTTTGTTTTAGAGGCAATTCGTTCGATATGTATAAAGAAATTCCAGAGTATCTTGGCTTGCAGATATATGCTAATTCTTCTTCTGTTCTACAATCAACACTATTAGAGATGACTCTCCACCTCGTATCTGTTTGCGTGAGAAAACCTCCTAAATATGGAGTACATGCTGTTAGAGCCAAAAATAAAGGAGCGATAATAGCTAATTGATCATATAAATATTTTGCATCATCTATCGTTGGAAAGGACATAGTTACTTGTTGACAACACATACTCATCCCGAAAAACATTGCATCTAAATATACATAATTTTTAATTGGATCTTTACACTTTTCTGAATATTCTTGAATAAAATCCCTATCATATACATAAATGTAATCTTTTTCATCGTCCATATTGCTGAAGAGACTATTTTTTATTACTGTGTCTAGTAGACACCTTTGTGTGTCTTTTGTAGAGACATCTTCCTTAGAATCTTCTAACAATGATGATTCTGATAATTTTATTCCATTTTCGCCTAAACACGAAGATGTATTTTCACTAGCGTGCTTTGGCTTCCTCCTATTTGTCATAGACTTATTCCAGATCAAGTGATCTTCAAGAATATATTTTTTTTTTATTTTCTTAAAAAGTCTCTTATCCGTTTTGTCTAATGATAATTTCCATCGGGGCATCTCTTCTGTGTGCACATCTTTGTAAATTTCATTAAATGAAATTATTTTGGTTCCTCTACGTTTCCTTATATTTTTTGTTAACGTCACATATCTGGCATGTGGACTTATAACCATATCAGTTACTAAACAGCTATTACTGTAATTTCTGGTGTGCTCTGGTTTGAACACGTCACATTCAAATAACAAATTTTCTTTTACTGTGTTCATAAAGATGTCTTGCTCATTTGGCATACCTTCTTCCACTACATTCGTTTCGTCCACTAAATTAGATTCTTCCACTACATTCGTTTCGTCCAATAAAATAGATTCTTTCTCTACATTTACTTTTTGTCCTTGCTTCTTTTCTTCCCTTTCATTTCTCTGCTCCTTCAGCTCGTCCTCACAAATATCTTGCAATAATAATTCGTCATTTTTCTGTGGAGTTACATCAGTGCTCATAAAATTACTGGACTTATTTTCTTCCGTATCTGCTTGAGTGCTATCGTTTAGTGATGTTTTATATTTCCTAAGCAAAATAATCCCCTTGGAAAACTCATTTTCTCCCTTTTCTGATTTTTTTATATTTATATTTTTTTCCATTGCCACTGCTAGATTCAAGGTGGATTCTCCCCTCTTTACTTCCCCATAATCGTAACCAGATACAGATAAGGATGCAGATAAAGATGCAAAACCTTTTTCCTTATCACTCTTCTTCTTGCTCGCTTCTTGTGTAACCCTTTTGGCCATTAAAAGACTATTCTTTAAAAGTGCGTTTGGGAAACACGGCAAAGTAATGGCTCGGACACCTGTAATAGTACTTAGAACATTATTCAATTTGATTCTCCTTATACGCATACAATCTTCAACAAAGGGCGATGAATTTATGTCAAATTTAAACGGAACAGACGGTGTTCCCTCAATAGTAAAAGAGGAATATTCAGGAGTCCAATGGGATCCATATTGACAATCAGTAACACTTTCTAAATTCATCATTTCATCTATCAAATCGGTTGCGCATAGAAGAGCTGATGATTCCTTTAAATTTTCATCATTTCGAATAATAATATATTCTATTTCATCTCCAAACATTATGTTCTCATCTACCCTGTCCTTATTGCATTTGTACGTATGAACAAATTGTAATATTCCATATAACCTTATTAAAGACTTTACATGTTGAACTTCTTCCCAACTTAATGGGGTTCCAATTTTTAAAAATCCCATTGTTTTTATGTTTCTATTTTAAAAAAAAAAAAAAAAAAAAAAAAAAAAATATTTTCCTTCAAAATGGAGTTGATATTTACATACAATACAGTTTGAAATTCAGTTATACTGTGAGAACTGAGATTGTGTATATAATGTATATATTTTTTTTTGGCATTTTTTTTTTCTTTCTTTGTATATGTAGTTCGTTTGTTTCAGCCATGTCGCTGTGCTCGGACGGGCTGAACTAGCGTTATTTCGTTTCTTCTATATTGTCTTTGTGTCACGTATTATTATATTTTTATTTTATTTGTATTTAACACTTTGTTGTTCTTCACACTTTGTTGTATTTAACACTTTGTTGTATTTAACACTTTATTGTATTTTATTTTGTGGCTTTATGCTTTATTTCTTTTTTTCTCTTTTGTTATAACCACCTTGCGTGCCTTTCGGGATTGTCTTTTTATTAACTAGAAATACTGAGACTGATCTTCCTCTATCCTGATTATTCTTATCAATTCGGACGAGTCTTTTTTTCTTTCTATTTTTGTGTTTATCCCTAGTGCTTTTGTGCATATACTTTTTTAACATAAATAAATAGAAAGACTTTGTAAGAATTTTTTCATATGAATGTGGCCAAAAAAAAAAAAAAAAAGATTACACAAGTCAGGTAAAATAACGAAAATTCTTCTGACTTATGCAAATAGTGTTCATATAAAAAATTTTCAAAAAAAAAAAAAAAAAAAAAAAAAAAGAACTATTTATCAAAACATAACATTACTTCATTGTAGTGGTTGCACGAGGTTTTTTATATCAACATAGATTTATTAGCACACTTCTACATTTCTACAAAATTAAATTTTTTTTCTTTTATTTTGCAAAAAAAAAGAAGACTATTATGCATAAATGTCCACGCTTTTATGAGCGCAGCTAGCTCCGTTGGAACTATATATATATATACATATTATGTATATATATATAAGGTATACATAAAGTGTGTTATATATTTTTTTTTATATGTACATGTGGAATTTGTTACTTATGTATATACATGCACGATCATATTTTTTTATTCTTCTTTAAGTTTTTTTTTTTTTTTTTTTTTTTTTTTTTGCTCTTATTTTTACGTCTATACTTTTTTGTGTTCATTATTTATCCTTTTGGAAATAAGGTTATGCAAAAACATTAATTCCATTCATCTGGTAAACAAAATTATACACATTTTTTTTTTTTTTTCCTTTTACAGATAAATTAAATAAAAATAGGTACATTAAGGGAGGGGTGGGGGAAGCAGTGGAAGTTGTGAAAAGGACATTTTTCATATAAAAAAAAAATTAATCAAAACAAGCGCATGCAAAAAAAAGAGAAAAAATATATATATATATGTAAAAACAGAGTACATAAAAAAGCGGCTAAAATAAAGTGTATAAACAAGCAGCTTAAGAAAGGTGTATGTATAAACAAGCTGCTTTAGGAAAATGAATATGAACTACACGACGCTATTTATAAAAATCGGGAACCCCAAGCAAATTCCTTAATGAAAAAAAAAAAAACACATGGGGGTAAGGATATTTTGCTTTTTCAAGAAGAGAAAACCAAATGCTTTTTTAAAAAGAAAATAAAAGGAAAAAAAGTCACTGTTCCCTCCACTCATAACAAGACATATAAATACACGTAAAAACCGCAACATGTAAACTCATCGATTTAACAAGTCACTAATTTTGCTTTGATTTGCGTTAATATACAGTGTACATAAAAGTGTATGCTTGATAAAAGAAAGAAAAACAACTTTTACATAAAGCACATATATTATATTGTTATATATCATATATGAACAAAAAAAAAAAAAAAAAAAGTGAAAACGTTATGTTAAATTAAAGAAAAAAAAAAAAAAAAAAAAAAAAAAAAAAAAAAAAAAAAAAAAAAAAAAATAAAAAAAAAAAAAAAACAAAAAAAAAAAAAAAAAAAAAAAAAAAAAAAAGGAAAACGTTATGTTAAATTAAAGGAAAAAAAAAAAAAAAAAAAAAAAAAGAGTATAGAAATTGAAGCTGAACCTTTTAAATGTAAACAAAACCCCAAAAGAAAAAAAAAATAAAATAAAGCAATAACAGCATAACAGCATAACAGCATAACAGCATAACAGCGTAACAGCGTAACAGCGTAACAGCTGAATGTTTAATGCAAAAAAAAAAAAAAAAAAAAAAAAGTTAAGCTCATATTATTTATGAAAGAAATTATTGGATGATATTCCAATTTCTTGAAAGTTAAACCTTAAGCTCTTAAAATGTAGAAAAGAGGCCTTGCACTGCTTTTTATTTCAAAACCCTTCATCAGAATAAGGAAATATATTAACACGGCTATAACTACACAAAAATATTATACATGTAAAATATATGTTTATATATATACATATACACGATTTTGCATATATCCCCTATAGGCGTGCTTATCACTAGGCACAGACACATAGTTTAAACGAAACAGAAAAATATTTGACTTGCAGAATTTAGCGCACAAGGGAAGAGCGCAAAATAGGAAAAAAGTGTCGTCCTCTCTATTTTTCATTGAATGCATAGCAGGCGAATTTAATATATCCCCTCTATGTTGTTATAACAAGAATTTAAGTTAAAAAAAAAAAATGCACAGCAATTTCTTCGATTTATTTATTATTCATTTTTTTTCTCATTTTCGTATTGACTAGAAAACGTAGTTGAAGAATAATTTAAAAAAAATGTTTCAATATATGTTTAACACATTTTTAGTTATAATGATACCATTTTTGTATAAAAAATTGAGTTGTTTTTTTTGTAGATTGAAAAAAAAAAAAAAAAAAAAAAAAAATTTTCGCTGTAACACCTTTTTCACTTTTTTTATTGCCTTCTTACAGAGGGTAATGTTATATAAACCACCATACACATATTGTAGGTTGAGTACATAAAAAAAAATGAAGAAAAAAAAGTGATATATTAAAATATTACCCTTGTCAAGCTATGTACACATATGTATAGCAATAATTAGTAAAGAGAAAAAATTTTCTTGGAATTATAATATTACTGCATAATGGCTATATTTTAATTTTCTCCCGAACACAGCACACACGGAAAAATGTTTAAATGATAAGAGTTGTGTTCATATAATGTTTCTAATTTCATACAAGGTTTTTTTTTACAGAATGAATAAAACTTATTATATATGTTCAAAAACGTGTTTATTGTATAAATAAGCCTCATTTAAGGTAAAACTCTAGGAAAACCAAATGCACGTCAAATTTATTCATTTTATGTGGTTTACTTATTATATGTTTTTTTTATTTTAATTTTTTTTTTTTTTTTTTTTTTTTTGATACCGCATTTATACTTACAGTTGAAAGTATACTAATTTAACACTTTCATAACAATTTCGAATTTATTTTTTTTCTGCAAATTATATCCTTTAATCATCGTATACAATATTTTTCCCTCCGATCAAGAAGAGGTGGTGGTAAAGGTTAAATAAATTATTGCTGAACGGGTCCTTTGGCTAAGCTCTTTACCCATGTGTATTCTATCCCCAAAGGTGTTTATCTGTATGTACATACATATATATATGTACATGTGTTTGAGCATTTCTAGGAAGAAACTTTTTTGAACACAACACTTCTCAACGATCAATGGGTTGTATGGTTGTACCCCCAAGGACAGCCAGATTTCATTCAAGCCATTTATGTGTAACGAATTAGGAATTCCAAAATATGTGATAGGGCTTACATTGGGGAGGATGGGGGCATATACCTCAATTCTTTGTACAACATGCGTATATGCAGTGTTCATATTAAGACTTATCAAAAAAAAAATAAATAATTAAATAAATGAATAAATAAGTAATTAAAAAAATGAAATCAAGACCCGTAGTTGCATAAGCTGTCGACAAGCAGCATACACAAACGTTTGTACACATATTTATGAGTTCTATACAGCGTAACTTTACCTCATACTTTTGTATACGCTGACATGTGACCTCCTTAATAGCGCTGTTATTTGCGCGCAAAGAAATTTTATTCATTCCACTTCAGAAGGCGAAAGTTTACTTAATCATATATACACAAATGTGATGAACCTGGTGGAAGTCGTCCACCACTGCTTGTTCCCTGAATGTGAAAAAATGAAACGCCTAAGATATTCACCACTTGTTTGAAGAAAGGATATGTTTTTCTTCTCAGAAATCTAAAATATATATACATATATGTGTATATATCCCCCCTCTTTTCAGCAAAAATTGTTGTATTATGCAAAAAAGCATAACAAATATATCCTTTATTCATTCAAGTATATACGTTCCCAACCCCCAACCTCATGTCGTTCAAAAGAGCACAAGTAGATTTTTTTTTTTTTTTTTTTTTTTTTTCATGTTCATAATTTTCAAGAAAAAATTATGAACAAGCTAGCGAAAAAAAAAAAATTCCTTAGAAAATAAAATAAAATAATTCTTAGCTGGAGTTGTGCGAAATGCAGCCTTTTGGCATATTTTGTATTATTTTTTTTTGCCTGCTTGTTTTGTTTGACTGCTTGCTTATTTGACTGCTTGCTTATTTGACTGCTTGCTTATTTGACTGCTTGCTTATTTGACTGCTTGCGTATTTGACTGCTTGCTTATTTGACAGTTTGCCTACTTATTTAATTTTCTTGCCTCCCCCCCCGGCACCCCTTGAGCGTTAAATGCAAATTAAGCTTCTGGGAAGTCTGACCATTTGCCTATACTTCATACTCTTGAAGAACCATGGTAAGTCAGAATTCAAAATAAAAATATATACTCACGTCGGTGTGTATTATATAGAGGCAGCTAACAGTCCAACTAATATAAATAATCTCAAAAAAAAAAAATTATGGCTTAATAAAAAAGGTAAAAGGAATTTGTATTGCTTCAACCATAGGATGCCCATTTGTTGTTATGCAAACAAAGTAAAAAAAAGAAAGAAACTAAAAAAAAACGCTGTTATGTCAATAATGACAGAAAATAATGTTCAGGAAGTATTACAGTTATGTGAAAATGTGTTTAAATTTGAAGATATATCAACTTCCTTAGGAGAAGTATATGTAAAAAGAAAACATGAAAGCACACCATTTATTCAAGTAGCACCTATGATAAATGTAACGAATAGATATTTTAGGGCATTAGTAAGGATTATTACAAAAAGGGCACAGTTATGGACAGAAATGGTAGTGGACAATACCTTATTGTACAATTTAAATAATTTAGAAGAATATTTAGGTTTTAACAATAACGAACATCCAATTGTATGTCAACTGGGAGGATCTGATGCAACTTCTCTTTCAGAAGCTGCAATTTTAGTAGAACAAGCAGGATATGATGAAATAAATATAAATATAGGATGCCCAAGTATGAAAGTAGCTAATAAAGGAGCCTTTGGTGCTTATTTGATGAAAAAACCAGAGGATGTAAGAAATATTATTTATGAAATTAAGAAAAAGGTCCAAATTCCTGTGTCAGTAAAGATAAGAACAGGTGTTGATGATTATGATTCATTTTCTTTTCTAAAATATTTTATCGAGACTGTTTCATCAGTAGGATGTAATCATTTTATTGTACATGCAAGAAAAGCATGGTTGAAAGGATTAGATCCTAAACAAAATAGAAGTGTTCCGCCATTAGAATACCAAAAGGTGTATGCTCTATGTCAGCTATATCCTCATTTAAAATTTACTCTAAATGGTGGAGTCAAAACGATAGAAGAAGCTATAGCCTTATTAAATGGTTACATACCGCGGAATGATAAATTAAATAATGAAAAAAATTATGTACAAGTTCAGAATTATCACATAAATCCTCTCAATGGAGTTATGCTTGGAAGAGCATGTATGGAAAACACCACTGTTTTGTCGCAAACCGATAAACTAGTGTACAACCAAAACATACCCACTACTGCATATAGTAGAAGAACTGTATTAGACGCATACAAAACTTTTTTAGAGGAAAATTCCACATTGTATACCTTGTCAAGTGCGTTTGAATATTTAAAACCAGTCTTAGGAATTCTAAAGGGTATGCCAGGTCATCGAATTTTCAGAAATAAATTAGACGTATACATAAGAAATTACGCATCCACCTTACCATGTTCAGACATATTAGAAAAGGCAATGGAGGATGTTGACATTGTTGCCCCCGGCTGTTTGGACATACCCCTTGGAAATTACCAATTGCAGCAAGAATATATCAACAATTATTAGATGCTTTGAGCGTGACACATTTATCTTTGTCACTACCATCCCTGCCTATTGTTCTCTGCCACTCCTTCTCTCATTCACCATCTCTATCGTCATCTCTCTTTTTTTTTTTTTTTTTTTTTTTTTTTTTTTTTTTTTGCTAATACTTTGTGTACTTGAGCAAGTTTGAACACTTATATGCTTCTCTTCTTATGATCGCATGTTCACACAAGGGTAACGTTAATTGTTACACATCAATATGGAATTAAATTATTTTTTTTTTTTTTTATTAGCCAAATTTGAAATACAACAATACATTTTTTGCGGGTACAATAGACATCCTCGATGGGATACTCTTGGTGTCCCGTCCTTTCCACACAGAAATGTTATTCATTTTGCAACATTATTTATTTTTCGTGCAAATGAATTACCCTTTTTCTTTTTTTTTTTCATTTTTATATTATTTGCAGTTTCATGGTTGTTCAGAGATATTAAAAAATGTTTTAAAGTTTTGTTGAAATGTCTTTAATTCGTGTTAAATGAATTCTTTATTTGTTATATATATATATATATATATATATATATATATGCATATATATGTATATATATGAGTACAAGTGTATTCCCTTTCAATCTGTCTTATCTTACTTATAATACCACCTAAATATCATTCAGTGATGGGGGCTTTATTCCCCACATCCACCTGCACAATAGCACACTTGTCATGAAAGTGTGTCGTATATTTACATCAGTTCCTAATCTTCATTGATTTCTCGCATAACTCTATCCACTTTCATCAAGTATTCACTTTGTAAAGACCTGCATATTAAAGTTAAAAAAAAAAAAAAAAAAAAAAAAAAAAAATTGTTATGTGTTTGAAATGATTCTCAATTATATAAACATACATAGATAGGTATTTATTTCCTGTGAGTATATTCCTCGGTAGTTCATACTAGTTGGCTAGCTAGCTAGCCATTTTATCCTCGTGAGAAAAAAAAAAAAAAAAAAAAAAAACTCATCTTTACATGTTTTTGTGTAAGTGTGAAGTGACAGAATTGTCCGGTCCGTTTAGCTTGTCTAAGGTTATTTTTAGCATATTAGAACTCTGTAAGAATTGAAATAATGGAAAAGAAGATAGAAAGATGTTGAAATATTATTAACAGCTATCCTTATTTGGCACATAAAAATGTATGCATACAAGAGAAGTAATTTATATTTTTATCCCCAGTGTTGTTGTATTTTATGTAGTGTTTTTTTCTTCTACCTTCTCATTATTTTCTTTGCACATTTTTAGCTTTGATATTGTTTCCTCTTTGCTGTTATTGCAAATAGAATTTATTACTTCTATTATGTCTTCTAAAGGTGACAATGGGCTGCATTAATAAAAAAAATGTAAAATAGTTATATTCTCTGCTTGTATACACACAAAAATTTATTGACAGTACAAGCGTGGATGTGAAGTGGAATATATTAAACCAAAATGCAGTGCAGGTATTCGTAGTTAAATAAATAGGAATTTTGGAGTAAACAGGAAAGTACACACAGGACGAAAAAATAAATTCAATCTCACAAGTATACCCACGTAAACGCAATCACGTAAGAAGAGCCACATAAGTACATGATCAATACATTTTATGGCTTAGTGTTCATGACAACATTCCAAACGTTCAAGAGTTGTACCATATGGAGAAAGAATTTTCCGTGAATAAAAGCGGGGGGTGGAGGTTGAAGGAAATTTTTGTATCTAATAAATCTATTGTTCTTTTTCTTTCAAAATTCTTGATGCCATCTTCCTGTAACAACTTTTTGTCGACGCTGAGTTTCTTCTTCAATAAGTTGGCTCTTCCTATAAGACTATTTTTCTTTTCATGTATATCCTGACATGTAATATTTGTTTCGTCCGCTTCAGTAGCACCATGCGAATTTTCCGTTTTGTCAAAGCTGTGTCTACTTTCTCTGTTGCCATCAATATTGCTTTTTTCTTTATTCTTTATTTGGAGTTTACTATAAATCATCGGAGTGCAGATTTTTTTGCTTGATTTAAAGAATCCATTTTTTTTATTTATTAAATTAAAGCTGGGAATAAATTTACTGAATTCCATTTTCCCACTATGATTACCCGCTTCTGATTTAGATTCTAATTCAGCATTATTGTCATCTTGATGATTTCCTATTCCAACTGCATCATTTACCGCCTTCTGTTCATGAGAATCCTTGTTTTTGTCTGCCTCTGGACTTGACATTTTTTCATTTTTATATTCTGTTGATTCCTTTTTGGATAAAACATCAGTTTTTAAACCTTCAGATGATGAATACGACAATGGTATTTTTATAATATTTTTTGTGAACGATTTTTTTGTTTCAATCCCTTTTTCTTCTTTTTTGGGATCTACATCTGAATTTGGATTCATGATAAAATTACTTCTAACATTTTTGCTTGGGGGACTAATACTTTTCTTTTTCTGCAGTTTAGTACTTCCTTCAAAATTACTAGTTTTTTTTTTTAAAAGATTATCATTCTCCTTTAAATCTATACTACACTTCTCATTTTTATCTGAATGGACACGCATTATTTTTGCATTAACGTCCTTTTTACTAGAATTATTCTTGATATTACTTTCTTCCCCTGAATTATCACCGTTGGACGATCCGTCTATGAGTGAAAAAGCCTCCATTGATCTTCTCTCCTCCTCTGTTAGAATGTCAAACAGGTCTTCATTTTCTATTGGCGCTTTTTTCATATCACTTCTTTGTGAATCGGCCTTTATGCCGCTTTTTTTTGAATCGATCTTTATGCCGCTTTTTTTTGGATCTACTTTCGTGGCACTTTTTCTTGCTTGTGCTTTTTCTCCATGCAACTTACCCCCCCATGATGTTTCAAATTTTTTGACGATACTCTTTACCTCGTTTTTTGGAAGACCTTTTTCTTTTTTTGGATTTTCTGGTGGAGGCCTTGGAGTTCTCTTCCTTTTATGTGTGTCAAAAAAATTGAATCTCTTTAAACTAAAAATTGATCTCTTTTTCTTTTTTTTTGTAGCAGCTGAAGGAACAATTTTTTTCACATTTTTCTTCCCCTCCTTGTTAATATTTTTTTCCCTTTGATCTTTCCGGTTCCATTTCATGATTCCCTTCTCCTTAGCCCCCGAATGTTCACGGCTCCCGGGAGACTCATTTTCCGTTTTCTTTTTTTTTCCCCAGCGAAATAGAAACATTTCGCTGATGCTCATTTGTTTAGTTTTTTTATTTGTTCGTTTTGTGTCTGTTTCTTGTCCGTTTTGTGTCCGTTTCTTGTCCGTTTTGTATCCGTTTCTCGTCCGTTTTGTGTCCGTTTCTTGTCCGTTTTGTATTTATTTTGTTATTTTTTTAAGCATTTCTGTTAATTTGTCATTTTCCAATATGTTCATCACACTGGAGGCGAGAAACAACTAACATATGTGACGATCATTCAAGAGCTACGCAATTTTCCTTCCACTTCAATGAAAAATTGTTCACACAATTTTTTGCAGAATTGCTGTGTGTGCAAATTGGGATAAATGAGAAAATATATTTGCTTCCCCCAATTCGTGTGTTAATATATATTCAAATTTATAAAAGACATGAAAATAATTAAAGACAGGTAAAATTGTTTCGGTAAGGGAGGAACGATCAGCAGTTTTACTTAATCAGAGGAGTGAAGGAGATGGATGAAACTGTGGACATTCTCAGGTAATTAAAATGGATTATCCATTATGTAGATAAAAATATCAATGTTGAAGTAGTAAAATGGAAAATCGGCAAATTGACAAAATGGAGAAATTTTTGCAGCTGCAGAATGTAAACACCTCATAAATTAATTCCGAATTCAGTGACAAAATTTTAAATGTATTCAACACAACGGTCTTTTGGTATTTGGAAGGAAAGACAAAAATGAAAAAATAAAATAAAAAATAGCTTCAAAATAGTTGTAAAAATAGCTTCAAAATAGTTGAAAATAGTTGCAAAATAGTTGCAAAATAGTTGCAAAATAGTTACAAAATAGTTGCAAAATAGTTACAAAATAGTTGCAAAAGTGTCACAGCGTAAAATTAGCGAGAAAAGGTTATTGTTTAAATTCCCTCCAAAAATCCCCCTTTTTCTTTTACCGTTTCTTGTTTTTTCCTATTTTTTTTTCATGTTGCTTTTCTCTTTTTGTTTACAATTCAGGGGCCACAAATTATAGAACAACAATTTCTTGTGCACACTGAAGATTTTTTTTTTTTTTTTTTTTTTTTCCATTTCGATCTATGCTTAGGAAAAAAAAAAAAAAAAAAAAAAAAAAAACCCAGAAAGGTAGAATTCCTTTTCATATTTTCATAACCTAGAACATGTTTGATTCACTTGGTCTTTAATTCTCTATATTATTGTCTATATACAATTTGACAAGTCCACATAATTTTATTCCCCATTTTTTCGGTGCTTTGAAAAGTGGACAAAACTTGCAGAAACCTTTCGCTCGGGGAAAATGTATTGGTGTGTGTAGAAAGGGAAATTATTATGTGAATTTTTTTTTTTTTTTTTTTTTTAAATCATTATTGGAAAAATTATTTTTCTAATTCCTAGGTTCATCAACTTATCCACATTTATATATGATCATATCTCCATTTATAAATTTACCTATTTGTGTACATGTTCACGAACTTGTGTATCTAGTGCTTTGCTTATTTTTTCTTCATTTTTTTAAGCGCAACTTTTTCCTGCCGTTAAATCTACTTCCATAACAAAATCGCGTTCTCCAAATCAATTTTTGACATTTTCAGAATTTCGAACAGCTTAGAAGGTTCTCCAGAAATTATAAACAACCGGAAAATTTTGCGTAAAATTATGAACAACCGAAAAATTTTGCGTAAAATTATGAACAACCGGAAAAATTTTGCGTAAAATTATGAACAACCGGAAAATTTTGCGTAAAATTATGAACAACCGGAAAATTTTGCGTAAAATTATGAACAACCGGAAAATTTTGCGTAAAATTATGAACAACCGGAAAATTTTGCGTAAAATTATGAACAAATATTATTGGCTGGACACAAATATATGAACCTTAGCGTACTCGTTAGAGACACATTTCTAAGGCATGTACATGTCGTCATCCTTTCGCTTAACGACACAACATATTGTATTTTTATAATACCACACATATGTTATTTGTTTTTTGGTCTTTATCACTGAATGCAAATTTCGTTGAATGCTTTTTTAAAAAAAATAAAAACATATATACACGTATATATATATGCTTATAATATACACTTTCATGTGCACAATTCACATTTCATTTAACTGCTTAGCGATTTTTGCATAACTATATATTTTCCCCAATTTCAGGAAAAGGGTGGGAAACGGATAAAATATATGTGCGTGTGTAGAAATATAAGTAAATTTATTCCCTGCGAAAAATTGCTACTGATGCAGACGGATTGCTGACTATGCGTGCAATATGGAAAATATATCTATATAAACGGGAGAATTTTTTTTTTTTTATCACTAAAACAAAATTTTCAGCGGTACATCTTCAACATATATACCCTCAAAATGTACACACATTTCTTATAGGTATTTTTTAATAATATGGGGAAATTCTTATGGAGGAGTATAAAACATATGTTAGAGAGGTATGATTTCATGAGCTAAGGAAATATAAGTTTACTCGCACATGCTCATATAAATGATCACATGTATATGGGTATATTTCCGAAAAAAAAAAAAAAAAAAAAAAAAAAAAAGATAACAGAATTCATAATCAGAATAATTGTAGAAAAATATCATGTTGTTATACATATATACATCTTTTCTACCTCATCCCTCTCTCCAATCCTGTACTATCCTGTCCAATCCTGTACTATCCTATCCAATCCTGTACTATCCTATCCAATCCTGTGCAATCCTATCCAATCCCGTCAAGATGTCTCTCTCCACAGCTGCACAAAATTGTCATTCGTTTTATTTACAATTTTCTAGGAACCTTAAAGGATGAAAACACATGTTTCTTTTTTATACTAACAGAATGAGAAATTGAACGTTTTATTTTCCCAATCTTAGGTGTCTGCTGTTCTAGTTTATTTTCCAATAACTCTTCTCGTCTTTCTAATTCCTTCATGACTTCAATAACTCCTTTATCTCTAATTTCTTTTGAAATGATTGATGATGCACTTTGAAAGGGAACAAACTCTTTAATCTTTTTATTCGTAAGTTTATACTGGCATAGTCCTTCTTCTTTATCCGAATCAGAATTAGATTCCTTGATTTGTTTATGCTCTTGTTCTTTAACAATGCTTGCAAAGGCATTTATCTCATTGTTGTCTTTTCTCTTGAAATTAGAGTGGACCTTCCAATTTGCTTCTTCGTACATTTTTATTACTTGTTCAATTTTATTCCTTGACTCCTTCACATCGAAGCAGTATGAACAACAGTAGTCGTCATCTTCATTTGGATCACTACTACTTCCGCTTTTGCTAGTGGTAAACTCTCCAAAGTGTTCTAAAATTTGTGATCTCACACACTTTTCTTGCACACACAAATTATGCACACATTCAAGATTGTATATTTCTTTCTCATATTTCTTCTGAATATTAAGGTCTTGCATATCCAAGTTGGCATAACTGCTACGTATTATGTAAGACATTTTTTCTACATCTTCTTTGGAGTAGTATAGATAACAAAAGGAGACGTTTCCATTTCTTCCTGAACGTCCAGATTCTTGATAATAATTTTCAATCGATTTTGGTAAATTAAAATGAATAATAAATGACACATCTTTTCTATCTATTCCCATACCAAAAGCAATTGTAGCAACTAAAATGTTTGCATTTCCATTCACCCATTTTTCTTGTATTTTCTTCCTTGCACTGTTTGTCAATCCGGCATGATAGCTCAGAGCTTGAAACCCTTGTTCCCTCAAGTATTTCGAAATTTCATCACATGTATTTCTTTTGAAGCAGTAAATAATTCCTATCTTGTTCATATTTCTTTTTTCTTGTATGATATGAAAAATACTCTTCTTTTTTTCTGTTTTCAGCAGATCACTGTACACAATTACGTACTTTAAATTTGGTCTATTGAAAGATGTTCTGACGATTCGAAGGGAGTTCAAGCTTTCTTCTTCTTCTCCTTCTTCTTCTTTCTCGTCCTGGTCAATCTCTTTGTTCTTGCTCTTATTGATTTCTTCCCCTATGTTCTCCTTCTTAAGCCAATTCAAATTCAAATTTACAATTATGTCTTTCTCAACAAATTTCGTTGCAGTGGCGGTGCAAGTATAGACCCTGACATATGGACAAGCCTTCAATATTTTATTTAAATTCCTGTAACTTTTTCTAAAATCACATCCCCATGTACTTATGCAATGGACTTCATCTATAGATATTAGGGATATTTGAAGATTTATGTACAGCTCTTTCAGTACAACCATGAAGTATTCACTAGTTGCTGTTTCTGGAGTTATATATAAAACCTGTATAATGCAATTGTTATAATTTTTTAAAAGATTCAATACTTTTTCATTTTCTTTTTTATTTAACGAACTATTAATCGTTTCTGCTACTATATTTCTTCTTCTTAGAGATTTTGTTTGATCATACATTAGAGATATTAAAGGACTGATGACTATACTAATTCCTCCAATTATCAGGGGTGTTACTTGATATATAAGTGATTTCCCTCCTCCAGTTGGCATGATATTCAATACATGTTCAAAATTCTTTATTGCATTTAGACATTCTACTTGTTTTTCTTTAAATTTAGGAATACCAAAATGTTCCTTCAGTATTTCTGTTCCTTTGTCAATGTCTATATTTCTGTACTTGCTTTTATACCTGCTCAGCAAATCGGGTGGTCCATCTCCATTCATTTCGCCCTTCCGATTTTAAAAAATTCCCAATCCCTTTATGATAACTTTTTTTTTTTTCTCTGTTTCTCTGTTTCTCTGTTTTACCTTTTTTTTTTTTTTTTTTTTTTTTTTTTTTTTTTTTTTTTTTTTTTTTTTCTTTTTTTTTTTTTTTTTTTTTTTTTTTCTTGCACTAATTTGTTTTTTTACTTCTCATGATTTGTAATGTTCTTCACGGTAGACGTATTTGTCAATGTGATATATACTCCTTAAAAGGAAAAAGAGTTATCTCCAATATGTGTTGCGCTAATATTCACTGGGGCAGCAGTTCTGCCTTTTTAAAAAATAAAATACAGACGTGCGAATGTGCAGCATTCAAGTGTGCAACATGCAAACATGGAAATGTAAAAGAGCACAACATGCAAACATGGAAGTGTAAAAGCGCACAACATGCAAACATGGAAATATAAAAGCGTATAAATATACACATCCACACATCCACACGTCTGTGCAACTAAATACAAACGTACGTGTATGTATGTACATGTGTGATAAATACCTCATACACTTGCACTTCCAGTCTGCTGCTTTTTTTTTTTCTCCCTTTCCATTCCCACCCTCATGATACAAAAAAATACTCTTGACTGAAAGCAGCTATAAATGAGATTCTTTTAAAAAACAAAAAAAAAAAAAAAAAAAACACGCTCAGCAAAGCAATTCGGGAAATAGGGATCTATGTAATTTATATGTAAAAGTGAAAATTATTTCCCTTAGTTTGTTCTTTTTTCCTGCCCTTGTCCTTTTGTTTCACTTTTTTGTTTCACTTTTTTGTTTCACTTTTTTGTTTCACTTTTTTGCTTCACTTTTTTGTTTCACTTTTTTTTTTCACTTTTTTTTTTCACTCTTTCGTTTTTCTCTTATGTTTTGTTCTTTTCTTTTATTTTGAATTTTTTTTTTTTTTTTTTTTTTTTTTTTTTTTTACTTTTCTCAAACGTTCTTAGCACTAAGCAAGCATCTTCTTCATATCCCCAGTGAAAAAGCCCGCTACCCGTTGCGTGTACATGCATGTGTGCATGTAAAGCCCATATGTCCTTTCAAGAATGTTGAACAAACCTAAAGGTAAACATCTCAGACGCTTGTAAAACATTCAGTGGAGTCACCAGAATTTCATGCTAAGAAGTAAATACACTACGCTGAAAGAGAGAGTTCTTTTTTTACCGTTCCTTTATCACTCTCCACACTTGATAAAATGCCACACTGACCCATTGTCACACTGCAACATTTGCTACATCACGTTCTTTATGTTTTTTTTTTTTTTTTTTTTTTTTTTTCCCCTTATTTATATTACTCTTAATTTCCACATGGTAGGATGGAACCAAAAATAAGAACAAAAAAAAAAAAAAAAAAAAAAAAAAAAAAGGACGAAAAGTCTAAACCGTTCAGTACACAATACCACGTGATTACACAAATGTTAGAAAGATGAACATTTTAAACATTACAAAAAAAAGACACAATTCTGGGAAAGCGATTAATACCGTCAGCACCATCGTCCATCTTTTTCATGAATCATTAAAATGTATATAAGAAAACCTTATATATATGATAAGGAAAAAGACATTTCTTTTCTTTTTTTTTTTTTTTTGAGAACATTTTTTTTTTTTTTCATAATTGTTCCCCATTGTAATCATCATTTATAGTCGTACTGTAAAACCTTTTTCTACGATTTTCCAGTAGAGACAATTTGCAGTTTAAAAAAAAAAAAAAATAATAAAATAAAATAGTAAAGTATTAAAATATAAAATGTGTAACATGGGATAATAAGCGAAAAATGAGACATCCTAAAAAAGAAAGAAAACATAGTGGTAGAATGACAAAAATGTTACGAGCACAATGGTAAGAAATAAAGTTACAACGGGAAACGTAACAAATGTGTGGATCTTCTTATATACATATTGTTGTAAAAGATTTTCACTTGTGCAAGTGTATCAAATGTATACAGTTTATCTGCAAATGGTGGAGAAAAAAAAAAAAAAAAAAAAAAAGTGTTGTGAAATCACTTAAATATGTAATTGTTGTTTTCTGTTTTTCTATTTTTCAATCTTTCTGTTTTTTCACTTTTCTACCTTTCTGTTTGACTCCCTTTTTGTTCTCTTTTTTCCTTCCCCACCCCCTGCTTTATATCTCGAAAAAAAGGAAAAGTAGAAAAATTATACCTTGCAATGCAAATATAATTACCCACGTGTGAGGCTTTTCTTGCTACATATTAACAACATTTTAAAAAACCCTTGTGGATACTGTTAGACCATGAGACAAATGGTTCAATCATTTTTCGTGAGATAAAATGGAAATTATGCACAGTTAAGTACAAATTGTATATCTGAATACTGAAAATAAAAGAGGTTTGCGGATGCTTTTTTCATCATTTATTTTTGTAAATATAGAAATGTAGTACGAGGTTTTTTCTATGAACCATTCTACATTTTGTAACAAAATCCTGAATGCAGAAATATTATTATGATGCGTCAGACGACAAATTAAAATTTTTATCACTTTTTTTCGTTAAATAAATAAAAATTATTAATTGTCGCTTTCTACATAGTAATATTCCCCCTCCATATGTTTACACATTGTGCATACATGTATATATATATATATATACATGCATATGTGCATATGTCGGTCCCCTGTTTAAACCAATTTGCGAACTATTCTAAGGAATTTTATTAATTTTTGGAGTGCTTTTTTTCAAGGCAAAACAAATTTTGATGACAATTCTATAAGTAGAAATGCATCTTGTCCTTTTTGATTCTCTATCTTATTCATGTATGTAATGAAACAACCTGTTATTGTATTCACGCAGAGTTAACTGCACCATGAAAAACATTTTTTTTTTTTTTTTTTTTTTTTTTTTTTTTTTTTTTTTCTTTTTTTCCTCTCCCAAATTTTTTTTTTACTCATAAAAAAAATTTCAAAAAAAAAAAAAAAAAAAAAAAAAAAAAAAATAACATTAACGAGTAGTGACTTGAGAGGGGGAAAAAAAAAAAAAAAAAAAAAAAAAAGAAAAAAAAAAAAAAATGCAGATAGATTCCAGCCATAGCAAAGGAGAAGTTTGTACGAATTTTATTCGACATAACTTATCCCCTTCTTACTTCGAAAAATACAAAGACAGTGGGATGGAAATTAAGCAATTCAAAAGTGGTGTCCAATAACTATTTAAGTTCAACTGCACAAACACATTCCTTGAAAAGCTCCCTGCTATGTATTATTTCTCCGCGTGTTATTTCATTTTATATTTTATTTTATTTTATTTTATTTTTTTTTTTCTTCTTCTTACATATATGGATTATATTATGTTATTGCATTATAGTATAATATAGAATAACATAATACAGTATAACATAATACAGTATAACATAATGCAGTATAACATAATGCAGTATAACATAATGCAGTATAACATAATGCAGTATAACATAATGCAGTATAACATAATGCAGTATAATGTAATGCAGTATAATATAGTGCAATATTTATTATTCATTTTATTTCACTTTTTCTTCCCTCTCTTTCCCCTTCTCCGCAAACAAGAACTCATAAAATAGCTAAATTGCATATCCTTTCTACACTTGCTTACAATAATAGAAATGACATAAACTTAGACATATTTGCAACTGTTCTTGGGTACAATGCGGTGAAGGATGAACACACAGAAGACGAAACAGAAGGAAGATGAAGCAAATAAAAAGAAGACGAAGGTGAGGGGGGAAGAATAAAATAAAATAAATAATAATAACAGCGTGAAAACATCATAATAAAATCGTGAAAACACCATAATAAAATCGTGAAAACATCATAATAACAGCGTGAAAATATCATATTATAATCCAAATATGTAAGAAGAAGAAACAAAAAAAAAAAAAAAATAAAATAATAAAATAAAATAATTATCTCCTGGCTGACTTGAGAGATAAAAATAGCGCAATATTGAGTAGACTGATTGAAGTATATGGATTTTTCTGTTTCTTTTTGAGAAAAGGAGAAAAATCAAAATGGGGAAAATATCATAGGTAGGATCAGAGGTTTAGATGTGGAAATTTGCGGTGAAGGAAGAACAAATGGTAATGAGAAAAAAAAAAAAAAAAAAAAGGAGAAAATAAAAAAGAAAAATATATTCTTCATATAATACTTTATGTTTCTTTTTTTTTTTTCATTATCACTAGTTCTTCCTCTACAGAAAAAATTCCTCATTTTGTCTTCTTCCCCTACGAAGAATATTTCCCCCCTCTAATTTGAAATTTCCTCTTTTCTAAATACAGAAAGATTAAGAGCTTCAAATGTAAACGCTTCTTTTGCAAAACTTCCGCTCTATTCCAATATACGACCTCATGTTCGTGTTTAATTGATAACGAAAAAAAAAAAAAGAAGAAGAATCAAACCATATGCTATCGCTTTCTTTTCTCTTCTTTTTTCATTATCATAATTATCCATGTACTTATGAGCAAATAATCAGTCACTTCTAGGGTTCAGGGTGAGAATTTCTTCCCATGCATGTTTAGGATTTGTACATTCATTTTTTCTTTTTTTTTTTTTTTTTTATCTTTTTTTTTTTTTTTTTTTTTTTTTTTTTTTTTTTTTTTTCTTTTTTTTTTTTTTTTTTTTTTTTTAAAAATTTTTTTTTTTTTTTTTTTAAATATAAATTTTTTTTTTTTAGAATAAAAAGTTTTTTTTTTTTTTTTTTTTTTTTTTTTTTTTTTTTTTTTTTTTTTTTTTTTTCTTTCTTTTCCTTTTCCCTTTTTTTGTTTTTTTTTTTTTTGGAAAAATGCTTTCCTTATACACACAAGTGTCTGTATTTTATGTAGAATAATATACCTTTGCCAAAAAAAAAAAAAAAAAAAAAAAAAAAAGAAAAAAAAAAAAAAAAAAAAAAAAAAAAAAAAAAAAAAAAAAAAAAAAAAAAAAAAAAAAAAAAAAAAAAAAAAAAAAAAAAAAAAAAAAAAAAAAAAAAAAAAAAAAAAAAAAAAAAAAAAAAAAAAAAAAAAAAAAAATAAAAGAAAAAAAAAAAAAATCCTTAAATAAAAAAAAAAACTTTAAAAAAAAAAAAAAAAAAAAAAAAAAAAAAGGAGAAACTAATTTTTGCACAAGTTTCTGGGAGTGGGGTGAAGAATTAAAACACAAGAAGATGGGCTTTTCTTTCTTTTGCATGTTTTCAAAATGTTCATGTAGTGAAATATATTATATAAAAAAGTATGTGACATAAAATAAGTGTAATAAAATTATAAGTAGCAAAATTGATAATAAAACGGAGAAAAAATCTTAATTTCCCAGCAGCAATTTTTTTCTTTCTTTTTTGATCTCACATTAAATATAAACATTTGAGTGTGACAACATAACGCAGGTGGGGTGTGGGTGGGGGAGAAAATAAAAAGATTAAACGATAAAATGGGTAAGAAATATATCATCAAAAAATGTGTAATACATATGCAGAAAATGAACTTAAAGAAAAAGAAAGAAAAAAGGTGGCTTTATAATTAATTACAAAATAGAAAGGAGCAAATCTAACACAAGGAAAAAATACATCGGAAAAAGTGCTCAAAAAACTGCTCGGAAAATTGCGGGGAAAATTGCTCGGAAAATATGCATGGGAATAAAAAGCTCGGAAAATATGCATGGAAAAAAAATGCTCGGAAAATATGCATATAACATTTTATACACAATAGGGTTGGTTGTGCACATGAGATTGAAAATTATGAACAGCAAAAGTGGGAAATGTGTTTTTACTTGCCATATCAAAAAATATGACATACGGAAAAGAGTTAATAAAAACTCGAAAGCAAATGTGTACAATGTTTGGATAAAAAAAAAGCACGAAAAAAAGTATTTTATAAAAAAGCGCATTAAAAAGGTTCATTTTAATTAAACTCGTTTTAAAATTTTTTGTGTTTTTTTTTCTTTTTAAATTTATTTTATTATTTTGTTACCTTGTTATTTTTTGCCACCTTGTTATTTTATTTTATTCTTTTTATTTTTACCTTTTCGTGGGGCTAAAATTCGTTAAATTATCCCCAAAAGGGGAAAGGTAGATTCATTTTCGCATGTACAGTCAAATAGTTAGGAAAAAAATAGTCAGGTAGCAAGCCACATTTAAAAAAGAGCAAATGCATATCAGTCTCACCCAGAAAAAAAAAAAAAAGTTACACATATGTGGCTTCTGGATAAAATAGCTCTCAGGGTGCACTTGGGGTTTTGGGGATACTCATCATGTATGTTGGCTGCATTACATAAACAAAACGAGAGGTTTTTTTTTTTTTTTTTTTTTTTTTTTTTTTTTTCAAAACTGTTTACGTGGATACAAAATTAGAGAATACGTTAAAAGAGAATGTGCACACGAAAATGGGTAAAAAATATTAAGTACTATTTTGTGGAGAATGAACAATTTTTTTATTTCATAAAAAATATGTATCGGCCAAATATGCACAAATTCGTCATGGGCATATGACATAAATAAATAATATATAGCTATACCTAATTATGCACTTATGCATTTTTTTTTTTTTTTTTTTTTTTTTTCTCATGTTGGGATTTGTTTAACTCACTCGCTCATTCCATATAAAGAAGTTTTAATAAAATTTGTTATTACAAAAAAAAAAAAAAAAAAAAAAAAAAAAAATTGCCAATCCAATGATGAACATTGACAACTTTCACATGAAATATTCAATCCATAATGATATAAAAGTATTGAAAGAATAATATATAATTGACCTTGTTGCAGAACAGGGAAAGGAAATTAATATAAAAAAGCCTCTTAATCATGACCATGTTATTTTAATTTTCATTCATTTTTTTTTTTTTTGTATACAGAGATATGACATTCCCATTTTGAAGATTTACATCCCATAAAAATGTAAAGATTTCATACCCCCCACTCTCCCTAAGGGAGAAAATTGTTATCTCTTATTTATATCCATCGTACTGCGCATACTCTCCACATAGGAATGTATATGACAAGAGATATTCAGCAACATGTGTGTAACGCATCTCTGTATCCTATTCTCTTATCAAATAGTAGTGAAAACGCTCCTCGATCATGTCAAACCTCATTTGACTCCAAATTATAGAGGAAACCGAACAGCCTAAGAATGCAAGTTGTGACCTTTCAGAGGATATATATGTATACATATATATATATATATATATATATATATATATATATATATATATATATATATACTACTGTACACGTGTGCATGTCAGCATGGGTGTGAGCATTATGGCGTAACTAGTTCACATACAAAAGGGTTAACAGGAAAGGAGAAAAAAAGATGATGTTATATGGGTTAAAGAAACGATGTGATGACGTGTAAGGTTGGATATTTCTCTTTTATGTTTGATTGATTGGATAAGCATCATACTCCTGATTTCTAAGCATCTGTCTATCACTCCATTACGCCATCATTCAAAGACATAATCTAGATTGATAAAAACCAGTAGAAAAAAAAAAAAAAAAAAAAAAAAAAAAAAACGGTAGTATACGATTTGCCATTTATGATGCATATCAGTTTGCATCCAGAAGGTAGGGGGGGAGTAGGGAGCAGAAAAATCTAAATGATACTCATCTTACTACCCCAACGCTCGGTGTCGCAACTTGTGTCTCCATTTGTTCCCAAATGAAATTTCCCACTTCTGTATATGTTCTAAAAGTCCTTCGTGGGGAGATCTCGAGAAAATTTAGTTTTGATCAACAAATAGGAAAAGTAAAAGAGTAACATAATAGTGACAATAATTAGAATTAAAAAATTGATGCATGCAATTATAGATGTGTCATTAAAAACATCTACTTCAAAAAATTGTACGAAAAAATTTGGCAGATATTTAAAGAATTGTTCGTAAAATGTGGAGAACCCCTCGTCTTTTGAAAAAGATTTCACGTATTCTATGTATGTGAATCGAGCAAAGTAGGAATAAAATCCATTATTTAGGATAGATGTAGAATCTCCTAACTGGTTTAAAAAAATGTTAAACATTTCGTTGGGTGTTGGTTCATCGGGTTCATTCCTTTGGCTAATTATTATGGTTGCCTTGATTCCGTTTTTCAGTTTTTGTATTGGTTTCACGTATATGCGCGAGGTCAAACGGGGGTCTACGATCTGGAGGTGGCATGAGGGGAAAGAAAAGAGGCAAAATGTGGGCGGCAAAATGTGGGCGGCAAAATGTGGGCGGCAAAATGTGGGCGGCAAAATGTGGGCGGCAAAATGTGGGCGGCAAAATGTGGGCAGAAAAATATGAGCAGAAAAATGTGGGCAGAAAAATGTGGGCGGCAAAGTGTGGACAGCAAAATGTGGGCGGCAAAATGTGGGCAGAAAAATGTGGGCAGAAAAATATGAACAGCAATGTGTCGTCCTCAAGAATGTAATGCCCCATTGCCGTTTGGTCAGGTAAAATTACACTTTTGACAACTTCCTTGATGTACTCAGACATAGACCCAAAAACGTCGGTGTAGAATTTTTCCTTTTTGGAAGCATCATCTTCATCATTATAAAAATCATATTCAAAGTTGTTAAAAATGCGTAATCCTATTTTTATGCCTTTCAGAGGGTGTAAGCAATTGTTCAAAACTCTAACATAGGGATAGGGACATAAACATACGTATCTATTTTTGGCTAAGACACATTTTCCAGGTTCTTTACAATTAGATGATCCTCCAAATAAAATACATTCGTTATTTTTTTCACATAAAGAACTCATAGGATTTCTTGAATATCCATCAATACAGACACATTTCCCATTAACGCATATTTCGTTTAAGTAGCAGAATCGTTTGCCCTGTTCACAGAATGGATAAACACAATTATTGTTTTGTCCGCTGTGATTATTTCTTAATATGTCACAAAAGCAGAGATTCTTACCATTAAATTCGAATGCATGATTTTCTGAACAACCGATATTATTATTTTTATCAATTTTTTTGGTCACTTTGTTATAAATAAGAAAATTACTATCATGTCGTTTTATAAAAGCACCTGCTATTGTACTATGCTCATTTTTTTTTATCTTATCATAATCATTGAAATTGTAAGAAATGATATGAATTGGGATATATGGATTACCTAAGATGAAATATTCATTCAAAATTTCTTCCTTAATATCATATTCATTATTCTTTGAATGATCTAGTATATCTACTCTTTTGCTTAATGGTAGTAATAGAAGTAAATTATTTCTACTGACATTTACCATTGTTCCACTTATCTTAGCTGTAACAATAAAATTCTTTGTTTTATTTCCTGATGTTATGAAATGAGCAAATGCATAATTAATACAAATTTTGGAACTTTTTTTAAAAAAGTTTCTATTTTTTAATATATTATTTAGCACTAGTGGGATGTCATACTGGTTGCAGTATTTTTTTGGCTTTATAAATACTAATGGGCTGATTACATAAAATGTATATTCTGGCCATGTTGTTAATAAATATAAATACGTTAATATTATTCTGGACTTGTGAAACATGCATAAATGATTCTTCTCAAATTTCATGTCTTTACATATGTCTATTAATTTCTCTTTTTCAAATTTCTTAGTTTTATATGATATTTCCAATGGATCATTAAAAAAATTGTAATTTACCATTTTCTCGTATAATTCTTTTTTCCCTTCCTTTTTTTTTATTTTCTTCATAAATATATGTCTCAGTTGTAAGTATTCGCTTACCACAAATTCTCCTTTCGATTTGTTGATCATGTTTTCATAGCACAGACAGCTATTCTCTTGGCTGGAAAATTCTCTTATTAGTTCCTCGCTATTTTTCAGCTTTTTCCCATTAGAAGGAAATTTCGCTTCGTGCTCTGCATCTAGTTGGACAGCTCCTCCTGGATGTAGTGCTCCTTCCGATTGTATGGTTGCCCTTTTTTGTGGCTCTCCCTGTAAGGTATCCCTTAAGTTATACTTCTCGTACAACTTATACTTGTTGAAGAGAAGAACACACTCAGGCTCATATTGGGCAAATGCATACACGTTGGCATTCCAAAAAGTGTAATATTTAGTGATATTGTGTGTATAATTCTTTACATACACATTTTTAAATATTCTATAGATGTATATCCTCTTATATTTTTTGTTCAATTCCCCCACGATAAATATAACTGATGCCATGAAAGAGACTAAAAATATTCCAAGGGCATAATGTTTCTCTGATTTTATGATCATGTGAAAATCTCCAAAATATTTGTTATCGAATCTGTTTAAGAATGCTGTTGTCAGATCTACCACGTTCCATTTATGTGTATATGAATGTTTTAGATATGTATTATCGTCTTCATATGTGATGTACTTATACATGGAGTTTACATCTTCATCTGAATGTGAATTAAGGTATGCGTTAGAGTTAACATTCCTCCTTTCATTTTCATACGAATCAGCTAGAAAATTACTTTCGATGGAACATAGAGTTCCTGGTTTTTCTCCAGAAAGGTATGCCACTAGTATGGCATGATGTATGTTCAGATGTCTTAATTCGTAAATCAATTGTATATATATGGAATTTTCTTTGTCTAAGCAGAATATCTATTCGAGGGCAGAAATGAAAGGCAAGGAGGGTGAGGAGTGGTGGTCGACAAGAATATTTCACAATGAATCCGTGCAGCTTGGGCATTTTTCACTTGGACGGACGAAAACTATGCACAACTGAAGGGACAAACGGAAGACAAAAACTGGGAAAACAGCACATATGCAGAGGAAGAACCGAAAACATTCATATATATATATATATATATATATGCTCTCCTATTCTTATTCTCTCTCCACTGCGCTGCCCCTTTTTTTTAGTACGTCGTTTCCAAAGTAAAGGATAACAATGAGGTACTTGACAAGCTGTTTGTTTTCATTGAATGGAATCAGATTGTACATTTCATCCAGAGTCAGCTTCACCTGAGTAGTTATTCAGAGAAAATTGTTAATCATGTAAAATGAAAATGGACAAGTGACGTTCTAGATTATATATATGCAATCATGGGTGCATAAGTTTTTGAAACAAACTATGTCGGAGCTTAAACATATTTACACACGTGCGTGTGCGTGTGCATGTGCATGTGCATCTGTATGTGCATCTAAATCTGAATCTGCATCCGCATTTGCATGTGTACATATGACAGTGTCCGTTTCTCATCTCTCATTCAGCTCAGGTAGACAATTTCAAAAAATATTTTTATGTGCGAATGCATATCCCACCAAATGAAGCAATATCTTCTGACTATCCTTGAACAAGGAGTTGAGATCCGTATACTCATAAAAATATTCGTGCAAATCTAGTAGATTTATCAAGAAGCTATGCAACTGATAGTTGTAGCAATTGAAGTTGTAAAGCATGTCGTAATGTGATCTCATTGTGACAATTTTTAATAATTTAGAAATATGTTTTCCCCCACAATCAAATAGAGCCTTAAACAGTTTTGATAAGACCTTCTGAAATTGGATATAATTAACTGATGGAATGACAAAAATGTCAAATACATCCATGCGACTAATTTTTTTAGGATCATTTAAATTATTTACTTCTTTTTTTGTTATCTTTGTGAAATATTTTTTATAACATGTTAACTCTTCGTGTGTAAATGTGCTTATCAGATTCAGAAGTACTGCCTCGAATGGTATGCTTTTATGCAGTGAATAATCCTTCATGGGGTTATATCTCCCAAACAGTACATACTTAAAAATCTTGTGGCTAAGGTACAACAGATATATGTTTGAAGTTATTTTATTTTCGACCGTAAGAACGTCGTAAGTCTTTTTCGAGTGCATCACGCTCCTGTGTTGGAAGTATGTGCAGAGTGGAATCAGAAAAGGAGATATGTTTAGCTGGATGCCATTCCACTTCCATGCAAATATTCATTCATATATTCATTCGCGTATGCATATATATATGTGTGCACGTTTGGGGCGCGAGGACCCTGTTGGTTATTACTCCTGAAGGTAGGAAAAGATCCTTCTCATGGCCGTGACGAAAAGCATTTTTCCCTCCCTGATCCAGCCAATCAAATTGTCTTTCATGAAAAAATGAGTGTACTGAGAAAGGTAATCATGAGAAACAAGAAAAAAAAACGGAATAGACAGTTTCATGGGGTCCCCAAGTCCCCTTATATGATCAAGTAAAATTAAACTTATTTCATCATCATAGTACAATACTTTAATGAGAAAAACCTGGTTATCATCTCCATTGTCAGACGACATATATATGTGTTTTATTTGTTCATATTTTTCTCTGACAATTTTATCCTTAATGTAAGGAATGGACAAAGAGTTGTTTTTATAAATGTTTCTACAAAATATGATTTCATCCAAAAATTTTATTTCATCATTTGCAATTAAAATAAAAACATTATTATCTTGCAAATATTTTTTATTATTTAAATCTAGTGTTGTTCTTATCAAATCATTTAATTTTCTTTTTTTATACTTTTCATGAAATGAAAAGTATTTTAATTCATGATAATTTCCTTCATATTTATCAATATGAGACAAAATGTTCAAATTTGTAAATGAGTTAACAAATATAATGTCACTCCATATTTTTTTTTTATTTATGTCTTTTCGGACTATATTGCATTTTTTTTCATCAAATCTTATATTTGATAAATTCTCTACCTGCACAACTTTTTTATTCCCTCTTTCTGGTTCGCTCTTCTCACGCTTGTCACCTTCGCTGTGCGCATCAGATTTTTTACACTCACCAGATTCTTTGCACTCACCAGAATCTTTGTAATCACCAGAATCTTTGCAATCACCAGAATCTTTGCAATCACCAGATTTTATACACTCGTCGTTTTCTCCACTTGTGTCCATTTTCAGATTTGTAAAAAAATTGTCAACCATTTTTTCATCCAAAGAATCGTCACTGATTGTCAAAGTATGAGACTCATTTGGTTGTCTACTTTTTTCCCTTGTCTCAGCTCCACCTTCATTTCCCTCTATTTCGTCATATGCATAATGTATCCTATTATCACGTAGAAAATTTTCTAGTATTAAATTTTCTTGAATGTCGAAAAAGAAAGAATCTCTATTTTTTTCTTGCATGTCCCTTGCGAATTCCAACATATTGTTTTTATTTCCATAATTTGATTCCTTTGTGTGTGAGTTACCATTCCCATTTGCACCTTTTTCATAGAGATAACTATAGCTGATTGTGGAATAGTGTTGAACATCCTCTCTCGTGATATCTACATCGGGATTATCTCCTTTTCCTTCCTGTGTGTAATGCATGTCAATGATTTGTTCATAGTATTGTTTTTGCTCTGTCTCATCAGACTTGTCATATATGAAAGTATATCCATATATACTTAAAAAGTTCATTTCATCCAAGAACAAGCAATTTATACAAGACCCAACTGCCATATAGGGACTGATTTTCTTTTCTACAAAAGATTCTTTGTTTTTTTTATAACGAAAATAAAATTTCTCATCAAATTTAAATGTAGAATTGAAGGAGAAGCTAAATGTGTTATGTGGGTCACAATCATTATCATGAACATACTGTATCAAATCATTGTATTCTTTTTTTACACACACCACCCTATTATTTCTTCTTGATGTTTCAACAAGGTATTTATAATTTTTGTCATTTTGTAAGGACGTATTCTCATTGTCCAATAGAGGACTATTTTTTTCCAACTTGTCATGATGATAGTCATCATGTACATTTTCTCCTATGCATTTCTCGTTCTTATTCGCTGCTAATATTTTCAGCAGCAAGAGGAGGAAAATCTGAACACGCATGGTTCACCCAATTCCGTTGGATGACACCTATCTCTAGCCTTTTCCCAACATTTGAAATGCGTAAAAATTGTTTTCATGCATCAGTGAATTTTGAGATGAAAAAAAAAAAAAAAATAAATAAATAAATAAATAACAGGATAGATAAATGGATGAATAAATGAACAAACAATTTTTTTTTTTTTTTTTTTGTCATAGACGGAGCTGCTAGGTCGCTGTCCATATACACACATTTAAAATAACTGGAGAATTCTCGTAAAACTGCATACACATATGTACAGTTGATTTGTACACATATAGTACAGTTGGGCACATGCCCTACAAAAATTTCCATTTTTAACCCCTTTCATTCGTTACTCCTCCTTTTTTCAATTCATCGTGAATTGGAGAACTTGCTTAATTGTGAATTCGAAGCTTCTATTGCACTTTAATTTTTTAGATTCTTTGTTTTTCTTTTTCAACCGTTTAACAGTGTCCGCATTTTTACACACAACTGACGATGCTGATATGTGTGCACACACTATTTACTATCCCATTTGTATATCCTGAATCATGCTGTTTCTTAAGTGCTAACTACTTTTACCTGTGCTATTGATCAAGAATCTGGAATAGCTGATTTTCTCCTTTAGTGAACATTGAGGGATGAGACTACGGGTTTTCAAATTTGAAAGATCACCACATAATGCATCCCAAGTGAACATATACATCTCGTAACATATCATAGCGTACTGCTGGATATTGTACCATACTGAGGCATATCATAAGACATCACCTTTGTGAATAACATTCACAGGGGTTCAATTAAGATCTCGTAGGTGAAGAAACTTACGCGAAGAGAACAGTTCCATGATGAGTAATATATATATATATATATATATTAATATTTTATTCATGTAGAAAACAACAGGAGTCATTTATTTTATTTTTATGTAACTCCCTCCGGATGGGTTAAGTTTGATAAGTAGAACAGATGGGGTAAATATAATGCACACAAATACGTCCACGCATGCATAAATGCATGTTTGTGTGTGTGTGTGTGTATATGTGTGTACATGTACCTATTAAGAATGTCATGGAAAACGTAGTAATGGAACCACAAAGCGGTGCTCAGATCAGGTTGACATTAACTCCTAGAGATCCTTAACCCATTTAATCTCCATATCCTGGAACTTCAATTTAAAAAAACCATAATTTAAAACAGTTTTCAATGACACGAAAAAATGACAGGAAAATTTAGGAAATTCATTTTTTTAAAAAAAGAAAAAACACCTTTGTTTTTCGTGTTTTCTACATATATATGAAAAAAGGGAATAAGGGTAAACACACATTTTAGAGTGTTTTTTTTTTTTTTTTCTTTAAATTTCTTTTTGTAATAGGATCTTATGTAATATAAACAATTAAGCATGTTGGTTCATACCATAAGGAAGTCACTCTTTCGTTACGAAATTTTATTCAATCATTCAGAATGCAAATGTTGGTAAAAATGCATAAATCTATGCGTCCTCATATTTTCGATGTGTTCTCATATGTCCGATATGTTTACATGTTCCTTTTTTCTTTTTTCTTTTATGTTTATGGGTCCATAAAAAAAGTTCTTATTTTACGTTATAATCAGATGACATGCGTTAAATTATTTTATCTAATTGGATGTTTTTCCTGAAGAATGTAGTAGGGTCTTATACGTCCATATATATACACATATGTATGAAAACGTAAAAAAAGGCACAACCAAGCAATATGTCCATTTCCCCAATTTGATATTACTATTCCCAAAGTTCTAATCGGATTAATAAGGTTCAAAAAAAAAAAAAAAAAAAAAAAAAAAGTTACCTGGTAAGTTATGCCTTAACAACCTAGCGAAAAATCTATACACAGAAAAATAAAACTTCTAATTTTTTAAAAAAATGGCAAATAAGGAAAATAACTACACATGAGATAAATACCAGAGGCACACAACCATTTGGCGTTTACGCTTTGAAAAATTAGGTTTAATATTGGAAAAAATTGTTTTACCTTTAATCAGCACGATCCTACATTAACCAACATTCAGATTATTACAAAATTAACATTTGATTGTGTCACATGTGCCTAAATATTGTGCCACGTGCATTTTTCCGTACCCGGGTATATGCAAAAAATAGCTGTAAGGCAAATATTGAGAACATCTAAATGTATACGCATATGCATATGTAACGCATACATTAAGGCACTACTAATTCGAGGATTTTTTTTTTTTTTTTTTTTTTTTTTTTTTTTTTTTATCTTTACCATTTCTTTATATTTAGGAGAATCAATTCAAGAAAAAAAAAAGAAACAAAAAAAAGTTTCTTACTAAACTGAATATTTATATACCTGTTTGAAGCGCGAAATAAATAAAGTTATATTTTTTGAGTTTACTTATGAGAAAAACATTTTGTGCTAAATTGGAAAAACAGAAGAGTACGTGCATTCTTTTTGTTTATTGGCCAAATTGCCTACTGAGAGATACTGAGTTTTTTGTGACAAAGCTACACAACGAAAAAAAAAAAAAAAAAAAAAAAGATAAAACTATATTTACATATATATATATATATCCCCTCCAATAACACACTCTCTTCCTCGAATAGGCTAAAAAAAAAAAAAAAAACGTAGGATAATAACCAGAACACATCTCTCCCCTCTCGCTTGCAAGAAGAATAAAATACGACAAAATGAGTATGCATCGTCAAAACTTCAAAGCGCTAAGTACCTTATTGAAGGAAAAAACGCCGCAACATTTTGATATACTGCCACATACAAGCATTAAATGTATAGTTCACCCAGCTGTTATATTTACAATTCTTGATGCATATCTAAGAAGGGATGAAGACCAGACCCATGTCATTGGTACCCTCATGGGTTCAGTTATCGACACCAACCTTATCGAAATTTCAGATTGTTTTGTCGATAAGCATTCTTTAAATGAAGGGGTAAGGAGAGATTCATTTTGTGAGTTCCAAAACGGAGAGGGCATATATGTTCTGTGCATATGAAAATGTCCCACGTTTCATTATGTGGAGAGCTATATGTATATTTTTGCATACTGTGAGAAAATGGCTGTGTGATTAATTCGTTATGTAATTAATCAATTATATGCCGAACCTGTTACATGATAGATCGAGTGTGTGATTGGATCCCGTACGTGGATCACCAGCACATTGCTTTTCCCAAAAAGTAGTACAAAATTTTCACCCAATTTACATAAACCTTTAGGGATTCCTTCAAATCATTAAAGATCACCACGAAACAATGTACGAGCTGAAGCAGAAAATTCGCCCAAGGGATCAAGTAGTTGGTTGGTTTTGTTCAGGTTCTGAATTGTCTGAATTATCATGCGCTGTTCATGGCTGGTTTAAAGAACACAATTCAATTTCGAAGTTTTACCCGCACTCTCCCTTAAACGAACCAATACATCTACTAGTTGATGCAGCATTAGAAAGTGGATTTCTCAATATTAAGGCCTACGTCCAATTGCCTATATCATTAGTAAAAGAATATTTTGTTCATTTTCATGAAATACAAACCGAGTTACTACCTTGCAATGTTGAAAGAGCAGAGGTACTGCAGTACCAAGAGAAAGGGATGCCAGGTAAGGACAAAGACTTCCATATGCACAGCAATAAAGATAGTGTATTTCCAAATGACATGAATGAAATTTCGTTAAAAAAATTATTGATTATGCTAAAGCAATGTAAATCTTATGTACAAGATGTAATTGATAAAAAGAAAAAAGGGAATCTAGACGTTGGTAGATATCTACATAAAGTTTTTTCAAATGATAGTTTTTCAACATTGGAAAAATTTGATTCTATAAATGAAAGTATCTTACAAGATAATTTGATGATTTCCTATTTGTCGAATCTTGCACATTTGCAGTTCCTCATAGCTGAGAAGTTAAACACGTCATCATTGCAGTGATAGTGATTTGTGGAATATGTAAAGAGGGGGAAAACAAAAAAGAAAGCAAAAAAAATAAAAAAGGTATTGGTCATTGGATCCTCATTACTTTATGCAGACGTGTCATATAGTTTATATGGTCCGCATATTTTGCAATACGAATACGTATTTAGTGTTTTTACATGTACCTTGTCAACTATGGTTTTTTTTTTTTTTTTTTTTTTTTTTTTTTTTCCCTTTTTTAAATTAGAATACAAATTAAAAGATGTTAAATATAAAAAAAAAAATTTTAAATTAATAGTTAATTAATTTATTATTATTATTGTTATTATTATTATTTTTTATTTTATTTTTTTTTTTTTAGCCTTCATTATTTTATTCCCATATTAGCTAGCTGGCTAACTAATTATATATTTTTTTTTTTTTTCCCACAGTACATTTTTTGCACACTCTTTACTTAACACTCTTTTGCGTTTAGTTTTGCTTTTGTTTATGATTTCAAACAAAATTTTCCAAGTCATTGAGATATCAACTCATTAAAAAAAATAAAATAATATAAAATTCGTCACTTAACACCTGTGGAGTATACTATGAAAGTATTAAACAGCGAGCATATTAGTTTTTCACTTTTTGGACCAGAAAAAATTTTTGTGCGAAGAGGAAAAAGGGACATTATTTAGTTGAAAAAGTTAAATGATTTTCGCTGTTGCATTCTTTCTTACCATCGATAGATAGTAGTACCTCCTAATTTTTACATTGCGAACACAGCGTTATAAATATACATTGAAATTCGTTTATTTTTTTTTTTTTTTATGAACCGTTGACATATGAACTTCATCTATAACTTATGGTACTTATTCAATAATTGTTTCAAAAAGTGAGGAAAAAAAAGGGGATATTTTAAGTGTTCTATAATGAATACACGCATAAATTTAAATTCTCCCCTGATCCTTCATATTTATCGATTTTCTGTCATCATTCATTCTGTCGAAAAATGGATATGATGCTTTACTTAAGCTTAAAGTGTGTGTGCAAATTGGGTAACCAGAAGATAACAATGTTCAAAATTGGTTATGCGTGGATGATGATGTTAAAATTGGGTTACGCGTGCATGATAATCTTCATACTGTTTGGGCACCAGTATCACATGTGTAATTTTGTTTTATTGTAAGGGCAAACTTAGAACTATTGTTTTTTTTTTTTTCCTTAATTGTTTTTTTTTTTCTAAAATTTCTGGGAATATCATTTGAGAAAAAGTAATGGAGCTTATTCTTTTTTTTTTTTTTCTTCCTCCTTTTTTTTCCTCCTTTTTCTTATGTTTGGTGCTATAATTCCTGAGAAACAGCAGTGCTAACTGAACTAAATGTGCGCACATCCAACTATTATGGTACCGCTACAATCAAATAAACTATTGTGACATTGTCACGTTTGTGTGGTTGAAAAGTTCCTCATGACATTAGCCATGCACTACACAACTACAGCTTTTGAAACATATCCCAGTAGTGTATTTTTAGCAATTCCTTTTGCTACGCACAAACGTTTTTCCAATCACAAAAGCACTAAACAATTGGTATGTTGCTCGTATTATTGAATCAAACACCATTCTCAATATATAACAAATAATTTTGGCACACCACCTACTGGGCATCTCACGATAACAGGAAAATAACCATGGCATTGAAACTATTAAAAGAACATAAAACAATTTCTCGTGCAAAATGCTAAACAAGATAACGGCAAAGAAAAAGAGAAAAAAAAAAAAAAAAAAAAAAAAAAGGCACAGAAATGAAAATTTATAATGCATTTATTCATCTTTTATGAAGTTTTTATTTTTTCCATATTTTTCCAATGTATATATAACTACAAGCTTACACAAAATAATCCTTTCTCTGAAAGAAGTATGGGAAAACAAAACAAAATAAAATAAATAACATCATGCTTTTCTATTCCCGGTTTTCCAAATCTAAATTGCTATACCATAATGTGTACCTTTACATATGAAAACAAAGCTGTTACGTGTATTTTCTCATTTCTCATTTTTTTTATTTCACGCTCATCTCCATTGTGTAGACCCCTTTGATAAGTATGGAAGAGATATAGGTCTACTCCATGAGGTGCACAATGCAAAAAAGGTAAATCTCTATTTTTACACTTGGTTCAAAATCGTGCATTATCATGTGTACATATATAATTGTCCTTTTGCTTGGTCCCTTACGAACCAGAGATGAGTCAACAGTTGTTCTGCCCAATACCCTATGATCATGCATTTTGGGAAAAATTTGTGCATGATCAGTGTATCTGTTTGTATTCATTGACAAAACAAAATTTCTACCTATAGATAAGAAGCAAAAGAAATTTTCAATTCAGCATGGTGAAGAAATTTACACACGCAAGGGATCCGAATGATCCCCAGGAGTACCTAAAGGATATTCCATACAAGGATGAGCTAGACCGAGTAGGCGAGAGAAAAAATGAGAAAATAAAGGGAGATATTATAAGTATGTATGTATATATATATATAGATGTATACTTCTACATATATGTACATACCTCTTTACAAAATGAATGTAAATGTGAAAAAAGGACAAAGTTCACACAGCTTGGAAAGATGTAGAGAGTGTGTCTCTATGTATGCATGTCTAGAAGATGGGCTTCATAAGCTCCACCTGACGTATGCACGAATTAGCACTGAACCTGGCTCCCACATGAAATCGCAACCCAACCCAACGAACCATTCATGCAGATACAAATACGAGGGAAAAAAATTGAAATGAAATCCATATTTTCACCAAATGGAAAATTAATTCCAGCCACTCTAATTGAAATAATGCCAAATGTGATATACCGATTTCTGGATTTTGGAAAAGTGGGTATAGCTTATGGAAAACCACTCGAAGAAAGTAGATGGATATTGAAACCAGAAGTAGGTCAGATTGCAAAGATTGGTTGTAATTATAAAAATACCTGCAGCTTAACGTTAACCCCTCCACAAAATTTTGTTCTAGGCCAAATTATAGATGTGTCTTATTTGTACAATTATAAATATGTAAATGTTAGGGGGTTGTCAAAAGGGAAAGGATTTTGTGGGGTCATTAAAAGATGGGGATTTCATCGGTAATTCAAAAAGAAAAAGAGAGAAACATGATATAACATCATAAAACCCTATATGAATAATTTAACTTCATTTCTTATTACATATATTACACGTCCATATTATGTAAAATGATAATATTGAGCCGGTCTTTCCTGTCTATATGCACAACAAGGAGTATCTTCGTTTTACTCGAAAATTACTCTCACACATTTGGATTAACCATTAAAAAGGGATGCAAAATATATACTCACAAGATGTTTATGCATTTAAACATGAGTGCGTCACACAGTATATATATCCTAGTTCTGTTATCCCAATTTAGACATATGTGTACACTATATATACCAGACTGTGTGTATAAATATAACAGACTATAAAGTTAGATCATATATTTTGTCCAGAATTGGAAAAACAAGACGTGTGGAGTGCGTTTGTGTAGCTTAGCTCATGAATTACATATTTGCAGCTTCGTTTAAAAAGTTTCTACACTGCATATATTTATTTCGTGCTTATGAGATAGACGTTTGAAAAGCTCAAATTATTATGCCATATTATATAAGAGTTAACACTAGGACACGACTAATTAAAATGTTATAATAACACGATTTTTTTTGTTTTTTTTTGAAAAAGACAAATGATTCATAAAACGATACGGAAAAAAAAAAAAAAAAAAAAAAAAAAAGACGTAAAAAGAATGTACGAACATTTGTATATATACATAAAAGCATCATATAGACTCAGAAGATATACACCATAAATTTTTCACAATGATACATTTTGTGTAACAAAATAGTTCATGATTACATATGAGTATGCATTTTTCTCGTTCCATCTTGTGTACGCTCATATATGCGCATGTGTGCCCATTTCACAAAACTCATTTTGTGTATTAAGGCATTTCAGCCATTTTTCTTATGATCATTTGTACATTCACTATACATATACATGTACATATAACACTACCTGGTTTTATTTTTAGAGGTCCCATGACACATGGAAGTTCACATCACCGTAAACCGGGGTCTATCGGAGCTTCTACACATATCGGACGAGTTCTGAAGGGCAAGAAAATGCCTGGAAAGCATGGAAATAAATTTAGGACTATGATAAATTTAAAATTATTAGGTTTAAATTTGGAGAGAAATGAAATATTAGTAAGTGGCTGTATTCCAGGGAACAGAAATTCTTATGTAACTGTTACAGCAACAAGAGAAAATAAAGTTGACAAATATAAATACATACTTGATATGTTATATGAACAGGAAAAAAATATCAAATAAAAAAAAAAAAAAAAAGAAAAAAAAAAAAAGAATAGGTGATGAAGAAGAGCTGCTAAGGAGGGATGAAGTTAAAGTAATTTATACTAGAAGATATCTCTTTTCCCAAATTTGTTCATCATTTTTTGTTTTTTGTTTTTTCCATATATTACGAATCGTATTATAAATGTTTCCAATTTTGCTTCCATTTGGTTAAGCTATCTCGTTTGATTATAATTCATTGAATTATTCCGAAACATCACCTGAAAAAGAATATGCACAAAAAAAAAAAAAAAAAAAAAAAATATGATGCATGTGACAATGCACATTAAAATATATTATACATGCTCGAGAATATATTCAAAGTTCCACACAATTTAAAGGATAAAAAAGAAAATGGGGGAGAGGGAGGGGAAGAAATATTTTAATCGGGGAATATATTGCAAATTATTTAAGCCCTATGTGTGTTGCTTCTTTTAAACGTGCTGTTCAAGTGGTGCATGTACACAGCATAAACAAGGCTATGCAAGCAAGAAGAACAATAAAGTGCTCTGCCATGTTTGATGTCTTATGTCTAATTAGATGAGTACCACCTTCCGTTCCCTCCCTGCTTGTTTTTGTAAAATTTGCTTTTCCTTTTTTTAGTTTAATCATTTTCCCACTATGCGTGGGATCAGTCCCTTTTTTTTTTTTTTTATTCCTCTATTTTTTGTCATCATTTTTTACGATCACTTTTTACAATCATTTATTACACAGTCACTATTTTTTTTTAAAATAGCATTACATTTTAGCCACATTTATAACGCTGCAAGTGCAACATAATTAAACACAGCCACCTTTTCCTTCTTACTCATCAACCCCAAAATAAAAAAATATAAAATAAATAAACATAGCCCACCCTCCCCTCCCAATCCCCATTGTCGAATGCCTTCTCACATTCTGATTTCCCTAATTCCTCATCTGAGTAGTATTTTTTCATTTCATACCTAAGTATGTATGTTCTATGATCCTCTCAACGTTCACCCAAGGGTGGTATTGAAACACATAATCCGTAACATCATTTCCAGCTTGTTCTAAAAGAATATCTTCTCCTGAGTAAAAAAATAGAAAAAAGTTGCATTTAGGATGAGATACCAAAAGAAACACACACTATAAAAAATTTAACAAACCAGGTGTCATTGACTAGTTTTTCTAATTTATATATATGTCATCCTCATACTCCGCAACATAAAATATGTATACAAAAAAAGCAAGTTTGTATTTAGCAATGCACAGCATAAATGTCCAGAAGAGTGTACCAACTTATGCATACATAATATAAATGCACAGTTTTTTATTCACTCTTCCACCTCTACCCCACTCCTGATATCTCATCTCCATTTTTCTTCTTTCGTTATTTCCACGTAGTTCATCTTACCTCCTGGGTGATATAATAAGTAATAAGTAATGTCGTAGACCTTATTTTTGTAAATAACCCAAGCGTCTTTTTTAGTGTTGTGCTTTGCCACCTAAACATATTCGTGACAAATGAAAAAGAGAATGTGTATAGAAAATGGAACAGTTGTTTTATAAAAAAAAAAAAAAAAAAACAGTTCAGTTCATGGGTTTCAGGCCACGCATAAAATATACAACGTGTAATATTTATATATGTCATTTTTTTTTTATTTTATATATATATATATATATATATAAGCTCTAGGACACACCTCTTCTCTGGTAAACAATTTTATTTCTTTTTCTTCTCCTTTGGTTTCTCCTTCATCTTTTTTAAACCCTTCTGATAAATTTGCATATAGCATTTGATTTGCTCCTATAAAGAAAAAAGGGATAACATATTGTTGGTTCTCTAGTTGATATATTTTTTTTTTTTTTGGCACTGTTAAAAAGAGGGTGGTAAATTTACTAGTTACATAGGTTTTATTGGAAATGGCGATGATAAGTGGCGCGAACAGAGGGAAATTAAAAAAAATAAATAAATAAATAAAGTACACAAATAAGTAAAGTAACAAACAAAATGATAACAAACTAATGGATGATTAACCCTGGGCATTTCTCCTAAAGCAACATGGTGTCTCTTCCGAATTCTTCTCCACATTAATTGGTTTCAACGTGTTGTTATCTTCCTTTTTTTCCTGTATCACGGAAAAGAAAAAAAAAAAAAAAAAAAAGAAAGTAAAAGTAAAAATAAAAGAGAAAAAAGAAAAAAGAAAAAGCAAATCTTTGTTTAAGCAAAAATCACGTTTGTATATCTACGCATGGGTGTGCAAGTGGCCACTTTCCTTATTCCTCTCTCCATGTAGAACATCCTTTTGTGGATATTTCCCACACCATGTACGACGTATACGCTCTGAGACCACCAATAACACACACATTCATGCATGCATATTCGCATGTGTAATTTGGCAAGAAACTCGCCAAAAGGTTTACAGCTCATGAATATGTACACATATATATGTATGCTTATACGTCGCATGCATATGTCTCATGCGTGCCTTACTTCCATCTGAACCCCAGATAAAAGCAAAACTATTGCCAAGAAGAGAAATTTTAAATGTGCAACACTATTTTTCTTATACATTTTTTCGTGCTAATTTTAATATCCTAAATTAAAACCAAAAGAGAAAAAAAAAAAAAAAAATCCAAAAAATCCTGGTTGAATAAAACACACCGTTACTTATAGCAGCTGTGTTTTTATTTTTTTTTTTTTTATAATTTTCTTGGATTTTGTCAATCCGATGACATACAAAAAAATAACGCGCTGAATAATATATATATATATATATATATGTGTGTGTGTGTTTTATATAAATACATATATTATATTTTTAAGGTATATATATTCATATATTCCCTTTTTTTTATAATTGCAGAACAAATAACTGCGCCTTAACAGACTACGGACCCTGTTAATTTTATTTTATAAATATTTAGGTTTGTACAATTTTAAAAACTGTATTTATGGCTTTTTATGTAGTTTATTAAGCATTTCAGCCTGGGGATTATTTTAAATTATTTAATTATTTTAATTATTTTTTACTTTATTCTTTTTTGCTTTGTTTTGTACAACCATTTGAATACTTCTATATCAATAAACTTTGTTAAATTTCTTGCATTTTATGATAGTTTTAGTGCTTTTGATTACTTCATTTTGGACTTTTATATATATATATATATATATATATATAGCAAGATTTTAACTGCTAGCTGTTTTGATATGCTGAATTTCGTTTTTTTTTTTTTTTTTTTATACTTTTTATGATTCTTTGTTCTTTTGGGCTTTTTTTCACCTTCCCGAGTTTCTCATTTAGCTAAACCAAACCGTTTTAGATTTTTTCATGTTCTTTATCGCAATTGATTTTAATCTAGATTTTTGCTATGTCATTATTTTATATGCAATGCAGAATGGACGAGACTTGCGCTTGACAACTATTTTCGTGTTCTGCAGCTGGCACATTCGCTATTGTCTTGTAGATTTGCCCCAAAAAATAGTAAGGAATAAAATCAAAAAAATAACAGAAAATAAAATCAAAGAAATAACAAGAAAATAAAATCAAAAAAATAACAAGAAAATAAAATCAAAAAAATAAAAAGAAATAAATTCATATAAATAACAAGAAATAAATTCATAAAAATAATACAAAAATAAATACAAACAAAAGAGAGACATTTTTTTTTTCTTTTTTTTTTTATTGAATAGCTATTATTCTAAAAAAATTGAAAAAACACATTTACCATTGAAATATTTAAACTGTTGATTTAATTCATTGATTTATTTCGTTCATCCACGTGTGGCATATTTTTGCATCCATAAATGTGGGTTGCATAAGAAGGAGATCTTAACACATGTGACATTTTAATGTCACTATTTTTTTTTTTTTTTTTTTTTTTTTTTTTTTTTTTTTTGGGACGGTGTCATCGGTGATATATTAAAAAAATGAAAAAGAAAATGTTATAAACATTTACATGTTAGAAGTAGTTGCAAAGTTCTGCTTCTCGTGAATATCGCTAAAGGGAGCTCACAAGTACATGCAGATTTATACTTATTATAGACGCATGCGTGATTTACAGACTCATTGAAATTGGTTTAATCAAAACGAGAAGGAAAAAGTGTGTACCCTTGTTCCAATTTCATCAATGAAAAGAAGGTCATATATTTTTATATGTATATACAGATATATATGCATTCTTCTGATATATCCATGTAGGAAAATGTAAAAAATATTCATAAAAAAGGTTTGCGAGATGTGGTCGAATAAAAGAAAAAAGAAAAAAAGAAAAATAGATATTAGCATCTGGATTGATCATCGTGCATGGCTTTCTAAAAATTGGACAGATATAAAATCACATATTTGCTTCCACATGTCTACAGGTCAAACCTGTGAAATTATGAAATCGTCCAGATAAGTTTTCCCTATGCATGCACATATATGTTTATGTATATGTACGTATGTGTTTATTTCCTCCTGTATTTCAATTTAAGATCTTTTTAACTTTATTTATCCCTTTTTAATTTCTATCAATTTTTTGGTCTTTTTTTCATTTCTATCAATTTTTTGGTCTTTTTTTTATTTCTATCAATTTTTTGGTCTTTTTTTCATTTCTGTCAGTTTTTTTATCTTTTTCATTTCTATCAGTTTTTTTATCTTTTTCATTTCTTTCAATTTTTTTATCTTTTTCATGTCAACCTATTTTTTTTTTCTACCATTCATTTGAGGTCCAGAAAAGCCAAAAATAGTGCACTATAACTCCCTCGATACATGCACACCTATCAAATTTGTGCATTTTGCACATATTAGAAACAATCAATAAGCGTCACAGAAGGGATGATATATGTAAGATAACTTTGAAAGAATAAGGAATAAACGAAATTGTCAGAATATGTACTAATGAAAATATAAATATATAAAGAATTTCCCTTTTTTTTTTTTTTTTTTTTTGTTCACACTTTCTATACATTTCGAGTCATGTAACTGCAGATGCATTTTTATACTGGCCTTAAGGTGTAGAGAAGTTCCCCTTGTGAAAATGTTGCTTTTTGATTTTTTGCAAATACAAGCTCGTGTAACTATTTGTGGTGATGCATGTAAATGTTGTTTAAATGAAAATTAGGAAAAAGGAAAACGTTGAAGGGAGAAATTCGTAATAGAAGAGAAAAGGAAATGTCAGCAACAGAAACCACATTGCTTTGAATGAATTTTGGTACATATAGGAAATTTCTAAAATGAAAGTAGACTTGGAGGCAAACAGGAATGAAAAAAAAAAAAAAAAATTATACATAAGATGAATTTACTAAGAAGTTATGTTAGAACACGTGATGCAAGAATTACCGTTGCGCGCTCTTAGCATAGCTCGTGAGAAATGCACATGTTTATATTTATTTATATATGTATGTATGCATGTGTATGTTTTTTCCACACCTATGGTACCCCAATACACAGTGTGTGCAGTTACATACTCATTAGTAAAAATGGGCAATGCTGAGTGGTGGATAAAAATGGGCAATGCTGAGTGGTGGATAAAAATGGGCAATGCTGAGTGGTGGATAAAAATGGGCAATGCTGAGTGGTGGATAAAAATGGGCAATGCTGAGTGGTGGATAAAAATAGGCAGTGCTGAGCGGTGGATAAAAATAGGCAGTGTTCAGCGGTGGATAAAAATAGGCAGTGTTCAGCGGTGGATAAAAATAGGCAGTGCTAAAAGTGTGCTAAAAATTTTGTCCAGCGTAGTGTGTGCTGAAATTGTGCTACAAATAGAGTAAAAAAAGTAGAGCGAAATTGTGGTGTAAAAAATGTTCTAATAACAAATGAATTTACACTTGTTCCATTTTTCTTCTTTTCTTTGCTTTTTCTTTTTTTCTGTTTTTTTTTTTTTTTTTACCTTATTTGTTTTAACCTTATTTATTTATTTTTTTTTTTTTTTTTTTTTTTTTTTTTTTTTCCGCTTTTTTTAATTTTTTTTTTTTTTTTTTTTTCTTTTTTTTTTTTTTTTTTTTTCGCTTTTGCTTTAATTTTTTTTTTTTTTTCCCCCCATTTTGTGTGTACAATAATATACATTATGGGAGTTTTTTTTTTTTTTTTTTTTTTTTTTTTTTTTTTTTTTTTTTTTTTTTTTTTTTTTTTTTTTTTTTTTTTTTTTTTTTTTTTTTTTTTTTTTTTTTTTTTTTTTTTTTTTGTTTTTTTTTTTTTTTTTTTTTTTTTTTTTTCCCCCTTTTTTTTTTTTTAATTATTTTTTTTTTTTGGAGTTTTTTTTTTTTTTTTTTTTTTTTTTTTTTTTTTTTGGGAAATTCCTAAAAAATATTACAAAAGGGGACTTTTTTATTTCACTTGTTTAAATTAGACCAACGAAATATACATATGTAAATATATACACATATGTACACACACGTATACACACATTGTTAACAAATTGGGAAAAAAAAAAAAAAAAAAATCTTTAACGTACTTTTATTGTTTCGTTTTATTTCTTCCTAACGCTTGCAATTTTTGCTTTTTTTTTTTTTTTTTTTTTTTTTTTTTTTTTTTCTCTCCCCCTTTTTTTTTTTTTTTTCCTTTTTTTTAATTTTTTTTTTTTTTTTTTGTTTTTTTTTTTTTTTTTTTTTTTTTTTTTTTTGTATTTTCCACAACGCACATTTATTCCATTTTCCCACAGTTTCCACTTAGTCTGCCTGGTCCCACAGGGTACATCCAATTGTTCTAGCAATCTTAGCAGTTCTTGCTAATCCTCTCCTACATTACACGCGTAATATTACTTTCCCTCATGGTTTGAGATTTTTTCTCACTGTTTTTTTTGTGCTAATGTCCCATTTTGTGTAATGCGTGATGAGACAGACCTTCCCTTGGATAAAACTACAATATCTTAATTCGATTGTGTTTTACCACACACACATACGCACGTGAGTGTATGTATTTCTGTGCAAATGTTGACATATTAACATAGTAACGCATTAACTCATCAGAACACATAGGAACATATATTATAACCCTGGCATACCAAACACTACACACGCATAAACACACACGTATCTCCTCCTCGTTTACTCCCCCCCCCCCCCTGGCCGTCTCACACGCACGACATACGTTGACCACTTCAGCCACTACCACCCCGTCTAATAACTCTCATTTTGAAATAGCCAAATATGAATTTTTGTAAAACAGTGTTCAATGTTTTTTTTGTCTTGTTGTTTATAAGCAGTTATGAAATTAAATGCCAACTGCGATTTGCTTCGTTGGGAGACTGGGGAAAGGAAACCAAATCCCAATTATTGAATGCAAAATATTTTAAGCAATATATAAAAAATGAAAGGGTAACATTTATAGTAAGTCCTGGGTCCAATTTTCTTGATGGAGTGAAAGGATTAGATGATCCTTCATGGAAAAGTTTATATGAAGATGTATATGCAGAAGAAAGTGGAGATATGTATATGCCATTTTTTACAGTATTAGGAACACGTGATTGGGCTGGAAATTATAATTCAGAATTATTAAAAGGACAAGGAATTTATTTACAAAAAGATGGAGAAACAAGTATAGGAAATGATGAAGACAAAACATTATATCCAAAATGGATTATGCCAAACTATTGGTATCATTATTTTACTCATTTTACTGTTTCAAGTGGACCTTCAATTGTTAAAACAGGGCATAAGGATATGTCAGCTGCTTTTATATTTATCGATACATGGATTTTGTCATCTAATTTTCCATACAAAAAAATACATGAAAGAGCTTGGGCTGATTTAAAATCACAGTTAAATGTCGCAAAAAAGATTGCTGATTATATTATTATTGTAGGAGATCAACCAATTTATTCTTCTGGATCATCTCGAGGGAATTCATATTTATCTTACTATCTTTTACCCTTATTAAAAGATGCACAAGTTGATTTATACATATCTGGACATGACCACAACATGGAAGTAATAGAGGACAATGAAATTGCTCATATTACATGTGGATCTGGTACCATATCAGGTGGAAAAGGATCAATGAAAAATGGAAAATCGTTATTTTTTAGCAATGATATAGGATTTTGTATACATGAATTAGGTAGTTATGGTATTGTCACCAAATTTATTAGTGGAAAAAGTGGTGAAATTATTCATACACATAAATTAGATTTGAAAAAGAAGAAATCCCTTGATAAAGTGAACTCCTTACAGTATTTTGCTTCATTACCAAAAGTACAACCAGTTGATGTTCCCTCTAGTGGACCTATGGGTAACAAAGATTCTTTTGTTAGGATTGTCGGTACTATTGGTATTCTCATAGGATCTGTAATTGTTTTTATTGGTACATCATCTTTCTTATCAAAAAGCATGAAATGATTCTACACTTTTATTTCTACGATTTAATACATTTTCTTTTAGCTTTTTTTTTGAAAACATTTGTTAATACGCGTGTGTATACTCATGCGCATGCACATGCACATGAATATGAACATAAATGTGAAATAAATATGAACATAAATGTGAAATAATTATGAACATAAATGTGAAATAATTATGAACATAAATATGAATATTAATATGAATGCAAGTGTAAATAAATAAATATATTAGTATATATATATATATGTACGTATGTATATATACACATGTGCATGTATGTGAAAACGTGATTTTTGTGTAAACACGATGAAATGTCTAATTGCACGACGTACAATTTTTTTTTTTTTTTTTTCCAAAATTGGGAAAAAAAGAGGATAGAACATAAGCATATAATTCCAATGAGCCCATTAAAAAAGTACATAGGGAGTTTTATCCCATGTAGGTGTAAAACTATCATTATAGAATGTCGAACTTTTCCAAATGACAATTCAACATGTGTCACACACTGCCATTATGTGTAATATAAAAAGATTTATCCATGTCTGCCGTGTGTGTGAGTGTGTACTTAGGGAGGGGGTCATATTTACACGGAAAAATAATATTTTTATCGTAGTAGAAAATTCCTCATAAGAGACTTTGTGGAGGTATGGCACTTGAACTTTTTGGACTATCACACCTATTGATTATTCAGCTTCTATTGTTATTCATCACGTTTTACCTTGTACCGTTTATTTTTTGCTGGTTTATTTTGTAGGATTCACTTGTTACATTTTTTTTTTTTTTTTTATTTTATGTGTCCCCAAGCATAAGAAAAAAAAAACAAAAAAAAATTAAATTTTTTGTTCTCGTGCTTAACAAAAAAATGCATACCCACCGTGTTTGGGTCATGTATAAAAAATGTATATGAGAAATGTGAGAAATGGTTGTGGGGACATTACACGCCATTAATTATTACTTTCTTATGAGTTTTTCAAAATTGTGCATTGTTGCGCCTCATTTTTTCCCCCAAAAGGAGTATCTTAAAAATTTATTCATTTATTTACGCCATAATATCTTCTTTGATATTATTTTGCATGTACTATGTGACATAAAAAAAGGGGATAGGGGCGATGGTGATGACTACATGGAAAAAGCAAAAGAAATAAATAACAAAATGAATGAAAGAAAAAAAAAATTTGTGGGACAACATATATGAGCTGAGCATAAATGCGAACAATTCTGTGTGTGCTGTGTGTGTGTGTGTATAGGGGGGAGGGGACATGCTGCTTCGTGGTGTTGCTACTCTGTCTACACATTTCTGGTAAAATCTCATATGTTGGTATTTTTTAGATCAGATTGGTTTTGATGAGACTAGTTTATTAAATCTATACCTATTTAGAATAAACCCAATCATGCATGACAATGGTTATGTGAATTTATATATATTTCTGTAAGATCATCGGGGACATATAATACTAAGACCCTTTATGTACCATATTGTTCTTTTATCAGATAAGGGGAAAAAATTTGTTTGAACATAAATGTTACAAGCTAGAGTAATTTATTTCACAGAAGTTTTGCTTATCCAAAATTGGGTGACAGTGGCAGTGGGCACTATGTAAGTGGAAGTAGGTATAATCTTAAATTATGTGAAATATATTTTTTCGTAAAATCAGCAAGCATGCAAAAAATTTACATCTCCCCCTTGTCATGGAGATATATATATTTTTTTTTTTTTTTTTTTTTTTGTGCAATTGTAAGGATAACCATTTTGATGCATAGTCCCAAAGTAAAATTTCCCCCAAATGAACTGTCTCTTATTGGGTGCTTTGCCCATTGGATATATTCAGGGTTAAAGTGCTCATTATGAAATGAAACAAACTCAGAAGAAACAAACTAAATTCATAATTTTTTTATTTCAGTAACACTTGAGCAAAAGTTAAGATGTCGCAAAATTGCCTTTGTCATCCATCCTAAAGAATCAGTTGTATGCATCCAAGGGTTAGAAGACACTTCCCCACACATATACACATACATACCGACAGACAGAAAGACAAAAAAAAAAAAAAAAAAAAAATGCAATGTGGCAACTTTTCGAACGCATTATCATTTTTTAAGAAAGAAGCTCACATTAATTTTGCGTTTATATCTCCTTGTATGATCATTCTTAAGATTATTTTCGCTAAATATTAAGAAAAAGGACTTTAACAAATCTACCTGAGTAAGCATTTGTTTATCAATATATATGAATGTAAACATAAACAATATACTACCTTCATTATATTATGTACTTCAGCATTTTGCTATGCCAATAACAGTGGTTGTATTTGGCTATTTTTTTTTTTTTTTTTTTTTTTTTAAAATAAATATCCAATTGAGGATGCAGCAAATGGTAACTGTTTTTGAAAAATCAAAAGGTAAAGTGAACACCCCAAAACGAGACACTGGCATACAGAACATATTCGCACATTTTTGTTCAATTGTTAATCAAATATATGTATGTGTGGGGTAAAAATCTGGCCATGACTGAACTGAAATGTTGTGTATTAGGACCCTATGGCGTAGGAGTTACACATATATATATCTATATATATACATGTCCAAGCACATGTAAGCACACACCAAGTTCCCACTACGTGTGCAAACGTTTATGATCAGAAACATCAATGTTTTATATGTAAAATATGTTTATTTTTAATCTATACTATTTCCTAATTCTTGTTCTTTTTTTCTTTTTTGCAAAATTTATATGCAAAGTTATTATCCGGGTTATATACACTACAACCCATGTACAATGCCTCTGTTACATTACACTATGAAAAGAAAACGTCCAAAATCGCCCATGCATCTTATGCCTGGTTTAAATCGTGTATTACATGTAATCAACTTTTTTTTTTAAACAATAACGAAAGAGCGTAAAGAGAGTAAAGAGAGCAAAGAAGATGGTAAAGAGAGGAGGCGGAGGAGGGGAGAAAAACGTGAACAGATAAACACATTAACGATTCATAGGTACATATGCATACATATATAAATATATATATATATGTATATGTATAGGGGCTATTGGTATATGCGTAGGTATATATTAGGATACATGTACATATGTGCACATACACAAATTTATACATTTACACAAACTTACACATACACACCACGATCCGTCTGCTTCGCGAACTAGGAGGTACTTCAAGGAAATTGGCATATGTATAAAGGTTTAGACATGCTTCATTTATGTGTGTATATGTGAGAGGGGAGAGGAATATGTAAGCATTCTTTGTGTAAGAGTTACAATTCATCACTCTCAACATCCTCGTCTCCACTTGGGGGAGGTGAACTAGCTCCTGGTTGTCCATATAACTTAACGATGATGGGCTGACAAACTGCTTCTACATCTTTTAACTTTTGCTTCAAAGCTTCAGCATCTGCATTTGAGTTGTTGTTTAACCAATTTTCCGCATCTTTAACAGCATTTAATATAGCATTTTTATCGTCTTTTTCAATTTTATCAGCTAATTTGTCCTTATCTTCCACAGTTGCTTTCATGTTTTGTAAATAATTGTCTAGGTTATTTTTTGCTTCTACTTTTTCTCGTAAATTCTTATCTTCATCAGCAAACTTTTCTGCATCATTAATCATTTTTTCAATTTGTTCCTTTGATAATCTTCCTTTATCATTTGTAATCGTAATACCTTTGCTTTTTCCAGTACCTTTATCTTCTGCTTCTACATGCAAAATACCATTTTTGTCAACTGTAAATGTAACTTCAATTTTAGGAACTCCTCTCTGAGCTGGTGGAATTCCAGACAATTCAAATTTTCCCAACAAGTGATTATCTTTTGTTAATGCTCTTTCTCCTTCGAATACTTGAATTAGAACTGCTGGTTGATTATCTTGATACGTCGAAAATGTTTGCGATTTCTTGGTTGGAATAACAGTGTTTCTTTTAATAAGTTGTGTCATAATACCTCCAACAGTTTCAATACCTAAAGTTAAAGGAGTTACATCTAACAGCACTACATCTTGTAATTCTTCACCTAATATAATACCGGCTTGTATTGCAGCACCATATGCTACAGCTTCATCAGGATTAATACCTCTGTTGGGTTCTTTTCCATTAAAAAATTCTTTAATAATTTGTTGAATTTTTGGTATACGAGTAGAACCACCAACTAGTACAATTTCATCAATTTTACTCTTTTCATACTTAGCATCATCTAAAACCTTTTTCACAGGTTCTAATGTTTCTCTGAATAAATCATCATTTAATTCTTCAAATTTTGCTCTAGTTAATGTTTCTGAAAAACTATGTCCTTCTACAATATCTTCAATTTCTATTTGAGTTGAATGGACTACTGATAAATTTCTTTTTGCAATTTCTACTTCTTTTCTTAATTTTTGAATTGCTTTCTTATCTGATCGAAGATCGATATTCGTTTTTTTCTTAAAAATTTTAATAAAATAATCCATTACTCTCTGATCAAAATCTTCTCCTCCTAAATGTGTATTACCAGCAGTTGCATACACTTCAAAAACACCATTATCGATAACAAGAATAGAAACATCAAATGTACCACCACCTAAATCGTATACTAATATACTAGTTTCTTCTTTTTTATCTAATCCATATGCCAAAGCAGCAGCTGTTGGTTCGTTTATTATACGTACAATGTTCAAACCTGCAATAGTTCCTGCGTCTTTTGTTGCTTGTCTTTGAGCATCATTGAAATATGCAGGAACTGTTACAACAGCATTCTTTACAGATTTCCCTAAAAATGATTGTGCTATTTCTTTCATCTTTTCTAAAACCATAGCACTGATTTGTTCAGGTGCAAAAGTAGTCTTTTTGTCTTTTATCTGAACTCTTATATTTGGCTTTCCTTCCTGATTTACTATTTCATATGGTAATAATGATCTATCTCTTACAACTTCTTGATCATCGAATTTTCTTCCAATTAAACGTTTCACATCGAATACAGTTTGTGTTGGGTGTAATGTAGCTTCTAATTTTGCTGCCTCTCCCACTTTCCTTTCTCCATCCACAAAAGAAACGTACGATGGAGTAATACGATTTCCCAATTCATTATTCAATATTTCAACTCTTCCATTTTTGAAAACACCAACACAACTGTATGTTGTTCCTAAGTCGATTCCAATAACAGGACCTTCAACTTTGAAAAAAAAAAAAAAAAAAAAAAAAAAAAAAAAGTGTATATACCCGTAAAAGAAATAAATGGTATGGGATCACGCACTATGTTTTCAAAATGTATATGTGAATGCAAAAAAATTCCTATTTTTTCTCTAGTGCTCAGATAAGGAGAATCATTAACATATTCGATAAATGCAATCCATAAACTCAATCGAAGGGCTCAATTGATGGATTTAAAAGTGGGGATTTTTCCGGTTGGAAAAAACAAAAAGGGACAAAAATATCTTCATATGTATAATCAAATAAAAGAACACACAATTAGTAGAACAATGAACACTTTTCCCTTATATATATAGCACAATGTAGTATTCTAATATAATCACTTTAACTTTTTCTTTTCTTCCACCATAAACCGATAGGAATAGAAGAAGTGTGTTTTACAAAATATTTTGTTCATACATGTGAAAGAACACTCCAATTCCCATTCAATTTCCCTTATCAAATACATATACATACACATACATATACATACATATACATATTCATATATGTAACAACATGCATGCATGTGTTTATTTCTTAATGTACCCTAAATTGCGATGAGTTCATTTTTTGTACTTACTGCCAGAATCTATGGCCCCCGTGTATTTTAACAAAGAAAGAAAGAGAAGATATATATACGACCTCGTATTCCTCATTTTTATTTAAGTTTTTTTTGTTTAAACAAATGCATAAATAAATGTATGAATATGTGTTATATATATATATGCATATATATGTATATATAATAAATTAAAAAAAAAAAAAAAAAAAAAAAAAGTGACTTATTCAATCTGAATAATGTATAAAACTTTCAAAGTCATTTAAAAAAGGAAAAAAAAAAAAAAAAATTGGCTCTTAAAAAAAAATTGCTTTTGACAAAAGCTCAAATATATTTTTTCAATTCTGTGAACATGTATATAAATATGGATAAATTTTACAAACATTTACACATGCATGTAATATGTAAGTACGTATGTTTACAAATATTTTATTTTTGTTTTTTCAAGTTTCACAAGTGCGCTCTTCTCGTTACAAAAGCATACATATGTATAATACATTTTTCCGTTCAGTGTATTTTTTTATTTTTTTTTTTTTAATGCCTACGTTCTAAGTATGCACATGAGTTATGTTCGTAATGCTCGTAGCAAGCATGATCTATTTTGTTTTGTTTTGCTCTGTTTGGCTCGTTATGTTTAGGTGTGTTTTATTTTTTTTATTATATTTCACTTTATTTTTATCAACCTGGAAATGTTTATAACTGGGTAACTAACTTTTCATTTTTTTCCTTTTTTCTAAATATGCATTCAGTGCCAAATTATAGTGATGAATATGAGGCACAGAAAAATAAGCAATGTACAAATATACATTTATATAAATGCATACATATTTTTACGTATTTACAAGTTTACTCACATATGCTTATATTTCTTTCTCTTTCCCGTCCTCCCTATCTCACTCTCACTTACACTCACTCTCTTTTTTTTTTTTTTTTTTTTGAGAAATTTTAAACAACCAATGTTCACCTGTGCGCTAACGGATAAGGATAAATTGTAACTTAAGTGTATAACATATTTGAATTGGTGGTATTTAATTTTGATTCCATTCCCCCACCACACATACACACATACATATTCATATACACACACACATGACCATGACCTCAATCTTCTACCATTTTTAATGAAAAACTTTTTCTCAACAATTGCAAATATAGTTACATTAAGAATGAACTATTTCTTGTATTATAAGTTAGTGTTAAAGGATAATTTATAAACATATTTTGCATAAAAACAGAAACAGTGGAAAAAAAAAAAAAAAAAAAAAAAAAAAAAAAAGGCACATTACCTATCCATTTCTTTCAAATATATTTTATGCTGACTTGGTTTTTCTCTCAAAACTATTCGCAATGATCATTTATGTGCCATATATATATCCGTATTAGGAGATAATATACATATATATATATATACATATTTTTTTATATTAATTCAAAAATCGGAATAACCATACACACACATAGCAGTTTATGGACCCTTATTAAATAATGAACAACCACCAGTTGTGGAATTACCAATTCGTTCAGGCAAAAACAACATGATACTTAAATGAATGACACTCGAATAACACATGAATGATACGTGAATAACACACGAATAACACATGAATAACACACGAATAACACACGAATAACACACGAATAACACATGCATAAATATAAAGGCTAACAGTTCATTCACAATTTTGAACTTTGTGGTATAGCTGAACTGTTAATCCAAATAAGGATATTAACTTTAAAATAATTCGCTTTAAACATGAATAAGGGAAAATGTGCTAATAGCTCGAAAAAGGCATATATGCGTGAAAAAGAAAAAAAATAATAATAATAATAAAAAAAAACTCATTACAAGCACAACCACAAGTATTTCACCATGCTTCAGCACGCAGCTACAACAAAATGTTCGCAACCTTTTAGAAAGCCTCGAAAAGGAAAAAATTGATGTACAATATTTTCTGAACAAATGTATTTCTCCGTTAAGGTTAAGGAACTGCAAAATATATCAATGAAAAATTACTGTCTCCCAATCTTGCATTACCCAAGTGTTACAAAATTGTTTTGCGATGATTTGAAAGTTATGTGAGGTTAAAACATTTTAAAATTGCTTCATAACGGTACGAAAAATAGAAGAAAAAAAAACGAATTTTTACAGAAAAAAAAAAAAAAAAAAAAAAAAAAAAAAATCGTCTTGGCATTTCGCCAAATGAAATGACTAAGCGATATATTCGTATATATATGTATGTACAGTTGCTTACTCATTAGATAAAAATCGAGCCGAGTATGGCGAAATAATGCAAGGCCGGACATATTCCAGCTTGAGCCCTAGGGAAAAGCGTTCTTCTTCACATCAAAGAGGGGTATAACTGTGAGAGAAGCAGAATGGAGGAAGGTGCTGCGGGGGAAGGGAGTAAGGATCCATTGTATTCCTTCAAGAACAGAACTCAATAATCAAATACTGGTAAAAAAAGTTCCTTTTTTGTTTGTCCAGGTCTCCAAGACCATTGCAGTATACACGATTTTGATCATTTATTTGTTTTATATCAATTTCGTTGTCGCTACAGTTGTAGGTTGAGCTAGATGACACTTCTATATTGTCCAAGAAGGATGATGAAAAATGATTTCCTTGAATTTCACTTTTGTCTGCTTCTTCATTTTGAGAACATTTGATTATATCATGATAAATTTGATTTTCTTGCTTTTTTGCAACTCCAACCGGACTTGCATTTAGAGAATCGCATATTTTAGACTTCAACTTGACATAATTAGATTGAACGTCAAAGAAATTCAAGTGTGCAAATAATTTCCTATCTGTAAATAGGTAATGATACTTTTGATCTTTAAGAAGAGTTTGATAAATATGGAGATAAAAATTATCACTTATTAAATGCTCGTCAATATACACAATGTTATAACAATTATAAGGTAATAATAATGACTCATCCTGTGTTATATTAATAAAATATTTTACATTGCTACGCAGTATTATGATATTGTTATATATACTTAACTCACATGGTGAAATAAAACATGTATTAGGTACAATTATCGAAAAGTTACTATTTTTATAAAAGCTATCCAATGTGTACAAAATATCAACGCTGTTATTTGTTCTACTCATTAAACTTAAGAGAAAAAATGATAGTAACATATTTCTAAATAAACATTTTATATTTTTATTTAACAATTCGTACAATAATGACAATATAGTTTCAAACCCTGAACTACCATTGTGTATTTCTCTATTAAATGAAAAAACATCTCTTGTAATGTCTTTAATGATTTGTTTTATATTTGGGTAGAAGTTTTTATTTTTAATTTTTCTTAAAATTTTTAAAAAAATATATTTATTCTTTAATAAATATTGTTTATATATATATAGCGATTTTTCTTCCGATATTTTTTCTATATGCTCATTTTCTGTTTCAAAACTGACTTGAATACATTTTATTATTTGCCTTATTATTTCTTCATCATTTTTCTTCTTTAACAATTTCAGGAAAAAAATTAAATTATTTATTATATCAATTTGAATTTTCTCTACATTAATTTCTGTCCTTTTGTATTCATTTCTCGTGTTAAAAATAGAGTAGTGATACTTCATTTCTTCATCCAGTAATCTTTGGTTCCTGCTATTATCAGGACAACCTCCATGCTGCACCCAAAACGAGTCTTCTTCCGTTTCATCACCCCTGTAATCATTTTCTAACTCCTTCAAATCGGCTATCAGTTTTTCTGTGTTCATCTTTTTGAAGCATGTGCACAGGGGGTGAAGGTGGGAGGTTTAATACTCGTGTGTGTGGAGGAGCTACGTGTGTATGAGTGTGTATATACATGTATATATATGTAGCCATATACATGTCGAGTAATGGGCATACTTGCATAAAATGGTGCATATAAGCATTAAAATGGGACACAGTCAACCAGCAAACCAGCAAACCAGCAAACCAGTCAACCAGCAAACCAGCAAACCAGCAAACCAGCAAACCAGTCAACCAGTCAACCAGTCAACCAGCAAACCAGCAAACCAGCAAACCAGCAAACCAGCAAACCAGCAAACCAGTCAACCAGTCAACCAGCAAACCAGCAAACCAGCAAACCAGCAAACCAGCAAACCAGCAAACCAGCAAACCAGCAAACCAGTCAACCAGTCAACCACTTTTATTGATCCCTTACTCCATGCTTAGGTCCATGCAAGGAACATTCAAGCACTGATCGTCAAGTCGTGCAAATTGAAGTGTTGCTTAATTTCCCATATTTATTACTCCCCCTCAAAACTTACAAAATGCAACAAAAAAAAAATAATAATAATAAAATAAAATAATACGAATAAATTAAAAAAATACGAATAAATTAAAATAATACGAATAAATTAAAAAAATACGAATAAATTAAAAAAAAATACAAACCCAATGAGTTAACATGTAAAAGCGTTTGAATTGGCACGCGAAAAAAAAGGAAAAAAAAAAGTGACTTCTCTTAGCACTTTTAAACGACACTCAAACCTTAAACGTTGTATTTCTCTTTACCCCTGCAATGTGTTTACATGCATGTGAACGATTGCTTACCACCACACTGATGATTATATTATAATGCTGCGAAATGTAATGCCTTAAAATGGTGTAATTTTTTTTTTTTTTTTTTTTTTTTTTTTTTTCTACATTACATGCACAATTTTGTCATGCAATTCTTGCAAAAATTATACTTGTTCTAGTCCTTTTTTTCTTTTTTTCACTTTTATTTCTTCTTTAATTTATTTTTAACTTAATCTACTTTTTTTTATGCTGCAACTTGTTGATATTATTGTCACACTTTTGTTTTTTTTCTTTCAATTATGTTATTTGCATATATCAAGAACTCTGCTGCTTTATTTTTGGTCTCTCCTTCACTGGGGTGAGAGTCACATAAAAGTCATATAGGTACACTTACAGGGCCAGCTGTTTAAATAATTGTATTATAATGAAGGTGTGTAGCGGACCCAATTGGTAAATGTTAATTCTCTCGTGGCATAAGCATGAGGAGATTGCTGCTTTTCACTCTGTAGTGATATTGTTCGAAGATAAGATCCCCAAATTTTCTTCATCCGAAACGTCAATAATTTTTTCCTGAATTTCATCACAGTCATACTCAATACCCTCGACATACGTGTCAAAAAGTGAATATTCAGAATAAATGGAACTGAACCTAAATCCATTAGCACCATCTACAATTTTTAACAACTTAAGTACACTATACTTGTCTTGTATATCTAATAAAGCAAAATTTATCATATTATAATCTTCAACCGTTTCACATATATACTCATTTAATTTCAGAAATTTGTTGGATATTTTTCTGTAGTTCTTCCTTACATTTTTTATGTTTCCCTCGTTTATGTCATTTTGTATGGCCTCTTTTATTGATTTCTTAATGCAACTCAATTGAGAATTTGATGAATTACTTTTTTCTACATGATGAGCGACATTATGATTTTCTTCTTCCGAATCAGAAGATGAAGAATAATTTTGATATCGTGCATATAACATGAGTTGATGTAAATTTTGAGCTTCAACATAGTAACTCAAGGGGAAGTTTAAATCATGTTTAAAATGTTTCAACAGATCAGTTTTGGAAAAAACATTGACATGAGGTAATTCTAAATGAATCTGACTACATAAGGACAGAAGTAGTGCACTAATATATTTATAGTTGTCAGAGCATAGAGTACCATCAACAATATGAACGGATGTTAATCTACAATTTAATTTTGTTAACTTTTCCACAATACATTTTAACGCGTCATTATGTGTATATAATTCTACCTGACCTGGTGTATCAATAAGTAAATAATGATCCTTATGTTCATTTAATTTTTCTTCTAACCAGTCAAAATTACTTAACAAATATTCCATACAATATATTAACGTCCCATTTGGTCCTAACCTCAAATCGGAAAATACTTTATTTATATCCACAAGCTCACTAATATTTACATCTGCTTTATATACGTCATTTTCTACAAACGGGTCTAAATTTATCAGTGCTATTCTCCTATTTATCTGTTTTAATATGTGTTCTACTCCAGCTACATACGTAGACTTTCCCGACCCAGGGGGTCCTATCACTAATTGCCCGAACCACATCAGGGCACCCTTGCGATATTGCAGTATTTGCGTTTATCTATCGATATGAGGCTGCTCTGATATGAGACTGCACTGATATGAGACTGCACCGATATGAGACTGCACCGATATGAGGCTGCTCTGATATGAGACTGCACCGATATGAGGCTGCACCGATCTCGTCAGGATAAAATAAATCTGAAGCAACTTCTACTCAAATACAATAAGTCTTCACATACTCAGATACACATGATCACATATGACATTCGTGTATTATTTATTTACAACTTCATATCCCTGTTATTGTTGCAAAAAGTGGTATATAAGGAATGAAATTAAATTATGTGCTGAGAAGAACCAACTTTTCTGTTTTAAATTTGAACTCTAAATGATACACCCGTGTTTTTTCCTTTACTTTTACATTATCTATGCCTATATACATCACACGTAAAAAAAAAAAAAAAAAAAAAAAAGAGAATAATATAATAATAAATAAAAGAGAAATATGAGATATGGGATGTGTAAGAAGGAAATGGAATTATCATTTTTTTTTTTTTTTTTTACTATTTTCTATAGCTAAAATTTTGTAACAAAATAAAATTTATGCTGTTTATGTATATGTAAAAATATAGTTTATGTGAAAAGATGGATTTATTTGTGTACGTACGAACTCATGTCTCTCCTTATTATCTGCGTTTCGATTGGTTGTTCGAAACGTGCACAAATGGAAGCATAACGAATTCCTGTATAAGAGCAAAATGCCAAATGTGGTAGTTAATGTTATACTTCTTTTCTTCTTATTTGTGAAAATGCTGTAGTTCTTTTATTTTTGTAAAAAATGGGAAGGACAAAGAAGGTAAAAACTTGAAAATATACAAGAAAAAAAAAAGTGAACAAGAAGCTACAACACAGCACAAAAAAAATAACATGTGTGAAATTCTTCTCCCCCCAAATATTTTAACGAACATAGTAAGTCTTGTTTCAAGGAAGAGCAGGTAAAAGGTTAACTCCTTGATTTAATGTTAGGACACGTAAATCATATATGATCGTTGTCGTAATTACGAACCCAAAACGATGATAAATTTGTGGTTCCTCCAAAGAACCAAAAAAAATTGTAATTATCAGCTAGATGTAGTGAAGGAAAAAAAAAAAAAAAAAAAAAAAAAGAACAAATATCTTGAACATTATTAGCTTAATGAGGCATTGCATATGACATGCAAAGTAGGAGAATTTAATTTTTTTTTTTTTTTTTTTTTTTTTTTTTTTTTTTATTGATGCACAAAATGCATATATATATATATATATATATATATATATATATATATATTGTATGAACATGCTGTGTTAACATGATATATTCACATATTACATATGCATGTATTTATTTATACACAGATAATTTAATCCTTATGGACCCATACATTGTCAGTATGCACAAAATATAAATTCCTAAAGTTTCTACCTTACATTAAAGCAGCTTTTGCAGCCAATTTCCGATTGACGTTTGTCATTTTGGCCGTAGAAACAGACCAAGCGTTTGATTTATTTTAATTTGTTCATAGGTATAATATGACCTTCATAAAATAGTATATATCAAGAGTTAAGTTAACATCCTGCCTTTCATGCATCCTTTATTTTTTTTTTTTCTCCTTTTTTCATAATTTTTTGGGGAACTATAGAGTGAGGTGTATAGGCCAATTTGGGTGATACCAAATTTGTCATTATTTATCAGAAAAGAAATTGAAATAAAAATATAGTAAAATAATATAATTGCCAAGTTTAGGGGAGAAAAGTAGGCTTGAAAATTAACAACCCTTTCCAGATGTAATGAATATAAAACGGACATTCATTTTAAAGGGTACATTTTTTCCCCCCACCGATATATTCAAATTTTGTATATGCATGTTTTATGACATCCCATTAATTTCAATAAGCCTGATTTCGTAAGTGTACATATAACATTACATGCATGCGATCACGCATATACATATATATATATATATATGTATCCACATTTGTGTACATATTTTACATGAACATAAGAAGAACTCGTAGCTCATGCCTTACAAACGCTTAGTCCAAAATGAACCAAGCGACTAATGAAAAATCTGAAAAAGAACCAGAACCCGAAAACGTAAATGAAGATTCGCTTCCCCAAAATGAAGGGGCAAAAAGGAAAAATACATGCATGTTAAATGACGATTATAATAATAAGAAAAAGGTAAAGGTGAACAAATCTGTTAACGACAATGAAGAGTATGAACAAGAAAGTGAAGAACAAAATAAAACAAGAGACCTTTTAGACAATACAAATAATAATCCTTGTTATTTAAACCAAATTAATAAAAATGAAAACAGCAATTTGATGAAAGAGAGTAACTTAAACCAACTTGACCATGTGAACAAATGCAATGATACAGTGGGAGCTGATATCTCAATAATTGCTGAAAATCATGAAAATAAAAACGAAAACGATGAAGATAACGCTATCGGTTTTAACGGTGATAGTAAGGAGCGGAATCCAAATGAACCCACTTCAATAGATGCACACCAAAATAGCTATTCTTCAAAGGAATACAATAAAGGACAAATGGATACAAGCAGTTACCATCACGTAGGAGAGACATGTCAAAGGGAAAGTGAAGGGCTAAGAATAGAAAAGGAACTTATAAACAAATTAACAAACGAAAGATACAGTGAAAGATATTTACAATTGCTAGAGGAGAAAAAAAAATTACCAGCATGGAGTGCTAAGAAAAACTTTTTAAAACTTTTTAAAAAAAATAATGTATTAATTATAATTGGTGATACAGGTAGTGGAAAAACAACGCAAATATCACAATTCGTGTTAGAATCTAAATTTTCTGAAAAAAAATCTGTAGCTGTAACGCAACCAAGAAGAGTAGCAGCTATGAGTGTAGCTGCAAGAGTATCAGAAGAGTTAGATGTAGAATTAGGAACATATGTAGGATATACAATCAGATTCGAAGATAGATCAAGTGCGAAAACTGTGATCAAATATTTAACAGATGGTATGCTACTAAGGGAATCAATGTATGATCCGTTATTAAAACGTTATAACACTATTATCCTGGATGAGGCACATGAAAGGACTTTAGCCACTGATATTCTTTTTGGAGTTATAAAAAATATACAGGAACAAAGAAATGATTTAAAATTAATAGTCATGTCTGCTACATTAGATGCAGGGAAATTTCAGAAATTTTTTAATGGTTCACAAATACTTAATATACCTGGGAGATTATATCCAGTAGAAATTTTTTACACACTTCAAGCAGAAAAGGATTATATAAAAGTAGTAATTAGAACGGTTTATGATATACATATAAATGAGGATGATGGTGATATCTTAGTGTTCCTAACGGGAGAAGAAGAAATAGAAATGACAAAAAAAGAAATTGAAAAATTAGTGTCCAAAAATTCTAGTGCAGGGCAATTGGTGGTATTACCTTTATATTCATCATTACCATCGTCGCAACAACAAAAAATTTTCGAGCCAGCACCAAAACCAAGATTTAAAGGAGATAAAATGGGAAGAAAGTGTATCTTAGCAACTAACATAGCTGAAACATCGCTAACAATTGAAGGAATTGTTTATGTTATCGATCCTGGATTTTCAAAACAAAAAGTTTATAATCCAAGAGCAAGAGTTGAATCCTTATTAATTGCTCCTATATCGAAAGCTTCAGCACAACAAAGGGCCGGAAGAGCAGGAAGAACAAAACCTGGAAAATGTTTTCGTTTATATACAGAAAAATGTTTTGAACAAACATTACCTGAACAGACGTATCCTGAAATATTAAGATCCAATTTAGGTTCTGTTGTTTTAAATTTAAAAAAATTGGGAATAGATGATTTAGTTCATTTTGATTTTATGGATCCCCCAGCACCTGAAACTTTAATGAGAGCTTTAGAACAGTTAAATTATTTAGGAGCTTTGGATGACGAAGGAGAATTAACACATAAAGGGCATTGTATGTCAGAATTTCCTGTAGATCCACAACTAGCTAAAGTATTGATTGAATCCCCAAATTATTCTTGTTCAAGCGAAATATTAACAATCGCAGCTATGCTTTCTGCTCCCTACTGTTTTTTACGGCCAAAAGTAAAGGGTAAAGAAGCAGATGAAATGAAAACACGATTTTCACATTTAGATGGAGATCACTTAACACTAATGAATGTTTTTCATACATACGTAAAATATTCCCTAGTAGATATAAATGCATCTAAAAAGTTTTGTTATGATTATTTTCTAAATCATCGAGCTATGACATCTGCTCAAAATGTTAGAAATCAACTAATCAGGACAATGGAAAAATTGGACCTAAAAATTGTTTCCATGAACCCCTCCAATCCTGAATATTATGTTAATATAAGAAAGGCCTTGTTAAGTGGGTTCTACCAACAAGTGGCATATAAAACTAGCAAAGGATACTACATAACTGTCAAGGATACACAAATAGTCACACTACATCCATCAACTGTGTTCCAAATAAATCCCGAATGGGTCATGTATCATGAACTGATATTGACCACCAAAAATTTTATAAGGACAGTTACCAAAATTGATGGAAAATGGCTACTCGAAATTGCCAAAAGTTACTATGACTTGGACGACCTTCCTAACAGTGAGGCAAAAAATGAGCTCAAGATGATTCATAAAAAGTTGTAAAAAGGGACCACATATATATATGTATAGTACATATATATACATATATTCCTGCGGATTGGAAACTGGAAAAATGAGATATGTACAGATTAGAAATCCATTATGCATATTCTAAGTAGGTGAAAAATTCGCATCAAAAATGGGGAATCTCCCAAGTTGGGGCAGTATTTTTTTCTCTCCATCCGTTGATACATACATATCTATATACATATGTGTAAATCCCATATATGTCTTCATTTGTTCGTATATATATATAAACCGCTAATTTTTTTTTTTTTTTTTTTTAATTTCCACCAAATTGGAGATACATAACAAAAAATCCCCCACAATTTTTGTATGAGCAAAAACCTATTATCGTGTTTCTTTTTTAAAATGTTTTTTACTTTTAAATTGGCCCACAGTTTTGCCCATAAGTAGGCTCATAAATTGGTTCATAAATTGGCCCACATTTTGGCCCATAAATAGGCCCACAATTTGGCGCACAAATTCGAGTTCATCAGAATCAGGCTCAATTGTGAAATTTTTTTCTAACAAAAAAATAAGAAAATGATGAGGGGAGAATATATACAGTTCAAGTCTCAAATGTGCCGCAGTGGTAGGATACAAAAATCTTGGTTTTTCGAAAAAAAAAAGAGAAAAAAGAAAGGGAACGACATAGCATATTTATCCAACTGGTGCGACTCAGTCCTCATACGCATGTACTACACATACGTTCATACATTCAGGTACGTCTGTAGACATACACTAATATTTATGTTTTTTTGTGCCTCACACATTGTATAACTCCAGAAGGTAATTCTTCGAAATGGATATAGTTACATGGCACAAAACATGCACCGACACATGTTTCGTTCAGTGAGCTCTAGTTCCCTCGGTGAAATTACACCGTCTGGGCCCATACTTTAGCGGAAGCAATACAGTCGTTCAAATATTTTGTCATCTCGTCCTTGTTCTCATTCGAGAGAACTGTATTGAGCTGCGATTGGTTGATAAATGATGCATTTTTAAAAGAAGATAAAAGCTTTTTAATAATATTTTTGTTGCTAAATTTGTGTAGCGTTATGTTTATGGAATTCCAATTAATCATAGTATTTCCTCTATCGGCTATTAACTGAATTCCGATATAATATTTTGTAGATGCAGCAATTTCTAACGGTTGCACAAAATCAACTCTTACTTCAATAGACTGATTTAAATTTTTTACATTTACATTTTGTTCCTTTTTGTATGACAAAAAGGAATCATCTGGAATTAAATTCATGGGTTCACTTCCATAAATGGGCCTATGTACATAGAGAATAACTTTTTTTATAACTCCTAGTTGTACAGGACATTTTATATCAATCAAAATCGTGCCAATTTTTTGATCTACACATTTTAATTCAAATTTGGGATAATAGGCCTGTGTTGGATAATACTGCGGGAGATGTGCATTTTCTTGTTCTGGTTTCGAGGTGCTTTTCGTATCGCTTGTGGCACTATTTCCACTGAGGTTGCTATCCCCTGTGGGTGCTACTTCAACCCCAATTAGAGATAAATATGGGGCAGGTGGGCCTGGTTCCAAATTCTTTAGAACCTTTGTTTTGAACTCCTGCTGACAACCTAAAATAGCCAAGGATGCTTCTTTAAATGCAGATTCTGCCTTTTTCTTCCATTCCTTATTTGGCTCTTTATCTGGATGTAAAATATGTTTCAATCTTTTTCCGAAACTTTTGAGCTGTTCTTCTGTAGTTGTTTTGGGATTAATTCCTAATATATAAAAGGAATGTTTTTTGGTAGAATTTTTGTCAAACCATGTGTACTCATTATATCTGTCTATGATAAATTGTACTGCCTTTCTTTTATCCTCCAATTTTTTGGATAGTTCCATTTCTTGTTGTAATTTTCTTTGTACTTCTGCATCATAATTCGTTTTCAATCTTTCTAATTTTTCCTTTGCAATTTGGAGATCTTTATTTTGTGTCATTGTATCCCCTAAAAGGAGAATGACATCTGCATAAGTGGATTCTACAATTTTGATATCTGCATCTACATCTAGGTTTAGAATTGAATTTAAGCTATCGTACTCTGACTTGTTCAAAATATTTTGATACCAGAAATTTTGTTTATAAACTATTGCAATAATGACTGGTTCAATTGTTTTCAGTTTTTCTATCATTTCATCAATATGTTCATGTACTTTTATTTTTTTCATGGTATCATTATTTCCATTCAAATCATCTAATAATTCATCGACATGAAAAATATTCTTGCCTATATTTAAAATATTTTTTATATTATCAATACGTTTTTTCACAAGTTCAATTTCTAATGTATTTTTCATTTTTAAAATATTCTTAATGATAAATAGATAATCTTGTGCATTCTTTTCACTAAAATTAATGTCTATGTAGTTTATATCTTTAAGTAATTCTTCAATATACGTTTTCGACATAATATTCATATAGCTGTTATTATCATTATTATTAACTACATATGCTTCATCAAATTCTCCTTTTCTCTTTTTACATGGCAGATTTCCATTGTCTTTATTTACACAATTTAAATATATTTCATTTCCATTTTGTTGCAATAAATTTGGATTGTTAAGGAAAAGTTCATCAATGAAACTTACTAACGATTTTAAAAACATATCAAAACTTTCTTTATTTAATAATAAATTTGCCTTTTTAATTATTGAATATATAAAACCGAAAGATTTATATATATAAAATAAATCTTCAACTGTTTTTTTATACATAAGTTCTTCATCTGTCAGATCATCTATAAAATTTTCATAATACACTTTTTTCAGCTCACCCTCACTCATTGGGTTTGTTACTGCTTCATTATTTACTGCCATTTTTGTGATAACTCTTTTTTCATCTTACAAAGCGAGTAAGTGTGTGTTTCTGTTTGTGTTCGTGGGAGAGGATAAAATGTAAAGTTTCTGATGCATAAAAAATGGTCAACTATTGTCAATTCAGGGTATACTTTCTAATTGTCCAGAACGGTAAAATGAGTATGGTTTATAGTATGCCTTGCGTAAACGCTTTAGCTAATAATGTGTTCCCTAATGTGCTAACGAACTACACAAAAAATTATGCCTCCTAGAAAGAGGGAAAAATATTGAGATATTACTCCACCAGGGTGTGTTTTACCCATACGTGTTCTTCAAAAAGGTTTACACACTAGCGTAAATTTTTTCATTCCTTTTTTCTTTCTTTTTTGTGTGCCCAGTAATAAAGTAGCATGAGGAGCATGTAAAGTTTTCTACTCATCACATTGGAATATCAATTTCAAGACTTAAAATGCCATATTACTCTTTTTTTTTTTTTTTTTTTCTTTTGTTCCCCCAAATAAATTCCTAAACAAGTGAGAAAATCACTCATAGTATAAAGCACTCATCCCTAATTTTTGATTAATAAATATTATAGCATGTACGTGTGTGCCATTTTTCATTTCACATGCTTCATGAAGCGTCGCATTTCCTTGCAATGAATACACGGGCGCGTGTAATATGAAATAAAAAAAAAAAAAAAAAAACACAAACTTAAAAGCAAACATGAATATGAACATAAGCATAAACATGAACATAAGCATAAACATGAACATAAGCATAAACATGAACATAAGCATAAACATAAGCATAAACATAAATATAAAACACACAATATCAAAATGACGAACTGCTACAGCAATGTAATGAAATTTGCTTTTTCACTTCAAACTCATCAGCATCTTTTGCCCCTATGTGGTAATATAACTTTTTAAGAGATCAAAAATGTAGGAAAAATTTATCTTTTGAAAAGTATCCATGGGTACAATGCTTAAAAAAAAAAAAAAAAAAAATTCCCACGTTTGAGAATTCTCCAGTCTATTTTCAACCCTCCATGGGCACCCACAAATAATGGAAAGAAAAACAATTACACCATTCTCAATTTCACCATGTCACATTTGTGACACACTCGATGTTTTCAAAATTATACTACATGTCATGATTATTTCTTTGAAAGGACTACCCCACCCTTTTCTATTTGAATGCACGATCATTTCGCTATATTAAAAAAGAGCAAAGCAATGTGCCTCCTGCTTTTGAAACAGCAAAATGAGGGAAGCATGTGAGATGTGAGAAAAATAAATTATGCTTCCACAAAGTAGGAAGATTTTAAATTTGTCAAAGTGGAAAATTATGAAACGTGCGAAAGTTCGCAGAAAAGGGTGCAAAAGTGGTCGAAAGTAGAAGAACCGAAAATGCTAAGTAAAAAATGAGTAATATAAACAAAAGGGATCTAAGGGAAATCTCAGACAATAATCTCCAAACTGTTCCACTCCTTAGATGGTGTTACACTCAAGAACACACAAAAAAAAAAAATAAAAAGGATAAAATAAAATACCCAAACGGTGGGGAAGGGACAAGACTGTTCGCTTTAAAATGCTCATGAACAAGAAAAAATTATATAATAAATAAATAATAAGAAAATAATAAGCAAATAATAAGAAAATAATAAGCAAATAATAAATAAATAATAAGCAAATAATAAATAAATAATAAGCAAATAATAAATAAATAATAAGCAAATAATAAATAAATAATAAGCAAATAATAAATAAATAATAAGCAAGTAATAAATAAATAATAAGCAAATAATAAATAAATAAATACGCACAATTATTAATAACACCGATATGCAGTACTTCTCGGTGCAGTAGCTCAAAATATGCACTCCAGGTAGAACCAACAGCGTCCTGCATAGCGGTGTGAATATATGCATGTGTGTAAGTGGGTATATATGCGTTACACACATGTGCATATATATATATATACGCAAATGATTGCACAAAAATAGCCAAACTATATTAATATAGAGTCCATGTTCATGAAACTGTCCAGGCGCACAAAATCAAACACAAATGTAAAAACGAAATGCAAATTTAGATCCACATGTTGGTAATGGTGGTGATGATAATGACGAATCACACGCCCACGCATTAAAGTTTTCTCCTTTTACATTATAGGGAAAACTTACTTACGCAACCTTGTGTCATTTTGTAATATGCCCCATTTAGCATAAAACAATTATATAACTGAAATGATGTGTCATACGCTTTTCTCCTTACCGTATGTTACAACTCGGAAAGTTGAAGTGGTAGTATACAGTGCTTCAGTATACAAACAGGGGAGAATAATATATATGTATATATATTCTTGTCAGCACTTCGCCGTGGTAATGTGTGTGTGTAGGGTAGCGTATGATTCCACTGTTTCATAATAAGACATGGATTATACAATAGCAAAAAAAAAAAAAAAAAAAAAACATTTTTTTTTTTTTGAATAGATGTGCACTACTTGTTCAGTCACGTTGTGAATAAATTTTAAAGTATTTCACTATATTGTTATTACCATTATTAGTAATAAATTCGAATGACTTACTCTTGGAATGTTTTGCGTTATCATGGGATTCACAAAATTCACACGAAAAAAGAGATTCATCGTACGAAGGTTTTCCATCAAGCGAAGAGTAGTCACCATGAATCTTAATGAGATTACGACATTTTTCAGAGTTTAAACTTGTATGGATATCTTTATATGGATTAACTTCGAGAGGAATAACACCACTTCTCTTTTTTGCGTTCTGTTTTGTAAAAAATGCATTCAAATGTTGGGAAATTCCAATATCGTTTTGATCATATTCCACATTGCTACCATTTAAAGTTTCCCCTAATTTACTTCTACATAAATTTTTGTTAACATAATCATCTAACATTGTTGCGAATTCTGAAATGTTCATGTAATCTAAAGAATCATTAACGAGTATATTATCGCTATTTTGAAGGTCATTCATTAGTGATAACTCTTCCTTATATTCTTTTAACGTGGTATAATGATTATTCGGCTTTGTTAAAAATTCCTCCTTCTTATATTGGATAGCCTCATTCAGATCATCATTTAATTGATTTAAATGTTCCGTTTCGTCATGATAACCATTTATTCCATATCCTATGCTCATTTCTTTTTCATCATTCTTACTAAGATTCTGTAATTTCATTTTGCTATTACCCAATTTGTCATTCACTTTGATGCTTTGGTTTCTATTCTCTGGGGTTCCTCCTTTGTTTATTACGTTCAAATTTGACTTTTCCTCTATCAGGGGAAAACATGCATCTCTTGGGTTCTTAACATAGTTGTATTTTGTCTCACAAGAAGAAACTTCCAAAATGTCCCTTCTCTGGGGTTGTTTCTCCGATGTGTCTCCAAAAAATGTAAAAATAATTTTTTCCATTTTTTTTTGAATTCTTTTTATAGAATACAAAGTTGATATATCGCATAGAGTTTCGTTCATTTTTTTCCATATAATTATTTTTTCTTTAACATGTTGTAACACTTTTTTAATTTCATCAGCTAAAATTTCCCCCTTTTTTAGTTCAAGAGATAGAGAAGTATTTACCTTATATATATAGCTTAACTTGTCCAAGTATTTCATCAGTAATCTTAAATTACAGGAATTTTTATAACTATTCTGCTCCAACAATAAGACATCTTTTTTCAACTTTTTCATTATCTCATAAATACCACAATAATTAGGGTTATTTTCCATATGATGTTCTAGTTTTACACAATTTTGTAAAGGTTTAAATCTATCAATTCGTTTTATCATATCATTTTTGTCTTTAAAAATGGAATTCATCCCCGCTGAGCTTGTCCCCCTATCACATAAATGTTTTTCCGAACATTCGAATTTCTTATTATCCTTTGTAGCAGAATTGTTATTATCACGTTTTTCATAGACCGTTTTACCATTTGTACTGAAAAGGATATCATTTCGTTTACAAAGTGGTAGAGAAAGGGACAACCTATGAACAAAATTCTCCTCTTTAAAATTTCCCTTTAATTTATTCATTTCGTGTGCTACTTCTTTCCCCGCTAGTGATAAATCTGTGTGTTTTTTATCCTTACTAAGTGTATTGTCTCCTAGAACAAGACTTGTATCCTTGATGGATGATGAATTTGATGAAATTTTAATTTTTCCCTCTTTATTACATCCTAGTGATGTTAATAACAGCCTGGACATTTTAATCAACTCTATTAGATATATTTTCATAATGACCAACTCAAGTTTTGTATCTTCCACATTTGGAGGAAGTTTCAATATACCATATCTAACCATTCTCACTAGTTCGTATATTAAATTGGAAGCCCCTTTCAGACATATAGTGAGTCTACTTTTTTTGACCTTTTCAATTAAATAAATTAAGCAAAGTGTAAAAAATTTAACTTCCAAAACTTGTTCATTTTGCTGTCTTCTCTTTATAGAATAATTGAGTAAATTCTTCATCTTGTATGAATAGAATGTTAAACAATTTAGTATATACACAACCTCATTTTCGTATGTCCCTTGGTGTAGAAAAAATGAGCGCTGCTTTAACAAATTCGTGCTAAACAAGAACATGTTCCTATCCTTTAAACACTTTTCCTTGTTCATATGTCTGTTCATCAATTTAGTGTATCCCATTTTTGTAATAAGAATCGTTTTTTCAAAAAAGGAATCATTACTCCTGCTTCTAACATATTCTTTCAACCTCATTTCGCAACAATTGTGACATTTTTCAGAATCATCAAATTTTAGCTTATTTGATAATTTTTCTCTTATTATGTCATTCTTGATAATGTCAAAAGTTCCCCCCCCCTCCTTATATGCTTTAAATGATTGTGTGTTTTCATGTGCATCTTTCAGAATATGGGCCACTTTCTTAAGGACCACAAATTTTAAATTTTTATTGCATAGGTTTGTCCTATTTTTTTCATCATATTTTCTCAACATTTTTTGTACGTTCTTTACTCCACGTAATTCAAAATTGAATTTATCACTAATGTCATTACTGTGTGCTCTGGTACTTCTATTGATATGTTCTAAACTTCTTAGGTCATTGTTTAAGTTACTTTTTTGGAATTCTATCTTTAGTTTCGTAAGATCTATATAGTTTAAACCATTTCCCGCACATAATTCGAAATAATTCTTAACATTTGGACAACAATTCTTTATATTTTCTGTGACACTTTTAGTAGAGTCGTTGAAGTTTTCTTCTGCGTCTCGATTACTCCCACTTTTTGAACATGTGTAATATTCCTCATTAGAGTAGCAAGGTATGTCATTTGTTTTTTCAAAATATTCTTTAATTTTTGCAAATTTTGAATTATAGGTTTCCATAGTTGATGATCTGTGTGAAGAATTGCTTATATCACCACTTAAAACGGAATCATAGGAATTACTTCTAACATTTTCAATAAGAATTTTATGAACACGAGGATTGCTTGTATCTCTTGTTGACATAAGATATACCTCATCCGATTGTATTCCGCAATTTACACTACTCTCCATTACAATACCATGGATGTCCAGATTATCAGGCATAATATGTTTTTCTGCTTCTCCCTTGCTGTCGTTTATACCATTTTTTGATACAGAGCAATGTTTTTTTTCCTTGTTTGACTTTATGTTTTTGATTATTTTTTTTTTATTTAAAAGTGAATTTTTGTTAGAAAATTTTGCTAAATCTGTGAGAATATTTTTTTGTCTGTAATTTTTTCCGTCCTTATCCCTGTCCTTCGAAGAATTGAATCGAAGCGAGTAATTATTCACCCCTTTATTCACGTCGGATGATTTTTTTTTATTTTTCTTCACAGTTGATATCCTTTTTTGTGTACATTCTTTAGCATTTTTTGTTCTCAATTGATTATCTTTTTTATTCCTTATATGCAAAAATCCTTTTTTTAAATTAATAATAGGAATTTTCCTTTTCATATTGCAATAGTAGTTTTGTTTTGATTTGTTCATAATAGAATATCGCTTTTTCGGACAGGTGAATTTTGTTACCTTCACTTTTCTAACGTTAAAGTTCTTCATATTACTCATTTTTTTCTGCGCATTTGTATTTTTAATTTTTTTTTTCTTTCTTCCGTTTAGACCTAATTTTAATCTTTTTTTGATTTTAACAGTTTTTTTTTTTTTCCTAAGAGTTTGACTGAAATTATCAACTAACAGTGGTTGCTCCTTTGCCCTTCCTTTTGAAAGGAATATCAAAGGACATGTTTCGTTTTCATTTTCTTTGTACTCTTTTGATATTACTTTTCCATTTTTACATGTATTCTCTAGTTCATGTTTAGTATTATTTGATTCATTGTTCCCTAATAACCGTTTTTCTAATACAGGTGAAAGTGGTGTCTCATATTGTAGGATATCATCTACGCAAAGTGTATTCGAATCTTTCATTAAATGTTCTATTTGTCCATTCCCCTTTTTCTTATCACTAATCTGGAGCATAGTTTTTATTTTCTCTAATATTAACTCATCTTTTGTGTTATACGTTTTATCAATTACATTATTATTCATTGTTATGTTATTATAGACATTTGGATGTTCATGTTCGAAATGAGATTGGCTATTCACATTATCTACTTTTTCGTGATGCATTCCATTCTTATGCTCACAGTTAAATTTTTTACATTCACTCAGAGTAATATTAATATTGCTTCTGTTTTCATATGGTTCTTTCTTTGGAACTTTTTCTTGATTTTCCTTCTTCGCATAGCACTCCTCAACACATGTGTAATGGTCGCTGTGTATTTTTACATTTTTATTAACGTTTACTCCTGGTATATATAACTCATTTTTTTTTGTTTCACTTGGAGTATATGAAATATTTTGACTGAAAGGGGAATTTTTTTGTATGATATATGGGAATTTTTCTTCCAAGTAGGCATAGCTACTTGTTTCATTTTTAATATTCAATCCATTAAAATCATAATTTCTCGAGGTTTTTTCATTTTTTGATAATTTTGATGAATTTTTTTTATATACTTGTTTCACATTTACATTGCCTTCAAAATTTTCATTGTGTGGAACTCTGCTACAATCGTATCCCCGTTTCAATATACCTATGCATTCATCATCAGTTACATTATTATTATTTTTATCAGTACCCAACAGGATATGTTTTTCGCTAAAATTAAAAGACTCAACATCACTTTTATTACAGCAGTAGTATTTTGCTATGCTGCTTAAGACACGGCATGGGTTAATATGTTTTGTTTGATAACAATGATTGTCCTTGTCACCCTCCATGGTTATTCTTTGAAGTGCTATAGTATCATCAATTTCTATGCTTATATGTGGAATGTAGCTTTTTTTTTTTTTCTCCTATGAGTATTTGTAGCTATTGATGTGTTAACTATTTTTTTTTGCAATATATTTAAAAAAAAACAAAGAAAATTTTATTTTAGGAAATTTTTATTTTACTCATAATAAGTTGTATATCTCCTGAAAATTCCCGCAAAGGGGGGATTGTCTTACAACATTTTAAAAGAACAGAACAGAGATAAATATATTTCCAGAGTGTTTAATATGCAACATATTTATCTATTTTTTTTACATAATAATGACACCTACATAAAAAAAATTATGCACGTGGAATAAAAATGCACAAAAAGACAAGCCAAAATTAAAAAAAAATTCACGTGCGGAAATTATTTCAATGATTTATGAACAGTTAAGGAAAAATAACCACTTTATTTTTATTTTATTTTTTTTTTTTTAAGTACAATAACAAAAACAAGCAAGCAGCCAAATTAAATAATTGTTAAATTATAATGGCTAGTTTAAGTATTTTTTTTTTTTTTTTTTTATGAACTAAGCGAACAGCTAACAGATTAGCATTCATCAACGTCTGAATTGAGAAGTAATAAAAAGAGGTATATGTTTGTTTGTGCCATTTTAAGTATGTTTTATTTTTCACATATATTTAGAAGTTTAGGATATTTATTAAATATAGACATTATTCACAAGTTAATTAAGGGGGCCACAAATAGATGTTGCACAAAAGGAGGACAAATGTGTGCACACAAAACAAGGAAGTGGAGGGGAAAAAAAAAAAAATAGAAAAAATATTATAATAAATATGATTCAACTGTGATACCACCATGAATGCTCAAATTACATTTACTTTTTCAATATGTTTCATTTGTGTACATTTAATTAATCAAGATATATATGTGTACATTTTCAAATTTCCTTGAGCACATGTATATTACCCAATTTTTGTTCACACGGAGTATAGTTCTAAAATTGGCATTGCAAAAAAAAAAAAAAAAAAAAAAAAAAAAATACAACAATAAGTGAAAAATATTTTATCAACGCTTTTCTTCCTATGATAACTGCACATTTGAACAAAGGTTAATATAGTAAATGGTGTATATTTTTAATTATATTTATCTTTTATATGTAATAATATGCAGATAGTATGCTTCCCCTAATTCATTCATAAAAATTGCAAAAGCATTTATTTTTTAAAAGGGCAACATACAAGGGAAGAATAAGTGTGTCATATCATTTTTTCCTCAACTTATATAAATCTTCTTAAATATTTAATGAATTATTTATTGACTCAGTGATTTATTGATATATATATGTATATATTTTTTTCTTCTCGCCACGTCCTTTCTTGACCAAAATGTGTTCATATATCCTTCAAATGGGAAAATACTTTCACAAAAATGATGCGTCAAAATAATTGATACAAATAGAAGAAAATATTTATGCCCATGGTGTTAATGGGCGCAAAATGCGCAATATAACCATTTCCGAATTGTCTAGTGACTGATAAAATAGCCCATCAAATTGTGTTGTTCGCTTCACAAAGAAAAAAAAGAACATGAGAAGCACAAAGGTGACGTTGCTACCGATAATAAATATTTGAGAATATTTATACAAGTCACTTGTTTGTATATTATTATCATAAAAATCTTCTATTTCAGATGGGGGATTTTGCAAACAACCATCTAATTTCAAACCTTTTGCTTTATCCAATGCTTGTTGACTATTTCTCAAACTTTTATATAATGTGCAAATGTTTATATTATTGAAAGTACATTGTAAATAATTTTTATCTGTTAAATCTGGAATAAATGTGAAATAATTATGATTTTTTAAGAAATCTAAATCATTACATTTTCGAATATAACTCGTAGTACTGCTACTGGAACCTAAATCTGCCATGTCGATTGTACATGCAGCTTTTCTGCCTTCAAATAACCTGCAGTTATTAACTATGTGCGTGGCTACATTATTTAATCGACTTTTACACCATAAATTTGGGGTTATATATAAGGTAATTAAATTAAATATATTTATAATGAACCAAAATATAATGAGAATTGCTAAAGCCCATGGAAACCATTTGACAGTGCATCCTATTCTTTCAATCCATTTTCCTAATGACATAAAATCGTTAATTGTGAAATTTGAAAGTATTGAACAAATTCTTGATAAAAAAAAGGCGAAAATACTTATGAAACTAGTTAAAATTATAAAAATTAATAAATCTGTTAATATAAAATTAATGTGTTCATACTCACAGTAATAATTTATAAAAAAATTGAATGATTTAATAAGTTGTTGAAATATTAAAGTAAGGACAATGTTAAAGGCAGTTACAATTGCTAAGCAGTTGTAATAAAAACTGATTCTCCAACTTTGTCTTCTATAATTCCAGTTTATATAAAATTCTTTAATCATTCGACTTATGCTCCTTCTTTTTTTTCCCTTTCCTTTGTCCATTTTTTTTTTTTTTTTCTTTTTTTTCTAGTTCACTCCTTGCACATTAAGTTAAAAAAGAAAAAAATAAAGGCTATGTTTTCTTTCTAAAATTCATTTTTTTTTTTCTATTATTCTAAATTTGGCCATTCATTAATTTGTCTCTTTTATTACTGTTTTAATTCCTTTTGGGGTAGGGCAGTGAATATAGCTATGATGTTCTAAAAATTTTGTCATTTAGATAAGCATCTTTTCTCTTGTTAAACGTTAGAATCTTTGACTCTTGGGGGAATATTTCGCACTCCCGCTTGTGGTATGTTCTCAAAAATAGCATTCAGATGAAGAAAAAGTTGTATTGTATTTCTTTTTTTATTTTTATCACTTTTTGAGTCTGAAGGGGTACATTTAGTAAATTGCCCTTTTTGTGAATTTTATTTTTTGACATATAAACAAAAAAGCATGAACACTTTTCCGAATAGACAAGAATATTCTGTTAACTCCATTATATGTAAGCAAATGCTTGCATATGAAGAAATCAGGCAGAAAAAAAAAAAAAAGCATAAAAGAAATATGCGTACAGTTGTCAAATATATGCAAGATATGTACACAGAGAACAGAATAAACCTACTAAAATTGTTAGAGTAATAAATTGATTTAAATATAACAACTTTAGAAGGATAAGTCCTGAGATATGAATATTTAAATATGGAAAATTAGTGCATGATCGTGCATAATAAAAATGACCATCATTATGGGCACATGTCCCGTTTTGGTGAATATATACACATATATATATTTTTTTATATTAATTTGGATGCACTCAAACTGTTAATAACAGATACATAACCCAATTTTGCTTGCCAAAAAGTTTCTTTCTTGCAAATTAGTAAATATATTTTTTTTTTTTATGAACACTGTTGATTTTAAACGAACCGATGAAAATTTCTGCACCGTTTTTTCTTTTTTTGAATGAAGGAGAAATAATTGCATTGCAAACCCTCTAGGAAAGAAATTTTCACATTAAGGTAAACAATACTGACATTTTCATTAATCCAAATAGATATAAGAAAAAAGGGAAAGGAGGAAGAAAAAAAAAAAAAAAAAAAAAAAGGCTCAATTGGCATTTATAATCACGTAGTAATATTTTACACAAAATTGATCATCGAAAGGTAGTGTCATTTGTTAATCTATGATAAATTAAAATATACGTGCGCGATTTTATGAGACAAAAAAGGATGTGCAGTTGAATGGGAGAAAAAAATGAATGCCATGTGGCATTCTTCTTTTTTTGACTTCTTTTTTTGACTTCTTTTTTTGAGAAATTTATATAAAATGGATTTGTTTTAAAAGGTAGGAAAAATTGGACAAAATGTCATATAGATACGAAAGAGAAAAGGTTTTACATGTTAACACATACATGAGTATATCGTCTAGCTAACACATTCATACATGAAATTCTGCAAGCGTGAAAGGAATACACTTATCTGATTTGGTGCATAATGCTCCAAATCATCTCCACACATCTAAAATACGTGTAAATTTGAAAAAAAAGTTAAATCGTTCTTCATTCACAATAAAAGATGAATCAATAGGTGTACTCACTTTTACAAGAACAAAAAGGGAAATAAGAATAGCACTAGTGACGAACCAGAAGAATATAAGACACATGGAAAATAAGTACAGGTCACTCTTCGTGCTAGGATTTTCTAAAAAGTATTCTTCTTTAAGGTCAGGCGTATTTCCAGAACAGTTTGGAAAGGGAGTCCAAGAAATATTTTTATTTTTAATGAAATCGACAAAAAAATCGCATAATTTCTTGTCCTTCAATGTGCATACTTCGTTAGGTGCTGATCGAATAAGAAAGAGAAAATTTTGAACTTTCAAAATGTTGAAATCGTTACAGCTTTCTTTCGTCCGTAAGTTTATTAGTCCTTTATCTATTTCGCATCCTTGAGAGTTCAAAATAAGGTGGCATAAAAATTGTCATGGTGAAAATTTGTACATATTAGTAAGCCAATATGGGTCAATACAGGGATGTGTTTATGTACACATATACATATATGTATATGTATACATATACAAACTCATTAGTAGGAATAAAGTTACTCTCCATTTCTTTAGGTGTCCTTGCAAAAACGCCCTTCTTACATGCATGAAGAGAGAAATGCATGCACATTATTATGACTAATTTGTAAACACCTGTGGCCTTATTTTTAACTAAGAGACAATTGTTCACAGCGTCCATTCCATAAATATTGTATTTCAAGCTACACCAGTTTCGAGGGGAAAAAAAAATGGTTATAATATTTACAAACAAAAAACATATCCATGAGATATATATTAAGGATAAAATCCATGACATATATTTAATTAAAAACCCTAGAATGGTATAATAAATCCCTGAATTAAAAAATTCTCTATTTGTAAAATTCGAGTATATATATGTAAGACGAGAAAAAAGAAAGTTCAGGAATCCCATTAATATTAGAAATATTAAGATAATCATATAAAGTTTCTTCACTGATGATGTCGTAGATGAATGGCAAAAGTGATTACTGTATATTTCGGATGAAATTAATAATCGAACAATTAATGTATACACAATTCCAAGTGCTAATGAGACGTAAAAAATGTTAAAATATAAACTGTATCTCCAGACGAATTTTTTTTTCTTCCAATTGGATGTAGCGTATTTGTTTTCTATGAATGAGTTAAGCCTTTCCAATACCAGCATTTTTTTTATTTTTTTTTCATATGATTTTTTGTTCACCTTAAGGTGTTAAATTTATTAAAGCTGCTTGTTATGTTGTGGTTGAATATTTACACATGTGTGAATCTGCAGTGTTGCGTAGTTAAATAATGACTTGTAAGGCTATTACTCATGTCATATAGATCTCATATGTTACGAAAAAAAAAAAAAAAAAAAAAAAATGGTATATATCTTTTCGATTAATCTTTAAAGGAAGAAAAAAAAAAAAAAAAAAAAAAAAAACATACATACATACGTACGTACGTACTGCTATTCTAGTTAGCTTATAATGTTGTGCAAAACTACGGACGAAAGATTTACACACATATAAATGTGTAAAGAAAAATTAACAAAATTCACACGCAGCATAACATATTGCACATATGACAAAATTTCAGCATTGATATCGTTAAATGGGACAGATCGGTACTGTCCATTTTCACGAAAAAGTTATGTAGATATAGAGTAATTTTTCGATTTCATCGCTCCACTAAACTCTTGTTTATCATCTTTTACTTTATTTTCTCTTCGTAAAGGAAAATTGTTTCTATTTTGGTTAAAAATACATTAAAAAAAAGGGAGACATGCTTTAAGCCTTTCGATGGAATTGCGCTTTCAATGCCAAAAATGTGTATATATATTTACATGTATATGTATATATATATATATATATATATATATATATATATATATTTTCCACCGCGTAGAGCGTGCCCAATATTGTGTCGCTTTATGAACAAATTGGGTGAAGAATTCGGGGAGTTAACTAATTAAAAAAAAAAAAAAAAATATAGAACACAACACAAAGGAAAGCGAAACAAGGCGAATTAATATACAACAAAATATTAAATTGTTGTGGGTCTCACTAATAAGAGCCCCTTTCCAAATCGCTATAAAAATGTGTGATGATTTTTTCTCAAATTGCCCAAAGCTGCAGAGATGTGAAATAAGAAAACATAGGTGCACCACAACATGAAAAGTCATGGACCTCTAACTAAAATACGCAAACTCCAAGAGGTGCGAATGCGTGCATTGAAAGAGAATACAACACATATCTTTTTTTGTAACATATGTTTATTTTTAGTACATATTTTTTGCACATTCTTATTTGGAATGCTTCGACATGCCAGCTGAGGGCACTCTACTTTTAATAGGCATAATGGGAATAGCGTGAAACAACAGAAAAAACGTAGCCCTGTAGGCAAAAGGAAAGGAATGTTGGGGTAGCACTTCCTCCCCTCATGCACATAGATAAATGATGCTGAAGTTTTTTAAAGCTATCTTTTTTTTGTCATTAAATCCTATTCATATGAACAAAGAAATAAAGTGTAAAACAATTGGAATAGTTAAGATGAGTAACATCCCGGAGAGAAAAAAAACTTATGTAAAAACTGAAAATAGTATAGCTATGAAAAAAAAAAAAAAAATTGGGGGTCAAAAAGTTCTGAACTCCCATTCATACATAAACACGACAAAATGCATTAAAAAAAATATAGTTAAAAAAAACAGAAATGAACAGGACAAAAGGGAAATTATGAAAAAGGTAATGATACACACACATTCTATTCCTGAATCGAGAAGCGGTAATGGAAGAGATATGGTAAACATAAATGTAGAGAATCTCATAAATGGTAGCACCTTTTCTGTAATAAAAAACTTTGAAAAGAAGTGGGAAAAAATAAATGTAAGTACAAATGATTTACAATTAAAATATTGTTTTCTGATAGGACAGGAATTTTGTTTTAGTGAAGTTAGTAAAAATACTTACATCGGATTAATAAATAAAAAAATTTATCTTTTCAAAGAGACAGAGAAAGCTATCTACTACCAATGTATCTATGACAGGAATAAATGTATCAAGGGCATTACGAAAGGGGAAAATAATTGCCACGTGGATGAAAAAGAGAACAATGATAAGACAAATTTGAACGATATTTATGAAAAAGATGTAGAGGAATTTTTTAACTTACAATTCCCTTTAAGAGAAAATATAGAAATGTGGAAAAAAAAAGACAAACGGATGAACGAAATTACTCATAAAATTAAAGGATTAAGAATATTAAAAGCTGATTCTGTGGAATCATTTTTTTCTTTTTTATGTTCCACTAATAACAATATTCCCAGAATAACTTTAATGATAGAATGCTTGAGGAGACGTTATGGAAAATTTATTGCTACCATCATATTCCATGGTCAAGATTTGTTAGTCAAAATTGATAACCATACCGAGGGATCATTCAGAGATTTTAACAGGGACTCAAAATTGATACAGCAGAAGACGGATACGGACCCAAATGTTCTAGTGAAATTAGAATATCCACTAAATTCGAAACTTGTAGAAGAATATCCCTCGTACGTTTCTCCCAAGGGGGAACAGAAAGCGCACATTCGCGTAAAGAAGGAGTTCCCGACGAATTCATCGGAGGGAGAGCAGGAAAGTGCAGAAGCAAACAGGGAAGAATCAGACGAGGAGAAGCAAAATGTGAAAGCATGGAGGAAAGAATCAGACGAGGAGAAGAAAAATGTGAAAGTATGGAGGAAAGAATCAGGTGAGGAGAAGCAAAATGTAGAAGCAAAGAGGAAAAAGCCATACGCGGAGGCAGCAGCGAGAAACCAGAACAAAATTTTCTACGAACATGTAAAAACAATGATCAAAGAGGAAAAGGAGATGAAAATTTTTCCCTTTTATGAATTCCCAAGTATAGAGATAATATCAAAATTAAAAGAGGAAGATTTAAGAAATTTAGGGTTTGGATACAGAAGCAGCTATGTTATTGAGAGCGCTAAAATGTTAACAGAAATTGGATCTGAAGAATGGATAGAAAATTTAAAAAAGGTGAAAAAAACAAAAGAATGTATTGATAAATTAATAATGTTTCCAGGAATAGGATTAAAAGTAGCAAATTGCATATGTCTCTTTGGATTGAACAAATTTGACTGTATACCTATAGATACACACATATATGACATTATTTACAAGTATTATAAAAATATAATAGAGGCTGAATGTAAGCCTGTTTCTCTTCAAAATGCAAATAAGGAAAAGGAGAAAAGGGGAGAAAAATACGATATCGAGGAGTCTTCAACATCAGCTACCATCATTGGAACATCCGATTTAAAAAATAAGAAGATGAAAAGAAACAATAAGCATGTAAATAGCAAAATACCTGGTCACGCGATGAAAAAGAATAATGAAAAAAATTCCACGAATAACGCAAAGCAGAAGAAAAAGGCATTGACAACTTCCCTATACATAAGATTGTACACAAAACTAAAGAATTTATTGGGACCCAATTGTGGGTGGGCACAGACAATTCTTTTTGCATCAGAGTTGAAGAAGTTTAGTTATTTGTTTGAGTAAAGTCCGTTGGGCGTTTTGATATTCTGGCATTTTGGCCTTTTCTCGTTTTGGCATTTTGACATTTTCTCGCTTTGGCGTTTTCATGCATATGTGGTGAATAATATGATGATTACACGTATAATTTTCAACACACACGAATATTTTCCTACGTGCACTATTTTGTAAACACAGTTTGTAATTGAAATAAAGCACCTGGAATAAGTTGGAATACACACATGACCCGAGATGATGTCTTGCTAATATTCTTTTTATGAAATCGCCTGGATACAGTCCGTTTGAGAGAACTCATTCTTTTGTCTATTTTACCGAGTTGCACTGCTTTCATCTCTATAATATGCTTCCTTCCTTTTTTTTTTTTTTTATATCATTTTCATTTTATTTTGTTCACACTTAGTCTACTTTATTTTGCTCAAATGTATTCTTTTTTATTTTTTTTTTTCGGAGTCTAATTTTTAAGTAAATATGGTGGAACAATCCACAGAGATTTTTAAAAAGGAAACAATGTCATACACACAACATCAATGCAATAAAAAAAAAAAAAAAAAATACGCTCAATTAGCGTGGTGGCATATTTATCAAAAATTGGGGACACTTTTTCTGGTAGTATTTCATAAAGATACTGTTCCAATAAACGTTGCTCGCAGTTATAACTCCGGAAAATGAAAGGAAAAAAAAAAAAAAAAAAAAAGATATACAATGAGTTAGATATCTCTATATATATACATCACACACAATTTCCCTCCTTCCAAATGAGTATAAATCTGCAGTTTGTATGCATGATCGCGATTGGGTATACTCATGCAAATTTTATCGTTATAAACACACATCGCTCATGTGTTATATATACCTGATGTGTACACATATGCCAAGCTATCTCCTTGATACTTGCAAAATTTGCATGCTGTACAAATTTGCGAAAAATGTATGTGTTAAAGGGGAGGGGGAGGGAGGAAATCGATATTGACAAGGTATTATTAAGTTATTCACGCTAAACAGCAAAACTTTGTCGTAAATATTCAAGAGCGTGCATGTGTATGTGTATATATATAAGTATATGTGCAATGTGCGAAATTTAAAGATAGCCACACTGCAAAAATTTGAAATATAAATTCGTCAATTTAACACAGGTGAGTGGGGCCCCAATTTATGCTTTAATTATGTCACTCCTCCCAACCCCTGTAATATGCTAATTTGTATTGCTTTGAACGTCAAACTGAATTTTTTAATTCATTTTTAGAAGGTGGAAAAAACATGGAATCATGCTTGGGAATCCATTACGTGTATTGCGCATAACAAATAAATGTGCATTTTTGATGAATTTCCCCTCCAACAAACCGAAAAAAAAAAAAAAAAAAAAAAAAAAAAAAGGTCGGTAATACAATTTAAGTTTAAATACCGTGCATTCCTACTGAAGAGGAATGGCTTGAAACAAATTAAAGAAAATGTGTTAAATCCAAGTAAGAAATTAAAAATATATATTATTATGCTGTAAGATATCTTCCCAGACCTTTCATTTCTTCACATTTGTGCTTTTTTTTTTTTTTTTTTTTTTTTTTTTTTTTTTGCTTCATACAATGCAATGCTAGAATTTGATTTTTTTCGTATTTGTCAAATGGCTGTATCTTTTTGAAAACAGCAATGGATAATATTCCCAGGTGTTGTGTTTGAGGAAAATATATGTATTCGTTTGGGATCCTATGGTGACACACTTGAATGGCAACATGTTTCCCATTTTGTGTGTAAATTGTAAGTTACGTGCATCTCCACGTGTGAAAGGTAACTTGTCTTCTTCTCCACTCGTGAAAGGTACCTTTTCTCCTTCTACAAACCCATATAACTAACCAAATTATGAAGTCATATAAGATGAAAAGGTCGGGAGATAGGGTGGAAGGTGGGAAGAGGAAAAGTAATGGAAGCGAGAACACATCTAATTTGATGAACCTAAAGATAAGAAATGAAAATATACACATAAAAAATATTATAAGAACTATACATTACGTGTACACAAATAGATACGACAGTGAAACAGGTTTTTCATACATTAAAGACATATTAAAAAATGTGATAAAAGGTAATGTGTACGATATGGAGTATAAGAGGTACATCAACGAATACTGCATTTATGAATTGTGCGCAAGAATAGTTTTAAATATGGTAAGAAGCAATGCAAAAGATGAAAATTTTAACAAAATGATGGAATTTCTTTTTGATATTTTGTACTACTGTGATGTACTAATAAGTGAAAAAACAAATCGTAAAAAAAGAAAAAATAACAACAATAATGTTGAAATCGATAATAATGGCTCTAGTGCAAACAATGCAAGTGACACAAATCAAGAATATGAATTAATCACAAAATTGTGGAATCGTATTTTAGACAATATATTTATTAAGGATAGAAAACAAAGAATAAACTTATGTCGAGTGGTAAAATCATTAGTTAAAAAAGCTTGTGCTTTACAGATAGATGTATCAAATAAATTGTGTAAAAAACATGTAAATATTTTTTTGTCTTTACTAAATGATAACGATCATAATGTACGAATTTTATGTTTAAATATTTTGGAACCTTTTCAAGATTTCAGTACAAGAGCTAGCTATTTACGCTGTCTCGATGATACACATAATGCAGTGAGAATCCATGCAATTAAAAATATTTCAATGTGCACAGATGAGGGAAATAACAGTAGTAATAATAAGAATAATTATGATCATTTAATTATCCTTAAAAATTTTTTAATTAGAATAAATGACACAAATCCAAATGTAAGGATAAGCGTATATGAAAAATTAAAAAATTATTATTTTTACATTCCATATGATATGAAATTTGAATTACTATTATGTGGACTTAATGATAAGGACACATCTGTGCGTCAAAGTTGCTATGCGATGATTATACATTGGGTTCAACATTTTGATGAAAAAATAGAAAATCTCTTATTGCATTTAATAAATAGCGATATAGATAACGACATGATAGTCGAACAAATTTGCAAAATTCACCTGAACAATATTAAAAATGGTTTCATTAGAAATGCAAGCATGGATTTCGACGATATGAAAAGAGATTCTATAAATGGAAAAATACAAGAACCGGAAGAGAAAGAGGAAAATGGTAAGGGTCACCCGGTGAGAAATGGTGAACACGATTCTTGCTCCCGTCTCAGCGGTGATGATAAGGGCAATCGTGACAATATTCCCTATAATGATGCCTGGTTTACACATTGCATAAATAACCTGTTCCTACTGAACGCTGCTGATTTGTACCTGCTGCGAGTCTACGTGCAACACTTTTGTGACGAACAGGAAAAAGAAAAAATAGATGCATTAAAGGTAATTAAGGCTGTTTATTACTACATGAATCTTAGTAGATTTAATGAGAAGCTATACTACAACAGAAAAAATTACATCAACTGTGTTGAAAATAATGAAAGCGTTCAATCGGATAATCAGCATATGTTCTGCTCATGTGGAAAGGGAAGGATTGATATAAAAACATTGGAAGAGATGAGGAAGAAGAAATTTATGGAATGTTCATTTTTTGACGATGAATACTGTGATAAGTGTATGTACTACAGATCTGTGCAAAGTGGGGAGGAAGTTGAAACTTCTAAAGGAGGAATCGATACAAATGGAAATGTAAATAACAATACAATGGATGATCAAAATGAATATGTTCTTATAAATGAAGATAATATTAATGAGAATTACAATTACATATGCAATATAAAGAATCTGCTGCTAATATGTAAATATTTGGATATCATCGAAACATATCAAGTAGATAAAATTCTGCAATGCTGCTCAAGGGTCCTATTGAAAGGACCCCTAAGAGAAGTAATCATAAAATGTATGCTGAATAATACAGGAGTTAATTATTATAAATTGCAGAAAGGACATATGACGTGTGCATACTGGTTAAGCAACAGCTACATCTATGCATGTCTGGAATTGCTAAGACAAATGGTTTATATAAAAAATAAAAATTGCGATTCGAATGACATTGAAATTAATCTGACAAACCAAATATTGGACATCATATCCGAAATTAAGGAACCATTTGAAAATTATGAAAGTGAAGGTTTGTTCGTCGATAGTACAGTTAATTTTATGCATCATCAATCAGCAGAGGACAAGGAGGTAAAGAGCATGACGGAGGTGTCACAAAAAAGGGTATTGGATATTTCTCCAAAACATTTGACAGAATGTTCCCCAAAGCTCAAACTAAAAAATGATCAGGCGGAGAAGAATACTCTAAGTATCCTATTTAACAATATCATGAACGTGGAAAACGACACCATCTTTGAAATAATAAGGGAAAAAAAACTGAACACTCTGTCAATAGAACATTTGCTAATTCTTTGTCCGAAAATGCAACACAAGTTGGATGTCACAGAAGCGAAGATAAAGGACCTGACTGAAATGGAACGTGAAAGAGAAGAACAAGAAGCAGGAGAAACAGGAGAAACTGGAGAAACAGGAGAAACAGGAGAAGCAGGAGAAACACAACAGAAACAACAAAGTGAACGTCTGATGGCGCAAAATTCGAAAGATGGGGAAAATAATCCAGTTTTTGCATTTCACGATCAAATTCGAGTGCACACGGAAATATTTTTAAAGCAAATAACTATGTTGAGCTTACTCAGATTAGAACTTAAGAGGAGATGGTTGAGAATTTTGTTCATTTTGGAATGTTTTCTATGTAAAAGTAAATCGCATTGCTCATTCGATTCAGCACTCCGTGAGTTCCCAAATGAGTTACTACTACCTGCATTAAATTTCTGCTGTTCAATTATGCCTGAGTGGGATGATAAAGAAATAGAAGATCAGTTTTATGACATTATAGTTTCCAAATGCTTAGGTAATTGGTGTATGTTTATAAGTAATGACGAAGAATTAAAGAAACAGATTTATGCATATAAGACAGCCATAGTGGACACTTGTGATGTTCTGAATAATTGTCTGTTGAAAATAGAAAATATTCATGCGAAAGTATATCCAAATGTGTATTGCAAGGCCAACATCGATTTGATCACTCAGGTGGAAAGGGGAGTAGCAATAAATAAAAACATTTCTACAGGAGGAGCTGCTCCACATTCAAACAATTATAACCATGAAGAGAATATGAAAAAGGAACCAAATGAAGATGATGTGAATAAGCAACTAATTTTTTATGAATACAATCCACCGAATGAATCATTGTTAAACTATTTTGCAACAAATCAAAATGCGTGGTATGAATATAAAGAATTATTGGAAAAATTGGAAATTAATTCGTTAAGGTGTGAAATATATATATGTGTTTTGGGAGATCTTATGATGACTCATCCCAATTTGAACAATGATAAATTGATCATAGATGCAGTAGAAAATTTATGGAATTATCTAAATGGGAATATAAATACGAGTAAATATATCCAATCAATTTGTTTAAGAGTTTTTTGTAAACTCATGTTAACAGAATATTTAGGAAATCATATATACAAATTGTCAAATGAAGAAATGTATAAATTAATGAAAAAATCATCACATAAATTAAGAGCATTATTTGAGATGTGTTTTCTTATGTCTCCTTCTACATACAATTCTGTTCAAGATTTTAAAAAAATTAGTACATATAATATAACAAATATTAATGCACATGATAAATTATTCTTGTTTTCTGTCTTTTCTATGTACCCATCCATGAGTGAAACGAATTTATTAGTTTTTCATTATACCTTTGAAGAAGTACTATTAAAAACGTGTGATGGGGTATTAAAACACAAATTAAGGACAATTAACTATACCAATATTCTCACATTTATTATTTTTACCATATTGCACAAGGCAAATATACACTTTCTAGTGTATCATTTTGTCAAATATATCAAATCCATATTGCTCATTATAATTGAAAAGGGAATTGCCATAACTAACCGCTCTAACATTATCGAATTGGTTTACAAAATAATTCAGATATATCTATTTCACGCTCTTGACGATGTTAGATCAGGCAACACTGGACTTGGCAGTAACAGTCTTAGTCGTACACACGAAGGTAACAACACAGGTGGTTGCAATGGTGGTGAACAGTATGGAGGAAACGAGCAGAGGGAAGTTAAGAAAAGAGGGAGGAAAAAAAAAAATGCACAAATCACTGAATCAAATGATAAGATAGAAGGAGAAAAGAATGATATTAACCTGAAGGTACATAAAAATTTCGAAATGGAAATGGACGAAGCTGAAAAAGCAATACATGAAGATAAAGATTTAAATAAAGAGAATAAAAACTGTACTATATTCTTCAAAAGTGTTCAAACAGATGTAAATGGCACAATCAAGGATCTAAAAACTTTATATGTATTAATAAACTTTTGCATGCACTCTGATGACATTATTAAATCCAGAAATGAAATAAGATACTGCGAAATTTTGAAAGGCTGTATACAAAAAAAAATTGATGAAGTCAGAACTTATTTTGTGGAAAGGAATCTTATCGTGCCCAATGCAGCAACAAGTAGCGAAAAGGGAAATGCAACAAGAAATGAAACCCATCCAGTTGTAGGAAATCCAAACAATCTATTAAATTTAGCCGAACTAGATTCTCTCAAGGAAGAAACTATATATGAAGAGATTATAAATGAATACATCAACTATATAGGAAAAATCTGTGAAAGGAAATTTTCATACCCTGTTGTCCCTAGAGGAATTAATTATGATAACGACGCGGAAATGTCTACACAAGAAATAATGGAACAGATAAATAACCACACAAACAAAGAACGAAGAAAAGAGTGCACTACAGAAAATGTGCATACTGAAATTCAAACTGGACTTTTCGAAAAAGGACTATTTAACAAGACATTCACTACTACAATGAATAAAGTGAATTATCCCATCGGTGAGGTTAGCATAGAACACAAAGAAACACAAGAGGACGAATTCATTGATGCAAATGAGGATGCGTTATACATAAATCAAAGCAATTTACAGATTAATGTTGACACTGAAAAGATTTCTCCCTCTGTTGACAGCCATAAGAATTTAACTGATCCTCCCAAACTTGCCCCTATGGGAAGCGACGAAATACCTTGGCTCCAAGGTAGAGATAGCTCAACATATGCAGGTGATAGTGTGGAATACACTCGAGCGAGGGAAATGTCACTGGAGGGAGGGGAAGGAATAATCCCCAAGGTGGTGGAAGCAGCCTCCACAGAGGAAGCAATTCCAACCAAAAGAACTAAATCAGACAGATGTGACGAAAAGCATGAGGGTAATAACCGTCCTCGGAGACTGAGTTCACGGAATATATGTTCCAGCGAAGACAGCCACGATGACATGAATCATCACACATCTAGTATGAGCGAATTCGAAAGCGTAAAGGACGCCTGCTCAGATTTACAGGATGATAACAGTAGCTGTAGTAGCACACACAGTGATGATTCTACAGCCATGGCGTTTAAGAGGTTAAATAAGTTGAAGCGCACTAGCTACACGAATGTTGTTTCGAAGTGAAAATTTATGGGAGCAAAAAAAAAAAGGGCGAAAAAAAAAGAGGAAGAATTTTTTTTTTTTTTTTTTTTGTTTATTTTCGTACATATTACTATATCAGTCATGCTTGTCTTCTCTGTTGTTAGTTGGTCAATCTGTTAGTTACTTTTATACTTTTTAGTTTTTACCTATTCCCCACCCCGTGCGCACTTTTTGCAGTCCAAGGGGTGGAATGGAGAAAAAGCATTCACTATGACGAAAAATATTATTCACACCCACACTGGAATAACGTAGGCGCATTTTTGTTAACTGTTTTTGAGAAGGGATTAAGTGAACAAATTATATGAATTTAAAAAAAAAAAAAAAACAATCACAAAAAAATGAAAGAAAAAATAAAAATTTGAATAATGTATAAAAGTTTTTTGTAATATATATAAGAATGGAGATGGTGGTGGTCTACGTGTGTACGCATCGGCCTTTTTTAGGATCGTGTGTTTTTCATCTATTCGAACTGGGTTAGTACCCTGTCGCGTATCATTCTGTTGTTTGTAATCTTGTGGTGTGTAATCTTATGGTGTATCGTTCTACTGCTTATCATCCTGTGGTGTACCTCCCCACAATGTATCAACTCTCCATCGTTTTCATAATCTGGTCGATTACCTGAACAACAGTGGGGTCATATATGTAGTTGGATAGGTACCCAATTTTGTCATTCGACAATGTGAAGTGCTTAAAAACGGAACGAACATAATTATTCTTAAGTAGCATTTTCAATGTTATGTCATCTTTCAACTTTTTTTTTTCCTCATCTGTCAGCATATCCTGATCGGAATCTTCATCATCTTCTGCAAAATTTCCGGATTTCTCGAATTCTTCATTATTTTTATTTCCATCCTTTTGACTAGATTTCTTGTTATCCGTTTTTAAGCTACATTCCTTATTCTTTTGTGATTCCATGCAAGAACTTCTGTTGTGCTTTTTATAGCAGGACACTGAGCAGTAGTATTCATGGCAGCATGTAAATTTGTACTTTACATTGTTTTGGAAACACACAACACAGGTGTCTCTCTTTTTTTTTTTTTTGTCGCTATTGGATGTGTCATCGAATTTTTTTCTTTTCTTCAGTGTCGCCATTTTGCTGACACGGTTTGGGATGGCTTCCCCATTTGTTTCTTTACCTGGCTTTGCTTCTTCACCTGCTTTTACTTCTTCACCTGGCTTTGCTTCTTCACCTGCTTTTACTTCTTCACCTGGCTTTGCTTCTTCACCTGGATTTACTTCTTCACCTGATTTTACTTCTTCACCTGGATTTACTTCTTCACCTGATTTTACTTCTTCACCTGGCTTTACTTCTTCACCTGCTTTTACTTCTTCACCTGGCTTTGCTTCTTCACCTGGCTTTGCTTCTTCACCTGATTTTACTTCTTCACTTGGATTTACTTCTTCATCTGATTTTACTTCTTTACTTGCTTCTCCTTCCACATGGTTATCAAAATGGAAAGTGTCATTTTTGCACTTTGTATCATAATCACTTGAAATGCTTTCTTGATTCTTCATGTGGGTTGATTTGTTTTTCACAGGGTTCGTGTGTGTCTGTTCATGGGAATGTAACTTCTTATTTTGTTTAATATTACTTTACTCCTGCATTTAGAAGTTCGTGTATTTATATATACCTTTTTCTGCACATAAAAGCTTATCCCTGATGGAAGACTGAAACGGTTCTTCATTAGAAACGAATCAGTTTTTTTATTTTCGTGCTATGATTTAAGTATGCAAAAAGTTATAATTTTATATGTCTTGTTGTTCTGAGGATGATATCAAGATCATACTAACATTTGTTCACGCATTGTTATATACATTCATATAAATAAATATCAGCATAGGAGAAAGTGCCTTGGTGGGAAGACGAAAAAGTATCAGGAGATTTGATTATTCCTAACTTTTATTCTCCTTTAATGTTTGTTTATAATTATATTACTTTTACATTTTTCTCTAATGCCTTTCTTCCTTTTAAGCCTTTATTTTTTTTCGGTTCTTTATTCTACCAATTACATTACAGTAACGACAATGACAAGTACTATATGTATTGTGTAAGAGAAAACTCTTAAAAAAGGAAACCGTTCCAAATGTTTCAAGAAATCAGGAAAAAAAAAAGAAAAAAATGGGGATATATAGGAAGAAAAAAAAATGGGTATATATAGGGTTACTCAGAAAAAAAAAAAAAAAAAAAGGGGTGGAGGTGGAGGAGAAAAGTTCTTTATTTATTTTGTGCTTTTTTTACAATATGTTTATCTACATTTATTCATTATTTTAAAGGAATTTTTTTTTTTTTTTTTAAATCAGTCCAAATTGATGTTGTATAAATCAATGCCCCTTGAAGAAGAACCCTAATCTTACAACTATACTAGTAAATGTTTAGCGTATGTAAATGTTATTGTTCCATATATGCTAATAATTGGGTAATTTTTAAATTAATTTTCCTTTTTGCGTTTGTCATCAAACGATGAAAGTAATGATTAAAAGCGAAAATGTTAAACTTATCAAAAAAAAAAAAAATAAAATAAATAAAATAAAAAAAATAAAATAAATAAAAATAAATAAATAAATAAAAATAAATAAAAATAAATAAAAATAAATAATAAAATAATAATAATAATAAACAAGGAAGCAAAACTCAGTAACGTTTAATTTATGTATGAAAAAATGCCTCCATGACTGAGTGGTAGCTTTCTGGATATGTATATAAAAATGATGAGATTAAAAACATGGGTAAAATGGCGAATGCATATTCCCCTCTTTTCCTCCCCTCTTCTAATCGCCTTAAAAGAGTGGGTGTTTGTGTGTGGGGGGAGTGGTGGTCCATGTTATTATACATTCCTTTTTTTCTATTCCTTTACTTATGCCATTTTTGTGAAGGGGAATTGAATAAAATAGGACAGGACGCTATATATATTTCGTGTAGGTATTATCTACACAAATTATTTTTACGCCTTTTTGGTGATGATATTATATGATCGATTCTTTTTCCGGTCATGATTTTTCCCAATATATATAAATATATCTTAACTCCACATGTTTTTTTTATCTCCTTTTCTTTTCCGGGCGATGTACCTTGTGCATATCTAGCACGTACGTATGTACACAATATGGTCTAAGTGTTGTTTGTCTTTTATCTATTTTTTGGGGTTCGTGATATATTCAAAATAATTCGGGTGAATGGAATAGGAAATTTCATATCTCTGAAACTTTTATTCAGCTGGTGAGCATTTTGAAGAAAACACGTCATTTCCACTTTGATAAAGCTAGTTTGACTTTTTCATCCTTATGACCATCCAAAATGCAATACGTAACATGCAACGGTTTCCTTAATCAGCATTCTTACTGAACAAACTTATAACCATGGGAGTGGTTCTAATAATGAAAACAATTCCTGCTAATACGCGAATTTTATATTTTAGCTCGTTCAAGAGGATGTCCTTAGGGGATTCCTCATTTTCGTTTAACAAAAACATTTTTTAAAACTAATGAGTTAAAAAAAAAAAAAGAAAAAAAAAAAAAAAAAACAGGCAGTGCAAGGTGATGTTACGATTTCTCCTGTTTTTTCAAGCACTTTTTTAGCATCCTTTTCTTCGTCGCCCTTCTTGTTCACTTTGTGTATTGTTTTACAAATTTAGGAAATTCCGTATTATATATATGTTATATTATCACAAACTACTAACAGCGCAGTAGTTGCATGGACTGATTTTTTTTTTTTTTTTTCCTTATTTTTAATCTCCTACAGGTATGTGTTTGGTAAAATGTTTGCGTAAGTATGTACGTATTTATGTATGTACATTTGCATACACAATTTTAAATGTTATGTTTTGATATTTTATTTTATTTTATATTTTTCACCATTTATTTTTTATATTTAGAAAAAACAAGTACTTCCCCTTTTTTTTCCTTTTTTTTTTTTTTTCATTATTAAGTCCCAGAGGGGGAAGGCACCGAAAATTTATGAACTTTTTCAAGAGGAATTAAAAAGAAGATTAGATCGACTTCTACCCCTTTTTGTCGCCTATATGTTACAAGAGCTAGAAAACTTCCCCCCTCTAACAACATTTATCTGTACATGCAAATTTTTGTTCTTATGAAATATACTTAAAATTTTTTTTTTTTTTTTTTTGTATGTATGAATGTATGTAAAGTTCTTGTATGATACACAACTTAAAAATAATACAAAAGTTTATTCTTTTAGTCATCAGAATGGGGGAACATGAAAATTTTCGCGTTTTCATTTTTCATGCCTTTTTTTTTTTTTTTATTTTTTTCTCTCGTATAAACATTTTGTAACATAGTTACATAGATGGATTAAACAAAAGTATTTTCCCCAAAAACGTGTTAAAAAAAAAGAAAGAAAAAAAAAAAAAAAAAATTCGCGCAGAATATAAAGCACAGTCACATGGCTATATTTTGAATGTGCATTTTTTTTTTTTTTTTTAAATAGCATAGATTTTGAGTAAACGAATTTGTTGACACATGATTAATGTTGTCTGGAACTATTATAACAAGCACAGTAACATGCCAGCGTAGTGACACAAAACCTTTTTTTTGCCAATCCAGATGGGAAACAGAGAATATATATATATATATAGTGTGTGTAAAATTTTATCATTTTTCGTTTCTTCCCTCATTAAGGATTGTGCTATATTAGGTTTTATTCAATACATGTTGTATTTTTTGTTTTTGTTCTTGCTAACCCTAATGGTTGGGGGCACTTTCTAGAATAAAACGAAACTGAGTTTTGGATCATGCATGTATATAAGTCATATAAAACGTTTTTTTTTTTTTTTTATTTTCTTCCTTTTTTTTTTTTTTAAAAAAAAATATGGACAATTTTGAGCAATGTAGTGTCGTATGTACATGGGAAGCACGAATTATACTCCATGTGGTACTGCATACTTTTCCACATATACATTACATAACTTTCCCGTGGAGTTGTGCTAAAACGTGCTGATACGGCCATATTTGTATTTTCATTCATCCCCCCACGAGTTTCTAATTAATACGTTCATTATTCGTTCGTTTGAATTATTACTATGAAATTGTGGACACGTGCAAATATATGCATGGTTTATATTTGCAACTTTTCTTTAGCCCTATTTTTTTCAAAAAAAACACAAATTGTGTGTATATATATATATATATATATATATATATATATATATATATATATATATATATATATATATAGTATTTGTACTAATATACATATCTGCAAATTTAGAAGGCGCTTAAACGTCAGAATGAGGGATGGGAAAAGAAAAAGGTATACATGGGGGAAGATACAAAACATGCCCAAATGTGATGGAAAAAAAAAAAAGCACGACCATAAAAAAAAAAAAAAAAAAAAAAAAAAACATATATTTCGACTATTTCCCTATTTGGGATCACAAATAAATTTTCCCCTTTTTTTATTTTTATGTAAAAAAAGCAAAAACTTTCTGATTTTTCAAAACTGTAGACGAGTCAATCGAAAAATTTGCTTTTACACTTTTCGTTTTAGCAGATTGGAAATCCTAAATGTGTCGTACGAACGCAAAAAAAATGAAGAATTTTTCTTTATATATTATGAATGTGCAAAGTGGCACACGTGTAAATATTATTATGTACATCTCTATATTTTTTTGGATACAAAAGGATAAAAAATTCACATAAAAAAAAAAAAAATAAGCAATAATTTTAAAAAAAAAGGGGCACTGATAAAACATCTAAGGTGGGTAAATATTATATATACATATAATATACATATATATATATCTATAAATGAATAATTATGTTACGTATATTAACCTACATAATTAATTTGTGACAAACTTAATGTGAATAACGGACAAGATATAGCAAATGCAGAAGGGAAAAAAAAAAAAAATAATAAAATCAGCAAAATAATAAACCAATCCCACAGTCCAAAGTAAAATAAAAACGCGCAATAAAGTGAAACAAGGCTAAAGCAAAATAGGAAAAACGAAAATTTTGTGCAAAAGAAAAAAAAAAAAAAAATAAAAGTTTTTAAAAACACACGTGTTAGATATATAAATATATATATTATTATAACTATTTTTTCTTTTTCTTTTTTCTTTTTTCTTTTTTCTTTTTTCTTTTTTCTTTTTTCTTTTCTTTTTGTTTATTTTACGATTTTTTTTATGTTCTTTGCTCTCCAAAATTTTAACCGCGTTTATTTATGCTCTTGTAGAAAATTTTTTATGCAATTATGAAGGATGAATGCTTTTACATTTTAAAAAGTTAAAGGAGAAATTTTATTTATATATAATATACAATATATATATATATATAATATAAATATGCACATGTAGGAAAGTGAACCCTTTTATGTTATATACAATAGTGTACACGTCATTTATTATTTATATTACTTTTATAAAGTTCCCCCCATTTTATAATGTACTGTGCGCACACTATTATTTATGAGAATTTAAAACACTTTTTTTTTTTTTTTTTTTGAGAATAGGCAGAATTGAACCACTTAATTTTCATTTTGAAAGAGTGATTATATTATTTTACTTCTTTTTTGCTAATTTTGCATATATATTTTTATACGTATATTTATTATATATAAATATGTGTAATAAATGTCGATTGGTTAATTTTCACATATTGTAAAAACTTAATTTTAAGTGTAAATAAGTGTTTTTTTTTTTTTTTTCAAAACTCTTAAATAAAAAAAGAACAAAATAAAATAAAACAAGATGGAAGAAAATAAATCAAAATAAAACAAAATGGAACAAAATAATAGAAAGTAAAACAAAATAAAACAAAACAATATATATAAAATATAATGGGTGGGTGGTTGTATTCAGAAGAACACATAGGATAAACTTTTTTTTAAACTCTATTACGAAGAAGTTGTGAATTAGTTTTTGTTTAAGAATTTTTCGATCATTTTACTCGAAATCACATTTTTTTCCCCCCTTGTGGCCTTCACTACTTTACTTTTTTTTTATTTTTTTTTTTACTTTGTAATTATATACGAATATTTATATGTTTTTCAATTTTGTTTTTTTTTTTTTTTGCCCTGTAGAAAAAAAAATCTTAATTGGCAAACGAAAAAAAAATCTTTAAGAAAAAAAGTCATTCATTTGTTAAATTAGCGTACCCTACATGCAAGATAATATAAATATTTATTATATATACATAACAGCATATATATGCTATATATGTATTATATTATGTACGCACGTGCCCCGTTAGAGTAAGAATCTGTTTACGCCTTTTTTAAAACGAAAAAAAAATGAGCCTTTTTTAATTGTTATGATTTTAACCATTTTTGCACAAATTGCAAGGGGTTTTACATGAGTATATATGCAATATGCATAATTTTGTTACGTGATTAACCTATAAGATATGTAAATTTTTTCTAAGTACATTATTATCAGTTTTGAATTAATTGTATTTGTTCTTTGACTTTTCCGTTGTTTGTTTTTCGTAAATTTTGTTTTTCTTACGTTTGTTTTTCGTAAGTTTGTTTTTCTTACGTTTGTTTTTCGTAAGTTTGTTTTTCTTACGTTTGTTTTTCGTAAGTTTGTTTTTCTTACGTTTGTTTTTCTTACGTTTGTTTTTCTTACGTTTGTTTTTCGTAAGTTTGTTTTTCTTACGTTTGTTTTTCGTAAGTTTGTTTTTCTTACGTTTGTTTTTTTCACGTTAGTTTTTCTCGCGTTTGTTTTCCGTGCTTCTTACGTCCGCTCGTGCATTGCATTCCCTTTTTTTTTTTTCTTTTCTGTTGACATAAGGCAACATCCAAAATATAGAGAAGTGAGCACGAAGAAAAAACTCTCTTAAATAAACCGAGCAAACAATGTTGAATATTTTAAGATTTCTTTCCATATTTCCTTTATTCTATATGCACAATATATACATATACATACATATATATATATTTTATGCATTCCTGCACAATATCCCTTTTTGGATATGGGCAATTTCCTTATACCCCCCTCCTATTTTCATGTGATTGATCACATTTATTTACTCTGAAATACAAATAGTTAACACAGATAGTTATGTGTTATCTAAGAATTTGCCAATTATGCGTTATTTGTCTCTTTGTTAATTAATACGTATATTTTTGCCACAAGTTTGTAATTTATTTGTCACATATTTGTCATTTATTTGTCACATATTTGTCATTTATTTGTCACATATTTGTCATTTATTTGTCACATATTTGCCATTTATTTGTCACAAATTTGTCACATTTGTACATATTATTACATATTTTTACATATTTGTCATACTTTTGTCATATATTATTCATGTACTTTTCATTCGTTTTTTATTTTCATGTCTAATTTTTGTACAAAATTTTGGCAATATTCCGCTTGACACACTGTTCTTATTACAAAACAAAAGTATTGTTATGCATTTGACAACTGTGATCGAAACTGCAAAATCCCCCTTTCGTCCTATATAGTTATACAAACTAAAGAGGCAAAAAATATCATATGACATATATGAACGTCGAAATATGAATTGATTCAAAAGTGAAAATACGAACTTTGAAGAGCCAATAAAAACATTACCTACCTGAGGAATGAGGATAAAATATTTCATGAATTATATGAAACAAAAAATTACACCCAATATTGACTTACAGCTTCCTAGAAAAAGAAAACACATATAGAAAAAAAAAAAAAAAAAAAAAGAAGAAAAAAAGTATTCCTTAACATAGTTTCCACATAACATTTCTCTATGCATAATACAAATATCAAATTTTATTTTATTTTATTTTACTTTTTTTTTTTTTTTTTTTTTTTTTTTTTTTACGTTTCTTTAACCTCATTACCCTCACTAATTGATTTAAAAGGGAAATAATTACAGATGTATATTTACTGATTTGAAAAAAGACGCATATGATTATTTCTATATACATTTCTAAAACAAAGAAACGTAAGGCCAAGTGCCCATAAAACTTGTCAAGCAAAAAGTTCAAAAAAAGCGTCTCAATAAATTAACGCAAATTTTCTTATCAAGCCTGTGCACCAATTTGACTACAGAACTGACAACAAAATGACATCAGAAGAAAATATAAACTATCACTACAATCGAACAAATTCGAATATCTCACAGGATAAAAAAAGCCAAGATGATCCAGACAACGAAAATGAGATGGAAGTAAAAGATGAAGAATTAGAAGCAGAAAACCTTAGAAGATTAATTGCACCACTATCGAAAGAACAACTTATAGACATCCTAGCAACATCCGCATTAATACATCAAGATATACGTGATAAATGTAATGAAGCCGTTGCTTCTTCACCATCAACAAGAAGATTGATGGTCCGTAATATACCATTCAGTACACGTGATGAACAATTTTTAAAATATTTTGAAACCTTTGGAGAAATTGAAGATGGAATTATAGTAAGAGAAAAAGAAGGTAGATCAAAAGGATATGGTTTTGTTACTTTTAAATTTGTTGAATCAGTTCAGAAATGTTTAAAAACTAGTCATACATTAGATAATAAAGAATTGCAAGTACGATTAGTAGCAGATCCTTTTACTGACCATTATCAAAATAAATTATTCGTTCGAAATTTATCCCAAAAAACAAACGTTGCAACGTTAAGAAGTATTTTTGAAAAATATGGTAAATTAGAAGAGTGTGTTATTATACATGATAATGAAGGAAAATCTAAAGGATATGGTTTTTTAACATTTTCATCACCAAAAGAAGCCTTCAAAGTTATGCAACAGCCGGAACGCATTATTGATAATCGAGTTGTTTTCTTACATTTTGCCGTATCACAAAATTATAAAAAATTTCCAAATAATCAGACATTTATGAAAAAAAATCCAAATTATACGTATTATCAAAAAAGTAATATAAATAGTTTAAATAATATAAACACTCGTACGAATTATGTTAGAAGAGGACCAGTATATCATCATGAAAGTGAGACACCTAATACTTTTAATTACCCAATTTCATTTGTTCCAAATGTATACGCGAATGTACCTCATGGTTATCAGCTCAATTATCCTGCAAATTTGGAATCATTTAATGCCTTTTACAACAATGCAAGGTATTAATTTCTTTTTCCTGAAATTTGTTCTTGAAGTTTTTTAAACACGTAACATTTACAATTAAAAATATGTTACCACCCATGTCCAATTTTTTTTTTTTTTTTTTTTTATTTTCCTGTATTTTTTTTTTTTTTTTTTTTTTTTTTTTTTTTTTTTTTTTTTTTTTTTTTTTTTTTTTTTTTTTTTTTTTTTGTAATAATATATTCTTACATGTATTAATGTATCGATGCATACACATTGTATATATATAAAATATTGTGAAGTATATATACTCATTATGCTGCTCTTCCATGTTGTTTTATATAACATTACGTTTACCTTTACACAAATGTGTATGTATATAAATAAATTCACACAAAGCACCTCTACAAACCATACATTCATTATTTACTCACATTCTACATGCTTACGTATAATGAATAGCATTATTTAAAAAAAAAAAAAAAAAAAAAAAATTTGCTTTCATGCTATAATGATCATTATTTTGATGGATAAAATAGCATACTGGCAAAAACAGACTTGTTGGATATATAACATATGTATACAATACATGTGCATATATTTTGCATATATATAATATGGTACATAAGCGTATAAACATACGTTACAATTGTATATTCTTATTATGTGCATATATTATCTATGCACATTCATGTGTTCATGTTGATGTTTATGCAAATTCGATAACCCACCAATTTGGCATTTAAGCAAGTGTACACTTTTGGCCTCTGATGCCAAGGTGTATACAACAAATATAAAACTTATTTTTGAAAATTTACCTTTTATAAAAAAAAAAAAAAAAAAATAAACACATACAAGTACGCATACAATTTGTCCATATACCAGTAAAAGGAGGAATAAAAAATACATATGTATATGCATATATATATTACCACTTCTTTCTTTATATGCTGTCAAAAAATATATGTGTTTTAAAATGTCTGAGGAATATGTTATAATAGCAACTTATCTAACACAACACAGATAGACTATTTTCCTTTTTACTGCATATTAATATCTGGGGATAAGAAAGGAAAAAAAAAAAAAAAAAAAAAAATTATAAAAGGGGGGTAGGTGGGTGTAATACGTCTCACTTTATCTCAATCTCATTAGGAGTAACAGTTCGGTTTTTACTAGTGTACCACTTATTGGTATAATTTCTCACCTTTTTGCGATATTTATGTATGAAGCATCATAAATATATTATCTATATATTTTAGGATACATGCTTATTTTTATTTCATTTATATATATGCATATATTTTTTTCACTATTGGAATTTCCTAAATCTGCACATAGTTTATCGAATACCCACCATTAAAACAAATACCAATTTAGGTCCATCTATTATACAACAATTTTGAACCATTGAATAATGAAGAAATAAAGAAATAAAAAAAACGGAACAGGGCCAAGTCAGCCCGTAGGACTTAGCACATGGCCATAATGAGGTGGTTTCTCTTAGTGACTTGGAGAAAGGAACTTTTTTATTTTTATTTGCTTCAATTTTATACTCACCAAATTTTGTCACAAGAACGGGACAATGTATATATATTTGGAAGTGCAAAAGTTCCAACACGTGAGAGATATTATGGGTGCTTGCTCATCACAAAGGACAATATAAGAATCAGGAACCAAGATCGATTTTAAGTGCATCGATAAAAGATTTTAAAATTTTAACTTGCATGCAATGCTTTTATAGACATACATTTTTACCATATGTCCCTGTGCATTTAAATTTACAGCTGATTTAATAGGAGCAAATCATAAAAAAATAAAAAAAAAAAAAGAACCATGTAAAAAAAAAGCAACTCCAGAAAATGTTCAAATTTATGGAAAAATTATTTCAACAGTAAAAATAAATATAAAAACTGAAAAATGTACAATAAAACAAATTAAAATAGTCTTTTATTGTGACAAGAAAAAAGTGATTTTTAACGCCCTTGTGTTTTTTCATAGGTTAAGCCTTCACTGCAAACCGTGGAAAAAAATAATAAATAAATAAATAATGTATAATTGAATAAAAAAAAGTAGAAAACAAAATAGTTGACCAAGTTGAAGTGACAAAAAAAAAAAAAAAAAAAAAAAATACTGGCACGAATAAGAATGTTAACAACTCCAGAAGGCATACAATTATGGAAAAATTAGAAGGCTAAAGTTTCTCTAATTGTATATATATATATATATATATATATATACATATTATTACAAAAAGGTACGAAGCAGTGAGTAACACAAAAGGAAAGCATGCCACTAAGTTCTGCACGCGTAGATCGACAAAAGAGGAAACCAAAAAAAAGTAAGAAAGGTGGGGTAAGGGAAATTACAAATCTGCAAAATTTTTCATATGAAGATTTGATAAAGTACGTCTCACATTAAGTAAATGGCACCATCCAATTTGCACAAACTAAGTTACTGGGAAGAAGTATATCAAGGAGAAAAGGAAAATTACGACGAATCAAACATCGTACCGGAAGAATGGTTTGAAGAAAATTGTGACAAAATAATAAATTGGGTGAATAACCATTTTAAAGAAGAAGAAAAAAAGAACGTGTCAATACTTGACATAGGATGTGGAAATGGATTATTCCTACACAAACTGCATCAACGGGGCTTCAAAAAATTATGTGGGTTTGATTTTTCTGAGAATGCTATTGAACTAGCTAAAAAGTTTCTTTCCGAAGGAGATAATAATAGGAACATTAGTAGTTGCATTAATAACAACAGCAATCATAGCAACAACCATAGCAATGGCTATAGCATTAATGGTAGCAATAGATACAATAATGATGAGACACATATCCAAGTGTTAGATATATACAACATTGAAAAAGAAATTAATGACAAATCAAAATTGAAAAAAAAATATGATCTGTTAAATGATAAAGGCACATTTGATATATTTTTTATGAATAATAAACCGTATGAATACTTTAAACACGTTTCTTTTTTTTTTCAAGTTAATACTCTTTTTTGCTTAACCTCGTGTAATGCATGCAAGGAAGAATTATTAAATATTGTTAAAAAATTTAATGAGACGAATACAAAATTTGAGTTGTCTTTATATGATGAAATTTGTTATAAAACAATAACCTTTGGAGGCATAACTGGACAGATTATTACTACATTAATTTTTTTATGCTCTTAATTTTATATCAAAAATGGGGAATTTTTTCTCTTCTCCCATATGTTCTTAGATCCTCCATCTTTTTGTGTTAGATCTTCTATCAAATATAGAAGTGTCAACGAGGGGAGGGGGGGGGGGAAATGGACAAGTGCCATATAAATTTGTTTGAATATATACACAAACAAACACAGGCACGCACAGAGATAGTACACATACATATACACTCGCTATGGGTATAGAGACTTATATATAGTTCATTGAATTTTTTGAAGTAAGAACTCCTAAGCTTGGTTTAAATATGCTTACGAGAGTTACACCCCTTACGCATGTCGACACTCAAATTTTCATCATTCTGTTCCTTTGAATTTATGCGGTACCACATAGGGGAAAATCTCTGATCCCTTTATAAGCAAAGGTTGACTAAATGAAATGCACAGAAAAAAAAAAAAAAAAAAAAAAAAAAAAAAACACAAGTTCTTAAAATAGTATTTTACAAAGACGATGGTGATGCAAAGAGGATTCATAGAAGTGCTTCATCAACTTCTTATATGTCAATGTATGTTTTCTGCTTCATGTGGAGAATAAAAAGCACAGAGATTCAAAAAAAAATAAGGCAAAATTATCACATCTCATATATCAAGTTCTGTGAATAAAGCAATGGTTACACATATACATATGTTTTCACTTTTATCCTTCCCCTTTATTATGCTTCATGCTTTACCTGCAGTTTTATTTTTACTTTATGTTTATCCACATGAAAACAAATCTACAATTGTGCGAATAAAAGTTGTGCGTTCTTTGGATGAGTAAAAACGTATGCTTCTCTGCTGATATTTTTTTGCTTTACATTGCTTCTTTTTTTTTTCAATATTGAAAAATTATTCGAAAAAGAACGTTTCTATTCTTTTAATCTGAGTCAATTGAGGGTCCCAAAATATGATATAGTCCTGTTAGAAGTAGAAATAAAAGAGACAATTCGCTTCTTTTAATTTTTTTTTTTTTTTTTTTTTTTTTTTTTGCTTCATGTGAGATAAATGGTTATTCAACTAATCATCATAGTGTAAAGCGATGAGATTAAAATCGATGTGGATATTAATATCGAAGTAGAATTGTAGTTGCACACAAGCGAAAATGTTTTGGTTATACGTGTTTGTGGAAAAGGGAAAAAAAGTGCATACTGCACATGCATGTTTGGATATATATATATATATATATATATATATATATATATCCATACTTTCCTGTTAACTAATTGAGATAATGCTCTAGCGAGTTTGTGTAACCATGTGGAGACTTCCACTTGGGATAATTTTTTTTCATTCTTGTTATTGTCGCTTTGATATTATTTTGCTGTTCTAACCTTATGGTTCTATTATTTGCCGCCCTTTCTTTTTTTTTTTTTTTTTACCTCCACTTAAGCACATGTGAAAGAACACATTATGGAAATGAAAACATATTGTTGTGGTCATTTCAATAAACATATATGCACGCAAAACATGTTTTTGCTTTAGCACATGTATTGAATAGCCTAATAGTTATCTCTCAAGAATGAGTTCAGGTGGGAAACTTTATGAATGTCAACATGAATTTTTATGAGGATGAGAGAAATAAGGGCATCCCAGAGAGGAAAAAAAAAAAAAAAATAAAATAAAAAAACAAGCAAGCTAGAAGAAGGCGAAGAAGAAAATAAATAAAATAAAATAAAGGGAAGGAAAGCGAACAAAGTGTAAAAAAACAAAAGAAAAAAAAAACGTTGGGAAAGGCTGGGTGGAGTAGATCAAGGTGGAAATGAGGAGGTATGCAAAATACACATCTCTCTTTTAAAATTACCCTTATTCAGATATTTGCTAAGATGATCAAAATAATTTTATGCATCCTATTATCATTGACATTTGTTCCAAGTATGATTAAAAAAAAAAAAAAAAAAAAGGAAAGGAAAACTAAAAATGAGCAACTATAATGGTGCAAACAAAATAATGAAACAAATGGGACAGCGTAAGATTAATACAAACCTCTTGGTACCTACAACGATATGTCTGTCGACACATTAGTTGTGACAAAATCGACTAGTCATCCCATAAGTATATTAATTAATGAATTAACATACACTGTCTTTTTTTTTTTTTTTTTTTTTTTTTTTTGGTTCTCTCATCCCTCGTTGTAGCTATTTTCATTTATTCGAAATACACCAATGAAAAGAAGAACGCTCTCCCATTAATAAAGAGGCATATACGTGGAATCAAACCACACTTTAACATTTTAACAAAAATGAAGAATTACACAGTTAAGGCTATATACAAGACAAAGGTTAGTTCCCCATATGACATCAACTAATGAATCAGTTACTTATTAACGTTCTTATTCCTCATGCGAAATGTTCCACTCGTATATATATATATATATATATATATGTATATCCATATGCGCACTACCGAGAAAAGAAAAAAGAACTCCCATTATCATTATCACCTACCCATTTTGTAGCTACTGACATACGTAAATGATATAAATAATTTAAACTTAAAGAATGACAAAAAAGAATTTTATTTAATCGCCCTACCACTCAGTGACAAATTCAACCCGTTTGTCGGTAGGTCCCAAGATCTTCCTTAAAGAGTGTACCCTTTTTTAGCTACATCTCATATGTGTGTTCCATAAGGATGTTTCATGCCTATGTTCCATATGCATGTTTAGTTGTTATATTGAGAAAGACACAAACATACCCACCTACATGCAGTGATTTAAGGGGGAATTTTTTTATTATTTTTTTTTTTTTTTTATTGATTTTATTTTCCTCACACAATACTTGAAACTATGCAGGCACATTCTGTCACAATAATATTCAATACAGTGATAAAGCTTCCCTCCCAGTGTTCATATACGACATTGTAAGTGGATACCAGGGTGAATTCATACACATGCTGCTGAACTTTTGGTGCGTTACACGGTACTACTTCTCCATCAATGTATTATATATAGCGTTTCACCCATGAATCTTTCTTCATTCGAGGCAGCTCCTGAATAAGCACATTGAAGTGCCGTGGAATTTTGTAATTGAAAAAGTGGACATAAAGAAAACTCACTTTTATAAAAATGTATGCATGTCAGATGCGAATAAGTTCTATTCCTATCAAAACATTAACAGTAAGTTTTCTTGTCGAACAATTGAGAGTACTTTTTAATCAAAACATGTTTATATTTTAGCTTTTGCTTTAGTTTTATTTTTTGTCACGAAGGGTCAGCCTTAGTGATAGCTATTAAACCAACACATCTGCATAAAGAACTCATTTCAATGTGAGAACTTCCAAGGCATTAATTTTATTGTTGCATATTTTCTTTTATTCACAGAATTGGATAGAGTATTCATTAACGTACTAGACTTCAAGTCCAAAAAAAATTTCATCTTTTTACCCACGTGGATTATGAAATCCCTGCAACTTGAGTATAAAAAATAGAGAAGAAAAAATAAGAGAAGACAAAAAAAAAAAAAAATAAATAATCATATCAGAAATTGTTATTCCCTCGAAAAATTCCCCACTTTTTTTATTCATTTTTTTTTCTCATTTTCCATCTCTCTCCTCCACTTTTTTTTTATTACCCATACAGTTGTTTCGATGTCGTTAGACTTCGATTTGTTAAATTGGAAACAGCAACAAGTGTTATTTTGCAGCCCCACCATAAGAAGTTTTTCGAATTAAGTGACCCAAAGGTTTGGAAAAATGAATAAAATAAAAACAAAGGAAAAAGCATGAAGGGGAGAAAGGTGGAGAGGGGTGGCATTATGTTGTACTTGATTATAAGAAAAAGTTTTAATCCCTGTCGCGTGCTAGTCCATATAGTGTGTTCTGTATCGCAATATATTTCACCACGTCATCGTGGTATCATTTCACAATTTCATCATTTCACAACTTCATCACTTCACAACCACCCGAAATAGAAAATACTAGAGGAGAAGCTGAGGTATTATTCTTGCCTTACAAAAAATGGCACAATATGCATAAACCACGACAACATCGATTACTACTTTGACGTTGTGATGATCGATTCGGGTAAGAATTTGAATGATGCATCTAATATGAACAGGTGCTCATGTATGTTCATGCGGGAACGAGACTAAACTCCAAATCAACTTCGAAGTCAACCATACAAATGATAACCATTCTCCATCACACCTACACACCATGTACAGGAAAAAAAAAAGATGTCGAAGTAGCTTCCATTCAAGATGCAGACGTCATTTTCGATTTTGTAAAGGAAAAATATGACAAGTGAAAGAAATATTTTAAAAAAAACCAGAATTGTGATACAAGCTGATTTGAAGCTGATTTGAAGCTGATTTGAAGCTGATTTGAAGCTGATTTGAAGCTGATTTGAAGCTGATTTGAAGCTGATTTGAAGCTGATTTGAAGCTGATTTGAAGCTGATTTGAAGCTGATTTGAAACTGATTTGAAGCTGATTTGAAGCTGATTTGAAACTGATTTGAAACTGATTTGAAACTGATTTGAAGCTGATTTGAAGCTGATTTGAAACTGATTTTTTTTTTTTAATCTTTCGTCATTTGGCTATCTGTAGAATGTGCCTCACAGCATATTACTTATGTGTTTGTTTGAGCATAATAATGTACAAGTGAAATATCCTAATTTATTATTTTTTTTTTTTTTTTTTTTACTATTTTATTACTACTTTATTATTATTGTTTTTATTATATTTCTTTTTTAACACCCAAATTTTCCTAGTTTATACATGCATAAAAATCTGTGAAACTTTTTTGTTCACACACGCGTGAAATTAATTTAAAAAAAATAAAATAAAGAAATGAATAAGAAAAAAGAATAAAAAACGTAAACGCAAAAGGTAAACGTGAACGAAAGAATAAAATCAAAAATAGCCATTCAGTTTTGAAATGCCACTTACATATTATAGAAAGAAAGTGTTACATACAGAAAAAAAAATAAATAAAATAACAAAATAGCAATTAGCAAAATGAAGAAGCAACAAAGAAACAGACCAATAAAAGCAACGAAATAATGCTGATTAAAAAAAAAAAAAAATATATTTACATAAATATATTTAAGGAAAAATATTCAAGTCAATGAACCTTTAAGCAAAAAGAGAATAATTAACACACGGGTAAAAAGCATGTCAGGGAAATAAATTTCTCGTATGATAGACAGTAGACACGAAGGATAGAATTGGGCACATTAGGAAAAGATTCTTTAGAATCAGAGGAGAAAGATATCTCATCGGTGCTCATGTGCATCAAAAATTAAATGCTATAATATAGGGACGAATAAAACGGCATGAAAATGAATTTTCGTGATGCAATAAAAGAGTAAGTGAAAAAAAGGCACAGAAAACGCGGGAAAACATCGAAATGGAAACAAAAAAAAAAAAAAAAAAAAAAAAAAAATTCAAAAGAGAAAAATGAGGAAAAATAAGATTGAGAGGATAGAGAAATTAAGAAGGTAACGAAAGACATGACTGAATTCCCCAATGATGCCTCCCTCATTCTGCTAAATGGTAGAGGATAAGTTTTTTTTTTTTTTTTTTTTTTTTTTTTTTTTTTTTTTTTTTCGATGCGTCGATGAAAAGAGCACATCTCAAACATAAAGATAAAAAGACAATTTGGACAAACCAACCACGTGTGGTATAAGACTAGTGACACACGAGGCAAACAAATTTCCGATCCCTAAGGCATTTCAAATGATACATATGATTACAAAAAAAAAAGGCAAGAATGTTATTATTTCTGTTTTTTTTTCTCTTACCCAATGATGCATATGCATGACGATAAATATTATGCTGACATAAACTACAAAAGGAAGAAAAATTCGAAACATATGATTTATCATGAATCTGATCATAAAAATAATAATTTGGTGGTATTTCTCTTTGAATATGTAGAGGTAGTAATTCTCCCATGCTTCCCAACCTCTCCTCTTCCTCCTCTTTCTTTTCTGCTGATGTATTATCATTCATGTATGGCATTAACAGATCCAACTGTTTCCAAGTTTCATCATTACTACTTTCATTCAAAAAATAGTAATCATTTATATCTAGAAAATATAAATGATTATTTTTTGTTTCTTTTTTTATTAATCCATTATATATTGCATAACCTTTTTTTTTAATTTCATTCAAATAATTGAAAGTGTTCGTTTTGCATCCTATCAATATTTTGTTATAGTTATCGCAAAGTTCATTTGCGTAAAATAATTCCTGCAGGAGGTTCACGAGAGTTACATAATGCATTTCGTCACTTAAATTATCAATTAGATACTTTTTTATAGCCATTTTTTTATGCTTATTTAATGATGAATCCCCACTCCACGCGGAAAGAACCTCCTCCATCCGCTTCTTACTATTGCTCCTACTGCTGCCTTTGCTGCTATTACTCTGAAATTTCTGTATGCTTTTTTTATTCTTGTTCTTACGAAATAGTTTATCTTTTTTCCTATTCTTTGTATTTCCATCGTCATACAAATTGTACATAATTTCCCTATTCAAATTATCAAAATGGGCATTTCTTCTCTTCACATAGGATTCGATAATGCTATAATTCCCTCGACTTTTCGATTCTCCCTCTAACTGAATTCTGTTTTTTCTTTTTGCAAAAGTTGAATTGTCGTCTGGATGACCATATCCATAAGGCTCACTTCTCAAATCAACACAACTATTATCATCCTCATTCGAACGGTTCCCATTTTGTAAATGCGTTTCATCTTTACCCTCTTTCTTTTCTGCTCTCTTAAAAGTAAGCAATTTTTTCACTTCAGTTACATTATGCCCTTTTTTACTTTTGGCATCCAAGTTATCATCCGATTTGTTAACTTTGCGAGAGAGAACGTTGCCCAGTTCATCTCTCTCACCAACACAGTTAATATCGTTAGCATCGTTAACATCAATCAAATCTTTCTCCTCCTTAACATCATTCAAACTGTTCTCCTCCTTATCATCATTCAAATTTTTCTCCTTGTTAACACCATCAACACCAGTATCATCGATTACACAATTTGCAAATGGCGTTGAATTGAATATATAATCATTACCACCCATTGATAAGAAAAATTTTCTCCACTTTTTCCGATTTGTTGTCATGTCAGCTAAGGAATGAATGTCGATAAACATTTTATCTAATAATCCTCCTTCTTTATCTATATGGCTTAAAAAAGTAGCATAATTTGAAGACGTCAAATTATGCTTTACCTTTTTCATTACATCATCATCAATTGACACATTATGAAATTTCATAATGTAAAATATTTCAGCGTAATTACTTAATTTTGTGTATATTTTTAATGCCTTACTTATGTACCCAAATTTTAGGTACAAAAATGCTTTAACGTTCAGAAAAAAATTCACACGTTTCTTACAATTTTTTGAGCAATATTTTACAAAATTAAACAATTCAATCAATTTTTCCCTCTCAATTTTCTCGTTCAGTAGATGCCTATACAGTAACATAACTCTTTTGTTTTCAAAATGATTAACTTTCGATTTGGTGTAATTAGGCACACTGCTTTGAGATTTTTTCTCCTCCCCTTGTTCATTATTTTGGTATTCATCACTCTTTGGTTCTTCCTTTATTTCATTTCCCTGCACTGTGTCATCCCCGTTCTTTATCACATCAGTGTTTTGGGTGGCAACCGGCACGTGTGCAACTTCGATCGGGCCTGCTTTTGTCTCCGTTTCCACATCCGCAGCTTTTCCCACTTCTGCAGCTTCTTCCACTTCTGCAGCTTCTTCCACTTCTGCAACTTCTTCCACTTCTGCAACTTCTTCCACTTCTGCAACTTCTTCCACTTCTACAGCTTCTTCCACTTCTGCATTGTGGAGATGATTAAAGAAGGATATAAAAAAAAGGACGCGCTTGAAACTTATGTACTTATAATACTTGGATAGAAAATTTAGTAATAGTAGAGGCTCAAATATAAACATGAGGAATAGAAACAAATGTGCGTATCGAGTCATATATTTTTTATCTTTTATATGCTTCAAATATGTGTACAGGAAGAATGGCTTTTTTTTTAATTTTTTTATCACATCATTTGGATCGAAGAAATATTCATGGTTGCCTTTTTCCTTTACTTTAACGATAAGTAACAATTTAGCAGTTTTAATTTTACTTAGTCGAAATAATTTTATAACAAAATTTTCTATTATTTTTTTAAGCACTTGCCAACTACATTTATTTAAATATGAAAACACTTTTTTATTTTTCATCTCAATTAACATTTTTATAATCTCCATTTTTTTTACGTTGTCAAATTCCTTTTCAAACACACTCCAATGGTGTGGTGAATATTTTTTAACGAACTCTTCATAATTTAGAGGGGTATTACTATGATATTCTCCTTTGCTAGAAAAGTAATCATTCGTCAGATTTTTTAACGTTAGTGTGTTATTAGTATAGATACTACACGATTTCTTCTTCTTTTGATTTTTTCTTATTTTTCTGTTTCTTCCTTTTTTTCCTTTCTTTTTTTTCAACTCTTGTTCTTCTGTGTATCCCTCCTCACCTTCCACTACAATTTTGTTATTTGGATTGTTCCACATGGTCCGTTCTCCTGTGTTTTTTACATATGTCATGGTCGTTGCTTCTGCATTTTTCCCTATCGTAGCTTCTACATGTGTGCCTTCCTTGACTTCTATATGTACCATACCCTCGTCGTCGTCGTCCTCCTCCTCCTCCTCTATGTTCCCATCACTCTTTTTTTCTTCAGTTGGAAATTTCATAGTTAAACAAATTTTCTTTTTTTCATCATTATAATTGATCCCCTCATTATATCCATTATTATGCTGCAGAAGCAGAGACTGGTGTGGCAACTTCTCGCAGCCAGTATTAAGTTCGTTGGTCTTACGTTTGCACCTGGGATTACTACTCTTTTCGTGGTGAGCAAAATTATTTGTTCTTATTACGCATGTGTTTTTCTCCTTACAAATATCGTTACAAATATATATTTTTTTAATTTTTTTTGTGCATTCTTTGTTATTTTCTTCTTGTGAATAACACGCAGTTAGCGGATTCTTCACTTGTTTATCTTTCTTCCTACCTTCAGTTATTTCTATATCATGATTTGTTCCTTCACTACTACTATCACTACTTCTGCTACTGCTTCGCAAATCTGGCTGGCTTTTTCTTTTTTCTTTTTCTCTTTTTTTTTTTTTTTTTTTTCCTTCCTCCCTATTCTTAGGTAATACTGCCGAGAATATCACAAGAGGAATTTTAAATTTGAAAATTATCTTATTGAATTTTTTTTTTAAAAGTATTTTTTTTTTTTTTTTTTTTTTTTTTTTTTTTTTTTTAAGTTTTTTTTTTTTTTTTTTTTTTTTTTTATCATTTTTTTTCAGGATTTCACAAAAGTAGCAGTTGCGTCTGCTGTGATCAGAGCAATTATTTTTGAAGTGGCCTCCACCAATGTCACAAACATCGCCACTACTTACTGTGGTAATGATTCTTCCATTTGTGTTTCTTTCGTTTCTTCCTCTAGAGAAGGAGAAGCAACTACTACAAATTTCTTTCCTCAAAGTAGATAAAGTGTCGTCCTTCAGGTAGTGTGCGATATGCTTAATTAACATGCAAGCATTTAAATGAGAGTCGGGTGAAATTTCGTAAATCTTTTGAAATTCGCAAATATCAGTGAATAACAAAAAAACCAAAAATTTGTTAAATAGTTTTTTCGTTATAAAAAAGGAAAAAAAAAAATTTTCTTCTTTTTGCAAACGGAGAAGAATTTTTTTTTTTTTTTTTTTTTTTTTTTTTCTCTTTTCTTCTATCTTGTCAAGGTGTTTTTTTGCTCTTTTCATAACGCTATTTTTTTTCCTCCTCGTAGTCGCATGATGAAGAATATATATAATACTTTTAACTTTTTTTTTTCTTCTTTTATGCAACATTATGAACCTTTTTTTATCACCTCTTGCGTGTAAGGAATAATTTCTTTTTTTTTGACATTTTCTTTCTTCTTTTAATTTTCTATAAAAAAGTGAAAGAATGTAAATTTTTCTGTAAAGGAAAAATGCTTTAATGATGTTGTAGATAACCTTTTTTTTGTTACAGAAGTGGTTACACATCATGATAAATATTTCAGCTGCAATGAAATATTTTTTGTGTTCTAAAAAGGCGTATATAAAAAATAATACAATTTCAGTTAACTCTTTTCTGCAACTTCTTTCTTTTCTTAATTCATTGATTAAGAGAAATATATTTTTTCCATTTTTATTATTCTTTTCGATAAGCTCAAAAACGAACTCCATAATTCTTTTCGATCGAAATTGAAAAAAGCTGTTGTTTCCATATATGTACAAGCTGGACTGTTTTTCATTATTTCCTTTTCTCTTCATCAAATTGCAACCTATTTTCTTCTTAAACTTTATGTATTGGAATATGTTCCTTGGGTATGCTTCAGTTCGATCAATCATTCCGTGGGAATTCTCCAAGTATCTGCAAGCATCCTCGTTATAGTCCACGTTCATATTATTTGTTCCTCCCATTTTTGTGTCACCATCACAACAAGTTGTAAAGGTTAATAATGTCCCTTGTCCTTTGCAAATTGTTTCCTTTTTTTCATCTGACCTTAATGCATATTCAAGATAAAGATACTTTCTACACATTAAATAATTGTCACTTGTTAATATGAGATGTTCCACAAGGGTGCGTGGTCTTGCTTTCACATCACTCACCTCCAATGTGTAACCCGAGGACGTAATTACAGACATGCAAAATTTGCTATCACATAATAAATCCTGATGGTAATCATAATATGGACTTATGCTGAGTATATAATTATCTACATCAAAATTACTCAAAACGTTTATTTTCTCAATTCCGTTTGTTTTTTCAATTTTTATAATTTTAATATTTTTTCCGAAAGCAATAATGAAGAACCCTTTTTGTAAATTGCATATATGAGCGGAATTAAACCAGCAGTTTGTATTTTGTTCATTTGACAAATTTCCCAGTTTATCATTATAATATTCTTTCTTTTCCTTGTCATTATCGACGAATGGAAAATCAATATTAACATCGGTTTCATTATTTAAACAGTGTGTATTCCCAAATTGTCTTTTTTCGTTCATTGGGAAAGTTGTGAAATTAGTCAATTGTGTGAAATTTGCCAATTGTGTGAAATTTGCCAATTGTGTGAAATTCGCTAAATTCGTTTGAGTACCGATGGCCGGGTCAGTTAAAAGCATATTCGCAATTTTCGTTTTGTCAAAAAAATTGGTTATGAAAATGGACGAACTTGTGCATACAAAAATGTAAACGTTGTACCAGTATAAATTTAAAATGTTTTCCTCTTTAAACAAAACAGTGTTGTTTATATGAAATTCATAAATATATAAAATAGACACAATTTTACTCGATGTCAAGGTGCAAATGTTATTACTGTGGTAATTGTCAAAGTAGGGATTAATTATGCAACAATTTAAGTTTTTTACATTATAGCTAGTAATGTTATTATAGAGAAAAGCCTGTGTAATTTTTTTCTCTTTTTTCGTTAAATTTGCATACTTTTCATCGTTTAAATATATAGGTTCTTTATCTTTATCAAAATATTTGGTCCTTTTATCATCTCTTCCATTAGGTGCACTTGTACATTCCATGTTTTCGTCATTCTTATTGCTTTTTTTGCTTAATTTAAAATTTATACCTTTCAGCATGCTTGTCCCATTTAAATGTACGAAATAAAGATGATCACAGTTGTCAGAAAAACAAAGAGCATTTTCCTTTTCGCTAACTGACATATTTTTTATACCCGAATCAGTTATCTGTCTGTTCAGAATATTGTTGTAGTTTTTGTCAAATATACTTACAATTCCACCTGAACAACCTATTAGAAAAATGCCTTCAAAAATATATAGACTTGTGATGTAGCAATTGTCAAATGTGTGATTTGAACATTTGCAGCAGTAGTGGTTGTTATTTCTTTCTTCTTTACTCATTTTCTGATCATCCAGTATTATGTTTGGGTCACCATCTGATGTAGTTCTCGCGTTGTAATTACCACTTTTATTAGACCCTGTACTTTTGCAATAGCTGTTCACTAACATTTCCTTCAAATTTATGTATACGCAATAATTTTCCATTTTTCTCTGATCGTTACATTTTTGCAATTTTCTCATATTCAAACACCTGTGAATGTATTTCGTTCGCTTCCTTTTTCTATAACTTTGTATATCCATATCTTTAAAGTTTTTTTCTGTACATATGGAGAATAAGGAATTTGGTACTTTCGTCATTTTGTTAAGCTAACTTGAGTTTTCCTGAATTTCATATTTTTTTTTTTTCCTAAATATTATGATATTTTCTTAATTCATTTTTGAACATTTTTCTATTCTTCGCATTATATAAATGTTTTTTTTTTTTTTTTTTTTTTTCATTAACTATTCATACATTTTTACCTTATTTTACATTTTACTTATTTCCTTTTTAGCAGAAAAAAAAAAAAAAAAAAAAAAAAAAAAAAACTTATATGTGCTTTATTTTATTTTTTTTTTTTCACTTCCATATTCCATTCAAAATGTACATTCAAGTTTGTTCTTATCCAGCTCTTATTCCTTATTTTAGTGGAAAGTTCAATAGGCTCCTTTATTACCATATTGATAGAAAGCTCAAAATAAGTTGTTATAAGAGTACAAAAAAATTGTTTTTAATTTTATTTTTTTCACACAGTAAAGAGTTTACGATGGATGAAATGACTTACTTATTTTTTTTTTTATTTCATTCTAATATAAATTTACAACTGTGAAAACCATTTTAATAGAACATATTTTTATTTTACTTATCTGTGTTACACATTAGGAGACCAACATGTTTATAAATATTCGTTATGCAATTCCCCGAATCACTAATCATTACACATTTTAACATTGAAATGTATGCATACAAATAACCGTGTTCTCAATTTGTCATATACATGTTGCGTGGAAAAATGTATACTACTTTTTTTTTTTTGTTTTTCTTTTGTCTACATAATTTTTCTTGTGCAACTTTTTAGCATTTTTTTTTTTTTCTTAGAACTTTCCCGAATTGTGTGTATTTAAGTGCGTCCAATTTTGTTATTAACTGGTCAAGGAAAAAAGTTTTATAATACAATTTGTAATTTCTTTTTTTCTTTTTTTTTATTTACACAATGTAAAAATTATGATATGTTCAGGTTAATATTTCTTATTCAGTCGTTATTTCACTATATGGCTAACTCTTCTGATGTATTTTCTCCCCTTATCAATTTTTTTTTTTTTTTTCCATTTATCTTGTGTTAAATATTGCATGGGTATATATCTACTGTTGTTGCAAAAAGGGAAACTCTGTAAGAAATATATATTACGAGAGTGTCCATTAATATGAAGATTAAATAAAATTTCTACAATGAAAAATTTTCATATTAGCCGTTGTACGTATTTTTATTTGTCACTAAATGAACCCGTTGCATTCGTTGGTTCATTGTTCGTGCGGAAAACCTCAGAAAGGTAGAAGCAAAAAAAAAAAAAAATATAGCATATTTTTTTTTTGTTTTTTTTTTTTAAGACATTTTAAAAAAAATTAAAAAGAATTTTTTTCTGACTTTTTTACTATTCACTACTAAAGTGAAGTTGCACAGCAGAAGTAAAATTAACAAAAATGCGTGCATGCATCACCTTATTCAAATGCACTTTAGTTCATATTTGACATGCGTACAGCGCAAAGAAAAAACATGAAGAATATAAAAATGAACGACAAAAATGGAAAATCAAAATAAATTTCGCCATCGTTGCATAAAAATTCACAAACATTATAAGTTTGTTCTTTTTTAGACAAGATAATTTTGCATATCTGAGATGTGAAAAAAAGGAAAAATAATAAAATGCATGAAAAAGGCACACACAAAAAAACACACAGTTGTTTACCATTTACAACTGATAATACCAAAATATTTCAAGTGAAAAAAAAAGTTATTTTGCGCATTTACATTTTCCAAATTCCTCTTTTTTTTTTTTTTTTTTTTTTGTTTTTCATTCAAAATTGGGTGACAACTTTGCAGCTAAAATGTTTATCACTGAAATATTTTTAATTTACAATTTGAAATCTTTTTTTTCGTATATAGAGGAACAGAAAACGTTGCGTCTTCTTCATGAACAAATGGGTTTCACACAAGTTTTAAAATAATAGCTAGTTGTTTGTCTTTCTTTATTGCTGCCTCAGTGGGAGTACTCGTTCATAGGAATGCGTTAATATGCACATGTTTGTGAATGCTCTCATATGCTTACGAATACCTGAGCACGTATATACATGTACAAATAAATCAGACATAATATGGACCCATACAAATTTAACAGCTGGATTCGAATTTTAATATCCTTATGTTCTAGTGGTGCGTATCTTTTGATTTCCTTGATGTTACCCCTATTTGTGGTACGAATCCTTCCATTCACAGTGATGAAGAGGTGTTTATTTTGTTTAAATTAATTTTGTTCACAACTGAAATATAACTGAACTGATTTCAAATCAACATGTTGTTGTGGCACATGTACATGTTTATACACACGAGAGTTTGCAACATAACATATTTTTGAAATGCATAAAGAGTGTGTGCTTTTCTATACTTTCCCTTTTAAGGCAATACCGGAATTTGAAACAAGATATGGGATATTTTTCGTTGCACCTTACAATGATAACAAGTACATAACATGGTACAAATTTGAAACTCATGTTTGTAACAAAGAAAAGGTAAGAGGGGAAGAAAAGGCAAATTACGTTTAATGAAAAAGAGGAAAAAAAAAAAAAAAAAAAAAAATTACGCATACTCGAAGATGTCCCATAAATCATCCTATTTCTACATGAACATATGAATGTCTCACATATGAACATACATTTGTTTTGACAATTTTCAAAACGTGTAATATGTTTGTTTCATTTTCTACGACATAACACATTTGATACGATTTGTCATGTACTACCTCATTTTTCAGAATTACGAAGAAACATCTAAGACAAAAAATTATGAAAAGAATATGAGGCACATTTTATGCAACTCCATAAACTTCCTTAAGTATTATTTATTAATTGTAATAATTCATTCAACCGAGTGTTATGATCTGAACCCTCTTCCACAACATCAGTTTTGTCTCTTTTCCCTATCACACATTTGTATATATATATATACACGTGCGTATGTGGCACGATTATGCTCATACAGTCATACACATATATTCACGGGTATATAAACTCATATCACCACTACCCTCATACACACACCATTAGGTATTCATAGTTGTAGCTATAAACCTAATTATAGTTAAAGGGATGTTAATATATGCACACTTCCGAAAACATCCTGAAACGTTTGCACTTAAGCACGTGCGATTTTGCAATAAGCTGATTATCCTGGTGGTGTGTCTTACAATTACCAATTTGGTTCTCTTTGGTGCGCCGTTCTTTTTCTTCAATACGCAGAAGGAGTAATAATCAAAAAGAAGCGAGATGGAGACAAATAGAGAGAGACAGATAGAATTATGTTGAAATATGTCGAAATGCTTCGAAAAGAGAGAAATAAACAGACAACTTTACGGAATATCATGGAAATATAAACATAAACGGATTTTTTTTTTTTTTTTTTTTTTTTTCACTACAGATTTGGAAAAACACACTATTTACACGGTGGCTTTTACATATTGCTGGCCGATTTTCTGTCTCACTTTTTGATCATTATTTTTATAAAAAGGTAAAGTAGAAGATATGACCCCTAGTGGAAAAGGGAAAAAGGAAAAAAAAAAAAAAAAAAAAGTCAGAATGCAGAATCGTATGAAGATGAGAATAATGCACTAATAGATGCATTCATCCTGTTTATCATTTCCTCTCCTTTTCAATTTACAGAGATAAAACAATTTTAAAATCAGTTTGTGAATTGGAACTTTTGCCCTGGGAAAGAAAGCAGAAGCTACCCGTCCATAACGCGGACTATAATGACACATTGATTAGTCCAAGCGAACTAACAAATTATCGTAAAAAAAAAAAAAAAAAAAAGAACAAAAATGAGAACAAAAAAGAGAAAGGAAAAGAAGTTTATGCTCTACGTATACCTCTACATAAATACACTATACAGTAGTGCCTCATCTGTACATACTATTAACATGAAAAAAACTTTTTAATTCTCCCCCTCCCCCCCCTCTTTTTTTTACCAATCCATTCTGTAACAGTTCATGCAATATTTCAAGTAGATGACATAAAAGAGGATCAACTGAAAAGTTTTTTTGGAACGGATAACTACGAACAAATTTATTACATTATTATGAACAATGTGAAAGCTCAGAAGCAGTTGGTGAGTCATTATCGATAATATATTTTCCCCTGATGCTTTGCAAATCGTGTTTATGTGTGTATTCATCACGTAGGCGTAAAGGTGTAAAAACGTGGTAATAAGAGAAAGGGGGAATTCAGAGGAGGGCATCCCTTCGACATATGGGGGTACATTTGTCAGATAAATCTCCTATATTTTCTATATTTTTCAAATCAAAATCGAATGAAAATATAATTTGAAAGCGCAATTTGAACGTGCATTATGAACCCTTAATCTGAACGTGTATTATGAACCTCTAATATGAATGTGTATTGTGAACCTCTAATATGAACGTGCAATCCTTTTATTTTTGTTAGAGCACGCCTTATTAGAGAACGCAGAGTGATGACTTCATCACATCGCAGCTAATTCCACACTCGTTAAACTACATATAAGGGGATGAATCCTCAACGGGTAGACGCACGAGTCGACAGACATGCATTCTGTCCCCCCTCCCCCTAACCTCCACGTACACGTTCACTTAAGTACAACCCTAGCACTGTTACTCATTTCAAAACACCTGATGAGGCATGAACGGGATGTGAACAATTATGTGGAGTAGCATATGAGGATGCTTGCCAACTTTCCCTCTAAGAATAGTTTAATTTAAAAAAAAAAAAAAAAAAAAAGCAAATTGCTTCTGTTTTGCTACATTTTAGATTTTTTTTTTTTTTTTTTTTTTATTCATTTTTAAAAATTTTGTAAAAAAAAAATAATAAACGTTTTTTATACGAATAGGAAAAAGGGAAAAAATCATAAAAAAAAAAATTTTGCGAACTAAAATTGGCAAGAAATAAAGAAAAAGAAAAAAATTTCTACTACATGTGGCATTCAAGTGAAACTACAGACTAGGGCCTTCCCTATAGTTCATATGGCCTTGTTGATATGGCCTTGTTGATATGGCCTTGTTGATATGGCCTTGTTGGTATGGCCTTGTTGATATGGACTTGTTGATATGGCCTTGTTGATATGGCCTTGTTGATATGGCCTTGTTGGTATGGCCTTGTTGGTATGGCCTTGTTTGTATTGCTCTTTAAGTACTTCCTTCAGCACATGGGCAACTATACCGACCTTTTGTGCATCTTCGAAAAGTCAATACATAAATATTTAACGATTCTGCTGCCACCCTGCAGGAATGGAATGTTTTCATTTTGATAAGACAGAAATGTTTTATTTGGTGTGTTAATTTTTATGTGGTAAATATTTTTGTCCCTATAAGAGGCTATATCGTCAATGTACAATTTTGAGTGTTCCAAATTTACATAGGGAAGTTTGTACATAGTCAATAAGTTATCGATATTTATGGAATTCGTTTCTGACTGCTTTAGCAAATCGGATAGGAATATGGGTTGTTTAAAATAGAATGATATAAAACTTTTTTTTTTCCATTTTTTCAAAATGTAGTTTGTGTATTCGTTAAAGTAGTGATTTTTCATCTTATCATTTGTGTAAATATATATTGGTTTCTGTGTGCTTTTAACATTTTTAACACATTTTATATATATATTACTATAGTAGAAGTTTTTGTTTTCTTCCTGTTCTTTGGTATCCTTATCCTTACATTGGTTCAATTGGTCTTCATCTTTCAACTCTGTTTTATATTCTTTGGATTTATTTTTTTGAGAACAAATATTTTTTGGACTATCTGAGTTTGATGCTGATGGTCCTTCTTGTGCCTCAATTAACCCTTGTGCTCCATTCATGTTTTCCTTCTCTTTATCTATCTCATGTACATAAATTGGATTTTCTCCTTGTGCGTTGTAAAAGTAGGTTTCCATAAAAATATTTTCAGAATATGGTATACTGTTTTTATCTTTAAATATTAATTTTTTTTTATATTCTTCAAAAAAATTTACATCTGCATATTTTTTTTTTTTTATTTTGTCATTATAGAATTGTTCATTCATTGATATATACTTTTTCTCTTTATTCATATTTTCATTGCTTACCAAAACCATGATATTATTTATTTTGTCAAAAATTATGTTATTATACACGTGCAAAATTTCTCTCTCATTATAAACCATTTTATGGCCACTTAAGGTGTAATTGTCTATAATTATATTGTGATTCATATTTTCGTACTTGTAAAAATGTTTTGCTAGTCGATCTACATAATTGTAAATGTTAAAAATGTTATTACTTCTTGCTAAACTCCCTAAGATATAGTAATAATCATCGTACATGTTATAGTTACATATATACAAACATTTTTCCTTCTCCCACTTTTTAATAATTTCGACATCCGTAGGTTCTAGTTTGTTGAAAATTCGTCTAATATAGGACATTGGATGAGTGTTATTCATATTATCTTCATTTTCTGTCCCATTTTTTGCCCCATTTTTTGCCCCATTTTCTGCTCCATTTTCTGCCCCATTTTCTGCCTCATTTTCTGCCCCATTTTCTGCCCCATTTTCTGCCCCATTTTTTGCCCCATTTTCTTCTCCATTTTCTACCCCATTTTCTACCCCATTTTCTACCCCATTTTCTGCCCCATTTTCTACCCCATTTTCTGTCCCATTTCTTACCTGATTGTCCACTCTCTCACTGGTGCCCTTTCGAGGAAAGCCACTTCCGCTAAACAATGAGCTGCCTCTTTTTATTTTAATCGTTTTATTTGGAATGATAATGTCTGACTGACTTGGGTGTGCATTTTTTTTTTCATTATGTTGGAAATACTTCAACGAATTTTTGTAGTGATATATTTTTGGAAGAATAATCAAAGGGGTTTCATTATATTTCTGTTTTATAATTTCCTTTAATATTTCTATTTGTAAAAAACTAAATCGTCCATTTTCTACATTCTGCTTGTTATATCCAATGTTCGCCCCGTCTAAGAGGCATGTGTAGGATCCCTTTTCGAAAAGCTTGCTTATGTTTCCTGTATCTGGGACGAATTTTTCGCCTCCATTCGATCGATCCACCTTATTTTTATTTCTTTCTCTATCTTCATTGGCAGTTCCCGCTGCATCTTTTTCTTGGGCATCATTCGTGTCCCTCTTAATCTTGCTAAGGGTAGAACTTCCAACAGTTACAACATTTCCATTGCTGACATGCTCACCTCGGCTATCTCTCACCGCTGACTCAGTTAATCGGGTTTGCTCTACTGACCTATCTATCTCAGTTGATTCCCCACTGTGAGATGAAGTGATCGCTTGGTCATTCTCTACCCCCTCAGGTGATCCATTCAATATTGAAAAAAAATGCTTAATTTTAAAAATTTCCTTACTGTTGAAAAGGTGTGTAATGAGGATGACATTCACAATTACTATGATTGTATGCTTAAGGGAGAGAAAATAGGTGTTAATGTTTTCATCGCAATTTTTACAGTTATATGTATATTTTATATTTTCTGTTAACTTTATAAACGGAAGTTTTTTGATAATTTTATTCACTTGATAGTAGATATTTCTCTTTTCTTCATTGTCCATAGTTTCTTCGTACTTTTTTATGTTGATATTCATCGACTCGTAGTTCATTTTGTACACTTCCAGTATGCACCTCAGCTGTTCCGTCAAGACATCGTTCAGCAGTTTGTTTCTTTTTTCGCCATCCTCCAGCGGTTCCTCTGTCCCTTTGCTCGTTCCTCCACTTGCACCACCACTTGTATCTCCGCTTGTATCTCCGCTTGCATCTCCACTTGCCCCTCCATTTGACCCTCCATTTGCGGTCTTTTTTACTTGCCCTGGCCTCAATTCATCTGCATAACTGTGTACATGCTCATGTGAAGGTCCTCCTTCTAAAGACCTTTTCGAGGGCAGTAAGGATTCCCTAAGAGGTTGTGGTGTTAAATGTCGTTGGTTTTTCTTCATCAAATGCTGTATATTTTCATATACATAATGAATAAGTTTCAAAATGTAAAGTAATTTAATTTTTATTTTGTTTTCATTCATATGCTTAAAAATGTCAATCAGAAGATAGTTATTTAGTATGTACTTCTTATCTTCTTCATCAAGTTCTGGGATGTTATATTTTTCCAGATGATTGACATGTTTTTCGAAATTACTATAGTCAATGTTCTTTATCAAATTACATCTTTTATTGTTTATATGCATATAGTCATCTACTCCTTGTTCCATTTTGTTTACAAGCCCCTTTTTGTTACTCCTTATATTTGGTCCCGATTCATACGCGTATCCACACTTTCCTATGCTGTTAATATTTTTAGACGTACCCTTCTCTATATCTCCTTCCTCACTAAAGGGCAAGTCCAACACATGCACAAGAATATATTTGTAAAATCTTTCCCTTATTGTAATGTTCCGTTCAATCATTTTATTTATCGTGAGTAAATATTCATATATGTAATTATTCGTAATATAATAGTTACAAATTGCTAAATATGAATTTTCCAGCATCTCTATTTTATGATTTTTCATCTTCTCAATAATCCTTACCATACTGTTAAGATCATTGTATTTACTACATAAATTTAAAACATTTCCACATATGGTACTCATATTTCTAGACAATTTATTATCTTTAGCATATGATTCAAAGAGTTCATCTAAATTTGATAATGACTTTTGCATATTCTGTTCTTTTATGCTGTTTCCAATTTCCACCAAAATCTTCCTGTTATCTTGCAACGTCGATTTATTTCCCTGATAAAAGATGGATATGTGATAATACAGATAGTGTGACGAATGTTATTACTTTGTCTTATACAAGATGAAACTGATGGGGATACCTCATATGTGTATTCATTTTTAAACACAAATATATGGACCCACATTTGACCATGCATATATGTTTATGTATATGTGCATGTGTATGTGTATGTGTATGTATATGTGTATGTGTATGTGTATGTGTATGTGCATGTATTTTTTTTTTTTTTTTTTTTTTTTCCTCTCGTGAGAACACATTTATTATGTGCATCCTCCTTCCCCCCTGAAGATTTTCTAGGAGGTAGGTGTAACTCTCAGATGAGTCCCCTTTTGACAAATCGGGATCACAACGAGGGCAGAAAAAGGAATAAAGCCAGCAAAGAAGCAAGATAGAATTTTAACTAACAAACAATCTGACAAACACGAACGTAGCCCATTTTGACGAATCAGAATACGTGCGCGGAATAAAAAACCCCAACCCTTATGGAGATAGTTTTTCTACACATTCTTGATTTGTTTAACACTATGCATTTGCTAGGCAGCCACCCATTAATCGATTTGCTACACCGTTTAGATGTCCCTTCCACTCCTCACTCTCATACTCTCTCCTCTCCCCTTCCATCGTGACATTTTGATTATCACTCGTTAAGTCTAAAAAAGTACATTGTGATTTTTTCCAGAGATGGCATTTAAGGCGAATGGTTTCTTGTTTATAGCAAAGGAGAAAATAATACGAAATAAGTACTTATCATACAATATAAGTAAGAAAAATACTAACGTAAACTTTTTTTGTATTCCATGTTTTTTACTGTTCAAAAGCATTTTATTTTTTTTATCCCATCCATACTCGTCATTCTCTTTGAGTGCAGTTATATTATGTCAATTATGTGGAAATATGGGAATAAGGGCATGAAGAAAATGTGAAAATGTGAAAATATTCAACAAAAAAAAAAAAAAATGAACGAGCAATTACTATATTAGAAAAATGAAAAAAAAAAATAAAAATAAATAATACTTTAAATGAAAAGGCTTTCTCATTAACACCACAAATAAGAGGGTTTAACTTTCACTTATGAATTTTCAACATGCTAATCGTTTTGTAGTTTCACGTTGCGTTTTAATAATGTAGATTCTGCACAAAAATGATTTTTTTTTTTTTTTTTTTTTTTTTTTTTCAAATTTTACAAAAATTACCCATTGTGCACATTTGATTAAAAAACAGTTATGTTCATTTTGCATTTAACTATTTTGAATAAAGGAAGACGAGAGTCGTACACGTTGACAACATATATGAAATATAAATGGGTGCGCTACTCTCTATAAAAAAGTCTGGGGAATAATGGACTCTCGAATTTGTTGCTACCCGTAATAATTTAGCAACAATAACACGGTTTTCAAAAAATAAAAATATAATATCTCTATAGAGATAATACTCAATTAGGAATGCAAAATAGAGATACGAATAAGAAAACATATTTAACGGCAATATTCCCCCACCCCACCCCCTTACTTTTTTTTCTGTTCCATTTTTATCACAGCACAACAAAGTGCTATGTATGAATAGTGTTTTACATATGGATGTGTGCATGTATGGATGAACTAAGAGTATATATAGTATGTGCCAAAAAATAATTACAAAAATTTTTCTCAGGGGTGGACGAGAAAAAGGGGCATAATCATCAAACAAAAAAAAAAAAAAAAAAAAAAAAAAAGTGATAAAAAAAAGGTGCACATGCAAGTCATGATTTATGGGTATGTGTAGGATATACATGTACATACTTAATTATGTAGGTATGAATGAAATTATGCATGTATTATTCATCTATGTGTACATTATTCAACTGTACATATATTCATTCATGTGTTTATTTACGCGGGGGAGACGAGTGTTCTTCCCATGTTCGAATACACCAGTGAGTAGTCCTATTTATGATGCACATTTCTGTCACACCTCCTTAAGGAAAAAATCGTAATGCAGCAAAGAATGAAATACACCCCACATATTTTGTGGAGTATGAATGGGATACAAAAATATATATATACATCACTGAATACAGATTAATATATATTTTTTTTTTTTTTTTTTTTGCAGAGTCATGTATGATAGTGAAAAGGTTGGTTGTTCGAATTTTTGATCTTCGATATAAATTTAACTTTCCTTTAGAACACTATATTTTTGGAAAGCCTTTTCTATGTCTGCTTGATTAGATCCTTCAATCTGCGGTTATCAAATATTGGGAAGAAGGAAAATGTGTAAAGACTTTAAATAATGGAGGAAAAGTAAAAATAAAAAAAATACATGATGAAAATGAGCTCTATGTGAAAGTGCCATACTCGCCACCATCCTCCTCTGCGTGCATAAAGGTTTAACCACACTCTTCCTTGTTTGCACAACTCATGAAATTTCTGCTTTTTCCAATAATGTGCAAAAATATATGTAAGCATGTGTGTACTTGTGCATGTACGCCTGAATGTACATATGCATATATACCCTTTCTGTCAAAACCCATTTATTTTTTATCTGGACGTAAAATAAAAGGGTCGGTAAGACTTTAATGTTGTGCTCATCCCTTAACGTTTCGTGAATGTCCACGTCCACATCAATAAGGGTCACTGCATAGGTGATGATTTGGTTCTGCGAGAGAGGAAATGGAAGGGTGGTGGTGGCGAAATTTTTAAGTTAAACTTGCCATTTGTGCAGGATACAAATACTGGGGCGAGCAGGAAGGACGGGAAAAAAGAAGAAAATATATAAGGTGTAACAATTCTCCCGCTCCAGCAACGGAAATGAGATTCCTGCGTGCGTTCTATGTTTTCTATACATATGCATTTGTGCATGTTCTATGTGTGCTATACATATGCATTTCCCAACAGTTGACCGCACAATATATCATTAGTGTCACAAGGGGGAGTGGTGAAAATATTCTTCTTTTTTTCCCCTCATACCTTAAAATATCGTCTAATTTTGTTACATGGTTTGCACCAAGTGGCTCCGAATTTCACAACTGCAGAGATGTTTTGGGTTGAGTTCAATACATCACTTAATTTTTTCCCATCCTCTAAATCGATATATGTGCCTTCAGAATACTTTAATAAAAAAAAAAAAAAAAAAAAGGTACATGTTTTTAATTAACACTTTTTCGTCTCATTAGAAGAGAACTAATGGGTGATATAACATTTTTTATGTGTCCATGTTGACAATTGAACACGTTCATTTGAATATTTTCTCTATTTTTCCATTTTGTCGTATCTCTTTTTATTTTTAATCCCTTACATCCTTGTTTTTCTGCCTGCATTTCAAAGCCTCTTCAATTTGTTTGCCCTTTTCTGCATTTGGTGAGGCATGGGGTATACACATGTATGAAGTGACACATCCGTGGTAAATTGTGATACGCAAGAAAAAAAAAAAAAAAAAGAAAAAAAAAAATTCATATCATAGTGCAACATAGCATAAACATACGATCACACAGGAGTGTTTTGCTCACGGAGGAATAGGGTTGAACTTGACAAATTACTGAAAAATGTGTAAAAACAGGAATGTAGAAAAAAAATGGGCACGCGGCCACATGAGTTAAATGAATGAACATGCATGATGCATCAAATATAATTATCACCTTGGCCACCCGTTAAAAATTCCGGTAGATACTTCTTAAAGTGTGCATAAAAGTAATTAAGGATAAACAAAATTATAGCCCCCACGTGTAGTAAAGAAAAACAAACAGAACCAATACAAATAAGCGCCATTGTTTTTATGTAGCTCTTGTGAATGTTCAACTATTGAAGAAATTTAAAAAAAAGGTTTTTATTTTATTTTATATTTTATTTTTTTTTTATTTATTTTTTTTTTTTTAAATTATTGGTATGTTTATGTAAAAACGCCTATTTGAGCACCAACATACATTCATTTGTTAGGCTTCTAGCCAGGGCACAAAAATCAATGATGTGCTTGGACCAAAAAAAAAAAAAAAAAAAAAAAACAGGGAGATTGTGTCCTAAAGACTTCTTCAATTGTTATCCTAATTTTGGTTTATTTAAAATTAGGTGAAAATAAATGAAATTTCATGAGATTAACTGGAAATAAATAATATTTCATGCAATTAAATTATAAAGAATGAAATATGCTGTAATTAAAAATAAATAAAAAATATTGAGATTATACCAAATTAAATGAAACAATTTTATTATTTTTTTTTTTTCTTTTTCCTTTTACTTTTTTATGTTGCTACTTGTGAAATTTTGCAAGCTTTTGGACATACCCTCAAAGGAGGATGTTATTTAAAAAAATGTTCGTGAGATTTATGCAAAGTGTTTATTTTATTTTTTTTATTTGCATGCATCAAATCATACTTTACAAGCTTAGCACACGTTTGGTTCACTATTTATTGAAAAATTTTGAACTACATCACCATTTATTGTTAAAAGGGATATTGTGTGTGCATATGGATATATGTATCACAGATTAATTGGGTTGCACATGGGGATGTAAATTCGTATAACACATTTTATTTTTTTACAGCTTCTCGAGATGCTGCAAAATGAGCAACAACTGTGATATCTTGGAGCACACCACGTGCAGTGATGGGGGAGGGAGTTAAAAAGGAATTAAATAAATTCATAGAAAGCTTAAAAAAAAAACGGAGCAAAAATGTGACCAAAGGCAGAAAAAAATGAAACGAAAAAAAAAGAAAAGAAAAAAGGCATATACATAAAAGTGCATGTAGGACATAAAAAAAAATCTGAAAATGTCAGGTGGGAAGTGTATAATTTTTTTTTTTTTTTTTATATTAATTTGTCTTTTTTCCAGTTTGGTAACTCTTTTTAAAAAGCGCGCAAATTAAAGATTTAAACTTGACCATAGATCAGTGCTACAAGGAATTAATAATTTTATACTGAAGTCACGAGAACCAAAAAAAAAAAAAAAAAAAGGGCATAAAAAATTAGGACAATTTGTTCATAGTTTTTTTAGAGCAACATATTTTTACCAAATTGTAGTGAAGCACACATGCAAATAAAGCTTAACGGAAAAGCAATCGTGCGTGTGTGTGGGGTGTCTGTCTGGGGATAACATTTCTCTCCGACATTCATTAGTACCTCTGTAATATGTTTCATTTCTCATGTTAAAATTTTCACCTTTCGAGTTCTTTTTCCTAAAAATGTCTTATGATGTATACCTCTCACAACTATTTGTTGGAAGAGACATGCATTTACTAGCGTTTCAGGTTTTACACTTGATGTTTTCTTATCCCTTTTCTTTCCTTTTTTTTTTTTTTTTTTTTTCTTTTCTTATCCTTTTAAGCATCATTTTCAATGGAATAAGTTTGACACGGTTTTTAAGCAAAGCGATCATGTTTTCATCGTTTATCTTTGGTTTCTTATAAATTTTTTTTTTTTTTCCCTTCATAATGCATTATATCAAAATGGGTATAAAAAATAAAAACCTAAATTTCCACATAAGGATGTAGATTAAATGAATGGTTAGAAACACTACTCACACATGCCTATATCTGTGCACGTGTGTTTGTATTAATTTATATATATACACGCTTTTATGTCATTAAACACATTCATAAGTTTAATTCCCGAAGAAGTTTTCATATTTTCATGAGCATACATGTTTATACATTGTCGCACCCATTGGGATAGGGATGGAAGGGGACAGAAACACTTTTTCCATGAACCAAAATATAAGAATGGACAAACGAGAGAGAAGGAACGACGGAGAATAATACTATATATATATATATATATATATATGTATATGTAACTCCCCCCCCCCCTCTCTTCCCACGTAATAGCCCAGTTTATACATGTGAAAATTTTGCACAGAAATTTTTTCCAATAGGTGTTCTACAAAACTGCTACAAATTTAATGTAAAAAGAAAAATAAAAAGTAAATGCTGTTCCTGAAGTTGCAACAAAATTTGTGCAACATGAAAAAGGGGACCCCGTAGGTAGGCACAAAAAAGCAAACACATCCAAAATGTTAAAATATGTCAAGCAAAAAAAAAAAGTACATATTTTGCCATAACACAATATGGAAAGTCATATTTCGAAAAGACAACACAACATAAGTAACAAAATAGAATGGGATAAAATGCCACGTTTTAGAATGAAGAATTTTAGGTGATTGTAGCACGGGTTTTGTAAAAAATAAAAAATAATAAATTTCCTAATCTACCATAGCATGTATATATTTTTGGCAAAATTTGCACTAACTTTTGATTATTTTTTTGGACTAATTATGGACAAAATATTTCACAAATTTTTTTGACATTTTTGACGTTTTTTTTGCTTTTTTTTGACGTTTTTTTTGCTTTTTTTTGACGTTTTTTTTGCTTTTTTTTGACGTTTTTTTTGCTTTTTTTTGACGTTTTTTTTTTACTTTTTGTTGACTTTTTTTTTTTTTTTTTATCATACCGCATGTGCAAAAGTGTGATTAGTTTTTCAAAAAAAAAAAAAAAAAAAAAAAAAAAAAAAAAAAAGGGGAAGGAAAAAAAAAAAAAAAAAAAAAAAAAAAAAAATTAACATCGCACTGAAAAAGGAAAAAAATGAATGAAAAGAAAAAAAACATAAGTAATAAAAAACAAAACAAATGCAGAATTATTAATATCGACTGTAACCAACAGCGAAGAATTTCTTACCTTCGCGTGCAGCTACATGTGTGTGTGTGTGTGTGTGTGTGTGTATGTATGTATGTATGTATGTATGTATGTATGTATATATGTATATATACAATGAATGGAAATGTGTGCGTCACAAATGTTTAACGTATGCACACATATTCACTTTGCCATCCTGAAGGAAAACGCAAATGTTAGCAGCTGCTTGAATCTTCAATCACCTCATCGCTTGTGCAAACTGCTTATGCAGTTGTCATGTACTTCTCCTGCACAGTTGCTTCAGCACGATCGAATAGACATTTTTGCACCGGAGTGTTAGGGCCCCCGTAGAGATAGTAAATAAAAAAATAAAAAAAAAAAACACACATATATGTATATGTATGTGCGTATGCATACATTTATATATATATATATATATATATATATATATATATATATATATATATGTACAAACTTGTACGTGAGCATACACACGTATGCATGCGCAGGAAGGGGAGAATGGATAGATTATCAAATGATCGATTATTTGGCTAACCCAAGTTAAATGAAAGGACAAGGGAATATATACCCCCCCCCCCCCCTTATACTTGAATTTCTTTTCAATTGAGATATATTTTCACTGTGTATGATACACTATAGTATGAATATATGTAACGGTTATATTTTTACAAGATTGAAAATGCTATTAGGATTTTCTACACATAGAAACAGTGAAAGGATGTACGTAATAGTAGAAAGCTTTGTTCAACCATGCATGCATGTCTTTTTTTTTTTTTTTTTTTTTTTTTTTTTTTTTTTCCTCTCTCTCTCTCTATGAACAGCACTGTTTCCACTTTTAAAAGGCACATCAAGATATGCACATTTATGTAAGATAACTATTAGAGTTATAGTAATAAAGGGAACACCGTTTTGTAAAATTCAATATAGAAGTAACACAAGGACAGTTGAACTAATCAGTGGTAGAAATAATCATCATATGTTCCACGAATAAATAATTAGAACCAATTTGAATAAATTAAAAAGTAATTATAAGTTAATTTCCAGGGCAATCAGATCACACAAATACACTATATTTTTTTCCCCCCCACCACCACGCACACTCCTGTGTGTAATATATAAATTGGGGGGGAAGGAAAAAAAAAAAAAAAAAAAAACACCTAGAAGAAGCTTCTCCAATCCGAGAACAGACAATAACGAAGAAACGTGATAAATGCCAAATAAATGGATGAAAATAATAGGTTAAAAAAAAATATGAACAAAGAGAACAATAGTGTTCATGCAGCAGAAAATGGAAAAATGAACGAAATGAGAAATGTGGAAAATGAAGAAAAGAGTTTTTATATTGACAAATTAAATGCACATGTTAATGAAAAAAGTACATATTGTTATGATAACGTGAAAGAAAATATATCAGATGATAGAAAAAGGAGTGAGGTAATAACTATTACTCAGAGATTTCCTCTCATTATTAATAGTGACGTTTCAACACCGAAGAGTGAGATTTACGAGTTGGATATACAAAATAAAAATTATGAGAACAATAGAAATGTATATCATCAATTGTTATCTACCCAATATAGTAATGTAACGGATAAAGGTATAAAGAAGCAATTCCTTCCACATATAGGATCAGTTCAAGGAGCTGTATTGAATAACATAAATACAGATACCTTGAGTAGTTATACTATCTATCAAGGGTGTGGGGAGGAATATATTCTAAAAAACTCAACTGGAATTAGTGAAAATAATTCTATATCAAATTATAGTTTCCATGGAGGAATTATTTCAAATGATTTAATAAATAGAGAAATACATAGACAAGGAGAATTTTCGAAAGTTGATCATAGCAATAGAATTTGTAATTATGAGAATTCAGTTACCAGCCCTAACACTGGACATTGTCATCTTAAGGAAGTTTATATAAACAGTTTACACCCTTCATCTAGCGATATGAACAACAACTGCTTTGCTCACATTCCCCAGGAGGAAAATAAAACAAGACAACATCGTGACTCTGTGAGGAATTGTGTACCCATAAATAATGAGCATATGGGGAAACAGACAAATAGAAATTTGGTATGTGCAAAAAATGTATTCATTCAAAACAAGTTAAATATGAATGAAAGAATGAAGAATATAAATAATTGCAGTAATATCAGGCTTCAAAAAGAATCGTACATTACACATGATAATTATATGATAATGAGGAATATCATGAATGATTATGATAATTCTGTGAAAACCCATGAATATTTGATCCCAACTCAATGTGCTAACTCTGTCGATTCTGTAAGACATATGCATCATAATATTTTCCATTCCCATCCAAAAAATGCATCATCGCGTGATGCTAATTATGTTACTTTTAATTCTGAAGGAAACAATAGCATACCTCATAAAGGTACTAGAACAAGAAGTTCTTTACTTTTAAAAAATTGTATTTCTTACAAATTTCCAAATGAACATTCTTCTTATGAGGATCCCAATGGATACAAGTACATTCAGCAGTTCAACATGAACAGAAATATAATGCATGGAATGCCACAAGAGAAGGAAAAAAATAAATGTGTCTTGGAGAAAAGGATACAACCAGACCATATAGTAGGTGTTGTGCACCCAAGTAATGAATACAAAATGAAAAATGCTAAATTAAATGAGGGGGAGAATATAGGTTTGTATAAACAAAAAGGTCACAAAGTATTTGTGAAAAATATATCCCTTCGAAATGATGAGCAGAACGTTCCCAAAAAGTGTGTTGTCAAAAATAAGGTTAGGAGAAACAGCCTGAAGAATCATAGCGACAAAATAAACAAAAATAATAATTTAAAATTTGTCATTCCAGTGAATACTCCTTCAACACATGAAAATGATGGGGACCCAAGTGAAGGGGAAAAAAATAAAAAAAAAAAAAAAAAAAAAAAAAACTGCAAACAGGAATATGAACAGGAGCATGAAGAAAAAAACATGGAAGACATGAAAAATGTGCACAGTTTTTTTAGAGAAGGTAACGAACATGAAAAGAACGCAGAAAGAAGTGTTAGAAATATCCAAAACACACAAACGGTTTATATGGAGAAAAATGAGAAAAATGAGAAAAATACTCGGGAAAAAGAAATTGGTGTAATGAGTGAAGATAGCTTAAACAGACGAGAAGGAGGAGGAGATCCATGTGAATTGTATCGTCACAAGGAAAAGAAAGGTAATTCATGGAAAAATGGAAAAAATAATTATTACACGAAGAAAGGGAATTTAAGCTACAGTGGCTTGTTAACATCCATGGTGTCGTCTATTCTGACACAACAAAATGAAAGAAAATCACAAGAGATAAATTGTTTTAATTATTCCTGGAAGGGAAATGAATATGATTATACAATGCTTCATCAACAGGAGGAGAAAAACGTAGGTGAAAATAACGAAGAAGAAGTAAACAAAGCGGAAATAAACAAAGAGGAAATAAACAAAGAGGATTATAATAAATACATGATTTCCAGCACACTGATTCAACAATTGAGGGGTAAAACAACAAATGAACATATACTACAACTAACGTTAATATTGATGATATGTATATCGGTTTTGTGTAATTATGATCATGGTGCTATACCTGTTACATTGGAAGAAATTCAAAAGGATTTCCCATTAAGTTACATTGAACAATCATTATTAGGTAGTCTAGTCTATTTTGGTTTAATAATTGGAACAATAATAGCTAGTGTTCTTTTTGAATTGGTGACAGCAAAATTATTGGTTACAATTAGTACCCTTTTACTATCTATATCTTTGTACATATTTAGTCATGCAAATTGTATTACCTTTATGTATATATCAAGATTTGTAAATGGTTTATGTCAAGCAATTCCAGTTGTTTATCTACCAGTCTGGGTAGATGAATTCTCTCCACGTGAAAAAGCTACCCAATGGATGTCTTATATACAATTAGCTTCCATAGGAGGAACTGTATTTGGATATTTCTTAGGTGGAATTTTATCAAACAATTCTTATTCGTACAGTAATCAAAATTCTCCTTTTTCTAATGTTACCTTTTTTACCACCTGGAGGTCTCCCTTTTTGATACAAGCATTTTTGTTGATTCCATTGTTTTTTATTATGATTTTCATCCCATCAGATATGATAAATATTAGTTCTAGTGCAAGTGTGAATAGCGAAAGTGATGAAGAGGGGATAACAACTGCAAATCTTACGATGAGTACTATCAATAATGTAAGCAGAAATGAAATAAAAAAACAAATCAAAGACAAAAACATTACCTTGCAAAATGATATGTATGATAATACGTATCAAGAAGGATATAACCAAAATATACACCAATTTGACTCTGTAAAGGGATATTCAAAATATTCTATGATGAATTCAATGGAAAGAATAAAATTTAAAGGTTCCAGGAAATTCTATTATGAATCTTCAAGTAACACATTCAAAAGAAATTTTAATCGATCTGCAACTTATATTATGGAGAAAAAAACAAATGTTTTAAAAAAAACTTTTAAAGAGGTCAAAAAATTGCTAAACAATAAATTATATATTATTATAACATTAGGGATGAGTAATTTATATTTTGTTGTCACTGGGATACAGTTCTGGATTACAGAATATATGTCAGTTGTCTTGTTAACAGAAAAAATTAAAATTGTTACAGTATCTACCTTATGTTTTTTGACTTCACCCACATCAGGGGTTTGGTTTGGTGGTTTTGTATGTGATTTATTTGGTGGATATAAAAATACAAATTATTCGAAAACTATTAAAGTTGCCACAGCATTTGCTATTTCTGCCTGTATTTTTGGAATCCTCTCAGCACACTTGAACAATTTTATCTTTTTCTCCATTTCTCTCTGGCTCTGCCTCTTCACCGGTTCTGCTCTTGTCCCTGTTGCAGTAGGTATGGTTCTTCCCGCGTATGCATAGAATCGGGGTCCGATAAATTTTTCCACATCTGTGGGCGCGTTCCCTCCAGCATACGCACGGTATATGCATATACATGCATATGCATACATAGATACATGCATACATGCATACATGCATACATGCATACATAGATACATACATAGATACATACATAGATACATACAAATATATACATATATGTAATTTTTTTTTTTCTGTCGCCCCTCCCCCCCATCTTGATCTATTTTCATAGGAATGCTCCTATCCTGTGTGAATAATCACCAAAAGAGCCTATCTTCAGCAGTCTCGCAAATTATATACAATGTGTTTGGATGGTTCTCTGCACCTCTACTATCCGGAATTATTATGGACATTATGCACAAATACACCAACGACAACCGACTTGCCTTGAAGTATTCATTGAACAATTCTTGCACCCCTGCAACTGAGCAGTGGTTCAGCTGCTTCTCTGTTCAGTTGCTTCTCTTTTCAGCTGCTTCTCTGTTCTTCTGCTTCTCTGTTCTTCTGCTTCTCTGTTCTTCTGCTTATCTGTTCTTCTGCTTATCTGTTCTTCTGCTTCTCTGTTCTTCTGCTTATCTGTTCTTCTGCTTATCTGTTCTTCTGCTTCTCTGTTCTTCTGCTTATCTGTTCTTCTGCTTATCTGTTCTTCTGCTTATCTGTTTAGACATGCCTGCATTTGCATTTTTCAAAACTGTTTTCACGTTATTATTTCATTTCAACGATTTTCCCAACGTGCAGAGCTGGATTCACCATGATTTTATATTCCAGTTTTATAGGCTTTCTACTACTCTTTTATGCAAATTTTTTGGTAATGAAGAAGAAAAAAAAGGAGGAAATAAAAATATATGCATACATGTTGATATTTTATTTTATTTTACTTTATTTTTTTTTTTTTCTCCCATATGTCTACTTCACTCCCTATGTAGGATTTCTCTGATAAGAAAGAAAACGATGAATTAATAGAACTAGAAGAACCACTGACGTAGTAATGTGTCTTGGTGTTCTCAGAAATGAACAAGTTTTGAGATTGATTAAAAATTAAAATGTGATACAGTGCAGTACAGTATAGCAAAGCACAGCAAAGTACAATACAGTACAGTATTTTTTTGTTTTTTATTTTTTCCTTATACTTCTCTTCTCGTTTGTCCTCTTTTTTCGTCTTCATGAACCTGAGTTTCTACCCAATATTCAGCCGACTCGACTTTTTGATACATATATTTTTAATTATTTACTTCCTTCATTTTAGTACAAGTAAAAAAAAAAAAAAAAAAAAAAAAGGAAGAAATTTTTTTTTTTTTTTTTTTTTTTGCTTTTTATGCAATTATTTGATAATAACGTGTAGTTAATTATTCGAATTAATATTTCTTATTAAGTATTTGTCTTTTTTTTTTTTTTTTTTTTTAAAGTAAATGGAAGTTTGTTCACGTTTTCACGCTTTTACCATTTCATAAGTGTTTAATTTTTGTAGAAGTTTTTATGCTGTTATGTGCTTTTTTGTATAAGTTTTTCCTATTTATGGGCCTTTCCTATTTATGCGTTTTTCCTATTCATGCTTTTTTCACATGCATAAGTTTTTGCCATGTTTAAGTTTTAACTTATATATTTGCTCACATTCATGCAGGTGCATGAGTGTGGCACACATCGGCACAATGACAATACTTACTTTATTGTGTATGCATTTTGCAAACATTTTCTACGTCCTCCCCGGTCTCCTACATTTTCTGGTATACTTACACATGGTATATACCCATTTTTTTTTTTTTTTTTTTTCTTCCACTAAACTCTTTTTCGGGTCAATCCCCTCCAATTGATACCTTCATATTAGTTTTTGCATAAAAAGATATTGCGCTATTTATTTGAAAACTGCAGATATCAAAATTGTGCAAGGGGAGAAAATATTCAACAGGTTGAGAAAGACAAGAAAAACAGGAGAAAAATCAAAAACATTTGAAATAGGCTACCTCTGTTTGGTCTGGCAATATTTGAAACCATGGAGGGACGCAAAACAATTACCATTGGATTGTACTTCCATTTATCTATTTCTTCACACAAAAATTCTAACGCAAAAAATCAAATTGTATTTAAAATAATGCGAGGTTTTATATTTCAAATAAGGATTTTATAAATGAATAAATGTCCCTTATATTATGTATAATATGTGGAAGAAACACATAAAAATTGTAAACGTTATAAAAACTGTAATGATAAAATAATAGAAACGTACAATTGCACAAAAATACTAAAAATCAATTTAAAAGTGTGTGTTTGTGGTAAAATGATTTAAAAAAAAAAAAAAAAAAAAATTTGATGAGTTGTAGGGTCCAAAGTCACTATTGTCGTAACTAATGCTCCTATAATTATACACTACTGTTTCAAATTTATCATCGATAGGCAAACCAGTACTTCTCCTATGGAGGTTTCATCTGAGGTTTGCTTTTCGTTATTCATCTTTTGACTTAAAATGTCTCCTTCTTCTCCCTGTTCTGCAACATTCATAATATTATCACCGTCTTGGCCCCCACAATCGTCCTCGTTTTCTTTTTGAAGATCTGCGTTTTTATTGAGGGTATATTTTTCAAAATAGTTTATATTATCCTTTTTATTCTGATGATAGGGTTCATAAAAATTTCTCCTATCTTTTTTATAAATAATATTGCCTTTTTCTGTTATTTTTTTTTTTAAATTTTTTCTTCTTGGTTCATAGCTAAACACTTCTTTTTCCTCTTCTTCATTAATCAAAGTTATTAAAGCTGAAAGGGCTTCGTTTTTATCTATGTCCTTTTTGTTTGGAATTTTTGATAGAAACAATGGATGAAGTTCCCATTCATCATCTTCATTTTTATCATCCTTTCTTGCCATCATTTTGCACGAACGTGTTTTATGAACCTTTTAAAACACACTTAGCATTTCATCTTTTTTGGAAAAGCTAATATGTATGTATATATATATATGTACATATAAATATGTTATTCTGTACTTTTCTCCTATTTTATTTACACCTTTATTTGGGTTATGGATATTGTCCTCTCTTTACTAAACTAGATCTGGACTTTTTAATTATTCGTCACCTGTGAATTTCATTATTTTAAAAATTCTTGCCATATATAAAACAATGTATAGGCTATTTTTTTTTTTTTTTTTTTTTTTTTTGTACTATGTTTTGGGATAAACCCTTTTTCTCGTTCTTTTGCTAAGGCTACGTGATTTGTAAAGAAATATCTTTTCTTCCACTTTCTAAAATTTTCTGTATATCATTTTTTGGCATTCTTAGGTGTACATAAATATACATATATATATATATATATTGTATATATATAAATATATTTTTTTTCCTTTTTTAACTATCTTTTCAATTCTGTTGGTTACTAAAGTTTTTTTTTTTTTTTTTAAAGCTGTGAAAATTTGCTAATCCATTTTGGTTTTGGTTTTTTTTTTTTTTTTTTTTTTTTTTTTTTTCCTGAATTAATGTTAATATATTTGATCGGCATTAATTAATACGTTAAAATTCTGATTGTGCTTGAACCTTAAAGTTTTAAAGTGAAATCATTTTTAATATAGAGAAAATAGAGCAAGAGGATAATATATTTTTTTTTTTTTCATATGAGTTACTCATCCTTTGCACATTTGTGTTTTATTTTATTTTTATTTTTTCTTGTTTTACCTCTTTATGCAAAGGGTACAGAAGTCATTGTAGATAATGCCACATTTATGATAAGTACTTAAATACAACACTAATTTTTGCACACCATCCATGAGTGTGTATTTAAATATTATTATTATTCAACTTAATCAACTGGTAAAATGTCGATTTGTGAATGAGCAGTAACAACATTTAAAGAACCACAAGCACGTTTTACATGTTTCATTCCTTCTCAAAGTGTGCAAAAAAAAAAAAAAAAAAAAATATAATCCCTTTTGTAGAGAAACAAAACTGTGTTATGTGCTTAAGCGCTTTATAAATGATAAAATGTGTACACCTTTTTTTAGTATCCCATATTTCATGCTATAATTTTTCTGAACAATCAGCATAATTTTTACTTCAAATTTATTGTACTAATGATGTGTATTCGTTTGGGTGGAAGAAGGGTCTCTTTAATTCATCAAACTGTTATAAATAAAAAATGAAATACCAAAAATGAAATACCAAAAATGAAATACCAAAAATGAAATACCAAAAATGAAATACCAAAAATGAAATACCAAAAGAGAAATACCAAAAGAGAAATACCAAAAAGAAAAGACAAAAAAAAAAAAAAAAAAAAAAATATATATACAGTACACAGTATATGCAAGAATAAGCTGCGCAAACGCATAACAACACACAATGACTACAGGCATAAATATGAATGTTGCTATTCATGAATTTATTTGTTCTTCCCTACTTTGGAAAAGCATTAAGTAACTACTGAAAAAAAAAAAATTCCATTAATAATAGAGAAAATTTTCTAAACAAGGTGAAATAAAAAAAAAATAAATAATTGTGTTGTGCTCTGTAAAAATTAAACATTCGTATGTTTATTTTTATTCTATTTTTTTTTTTTTTTTTTTTTTTTTAAACTTTGTCAGTAAAATTACAATCATTTTGTTCTATTGTTTTCGAAATGTCACTTATCAACAATTTTATTATAGAAAGACACTTCTGCAAGTGATCTTTTGCTTGTTCATCAGATCCTAATTCAAGTCTTTCTGTTAAAACTTCCCGAGATGGTGACAATTTAAGTGCCAATTTAACAATTTTCCCTGTTGCATAACCATGATAATTTTTTAAGACTTGATCATACGTGTCCATCGCACACACATTTAATTTGGATGTACTATTTGTCACATAGCACTTTTCGAGAAAAATTACAATAAATTCGATTGCTCTTTTCATCCATAGGAAATTCACTATTCCATTATCTTTGTCGCTTTTTAATTTTTGCAAATTTTGATACTTTTTTAAATTGTGTGAATACATTGTTGAAACATATTTACTTTCTTCAGGAATTTTCTCTACGGCCTTTTGAACTTTGCTTGAGGAATTTTTCAAGTCTTTTATTAACATATCTGCTATAATCCCATCGCCAAATATTTTCTTATATATAGGATAAATACAGTTACACAAATCACACAACTTTAGAACAAGAATTTCGTTGCCTTCTCTGCATTCTAACGATTTCTCTTCTATATTTTTTATTAACAATATTCCGCTAGTTCCACTATTCATTCTGAATGCTTTTTCCATGGGGAAAGCATATATATTGAAAATGTGAAGCAGAAAACCAGGGAATGGGGTTGATGGGGGCAATATAAGGGAAAAAAAAAAAAACATAGCAAAAGTGAAAAAAAAAAAAAAAAAAAAAAATTATCAATTAATTTCGGTTATATATACATTTTTTTGGAGCATAACTTAGAATAAATAACCGATTGTAGAAAATACTGATCAGGGGAAAGTAATCCATAAGTTTACCTAATATCACCTTGCACTATAAACAATTAATTAGATCAATTTTTTTTTTCTTTTTTCTGACAACATTATGTACATATGTCATACGTGCACAAAAAATGATACATATTAATACACTGAAAAAAAAAAAAAAAAAAAAAAAATTGACACAAAAGATGAAAAAATAGACGAATTCGCCAGATAGTATAGAGACCCCCTAATTATACCACTAAAATGAAATAACAGAATAAAAAATGGTTCTAGATTCCTTTTTTTATGAAATCTGTTTTTATCAAAGCACTTAAGTTGTAACAGATACAAAAAAAAAAAAAAAAATAAAATAATTAACGTTACGTTTTTGTAGAATATGCAAAAAAGGTTCTTATTTTTTATTCATCATAAATTAAAAAATTCCTGAGCAACATATTCATGAGAAAAAAAAAAAAAAAAAATTAAGTAATAAAAAAAAATAAAAAATAAGAGCTTTTAAATTTGAATGTATAAACATACTAAGCCAAGAATATACAAATATATATAACTATATGTAGCTGATACAAATGCATACATGGTGTATATACATATGGTAGTTTCCTCTTTTTCCATAAAACCAAACAGAGGGTGTCGAAAGAAAAGTATAATAAAGGCTATTAAGACACCCATCCATATATTTACATTTGCGTGTGACGAGAAAGAACAAGATAGACACTAAACGTGCATGCTGATACAAATTTTGTTGAAAAAAAGTAGAGGGTCTTGGCCCTTAGAAATGGTTTGTGAAAATTAGCCATATAGGCATTGTGGTAGCAAAGAGCCCAAGGTGTTTATACACATAAGTACCACTTAAAATTGTAGCCTTGTTGGATTTGTGATATGCCAGTTTTTGTGCCTTTTGTGAAAATGATGAAACATGATGGATGCGAAAATTTTGAAAAATTACACAAACTACACGTGAATGTATTTATATATATGTGAAGTGGAATTTTTTACACATGTAAAGGCCTTTCCATGGGCTACTCTTTATACCGAATTGACAAAAAAATTAAAATAAAATAAAGCGAAATAAAGTGAAATTAAGTAAAAAAAAAAAAAAAAAAAAAATTTCCTTATTGTAACTTATAACAATTCGAATTTAACATCTTTACCGTTCAATTTTTTACACCTTTAAATCCATATTATTTGTATCTTCATGTAAATAAACTTTTTTTTTTTTTTTTTTTTTTTTTTTCCCCAAGTTCGTAAATCGAATAATTACATAGGGATAATATATTTAAATTGCAAGAGAGAAGCTTCTTTAAATTGTTTCACTTGCCGATTTCGCACTCTTCATTCTTTATTTTATTTTTTTTAAACTAAAAAAAAAAAGAAAGGGATGCAAATCGGGAAAATATTGTAAATTCATTTTATGTATAATATGATATACATATTATTTCCAATGTTTATTCCATTTTTCTTCTTTTTTTTTTCCCACACTTCAAGTTACATATATTATGTCTGCACATTTTTACTTTAAGTGAAGGATACATTTTTTCAGAACTAACACTAAAATTACCAAGTCAAGAATACTTACGCATTTTATAGAAGATTACATTAGAAGACCTTCATATGAGAGTGCATTCATTTTATCTGCAACTGAGATAGCGAAGGATTTTCCGTTTTTGTCAACTTTTGTTGCACAAGAGTAGGAATGTATCAATAGAAAAGAACCAATAAGGAACACACCTACAGATAATTGCATTCCGAAGGGAAAAAAAAAAAAAAAAATGATTTATAAAAGTACGAAAAAACTATCAAATAAAGTTTGTGACGTTTTGGTATCCTTCGGAGTGCGTCAAAATAAAACAACCTTTATTTCGCATCCAGGTAGGAAAAAAAGAATTGTAAAATATGGTCTAGGGTAATTTTTTTCAAAAAAATATATCACCCATAGAATTACACAACCGTTAAAGTAGCATAACGCTTAAGACATTAGCTCGTGTACAATAATATCAATCGTTAAAATAAAATTTATTTGGATGCATCCCCTTCCCAAGAATTGTTCACGTTTGATATTATTATATTTTAAAAAAACAGCAGAGGACGATCAATTCGTGCCAACTATTTTGAAATGATTTCTTTAATCTTTTTCCTATATGAGGAGGGGGTGTACTTAAGAGCAACTCATTTCTATTTTTATCATTTCATTATTTTTTTTATGAACAATTAATACATTATAATTTTATTTTTCCCTTACATGTAATTCTCCCCAACACCCCTTTTGTAGGAGTTATGGCTGTTTCACAACTACTTGAAATGAAGCTGATTACAAGACCCAGAGCAACACTGACTCAAGAGAATGTAAATGCCATGGTGGAATTTGATTACGAGCTAGCTAAAAAAGCGCAAATAGCTGTGGACAATAATTTGCCCGTGAATTTTTTCGATCTTGAATACATAGACAGACCCGAATATTTGGAACAACTACTTGAAGAGAAGAAAATTTTAGAAAAAGCAAGAGAAGATGTTTTAAAAAGAGAAAAAGGAAATTATAAATTACCTGAAGTTTTAAAAAATTATAAACGAGTTGAAGTACCAAGAGAATGGAGACAGGAATTAGAAATTGATGAGAATATTTTAAAGGCGCAACCCGGATTAAAGGAAAATATAGAATTACAAAAAATTATGCATAATTATATACAAAATAAATTTAAAAATAAAAATTCAGCACAAAGCTCGAAGAAGCACATAAAAGGATGAATGAATGCAACTGGGATGCATGCATATGTACATTTATATATATATGTATAGTTATAAATATGGGATATTTTTCTTCATGATAGCAAAAATCTATACTCCTATGGGAACAGTGTACATATGATGGGACTAGGAGAAATGAAAAAAGAACACACGCTGAAAGAGGTGTACACCAATTCAAGTAATGTTTTTTTTTCCTTTGTCACTTCCCCTTTAGGTTCATTCCACTCTTGTGTTTTGGCTAGCTGGTAGGTAGGGAAAACCGATATCGGCTGATAGATATATGTAGTGGTAACTTTTTTTTTTAGCATTTTTTTTTTTTTTTTTTTTCTGTATTCTCAAAATGCCATTAAAAGACGTGAGGGGGAAATAAAAGAAAATTTACATTTTAAATTTATTTAAAAAAAATATATATTTTGTAAAAATAAAAAAATATCAAACAAAAAGAAGCGTACATATGTAAAAGAACAAAAAAAAAAAAAAAAAACGTTGTTAAGCATTTTCTGCGACCATGTATCATTATGCAAGAATACATAATTATATGTTTGTACTGATACACATTCGAGTAGTAGATGGGTTAACATTTGAATGGATATGTTGATAAAATAGTAAATGTACAGATACATAAATGGATGTTTCAGTTAATGTATAAAAATCCTATCTAGGGGCAGTGGGTCTAAATAGACACTAAATTCATATACGCCTCATTTCACAAAAAAAAAATAAAATAAAATAAATAAATGGATAAAATAGATAAGTGTTAAATTTTTTCAACATAAAAATGTAGATAATGTGGATTCATCCACTTGACTGATATACAGCTTAGTGCACTATTTTTTGAGGGGAAAAGCGGAACTTTTTTCTGCCATAGTATATAAATGTTCACACATGGATGAATGGATGGATGACAATGTTTTAATAAATGAAGTCTTCTTTTTACCCTTGTTTTTATCTTGTGTTTGTTTATGCTTACTTCATTTTTGTTGCTTTGTTTTTCCTCTTTTGGATCTGCTTTTGCTGATTTTCAATAATGTTTTTCGCAAATTCTAGTGGGTTTTGGATAAACCCGCATGTATTCATTATATTATCATACTGATTCAATACGTCTTCTTTTCTTTTTCTATTATGATGATTATTAGGGGTCCCATTTTTGCCTCCATTTACTTCTCCATTTTGAAGCACATTTTTGGCTCTCCTTTCCTCGCCATCTTTACCCTTCACATTATTCTCATTTAATATTTTTTCAAGAACTGGTGTGGGATATGTATCAGTAACAACCTTCACCTGTTTATTCATTATCCCAGTAGATAATTTTTTTTTTTTTTCATGCTTCTGCTTCGATAATGGTAAGTGTGTTCTACCTGTCTTAATTATAGCCTTATTTTTTACCAATTTTGCCATAAGATTGTTTTTCTTCAATTTAAAATTTAATTTTTTTTTCTTTTTCCTACTACCAGTTTTCTTTTTTGATTCTTCAATATGTTCATTCTCTTTTTTATATTTCTCAATTTCTTCACTCTTTTCTAAATGCTTTTTATAAATTTCCATAAATCTCTCAGCAGCATTGGTTGTTTTGTATCCATCCCGTTTCTCACTTATGAGTTGTTCCTTTTGTTCAATTTTGTTTTGTTTTTTCCATTCCTCCACTTGTGCTTTAATGGCTATTTTTTGCTCTTCATCATATGGATTGTTAATTCTGTATTTTTTTCTTTCTTTTGTAATTTTCATCATTGTGCTTCATAAAATGGGAATTGTAAATGCACTGCACTTGTCTCCCTCGCGTTGGAATTTGCTTTCTCCACCGTGTAAAAGAAGCATAAGTGTATTCAATAACGTCTTTTTTTATGCCTTTTTGCTAAAACTTTGGGGTGTCAATTATTCCAGTTGGTAGAAATACAAAGTGGAGAAATATGGCCTAAGGTGCAATGTTTAATGGGGCTCGTGTTTTCCCTCTTAGTTTCCTTCTCGTTTCTCTACCTTCCTTTCTGTAGTATTATCCCACTTTGCATTTACCTTTTCTCCTTTTAAAAGTAGAGAGTAATAATGTATGCAAAAAGAAGTGAAACACAACATAAAACTTAAGTAAGTGATGATAAAAACAAACTCAGCATCAGCATATTCTTTAGTTTCGAATAAGCAATGAATTTTAAAAAATTGATTAATTTTTTTCTTGAAAAATAAGGCTACAATATCTTTGCCCTATTTTTATCAATTCAACAAATTAGGATAACACGAATTTGTGGTTAACCCTTAAGTTGGCATATATATTTGACAAAAATGGGAAAAAAAAAATTCTATAACCACTAAAATATGAAATAATATGTGATATAAACTAAACACAACTGTGGCATGGTTATATATGTACAAAACAAAAGGAGAGAAAAAGTACAATAAAAAAATTGTACCCCTTTTTCCACCCTATGTGAAGAAAAAAAAAAAAAAAAAAAAAAAAAAAAAATTTACCTTCTCTTTTTTTTTTTTTTCCAGTGAAGAATTTATTTTTTAAAAGCTAATTTCTGGCTTAGCTGTAATAGTTCCTAAATATTCCAGATGACGACGATAATAAAGTAGTAAATTGTGCCATAAAAAAAGAAGAAAAAAAAAATAACAGGAACTCAATCATCGGGAAACGTAAAAAAAAAAAAAAAAAAAAAAAAAAAAAAAAATTAAATCCAAGTAGTAGGCAGGGAATTTTCTATGTTTACGTAATCCCCATTGAGTGGGTCCAAAAATTGCAACTGAAATAACTCGAGGCAAAGATTCATATTCTCATTTTTAGATTTTATTTTTTCCCTAGTGTTCTGTTCATAGTAATTCCCCATTTCACTGTGCATACTACTTGTGCATGTCTGATGTATAAAATAATTATTTAATTTTATCTTTTCTTCCTTATGTGCCAAGCCTCGTGATGAAGCATAATCACTGGGTATGGTAAAGGCATTAACTTGTGGATCATGAGATTTACGTAAATATTCCTTATATTTCTTATCAGCTTCTTGTGTTCCATATGTGTTTGGTTGTAAATTATTCACATTTACTTGACACTTTTTATCATAAGAATGCCTAGTAATATCAAATTGTGAGTAAAATGTAGATGGTGAAGAATATGTTTGTTCCTTTTCTATCATTTGTAAAATTGTTTCATTAATTATGTCTTTTTTAAAAGATTTTTTATCAAATAAATTGTCATTAATTATAGGAGTGTTTAATTCGCTAAAAAAAAACCTGATCAAATCAGGTTTGGGATTATCCAAAAGGACAAATTCTATTATATAAATGTTATAAAAATTGTTAACATAAGAATTTATATTTTGTTCTCTTTTAAATAATGTATTTTTATGTTTTTTTACGTACTCTCCATAATTTTCAACTTTGTAAATCATGGATATAGATACAGAATTTTTTGTAATTTCTTTGTCAATCGTGTAGAAATTCCCTTCGTTAAAAAAAAGAGATGCGGGGAATTTTACCTTTCCATTTTTTGACATGTGTGCATTTTCCCAATGGATGTTATAAATATTATTTCCATTTTTTGATTCTTCCTTTTGTGAAGAAGAACTCTTCCTATCATTTTTTTTTTTGTTCACACGTCGATCATTTTCAATATGTTCCCCCTCTTCCTCTGTGCCACTAGCAACATGATTCAATTCTGATTCCATATCATCACACTCTTCAACTGTGGTGTCCAAACAAACTTCATATTCTCCATTTGCATTTGTCACAATATCATTGTTATGAAGAAAATTGGATAAAAAATGGTTCAAGCTTTTTATGGGTGGATTTCTTTTTAAAGGTGCAGAAATGAAATAGTCACAATCGACAGGGGGTATTCCACGGGTCATATTTCGACCTTTTTGGTAGAATACCCTTCTAGATTTATCATTCCTGCGATTGTTTTTTTCAGACTCCAGATGGTTGTTTATCTTTGCTTTCCATTTATCGATTCCTAAATGTACCAAATGGCGACAATAAGTGGTAGAATATGTATTATCTGAAAAAAAATTATGAAATGGGAACATATCAGTTGCTTCCTTTTGTGCTTGTAAGGACTTTAAAAATAGTATAAATTTTTTATTTCCAATTTCATTTTTTTTATTATTCATTAATAAATGTGTGCTAGAATCTGTGACGTTTTTTTCACTCACGAAAAAACTGTTCATATGATCCCCATAGTTATACCCATTTTCTCGAAAGACGGTCACTTTATTATTTTCAACAAACACGAATGGGTCATTTATTAAGCATCTGTATTTTCGTATTAACTTATTTTCTTTAATCATTTTTAAAAATTTATTATAAATAAACAAATCTCGACAACATATAACCAACCCACTCATGTATATAGGCAACTTGTACGGATAATATATATCCTCATTTGTTTCACATTTCAGCACAGATTCTACGTAATATTTTTCTATGAATTTATTTTTCTCGTCATTCTGATCAGAGGCGGTTCCACCAATGTTAAATTTAAAGTCGTTGTAAAGATATAAGGGAGAATTGGTAAAGAGAAAGGCATTTTTTTCAGCGACACTTAGGTTCTTTAATGTGAGAAGAAATTTTTTTTTCTCATGGATGTTACTTTTTTCTTTAGCACATTCCCAATTCATTTGTCCATCCGGTGGTTTTATCTCATTATTTACACTTAGCACAGATGAGCACTTGACATTTTTTCCCTCCTCTTCCTTTTGTTTGTTTTTTTTTCTAGTTAGCGTCCAATTTACAGGTTTGTTGATGACAAAGAACTTATCGCTCAGTGTTCTGTAAATTAACTTGATTTCCCTGTTACAATTTTTCATTGCAACTTGGAGTTAAAAAAATGCTCTTTCAAATGTAGATCATGTTGTAAGGGAACTTCTTTTGAGAAAAATGGTACAAGAGTTACTTGAAAAAAAAAATTAAAATAATGAATAGGTAAATAAATAAATAAATAAATAAATAAATAAATAAATAAATATATATATATATATATATATATATATAGAGAGAGAGAGAGAGAGATAAATATATAGATAGATAAATAAAATAGAACAAAATACTATTTCGTACTTTACCCCGATAAAAAGTAGTCCTTCTAAAAATACGTCATGCAATTAGAAGTGCTACATGTGTCGTCCAAAAACGTTTAGTATTTTATTTCCTTGTTGCTATTGTTTACTCCCATTGGGGAATGTATTTTATGAAGCAGAGAAATAGGATAATATTTTAAGGTTTTCTAATTTTACTCTTCTAGTAGTAAAAAGAAAGGGCAAGTTTTTTAATTCATTCACGTAAGTACATTTTTTTATAAGAACCTTGAGCCCCCCTTTTCATTGACAGTTTAATTATCAGTGAGTATCCATCTTCTACAGCTTTGTACACAAGTGAGGTGTATTTAATTACAATTATGAGGCCAATTATTTGTGCACAACGTTGGAAAAAAAGAGGAAATACCTATTCTGTTTACTTTCTTAACTACACACAACAATGAAGAGGTGAGCAAAAAAAGAAAAAAATACATCAATGTGAGCATAACGATATAGAAATATGTTACTTTTAATTATGTACTTTCCAAATAGAAAAAACCTCGTAACCGCAAAAAAATAAAATAAAGTAAAATAAAAGAGAGAGAGATGCTTACATATCTATATTCATATCATAAAATGGGTTACAACTTTTTTTATGAACAAATAAAGCTAGCTATATTATGTGCAGAAAAAAAAAAAAAAAAAAATTGTAGGTCAGGTGGATAATTACAGAGTGACATGTTCATGTGTATTTTGTTTACATGTGTGCGCAAAATTTGACATTTAAAAAAAATACAAAACTAGATATAATTTCATAGTTCTATATTGATAAGTTAACATTGTTGTTTATAATATAACTGTACCACTATATGGACACACAAAATATTTTTTTCCTTTTTCTTTTTTTTAATTTTTCTTTTTTTTCCTTTTTCTTTTTTTTAATTTTTCTTTTTTTTAATTTTTCTTTTTTTCTCCTTTTTCTTTTTTTAATTTTTCTTTTTTTTAATTTTTCTTTTTTTAATTTTTCTTTTTTTTAATTTTTCTTTTTTTCTCCTTTTCTTTTTTTTAATTTTTCTTTTTTTCTCCTTTTTCTTTTTTTTAATTTTTCTTTTTTTCTCCTTTTTCTTTTTTTCTCCTTTTTCCTTTTTTTTTCTTTCTCCCTTTTTTTTCTTTTTCTTTTTAAATGTCTGCTTTTTTTTGTTTCATCTGTTTCCTTTTTTTAAAAATGTCTCTTGTTCACAAAAATATGAACAAAATAGAATTTTTTTTTTGTAAAAGATTGCGAGCCCAAATGTGTAACTTTAATGCATGATTCATCCGAGTAAATAATTTTATTTTTATACTATTTTTTTTTTCTTTATAAGAGGATATTTCATAAAAAAAACAGAAACAAAAACAAAAACAAAAAATGTATAAATCAATTCAGTTTTCATGTGAACTCATGGCGACAAATACATTGAATACCATGCCACAATCTTACTAATGGGTAAAAAGTAGTCTTCATGTAGAAAAGGAAGTTTCGTTATTATTTATATGCGCTGCAGAGGTAACATTTTATCTTTAACACTTCAAAGGTGTAACATATATAATATACATATCGTAAGTATTGATTTATGTACTTTTTGCACTAAAATAGGTTTGTTTTTACAACATCCCAAAATGCTACATAATATATGCTATTTTGTTGTATGTGTGTATTTTGCTGTCACACATGCTTGTCGAATTACTAAGCCTTTCTTCGCATACTTCAAAAAGGACTTTTTTTTTTTTTTTTTTTTTTAAACTACATAAAAAATGATAAAATAATTGCATTTAAAAAAAAATTTTTTTTTCTTGTTTTGTTTGCTTTATTTTACTAGATTTTACTCTCGTCATTTCTTACGTACGTATATCCTGCAAAGCAAGCACTCTCCTAACCTCTACAATACATGTTAATTTATGCAAGGGTTTTTTTTTTTTTTTTTTTTGATTTTACATATGAATAATATGGTTTTCGCATACATGCAAGCAGATGAAAATATGTACTGATGACTATACACTTATGTCATAAACACGTCAAATCCCTTTCAACCACATGCCATCGGTGTATGTATATATATATATATATAATTACATGTGCTCGTTTCATGCATGATTATGGATCACAACTTCATTTGCATGAACATGACATAAACCACTAATACTACTATTCCGTTTTTTTTTTTTTTCTTTAATTACAAATTGAACTTTTTTTTTTTTTTTTTTTGTTTCTTCTTTCTCAAAACGAAAAATCGTTGTTTATTTCACAAATAAAAGATTACTCTATGTGTTCCTTGAATATCATAAAATTACTAGGTGGATATATATTGTACATATATGTTTAAATTTTTTCAGGTGTATGTGGTAAATGTTTTTAAAATGTTTTACTAACACCCCTTACATGCACTTGTGAATATAATGAATTTTTACAACAAAACTTATTTTTACTTCACAAAAAGATATATCATATATCCCTCAAAAGATCGTTGTGAAGAAGACCGTTTATGCTAAAATAGAAATACATATTCTATGTTTTGAATTTCTCATATAAAATAAATACACTTTTTTAATTTACCATACCTGTGATGATATATATTTTTCAAAAGTGTTGAGGAAATTTCTACGTGTAACATATACTATTTTGGATTTTCATTTCATTGCAAATAAAGATATAAGGGGAAAAAAAAAAAAAAAAAAAAAAAAATAGGCATCGCGCGTACAAGTATGCAAGAATTTATGGAAAAGGATAGATTCTACATATAGCAAATTTTCTTTCGATAAGTCCTATAATTAATTTTTTTTTTTTTTTTTTTTGGGGGAGCTAGAAGAATTTATTAGCTATATTTTTTTTTTTTTTTTTTCCATATGTGAAAGAAGGTTTATTTTGTGTACACATTTGTATCTATGCACAAATATATATGCTTATATATATATATGTACATACATTTAATAGTCATCACCGCACCCCCAAGCGTTTCATATTAGCGATATATAAAGTGTCGATCATTCTCCACAAAAGGGAACTTAGAAGAAAATTATTAAATCTTTTACAAAGGGAGACAAAAAATTGTATAGCAGTTAGGGAAAACACATATATATATGCGTTAGTTACCCATAATATTTGGAAACACACCTGGGAATCTGTAGTATCATCATATCCCTCTTACATAACTGTATTTTTAGCAAGATGAGGAATCCTAATGACAACAGTGGAGAAGCGAAGAAAGCATCCCCACACAGATTAATTAAAACCATGTCCGTCCTACTAAGAGACAATGAATGTCACTTTAATTTAGAAGAACATGAAGATCAAAGAGGAGAAGAGAAAGTCCCAACAGATAAGAAAGATAGTGAGATGATTGATTGTTTGATGAAAAAATTAACGTCGAAAAAGTTTTTAGTTGAAAAAGAGACGAAGAATTCCTTTTACTTAGTAGATAATGAGAATATGAAAATAAAAAAATTAAAGGAACATGGGCATTCAGCATCATTAAATGATGATTTAAGCCCTTTACAATATGAAAGAATAAAATATCAGCCAACATTACCCAAAGCATTGGCAAGTGAATATCAAGTTTTAGAAGAAAATCATGGAGATGATTTTATAAACAAAAAAGACTATGAAGAGGTAAAGAAATTTTTAAAGAATCTACACAACTTGCCCATATTAAATGTGAAAGAAACGAATAATAATGAATTGTTCAAGGGAGGAAATGTGTTAAAAATTGGAATTATATTATCAGGTGGTCCAGCCCCAGGAGGTCATAATGTTATATCAGGTATTTACGATTATGCTAAAAGGTACAATGAAGAATCTCAAGTTATAGGTTTTTTGGGAGGTATAGGTGGATTGTATAGTAAAAATTATGTAACGATTACAGATGCGTTGATGAACCGTTTTCGAAATTTAGGTGGTTTCAATATGCTTTGGTCAGGTCGAGAAAAAGTAAGGAATAAAGACGATTTGATTGCTATTGAAAATATTGTTGCAAAGCTTAAGTTAAACGGTTTGGTAATAATTGGGGGAGATGGATCAAACAGTAATGCAGCATTGATAGCAGAATATTTTGCAGAAAGGAATATTCCTATTTCGATTATTGGTATACCTAAGACCATTGATGGAGATTTAAAAAGTGAAGCAATTGAAATTAGTTTTGGATTTGATACAGCTACAAAAACGTATTCAGAAGTGATAGGAAATTTATGTACAGATGTAAAAACAGGTCATAATGTATATCATGTAGTTAGAGTAATGGGAAGATCAGCATCTCATGTTGTATTAGAGTGCGCATTGCAGACAAGACCAAACATAGTTCTAATTGGGGAAGAAGTAGAAAAAGAAAAACTATCCCTAAAAGATATTGTTAATAATATTGTAAATACCATACTTAAGAGAAAATCCTTGAATAAAAACTATGGTGTTATATTAATACCAGAAGGGTTAATAGAATTTGTACCAGAAATGAAAATATTAATTGGTGAATTGAATATCATATTGAAAGAAGGTCCATTTCATCCTGATAAATTAAAAAATTCGAGAGAACTATGGGATTTCTTACCAAGCATTATTAGAGATCAGTTATTAATGGATAGAGAATCTACAGGATATATTCAAGTTGGTAAAATAGCAACAGAAAGATTAATTATTGTTCTTGTGGAGTCTGAGTTAGCGAAACTGAATGATAATAATTTGAACATTCAATTTATGGCCCATTATTTAGGTTATGAAGGTAGATGTGCTATTCCATCCAATTTTGATTGCAATTATTGTTATGCCTTAGGATATAATGCTGGATTGTTAATTGATCATAAAAAAACAGGATATATGTCTATTATACAAAATTTGGAAGATTCCTATAACAATTGGATTCCAGCAGCCATTCCATTTCTGAGAATTATGCACGTGAATAGGGATAACACAGGGAAGGAATTTCCTGCTGTAAAGAGATATTTAGTAGATCTTAACAGCCCATTATTTAACGTTTTGAAAGATGTTAGGCATTTGTGGTCTCTGTATGATTTATATAGAGCTCCAGGACCAATTCAGTTCAACGGACATCTTAGCAATTCACGTTGTTATACGGTAAAAATACCAACAAAGGATATTCTACTATGTCAGAATTCAGAAGATTTACAGTTAATTATTAATTTAGCAAATAAAACAAATAATATATCTAATGAAGATACTTTTTTTAACGAAAGTGCAGCATTACTAGAAAGTGGTAGTATCAGTAGAGAAGGCGAAGGAGAAGGTAATGATGTAACTAAGAAGATGAAATATAATAGCACATGTGATGATTCTAAAAATTTGGGAAATACAAATAACTATCATGAAGCAAGTACAAATGTTGCGAATTCGACGAGAGGGGCTTATGGAAGTTTGTTAAACACTTATGGAAATGACAGAGGAGGACAAGCGTTAGGAGTAGGTGTAGTTAGTTTAGAGACCACATCAGAATACATGAATGAAACGAATTTAAGTTCTAGTAATGTAGAAAATGATTTTTATGAACAACACTGTTCCAGTTATAAATCTTTAGGATGCATGTCAGAATTGCAAACATCGAGACTGTATAAGAAATTGGAATTGCCAGAATTATGTTCAGATTTGAAAGCAAAAGTGAGAGCAGGAAAACAGTACATATCAAATGATCCGTACACACAGAAACAAATTCTTTCCAACTATCCGCACATGTCATATGAAAATAAATTTCAAATTCAGGAAATTTTTCATGACAAATATGCTACTCCCATATCGTTTGAAATAAAAATTGGAATTGTATTTTTATCAAGACAAGCCCCTGGAGCAATGAATGTATTATGTGGACTTTATAGACGATTAAAATTATTAAAAGGGGTGTGTATTGCATTTTATGGCTTGTATGGTTTGTTAAATAACAAATATGTAATAATAGACGATGATAATATAGCTAAACATATGAATCAAGGTGGATTAGAATTAACAGGGAATTCTCCAGAACATTCTCTTTTTGATAAGGAGAATAGAAATAAGGTGTGCGAAACAGTGAAAAGTTTGCAGTTAAATGGTTTAGTTATGCCAGGTTCGAATGTCACTATTACAGAAGCTGCTTTACTGTGTGAATATTTTATGGAGAAAAAAATTCCCACATCAGTTGTTGGTATTCCATTGACAGGTTCTAACAATTTGATACACGAATTGATAGAAACATGTGTAGGATTTGACAGTAGTACAAAGGTTTATGCATCTTTAATTGGAAATGTACTTACTGATGCAGTAAGTATGCCAAAATATTGGCATTTCATTCGATTAATGGGTAGATCTCCATCTCATGAAGTGTTAGAATGTGCTTTGCAGACCCATCCAAATATGGTTATAATATCAGAGGAATATGGAGCAGCAGATAAAACACTTTGGAGAGTTGTTCAAGATATTTCCGATGTTGTATGTGCAAGAGCAGAACTTGGAAAGAATTATGGTACTATATTAATTCCAGATGCTTTACTTATGCATTTGCCACATATGAAAATATTATTAACAGAGATTAGTGACATTCTAAATGAAGCAAATGAAAAAGGAGAGTTAAATGAAGCAAGAAACGATTTAGTAAATATATCAAATCCACAAAGTGGAGTAAAAGGAGGAGAAGGAAAAGGAGAAGAGGAATCAATACCTTCTTCTCCATGGGTTAAGAAATTGACCCCATGGAGTTTAGCCTTATTAAAAACATTTCCACAATTTATCATAAAAGAATTATTACATGTAGATTTAAGATCGATGCGTTTTGAAAAATTAGAAACAGAACAATTGCTTCTTCAAATGGTGAAAGAAGAATTACAACAAAGAAAACAGAAAGGAAAATATTCTGGAATTTTTATGGGATTAACTCATTTTTTTGGTTACCAAGGTCGTTCTTCTTTACCTTCTGAATTTGATTGCAAGTTGGCATATGCCTATGGTCATGCTGCATCTATAGTAATCGAAAGTGGACTTACAGGATATATTGTTTCCATTAGAGGATTATGTGGAAATGTAAAGGATTGGAAACTTTTTGCAATTCCATTTATATCTTTGATGAAAATATTACCAAAAGGACAAGGAAGCAAATATCTTAAAAGTGCATCTAAGGGAGATCTTCCAGTTATTCCAAGTGCTCCAGTTGATCTTAATGGTAAGGCGTATAGAAGTTTAAAAATTGCCTTACAAAAATGGCAAATGGAAGATAGATTCTGTAATCCAGGACCTATACAATTTGAAGGAAACGCATCCAAATACTACAACAGAATTCTCTTTGAAGAACAATCGGAATATTTTGAGATGTTAAGGTATGTTGAATGTTATGCTAACATATTAAAAGATACATGTCGATTTGGCGTTTCTGCCGATTATTTGAAGAATGTATTTGTTCAATTGTGTGGAATGTTAGTTTTGGCTTACAAACCAAATGATATTTTATCAAACATGCCTTACATCGGTAGTATTGAAGATTACTATGATTGGGAGAACCAGAGGAAGAGGATGGATTAGTTGAGAAAATTTCCTTATTTCGAAAGAACAAAAATTTGATGAAATGGACTTAAGGAGTAGAGCGTGTCGTTGTAGGGGAAGTTTTTTGCTAAAATGTGCCTATCCCATGAACCATCCCCTTAAGAGATAGAAATAAAAAAAAAAAAAAAAAAAAAAAAAAAAAAAAAAAAAAAACGCTTTTTTTTTGAACAACTATGGACAATTCCATTACATACATGGGGAATAGAAGCCACATGATAACTTCTATCCCAATGTTGATGTAGAAGGGAAGTAAAAAAACCTTTTTTATCGAAACACATGACCATGCATTCTTATGAATTTCACAATTTCATTATTTTATGCTATGTATTTATTTACCTTATTTTACCATTACATTGTTTTATTTTACTATATTACATTGTTTTATTTTACAATTACATTGTTTTATTTTACCATTACGTAGTTTTATTTTACTATTACATTGTTTTATTTTATTGTTACATTGTTTTATTTTATTGTTACATTGTTTTATTTTATTGTTATTTTTTTTTTTTTTCTCTTGTTCATTTATATTCCGCTGTCGTGTGATACATATTTTCCGTTTCAAAATGGGTAGAAAAAACCACTGTGCTATGTGTACACGTCTTACACATGCTTGTATGACCAAATCGACACGTCTGTATATAGACATTTATAAATCATCACAAAAGTGGAAAAGGTGTAAAGTAAAGGAGTACACATAAGTTTAGTGACACAGGAGCGAACGAATGCATCTGTGCTGTTACTGATTCTCATTCTGCGTGCTGATGTTTGTGTCTTTGTATGCTGTTCAGCTCTACGTTCATTGATCTTTGAAATGTGAGTATAAAAATTGATGGTGCTTCGAAAGGGATTTTTTTTTTTCTTCTATTTTCAAGGTAGGTATAAGATGTTATATGTATGAAACTAAATAATGTATATCATTAGAACGATTTTTTCATGTTGCATATAAGTGGTGAGTATAATCAGTGAGTATAACCGGTGAGTATAACCGGTGAGTATAACCGGTGAGTATAACCGGTGAGTATAACCGGTGAGTATAACCGGTGAGTATAACCGGTGAGTATAACCGGTGAATATAACCGGTGAATATAACCGGTGAGTGTGTGAAGATGTATGACGAACATGTTTCAGTCTTCTGTCTTTCACCAATTTTTCACTTCTTTCTACATTAGCGGCCCAAACAAGCATGTACACCTTATATGTGTCTCCAAACTTTGGAAGTGAAATTATATGCACGTATTCACTAACCGATGGAATTTATTTTGACTTCTCAATTATGAAGCGCACTTCTGCATATATGTACACCGTTGTTGAAAATTCTATCTTCCGATTTTGATAGTTCATATGCATGTACATATGTGTATAGATTTGCGTCCTTCTCTTTAAGTGTGTAATGCGTTTAGCTCGTATATAATCACTTTCCTTTAAGCACATTCAAGACGTCTATTCGGGCCCAGCAAAAAATACCCTTGTCCATTTGAAATTACACAGATATGATGCAAAAGGTATCTATGCATTTACCTATTTAGGCATTCACTCATTTATGTATCCATATGACCATTCAGATAAATGTGTTTCCATGCGATTGTGTGAAAACCTTTGCGTGCATAAGTGAAGTGTCGTGAACAGTTGTGCAATACCCAGGAATGATCGAGTTTAAACATTTCTGTACTCGTCCTAACATACTCCAAGACAACAGCACTTTTAAAGCAATTATTAAACGTATGACTTCTTTCCAGTACAGAAAAAAAAAAAATAATAAAATATAAAATAATGAAATATATATTTATTTCATTGTTTCGTGAATAAATGCTGTTTCCCTGTATCAGCATTACATCTCCATTTCACTGTTTGGTTATACCCCGAAAAAGGAATCGGTAAAATATATCATTGAACATGACAAAATCTGTTTCATTTTGCGCACGAAAAATTGGAAGTTGTCATTCTGTGAGGTTGAAAATGTTGAGGGACAAATGGGAAATACTTCTGTTTGGAACGTAGTGGCAATTAAAATGCAAATTTGATGTGGAAAAAAAAAAAAAAAAAAAAAAAAAAAAAAGGACATATCTTACACGATTGAAAAAAGTGAACAAATTTGAACTTGGGGTCTCGCAAATGTGCTATAGCAAAATGGGATTTTTTTTTTTTTTTTTTTTTTTTTTTTTTTTTTTTTTTCTCCTGTTTCTGCCCCGTAAGGTTCCCCCCACAACAAGAAATGTCGAGAATTTGGAAAAGATATAGAAGGGTGCCTGCTGGATATTTATTGATTAATTTTTATTCATTTACTTTTAATTATTTGCTTGTTGTTTAGTTTGTCGTTTTGTTTTCCTCATTTGTTGACTCTCCTGCTTGTTGTTTCTTCTTATTTCTTTTTCTACTTTATATTTCTTCCTACTTGTTCCCCATTTTTGCCTTCACGGCACTCGTAAGGGTTACCTTTCCTGGGGCGTGCGAGGGAAAATGCCCTTAGAGCAACGTGACACCCAGGATGCAAGAAAAACAAGATACTCGAAATTGTGCACGTATGACGATAGTACCAACATATAGAAGTCTCATTAAGCTGATTAAAAAGGAACAACATGTTCTATCCTCTTATTTAATAAGGAAGAGAAATGTGTCGTATGACACATTGGCAGGAATTCCATGGATGAGTCATAGTAGAATCACGAAAACATTTGAAAGGGTTTCAAATGAAGGCCCATATGATAAAATTACATGGGAGAAGTTAAGCGAAAGAGCAAATAAAATATGTGATAGTTTTGATATAAAAGAAATTGGAAGAATATTATATGCATATTCGAAAGTGAAATATCGAGATGTAAAAATAATTTATAAATTTATTGAAAGAATAAAAAATCAAGACATAAAAAATATGGATTTGTTAGGTTGTGCACACATTTGTCATTCTTTAAACACATTAAATTATTTTGACAGAAAATTATTTGAGATGATATTATCTCAATTTATGAGATTACCAATTGGCGACAATTCATTTCCTCTTGTTATAACATTAAACGCATTTACAAAACATTGCAATGATTATAGGTTTCGTGAATTAACTTTGAAGTTGCTAATTTTTGTATTAACCAATTTTGATAAATATAAAAAGTCTTGTTCCCCCCAAGGACTCGCTATGATTCTTAACTCATTTTCTCAAGTAATCAAACCATCACCTGCATTTTTACAAAATCAAAATGAAAAATTGGAAAAAATATACATAGATGAATATGTAACACAAAATCAGAATGATAATCACCCAGTTTCATCTCTCCGTGGGAGGAAAATTGTTAGTATAACTCATGAAATGAAGCTGGAGGAGGAAGGGGTTGAAGATGTCACAAAAGAGGAAGAACCAATTAGACAGAGTGGAAAAACAGGTAAAAATTGGACGCAAAATGGGGCCCGAAGTGGGAGCAAAGTTGCAAGGACGAGTACAAGCAGCAGCATTCCAAGTGTACTAGACGAAAAGGAACTAGATGGAGAAATATTTAATTTCGTGCATCACGAAAGTAGGGTAGTTGAAAATGGATATGGAACAGAACTCGTAGAAGAAGTTACAAACAAGTGGCAAAAGAACGATACATTTGTCAAACATAGCAGCAGCAGTGCAATGTCAGAAATAGATAATAAAGGAAAAATAGTGAAAAGGGTAGAAAGGGTGAAATATAAGAGTGAGGGGAATTCAAACAAATGTGTTGGAAATATGCAAGAGAGAGAATACAAATTGGAGGAAGGTACGTTGGACAAATATGAGCAAAAAGTTTTGTTAAAAAATATGTTCTTAAAAGTACTACTTGAAATAACAAAAAAAATTGAAAAAATGAATACCCAATCTTTGTGTCTCATAATTAACGCTTGTTGTAGAATTTGGTTTGAAATTCCAAAGGAATTTTTAAAAATAACTTATGAAGAAACGATTAAAAAGATTCATCTAGCCACCATTAGACATTTGTCTCTAATAATTAATGGATTCATTAAATTGGGAGTACTTGACCCCACATACCTTTCTGTCGTTTTTGATGAAATTGAAAAAAAAATTCATTCCTGCGATGAGCAGCAGCTAAGCTTCATTCTCAGCAGTATGGTCAAGTTGGGAGAAACTAAAAAACTGGAAGGAGATTCAATGGGGATAGAAGCGAGTGATGTGTCAGGTAGTGCGTTATCCGATTTGTCAGAAAAAGTGACACCAACTGGGTCATCAGTTTTGCCATCAACTGGGTCATCAGTTTTGCCACCAACTAGGTCATCAGGATTGTCACTCAGCTCACCCCACGTTAAGAAGTCTACTAAGGAGTGGAACGGTGGGAACAAAACTCAAAAGAAAAGATTGATGGATAATTTGAATGCAAAATTCATTCTTCTGGCGAGAAATATGAATATATCGATCCTGTGCAATATCATGTATTGCTATGCCAAACTTGATATTACGAATGAAGATATATTTGAAATATTCCAAATATATTTTCTTAAACATTTTAACCAGACTAATTTACATCATCTTTCTTTAACATCATATGTTTATGCGAAAAGGAGAATTTTAAACGACACGACAAAAATGATATTGAACAAATCAGAAAACATTTTACGCAAAATAAACACAACACTTGATGTACAAACAATGAAATATGTTCTCATGCTAGTTAACAGTTTTAGTGAGATTAATATATATTCACATGTGTTTTCTTCGCATCTACATTTTATTATTCACCAAAGTACATTAAAAATTAGTGATCATAACGAGGGGTATCATCAAGAAGTATTTACAAAACGTAGGAATAATAATGCATATCCAAACACAAGTCTACTTAATTGGGATAAAATGAAAAGTAGAGGAATCTATTTGTCATATAGGGCTTTGTCACTTTATAGTAATTCGATACAAGGTGGAAATATGTGCAAGGAGTGAATGGGTTATTAAAGAGGGTGAAGCAGGTGAAGACGAAAGAGCATGCATATGGACTGCATTGGACTTAGGATATGTTCACATTTCTTCTTTAGAAAAATTTGTTTTCCTCTAAGGTTCTTCTTTTATCAGTTTTATATTCCATCGAGCAAAAGAGCAACCTCGCACCGAAACAGCACCCACCAGCAGGAGCAGCATCACCCCGATCAGCACCACCCTCCCTGTCACAAAACTATTCTGTGCTACCCAAGCCTGTACTATGCCAATTTCTCTGCTTAAGAGACAAGAAAATGGAATCTCTTTTGGTGACATTTGGTGTAGAACCACGGTTTCATGGTTTTGGCTAACACAGAGTAACGGAGTGTAGATGCTAAAATATCACGTCAGTGGTTATTTCGTGTTCTTCCTTATTATTACATAGGGCAGGAATAAGCAAAAGGAACATAAACTTTTGAATGTTCGAATCAGACACATCTGGATATTCGTCCTGCTTCCAATATATTGCATTTTTAATTAAGTTATAAGTTTGTATTTTTTTATTAACAAAGTTTGGATCATCATGGCAATTTTGCCCATCATCTCCTTCTTGTATTTCACTGTTTTGAATAGTAGCCAAATATGTTTTACTTTTAAAAAATGAATAAATAACATTACATCCAATGAAAAGTCTACCTCGAAAATGAGAAAGAAACTTTTGAAAATTTGTTTTCTCTTTAGCGTGACCTGAATTTGTTAAAATAAGTCCTTGTTTGATGTTTGTACAAACATTTTGTCTCGTCGTCTTCTCATGCTTTTGTAAACTTGGTTCGATAATCTCTGATTCCTTGAATTTATCCATCCATTCATGTGCTGGTTCTGAGTCAGATTGTTCTTCTCCTTTTTCCTGCTTTATCTTAATCTTCTTATGAATGACCTCATTATCTGGTGTTTCATTATGTAACCTCCTCTTATTTGCATGAAATAGTTTATTCGTTGCTTCGATATTTTCAGTATATACATCATAATAATTGTAATTATATGTATACATTGTTATTATATCCTTATCGTCTTCACTTTTGTATGGTAAAAAAAATGTATCTGCATTTATAATTCCATTTTTTTTAACATGGAATGTAAATATGTTGGTATTCAATTCGGTTTTTAGCAGTTCCTCATTCACACGCCAAGCATCATCTTTGCCATCTACATCATTCGTACAATTAGCACCATCCAAATTCACTTCTTCATCCCTTTGCACCACTTCTTTTGTGTTACACTTATGATTCTTCAAGACAGAGTCATTCTTTTCACCAATCTCCAATTTGACATTTTCAGGTTCATTCTTTGATATATTTTTGGATAAACATTTCTTCGTTATTATTTCTTGAATGATGTCGGGTAAATTATCTTGTTTAACTTGTAATATTTTCTGGAGAAGTTGTTCTTCCTCCTTTGTGTCTTCACAGAAAAAGGAATTCATCCCGTTTCTAGCTGATGATGGCCTTTTGGGGGTCTTCTCTTTTTCTCTCACTCCTTGGTTAACTCTTTAGTTTTACTGTTACTACTTCTAAACCTATCACTCCTTCTAAACCTATTACTACTTCTAAACCTATCACTACTTCTAAACCTATCACTACTTCTAAACCTATCACTACTTCTAAACCTATCACTACTTCTAAACCTATTACTACTTCTAAACCTATCACTACTTCTAAACCTATCACTACTTCTAAACCTATCACTACTTCTAAACCTATCACTACTTCTAAACCTATTACTACTTCTAAACCTGTTACTGTTTTTTTTTTTTTTTTTTATTTCTCTTCTTTAATCACACAAAGTATGTAATATGACTATGCAGATATGTGATTCTAACATCTCGTTCTCATACCAAAGAGTATGTAATTCATCTAAAATGAAAAAAAAAAAAAAAAAAAAAAAAAAAAAGGAGCACTACTATGAATATGCGTACGATAATTCCTCTTTTATCTATTGTAATAAAACTGACGTCTCAGCCAATTCCATTAATTTGGTTTCCTTTTTTCTTTCACAAGTATAATTCATAAAAGGGATTTTATTTTTGTCTTTTACTCACCGATTTGTTTTATATTTAAGTTTTTTTTTTTTTTTTTTTTTTTTTTTTTTTTTTTATCTGGAAGGTATGATTTTAGTCCTTCATTAGAGGATTCAAATACTTTAAAACAATCCAAGTGGTAGAAAAAAAAAAAAAAAAAAAAAACTTAGACACATGGATTAATATGCATCTGGGTGTAGCTAATTTTTTCTAAAAAAATTATTACAGACGTAGCATGTCCTCATATCACCACGTGTGCAATTCGTTTGCAATTTGTTGAAGTGGTACTCTCTATATATACTGATTCGTATATGTCCATAAGGATGCACATTAGCTATTCATAAATAATAATATATATTTTATATACCCATTTGAATTACACCTCAGAAATTTTTCAAAAAAGGGGTCTCCTCTAGTGAGAATTTGTATATGTGTACTTCCCATGAGGTGAGGGTGGGAGATGTATTTATATAAAGCAGAAAAAAAAAAAAAAAAAAAAAAAATAGGAAATTTCACAAAATTATAGAAAATAAAAAATAACAAAAACAAAAAAAAAAAACTATAACACTAAATGGTAATTTAGTAAAGCTCTTTTCACAATGTGCTTTTTTTCATTTCATTCGAAGTGGTACACATAAAGAAAAACGGTCTCCCTCTTTCCCATTTTGAATGGCAGCATAAATATATTACAGATAAAATTGTTCGACATTTCACCGTTTCGGTCCCCTCTTCTTTTCTATATGTATATTGCAGCGCGGTTTCGAGTCCTTTTTTTTTTCTTTTTTTTTTTTTTTTTTTTTTTTACACATCATATGCTTGGAACTATTTTATATGAAAAGGATTTTGTTTTTATTTTGGTTCGGCTTGATTTCATTTGAAATAAATTTGTTTTCACCTTATATTTACCTGTGTTATCTTTTTTTTTGTGCACTTTTAGAAGCCCTTTTATTTTCTCTTTTTTCTCTTGAAAATTTCACTAAATTGAATTCTTTCAAGGTAAACGCAATTCTCATAAAATGACATTGAAGTTTATTAAATTTTATTCTCGTCTGTTTTTCTGTGTATATAACATGCATCTTTTCTTTTTTGCGTCTCACCTTATTTCCTCTTTTCCCCTATTTTCATCCATTTTGTATTCGTATTCCTTTTTTTTTTTTTTTTTTTTGGACTCTCGTCCAAATTCCCCTCCTTCCAGAATATTTTTATGATACTCTCATATGTTTTCTAAAAGAGAGATTATAAAAAAAAGAGATATTTATTAACGATTCAGATTAACAAGAAATACCGTTTCGACTTTGCTTTTTCTCTGTCAACCATAGTGCAAGTAAATTCACATGAGGATGCACTCTTTTACGCCAAATCTATTCCACAATTTCAACTTTTTGGTCGTCTATACTTTGGGACATCTCTTATTTTTTAATAGTTCTTCCAGTGTAGGAATAATCATATAGTTAAGGAAAGAGTAATTTTCGGAGCCAGTGAAGAATAATATATACTCTCTTCTATTACGAACTATTGCAGCACTTTTTTTTTTTTTTTTTTCCCTGTGGCTTTATCCCTCACCCCAGAATTTTCATATATCAAAATTGCCCGTATTTTATGATTACTTATTTTTTTGAAGAGAACAAAATAGTTAATTACAATATAGGAAGTTCTAACTTAACAAGAGGGGAGACAAAAAAAAAAAAAAAAAAAAAAAAAAAAAAAAACAATACTAGAACAAATATCAATACAAATATCAGTAGCAATCATAACTCATTGTAATCAAGCGTTAGAACGAAAAAGAGGAAAAGAACATATTTAATTAATCGACGAAGAGGGAAAATACTGGCTTTACTAATAAAGGAAATCATAATATATTCACACATATATATATTTATACATATATATATATATTTACATATTTATGTTTATATATATATATATTTTTTATATGTAAAATGAAAAAATTGCCCTACACCGGAAGAAACTGAGGCTTAAGTTTTGCTGGTCCAATCGAAACCTGTAAAAAAATTTATGAAAATATATACCAATTTAAAATTATAAAAGAGTAGCGGAAAGAAAAAAAAAAGTTATAATCACTAAGGGAAGAAGTTATTTATATTTCATTTCTTATTTTCTTGTTGACTGAAAAAAAAAAAAAATGTCTATAGCTAAAAAGAGGTTAGCACAGGAAAGAGCAGAATGGAGGAAAGATCACCCCGCTGGTTTTTCTGCAAAATATAGCCCAATGAATGATGGAAAAGGTCTGGATATTATGAAATGGATTTGCAAAATACCAGGAAAAAAGGTGCGTTCACAATAAATATATACATAACATGTTAGCAGATATTGTCAAAAAAATTGCCATGGAAAAGTGGAATGTGTGGAATTGCTGTAGATTATTTTTATCTATAAATGCGAAAACATAACTGTGATAAAATAATTGTATTTTTTGGCACATTTTTTGGCATGTTTTTCCCCCATTTGTTTCCTTAGGGAGGTCTCTGGGAAGGAGGAGAATTTCCACTGACCATGGAATTCACAGAAGATTACCCTAGTAAACCCCCCAAGTGTAAATTCACCACTGTATTGTTTCATCCGAACATATATCCTTCAGGTAGGAAAGACAAACGCGCACAGGCGCATGCAAAATGCAAAGTATGAGAAAACGTAAAAGTGTAAAAACATCCGACACAATCAAGTGGCACCCATATGCCACTTTACCGCTTCACTTAAATACCCATCATATTTTTACCACTTTGGTTACACCCCTAGGAACCGTATGTTTGTCTATCTTAAACGAAGATGAGGACTGGAAGCCCTCCATAACAATAAAACAGATTCTCTTAGGAATTCAGGTAATTTAGACATTGTTGCAGAATGTATAACATATAGTTCTGTACATCCCTTGGAATCGATGAACACTATGGGGTTATGGATTATTGTACCCACATTTCCTCGCTAACCTCCATGTGTAACTTTTACCAATTTCCCTCTTTCCACTCGTGCTCATCAACGTGCAATTCACACACACACACGTGCATACTCACACTTGCACACTCCCGCGTAGGACTTGTTAGATAATCCTAATCCTAATTCGCCTGCACAGGCAGAACCATTCCTTCTATATCAGCAAGATAGGGACTCATATGAAAAAAAGGTTAAAAAACAGGCTATGGAATTTAGACCAAAGGACTAACAAAATATTATATTTTATTTATTTTTTTTAAGAGGGGTGTGTGTGTGTGGGGGGGGTGAATAAAATGAGGACTCATACCAGCTAAGATATGTTTATGCAATGATGGAACTAAAAGGAAAAAAAAAAAAAAAAAAAAAGGAATGAACGAACGAATGAACGAATGTATGAATCATTTTTAATATAACGTGACCCACCCCCTAGTATATGCAAACATGAATGCATATATATATATATATATATATATATATATATATATATATATATTTATAGTTACAGGGGGGAGGAAAAATGAATTCATTTAGCTACTCCTTGATGACAAAAAACTCAGTAGATCATGCTCGACTAGTTGGTTTGGGGGAAAGTTACAATTTATTTGAATTTTATAAATCAAAACACTTTTGAAAAGTAACCTCCCACCCATACATGTGATGCATGAACAGTTAATCACTGTATATCCATACACATACATCAGTAAAAAGTATATTTCACAGTTTTTATATTGTTCATAGGGAAAGCCCAATTTCTTTTCGTTTTATCGTAGTAATTGTAGCCGTATTATTGTGTGCGCAATTTTACTCTTATCCGTTTATGTATATTAAAGTCATAAAATCGTTATGCACATGTACATATCTGTTGTATATATTTTTACGTATGTCTATATGAACCTTTTTTTATCATAAAGGCGAATGAAGGATGTGTTTCCCCCTTTTTATTTATTAAGGTACATAAGGGTGACGACATTGGCATGTTTTTTTTTTTTTTTTTTTTTTTTTTTTTTTTTTTTTTTTTTTTTTTTTTTTTTTTTTTTTTTTTTTTTTTTTTTTTTTTTTTTTTTTTTTTTTTTTTCTTTTCCTCCTATACAATGCTGTACATACGCAGAGGGGGAGTATGTTTATTGGAATATTAATTTGAGAATATTAACAAATGTTGTAGAAACTCCCTAGTGAATGTATGTATTATATACATGTTCACCTACATTGTATGCTTTCTATGCAAACATATGTAAAAGTAAAAATCACAAAAGTAATTGACAAGTTGTATATTTTGAAGGGATACTTATAACATTTAGAATTACATAACACTTTATTATATGTACTTCATATATGAACATATATTTTCCAAATATACAATTTGTAATGCTTGTACAAGTGTTCTATTTTTATTGTGTTTTTATTTTTTTTTTTTTTTTTTCACATTATTTCTTTTATTATTTCTTTATTATTTTTTTTTTTTTTTTATTTGTTTCATTATTCTTTTAACCTTTTTTTTTTTTTTTTTTTTTTTTTTTTTTTTTTTTTTTTTTTTTTTTTTTTTTTTTTTTTTTTTTTTTTTTTTTTTTTTTTTTTTTTTTTTTTTTTTTTTTTTTTTTTTTTTTTTTTTTTTTTTATTTTTTTTTTTTTTTTTTTTTCTTATTTTTAATTTTTTTTTTTTTTTTTTTTATTTTTTTTTTTTAAATTTTAAAAAATTTTTTTATTAAATTTTTTTTTTTTTTTTTTTTTTTTTTTTCTACACGAGGTTATGACATTTTGAATAAAAAAAAAATATGTGTTAACAGTGATATCTTTTGATTTTTGAAACAGTTTTTTCAAGAGTCTCCAAAAAAAAAAAAAAAAAATATACAGAGAAAAAAAAAATGGTGACATGTTTGTGTATGTGTACATGCATGTAGCAAAGAGGTAAATATAATACATGCATATATATATATACATTCTCTACGGGAGAAATTTTTATTTCATATACATTTTCCAGAGGAAAAAAAAAAAAAAAAAGAGAAGAGAGGGTTTTAAAAATAATTGCTAATTGTGTTGAATAGAAAATGTAACACCCATACAGCTGTTCAACAATCCTTGAAAAAATATTTTTCGCACATAATTTCTCATTGCGTGAAATATTTTCTGTCACAGTTTCATTACTAAAGTTAACTGAAGATGAGAAATTTTGGCTCATGTGTACCCACATATATATATACATGTTTTGCACCTGTATGAATAAAAGTATTTATTTACTATATACTTGTATGAATCCGTATGCTTATATATAAACATGTATACCCTACCACTCTACAACTCCAGTATCTCACACTTATTCTATATTATGTACTAACTTGTGTGGTACAAGCATTTTGCCAGCATATGCTACCTTGCGTATGAATACTTTTTAATATGCTATTTATTAAGTGATCCATTGAACCCTAGAATTATTCAGTCATTCGAAGAAACCTTGTACGCAACATTTATTAATAACCTCCTATACCCTCACACAACAACAGACACAAGTCTCTTCCAGAGGTCAGTTTACATATACATGTATATGTACTTGTAGATGCATGTGAATAATTACACACATGTATGTACACATGTATATGTGTGTATTACTCCCTAATATATTTATGTGTAAACAAGTTTACTATGTTGACTGAGAAATATGAGACGTTCTTCTCCTCATATGAAAGCTGAATTGAATATATTCTTTTCTTTTTTTTAAATTGGGGAACTCGTCATATTAGTAGTTCTAATTCTAGATTCCTCGTTTTTTTGGAGTTTTTTTTTTTTTTTTTTTTTTTTTTTTTTTTTTTTATTTTAAAAAAAAAGAAAAAAAAAAAAAAAAAAAAAAAAAAAAAAAAAAAAAGCATCATTAAACACTATGTCAATAAAGTTTAGGAAAAATGGGATGAGTGGTGTAATAAGAAATGTGAAATATGTATATGATAACAAGCGAGAAATTAACACAACCAAATTGTATAATCATAAAAAAGATAAAATAGTTATTCTAGGTTCTGGATGGGGTGGAATTCATTTTTTATTAAACATTGATTTTAGAAAATACGATATAACATTAATCTCCCCAAGAAATTATTTTACTTTTACTCCTTTGTTACCATGCCTATGTAGTGGAACATTAAGTACCAATGCTTGCACAGAAAAAGTTTCTAAATTTTTAAAAAAAAATGGATTATCAGGTAGCTATCTGCAGTTGGAATGTACAGATATAGAACCTACAGAAAAATTCATTACATGTAAGGACAATAATAATAAAGAAGTAAAAATTGAGTACGATTATTTAATAATATCAGTAGGAGCTAAAACAAACTCGTTTAATATTAAAGGGGTAGATAAATATGCCTTTTTTGTAAAAGATATTCAAGGTGTATTACAAATTCGGGAAAAATTTTTAAAAATATTAGAAACATGCTCCATGTCAAACTTTTCAGATGAGGAGATAAGAAAATTACTTCATGTTGTGGTAGTAGGCGGTGGTCCTACGGGAGTTGAGGTGGCAGGTGAGTTTGCAGATTTTATTCATAAGGATGTTAAAAAGAAATATAAAAATATTTACCCATTTATATCTGTTAGCATAGTCGAAGGGGGGAATAATTTACTTCCTACTTTTACACAAAATATATCTGACTTTACAAAAAAAACATTTCAGAATTTAAATATAAATGTACAGACAAATTATTACGTAAGAGAGGTTGATGAGAATAATATATATATCCAATCTAGTGTTAACAAAAACGAGAAAGGAAAAAAGGTACCTTATGGTATGCTTATTTGGGCGAGTGGACTTGCACAAACTTCGCTTATTATGAATTTTTTAAAAAAAATACCTGAACAAGTTAATAACAAAATTTTAAATGTTAATGCACAGCTAGCCGTTATAGGAATTAAGGAAAACAACATATATGCCATTGGAGATTGTAAAAAAATACAACCATTGAAACTAGAAGAACATGTAAAAGATGTGATAAATACTTTTTCGAATTCTCCAACGAACTTTACATCTGATTTGCTCAAGTCCAAGGCAGATGAATTATCAAAAAAATTCCCACAAGTAAGCACATCTAAGTGGGACTACAACAAAAATAAAAAAGTACAAATGGATATACAACAGTTCTGTGAATATCTAAAACAGATAGATGAAAATTACAAATCTCCAGCTCCAACTGCACAAAATGCAAAACAGGAAGCATATTATTTATCAAATCTTTTTAACACACATTTGAAAAATAATACACAAGCACACCAAATCCCATCTTTCATTGAAAAATGGAAGGGATCCATTGCTTATATAGGAAATCATCAAGTAGTGGCTCATCTACCGTTTTATGAAATTTGTGGAGGATACTTTTCCTTCACCTTTTGGAAAATTGTGTACATACAATTGTTGCTGACTTGGAAATCTAGATTATTCTTCCTTCTTGACATACTTAGGACAAAAATTTGTGGAAGACCCTTCTCCAAGTGACATAGAGTATTCTTACAGCGTCAGAGAAATTACGATACAGGAAGAAAGATTTTCCCAATATATCTCTACATTTTGACAACATAAATATGTACACCTATTCATTGAGGTTATCAAAGAAATATACAACATGTCGAATTGCGTCTAGTTAAAATTTACGCTTTCGATGTGCTACGTTTGAACTATCTTTTATATTTTATTTTTGCGTTATATTTGCGTTATGTTTGCGTTATGTTTGCCTTATATTTGCCTTGTTTTTGCCTTGTTTTTGCCTTGTTTTTGCTTTATTTTTCTTACCCTTTTGGGTTATTTTCCTTTCCTTTTTTTTTGTTCATTTTTTGGGCCATAATGGCGTACCGGCATGGTCTCTCCACCCCCCTAACCCATTTTATGCAAGCAAAAAAATATGCGACCATCGTATAATTCACAAATACACATTTTCATTTAAAAATCAAGAATCTAACAAAAACAAGTTGGTAAATATATACATAATATATATATATGTTTTCTTACATAATAAGGGAAGAAAAGGTGTGAGAAACAAAAATCCGTTTATCAACAGGTGTGTGGTATACTGAAAAGGATGCACAAGTAACTTATTCACAAATGTATGGGCGTGTGTGCGGAGGGTGTAGGGGAATTGCTGTAATCCCCTTAAACTTTCTTGCATAAATAAGGTTACAAAAAAATAGAAAAATAAAGGGCCAGCGTGTTTGTTTTGTGATATATTATACTATTTTTTTTTTAAACTATTCATATCTGCAAAACATTACGAAAAATGGGAAAAAAAAAAAAAAAAAAAAAAAAAGGGAGGCTCCACTAAACAACCATTTACAAAACTTAATAAACAGATGTATGCTGGATACAAAATATATACAACGCAAGTGCAGTAGAAGAAAAATACGCAAAAAAAAAAAAAAAAAAAAAATCCACCTTTGGCTTTTGCAACCATTTGGAAATAAAAGCGTTTATACAGTATAGATGGGAGAAAAAAAAAAAAAAAAATGTAGTATACCCTTCTTCACACAAAAATTGTCCTAAGGGCGGTGTGTGTGTGTGTGATTTTTTTTTTTTTTTTCCTTTTCATATATACACGTACGATGTTAATTTGTTGCAATTGTTTGATAATGAAGAAAACTAACTTCCCCTCTTGTACCAATGCAAAATATCATAGATAAATATTCATCTCCCTCTAAGCATTTAAAAGATCCTTTTCAAATTCTTCCAACTCTTGTGCGTTAAATTTATTTGAATCTATATCAAATTCAAATTCGTCTGCAAAATTTAATTCATCAATACTTATATCATTTTCTTTTAACATATTTTTTGCGTCTCCTTTTGTCTTCCAGCAGCTTGACACATCTATGGATTCGTTTGTAACATCTATATCGCTACGTATTTCAATTTGATCAATTGATTTTTCCATTGTATCATTTGGTTCAGTTTCAGTGGATTGGTAAACATAGCTCTTTGTATAGCTTTCCTGTCTCAATACCTTTCCTCTGTTAGTGAAGTCATTATTATCTTGAGATTCTTCTTCCTCTGTTGAATTAATCGTACACCCTTTTGAACTAAAACTATGTAACATTTGGCTTTGATAACAATCATTAATATCCTTCTCTACATCTTCAAGATTATTTACCTCATTAGACACACTACTACTATTGTTACGTTCGTTCAAATCATTTGTAGTGTTGATTAAGGCATCTACAGCTTCAACATCTTCACTACTACTGCTTGCTTTATTATACAATGTATTACTTTTATTTTTTTCTAAAAAAATGGGATCATTTTTTATCTTATCATAACAGTTTCTATTACCTTCATTTTCCTCACTGTCCGATTTTGTACAACCATTCCTCTCATTTGCACAATTGATAAATAATGAATCATGTGAAGTCTTCTGTTCTTTCGTTGCAAATCCTTCCTGTGCAAGCTGCACACACTTGTCCAACTCTTCGTTCTCTTTCACTTTTTTCAGGTTATTACACGAAGAAATTTTTTTCCCTTCCCCCTTTTCTTCTTTCTCCCGTTCATCCTTTTCTTCTTTCTCCTCTTTGTTGTCTTGCTTTCGCACATTACTACACATCGCGTCCTCTTGATACAAATCCTTGTTTAAATGATTGTTTTCTTCACTACTTTTAGAAACATATACGTCACTTGTGTCATGCCAGTTGGTACTCAAAAGTATATCAACTCCCTTTTTATGATCCATTTCATCAGAACATACAGGCTTATGTTCAGCATTATTGCTAGATTTTTCTTCCCCGTACACCTTTTTATTTTCTTCTTCAATGTAATCCAAAAAATTTATATTGTTCTCTGAAATGGTCAAGGTGTTGAGATGGATTTTACTATGTTCTTTCATTTTGGTGTTACAATCCAATTCTGCATTATAATTTGCCTTTTCTTTATACTCCATGGTATAACCAGAGAGTTCTACTGACTTTCCTTCGTCAAATGGATCCTTAAGGGGTGCAAATAATGAATCGTTTACATGTTCTAGATGGTCATACATAACTGGATCCTCTTTTATGCCTCTATCATGCTTCTCGTTGTCATTCACAAATAGGGATTTAAAAGTTTCTGATTTTTCTCGAAGATTTATATATATGTCATTGTCCATATAAATATTCAGTCCGTTAATTTTTGTTCTCGTCATTTGACATTGGTCATCAAATGATAAGCTTGAAATGACGGGGTTTGCTTCGTCCTCTCTTTTGGTAAGATCGTTTGATTTGGTAAGATCGTTTGATTTGGTAAGATCGTTTGATTTGGTAAGATCTTTTGATATGGTAAGATCGTTTGATTTGTCAAAATCGTCTGATTTGTTAGGATAGTCTGATTTAGTAGGATCGTCTGATTTGTAGAGATCACTCGATTTGCCATTCCGTACGTGTGAACAGTTATGTAAGAAAGCATCTCCATCTTTTTTATTTTGCCTAGTTTCTTCACTCGGTTTATTTAAATGTCCGTTATAACTTATCCAATCTTGATTATTAGAATTTTGTAAATTTAGACAACTTGACATAGTACCCAATGTCCTTTCGTTTCCTTCTGTATTCATGTTAATATCACACATTTTATTTAAACTTTTGGAGTTTGACTCATTTTCTATCTTCTTGATAGATATGTACTCTTCAACGGGTTCCATACCTTGTTTAGAAAATTCGTTCCTTTTAAGCATATATTCATTTTTTGATTTTAAATTTATTGCTTTTTCTTCCATAGTGAATAATGATAATATATTGTTCACCTCATTAGATGATGCTACATGCTCAACATTTCCTGCATTTGGAAGAGGTACAAAATTCAAGCCCTCAATTCCTGTGGGGAATTTTTTCTTACTTAAGTAAATATCGTCTGCAATTTCATTGTATATAATATCTATGTTGAAGAAATAGGATTTCCAGAAATCCATTTCGGACATGTAGAACGGGACTAAATTTTTTTTGGTATTTTCTAAATTTGGATCATCAAGTAAAATTTTTTCACTTTGTTCTTTTTTTTTTAGCCAATTAAAATTATAATTCTGCAAAATATTAGTGTTTCTAATTTTATTTCCATCCAAGTTTAATTTTAAAATTTTCTGGTATACATATTTATTTAAATTTTGATCAGGTAAATTAATGGGAAATCCCTCTTCATATTTTTTTCGATAAATTTTGGAAATCATAATGTCTCCCTTTTTCCATGGAACAATTTTGGACAGGTAAATTTTTTCTCCCCCTGTGCCAATGCTGCTTCCAATCCCGCCTCCACTCCTGCCTCCAATCCCGCCTCCACTCCTGCCTCCAATCCTGCCTCCACTCCTGCCTCCACTCCTGCCTCCACTCCCACTTCCAACCCCAGTGCTCATGTCATCCAGGATTAAGCTATTCAACTTATCATTGTAAATTTCTCCCACTATCTTCTTAAAATTGTTAAATCCGCTGACAATCTTTTCATTATAATACTGTAGTTCAGGAAAATCCTTCTTATTTATGTACTTGTCATTTATGATATGTAATTTTTCCTGTATGCAGTGTTTTATGCTGATATCTTGCATATGAACTTGTCCCGTTTGTTCACTGTTCATACTATCTTCATTGTAACAACTTTGTGACACCTCCTCATTGTTTGTGTTGAATTCTTGAATGCTGTTATTTAAATCTTCTGCTTTTTTTTTTATCTGATCACTCACTTCTTTCCATAGGGAATACATCTGAACGGGGGAATTGGATTCAGCCGAAGTAGTGGCAGTAGCAGTAGTGGCAGTAGTAGCAGTAGTAGTAGTGTTTGTTTGGATTAGCAGTAGAGTATTACCATTTATGCTTATGAGTTGACTCTCCATGCACGTTCCACTTTGATGGAAGAAATGAAAAATAGAACAGTAAGATTAAGAGCTTATTCCTATAAACTATGGTTTTGCTGTTTGCAAAGGGGGAGATTATCACATTTAAACGAAATCACACAAAAGAAAAAGAAAAACTGAACTAAAAAAAAAAAAAAAATAAAAAGATTTCATATTCACACTAAATATTCATCTATATAGAACAAACAAATTTTTTGCAGTAATAAAAGAATATTGAAAGTGAATAAGCATAACTTGTAAGAAACTTTAAAAAATTTGTCAGGAAAAAAAAATATGCATAAAAGTTTTACAGTTCAGGTCATAAAAAAAAAAAAAAAAAAAAGTAAACATAAATTTCGAAGATTTCCTTCTATAACGGATATAAAACCTTATTCTTTACAATATATGTGGAATTTTTAAAAAGGAATTTTTTTTTTTTTTTTTTTTTTTTTTTACGTCGTTGAAACTTTATTTAGAATAAGCATTCCCTTAGTTTTTTATTTATATTTTAATACATGTTCCCAAACTGGCACATAAATTTTGTGTTGCCTATAATTTTTTTCAAATAAATAGGGTGGGGGGAAATTTCGAAATTGTTTTTTGTTTTCCAACAATATTGCAAAAATATATATGATGCATATGTATGCTTACATGTGCCATTTACACATATGTATATTATTATGCACTTACTATGTATATATAATATATACATATATATATTAAAAAGAATTATTTTTTCCATACTTTTTTTTTGCACATTTTCGACAGGAAAACAGATGGGATTTATTTATCTATTGCAAAAAAAATTTCCTCTGTCAGATTCATCCCAGGGCAAAAAAAAAGGAAGATGGAAACGAAAGGAAAAGAAAAGGAAGATAAATAGAAGGAAAGAAAAAGACAATTGTTTTCCTTGTGTTTATATATTTCTTCCATTTTAGTAGAAGGGAGCCCTTTTTTAAATCACATGCTAGTGCAATTTTCCCTTATAAAAAATGTGTATTTATAATGCATGTGCATGTACGTGTATTTATATATATATATATATATATGTAACACATGAGTATGAAAAATTTCCCAGCACTTAAAAGAATGTGCCTTATGACATCCGATAGCTGTATCCACCAATCAATCATGAAAACGAATTAACGTCAAGACTTATGCAACTAGGAGCTCTGAATAATATAATCACTTGAAAACACAACGCGTGGTTTTTAATTTGATATGTGCATTCTTCATTCTTCATTCTTCATTCTCGATTCTTCAATTTTTTTTTTTTTTTTTTTTTTTTTTTTATATCACCTTCTGCCATAATGCGGTAGATTTAGAAGGTACAGAAAAATGCGAATGTTAATGAAACAGATTTCTTTCCTTTCGAATTGCCCATTCAATTGTACTTGCTAACAAATCGGAATTTTTACAATTCCCCTTTTGTTAAACGAAGCGTGGCCGGATGTGTGTGAACACATACACATATTTTTCATATTGCACAAAATAGTATATGCATGAATATGTGCATTTTTCCTTTTAAGCGAAGAAATGCAATAAGCTATTTCTTCATTTCGTAAGCCTGCTGGTGCAGCATATGTACATGCATTTTTATATTCATTTTTGTGTTCATATTTGTGTTCATATTTGCGTTCATATTAGTACACATACTTGTGTACATATTAGTATACATACCTGTGTACATATTTGCATACATATTTATATATATGTATATGTATACATACATGCATATGTGGTTTTTTTTTTTTTTTTTTTTTTTTATGTTGCAATTCCTTTTTCTCCTCTAACGCTGCAAGTACATGCAAGAATCCGAAAGATAATTTAAGGAGACTGTTTTTTCACATTTGAATTGACCTGTGTTGAAACGATTAGCGATAAGAACAGCTACAGAAACTTCTCTTACTTCTGTTGCAGTTTCAGTTTATGCACGTACATATACAGATCCGAATAGGCCTCAAAAATACACCATTTATGTATGCGTTGGAAAAATGATATCGACGTGTTTTACACAATACATAGGAGGAAGGTTAACAGACATCCCCATATCTATATCATAATGATATAATACTCATTACACACCTATGCATTAAATGCATGTATGCATGAACGTGTTCAGAAGAAACACAAACACAAACACGCATACATGCACACATGGACACACGAACACATGGACAGACGAACACGTGGACAGAAGAACACAAGAACACATGCACACACGCACCCACACCCATACACGGATTTAGCCTTTATATATAAGAGCAGTAAATGCTTCGTAACTACAAGCGTTTGTTAAAAATGTATGTAATGATATAGATACATGTGCAGATAGATTGAGACAGGCCCAGGAGGACACATATACTTTCACACATTTTATAGATTGAAAATTTGTGTGCAACACTTCCACGGAGAGGTGGGTTGCATATATATATATATATATATATATATATATTTCAACCGTATTCACTGTTTTGAAATGTTAACGATAAAATAAGTAGACAGTTCAATCGTTATTGTGTTCTAGAAGTTAAGAGTGTTTTAAAAAAGGGGATTCAAGGGAATGTACTGGTGAGCTTGCCAAAGAATCAATTAATTTTAATCCAAAATTTATATAAAAATATAAAATTTATATAAAAAAAAAAAAGATTATCCCAAGTAATGTTTGCACAATTTCATAATGTTATCAAAAGAAAAGATGCTACATATTTCTTACCGAATGAGAGGTGCCATATACAACTGTAGCTGTATATTTGAAAGTTCGTTTGAACCATTACATGAACCATGCATGTGTTTTCAATCGTATGTACACCTATAAACACTCTTCCTGCTACTACTCTTCATGAATGTGCATACACACACACACTAGAGAAAATCTATAAAGATGAATGAAGAAATCGGGAAAAATATAAAATTAAATAACAATTTCTTAGAGTTTGAAGAAATAATAAAAGACATTAACACCTCATTCAGTTTCATCGATTTAGTTGAAGTCCCGTGTGTGCCACTAGTTGATATATACGGGTTGTCAGTCCTTAGTAATGAGGCATATTTAGAATATAAAAATGGGTTAAGAGAAGACAAGTTAATTGCTGAAGATGAAATTCGATTAACTCTCTTTTTTGCAGTAAAATTGTATAAAAAGAATGTTATAAAAATTAAATTTCCATCTTATTATGATATCATTGAAACCTTGAAGTTTGATCCTGTGTCTGTGACCATTGGGTTATTTAATCAATTTTATTTTGAAACAGCTTATGAACTGTGCAATCTGTTGCCAGTTAATGAGTGGCCTTCCACAAATTTTTACGACATTTTGAGAAAGGCAGAAAAAACCAGAATACATTTTTTAATAAATAACAAAACGAAGCTAAATTCATATTTCTTGGAGGGGCTTACAAACAAGGAAAAAAAAATTTACAAATACTTTCTTGAAGGCACTTCTAAGGAGAGAGAATCTATGAATAAAGAGACTACTTTGTTTTACTTTTACGAAAAAGACAAATGATGCAAGAACATGGAAGGGTGTGCATCTGTTCGTCTGTTCGTTTATGCATCTGTGTGTATACGTGTGCTATATACTTCTCCAGTAACACTCCCTTTCGAATGAATACCAATTAGTGTGAACGTGTTCGAGTTGACCCAAAAGTTGACACGATATCAATGAACGATGATCGTGTATAATTCATGAAAAATGGAAAAGAGGTGTATCTTAGAATAACTCATTGGACGTATTAAGAAGTAGACAGACAGTATTGTTCTGTTGTAAAATCAGAATATCATTTCCTCATTTTGGTTTTTGCAATTTTTTCTCGAAGCCGTATATTCATCCGTACAACACTAGTATTGTGTGTTATGTGTACAAATTTTGTATTTTTTTTTTTTTTTTTTTTTTTTTCCTTTTTAATTTTTAATTTTTTTTTTTTTTTTTTTTTTTTTGATGATTTGTTAATTTAAGACGGAATTGCAATTTTATTTGGGAATAATTTTTTTTTTTTCGTTGTGTTTTTAAAAAAAAAAAAAAATAAAATAAAAAACTCGGAGAAAAGTAAATAAAAAAAAATATAAATTTTAAAATATTGATTATTATTATTATTATAAATATTTTTTATTTTTCTTTCTTTTCTTTTATATATAGAAATGTATATGTTATTTAATGGTTTTAATTGGATTGGCTCAACCATTACTTTATTTTTATGTGCATTTATCTTCCTTTTGTTCTCTTTTATCTAGTGGTGTTCACTCAAACGTATACACAATATACAGACAAAAAATAAGGAAAAAAATAAAATTAGTTCAGGTTTTTTTTTTTTTTTTTTTTTTTGTACACACGTATTTATTATACCTTTACAGAAAAAGAAGGAAATACATTTGTTCTTTTTCTCCAAGCCTACATAAAGGCTGATATACTTTAAAGAAATATATTTTTAACCACATATGATGCATACCGAAAAGGGCAGTACCACCAACCTTTCCCTCTTCTACTTGGTAGAAATAGACATTTATATATATGTGGAACATTTAAAAGTTCACATTATGAAAAAAACTAAAATGTGATTAATTTACATATGGGATATAGAACAAAATTTGTTTTTTTTCTTTAAAGTTATTTTCTCTTGCAACAAAGCAAAAAAAAAAAAAAAAAAAAAAAAGAAAGAAGTTAGGTGATATTAAATAGCTTAACTTGAAAATATACTCATATTGGTAAGTAATAAAAAAATAAGAACAAAAGGGTATTTTTTCTTCTATTACTAAAAATTGATACCCCCCCTGTTGTTAACAAATCATTGGAATAATGTGTAAAACTGGGGGGGGGAGGGGGGTGGCGTGGAAAAAAGAAATAAAAGAAAAAAAAGAAAAAAAGGAAAAAAAAGAAATAAAAGAAAAAAAAGAAAAAAAAGAAAAAAAAGAAAAAAAAGAAAAAAAAGAAATAAAAGAAAAAAAAGAAATAAAAGAAAAAACAATATTACTCTGAAATGAAATAGAACAAATTGTCATAAATCGTGATAAATTAAAATTGACATTAGCAGACAATTGTTTAGTAAAAGGAGAAAAACAATCATATCAATGGAATGGAGATATTAAAAATAAAAGGGGAATTAAAAACCGAGCTTTGGGTTAATAGGAAATAGTCATAAGGATGCATAAAATACAGGTAGGAAATTTTTCTTGTGCAGATATGCATAAGCATATCTTCTTTGTATAAAAGAAAAAGGAAAAAAAATACACGTACATTTCAAATGTGCATTTGGCGTACAAATAAAAGAAAGAACGATTCGTGCGAATAAGTTTGTTGTGAATACAGATATATAGGTATGAAAAAACAAACAAACAAACAAACAAACAAACAAACATATATATATATATATATATGGAAACTTTTAAAAAAGATAGTAAAAAAACGATATACACAAGTAGTGATATTTTTAGACATGCATAAAATCTCGTACTCATTTGGATGCATACGTAGATACACCCAGAAGCATGTGTTTGTGTATATGTACCTACGGATACATGTGTATGCCAGTTTACCCAAAAAGTGGTGAGAACAATGAAGTGCAATTTTTTTTTCTTTTTTTGGTTCTAATAATGGCCAGAAACATTTGGTAAGGTATGCAACAATGCACTTGCACGCACAATTGTAGGAATATATATATATATATATATACATTCTGAGATTACGCAAACATCCTTCTGTTCAATAAAGAAAAATATAATATAGCACACACTTCTCCCTGTCCGCCTTGTTATATCTCGTCTCTAATTCTTCCGAAATAAATTCATTTCTTCTTTTCTGTAATTTTTAAATATACACAGCATATCAACGTAACAACACCCAAAACATTCAATCCGTAAGTTACAGGCAAATGTTTCTTATCTCCTAGGTATATATACACAACATTGGTCAAATAGGTGAGGTAGAAATTTATAATTAAACATAGAGCACTAGCTGCAAACATAATTCCACACAATTTTCCAAAATGTTCTTTGGAATATTTCTCATCAACATAACAATAGAAACATGAAAAAACGAAAGAAATGTAAAGAAAAAATAGAATTATTGCCATCATTCTGAAAAAATATCCATCAAATAGTATACATATATATGTTAAAAATATAAAAATATTATTTGTTATTATACTATATAATGAACCAAATTTTCCTGCCAAATATCCAAAAAGGGGAGTTGGAATAAATGATAATATAGTGGATAAAGAAAATACTGTTGTAAGATCATTATCTTGCCATATAAAAAAGGATCTGTTCGTTTTTATAAAATAATCAAATCTAATCATACTAGAACTACATATAAATAATGTTATTAAATATTCCCACTTTTGTGGATGATTCCAAAGAGATTTTATTTTATCTATAAATTGTGGTTTATTATCATTATTGTATGGTTTTCTTTCTCCACTTTCAATTTTATCCATTTCATTTATCATGCCTAAGTTTCTTTTTCTTTCTGCATTTGATGAACCTGTTGCACCTTCACTACTATTAAACTGTGATGTGCTACTTTTTTTACTTGGTATTATAAATATTCCAACTATAAATGCATACAAACTACATGTACATAGATAAAAAATACATAAAATATAAAATTCATCTTCCTTAAAATTGAATGTATAAAAAAATCCTATTTTTAAAAGTAATCCAATAGAAAATCCTGTAGATCTAGCTGATCCCAAAATTCCAAAAATTAGTGATTCTTGTCCCGGAAAAAATTTTGATATTTTTAACAAAGGAATAAATGACAAATCAGCTGATATACCAAGCATTAAAAAAAATATATACCATACATAGGAAAATCTTAATACTGCCAATGAAAAAAATGCTAATGCCAAAATAATTTGCCCACTTAAAAAACAAACTTTTTCTCCAAACGTATCTAATACATAACCACTTACAGATGATAAGAAGAAATGAACAAAGAATGACAAGGTAAATAAATTATTAACAGCTGCATCTCTATTCCCACATGTATCATAGGATATATTTGCATCAACTCGAAATATTTGCTTTTCATCTGTTGGACCACATAATTCACTAAATGCTCCTGATTTGTATATAATTGGTTGCCACCCACTGAATCCTGAATGTACAAATGTAGCAACTGCTGCAACTAGTGAATATAATCCAACAGCAATCCACTTATTTACCTTCAGATGATTCATTTCATTATGGTCATATTCCAGCTTCGATATGTTGTCTTTCACCTTTTTCGATGGCATCGTGTGTGTCTGTTTGCAGTTTCTCTTTTTTTTTTTTTTTTTTTTTTTTTTCTCAGATTATACTAATGATTTGCGAGAATTTATAAGTGGAATAAGTATACATGTGTATCTGTGCGTGTAAGCTTGTGTACTGTACTAATTACCAGTAATATATATATATATACAAAAATGTACATATCTGTTTATGTATATGTAATATTCTGCCCACGCGCACTTGTATATATAATTCTACGTGCGGTATTTTTGGGTCTTCTTAAAACTACTTAAGCATATTATACATATATATATATATATAAGTTGGTTTCTTATAAATACTTGTTTTTGTGTGATCCCGTATAACTTTTAACAATTTTGTATATCTTGCCCTTTTTAGCCTCTCCACCTGTTGTTTTTTCTTCAAATGAGAATGAAAAAAAAGAAACCAAATTTTGTATAAACAACAAGCGCAACAAGAATAAAAAAAAAAAAAAAAAAAAAAAAAAAAAAAAAAAAAAAAAAAAAAAAAAAAAAAATATAATTTAAAAAAAAAAAAAAAAAAAAAAAAAAAAAAAATAAAAAAAAAAAAAAAAAAAAAAAAAAAAAAAAAAAAAAAAAAAAAAAAAAAAAAAAAAAAAAAAAAAAAAAAAAAAAAAAAAAAAAAAAAAAAAAAAAAATATATATATATATATATATATATATATGCATATATATAAATAAAAACATATATTTATATGTATATTTAAAAAAACATAACACAAATATAAAGTGAGAGGAGATGCCAAGTTGTGGTAAAATTAATTGCTCAATAGGAAAAAGAAAAAATGAAAGAGAAAAAATAAAGCTCAAAAATGGAAAAAAAAAAAAAAAAAAAAAAAAAAAGCGCAGAAAAGAAACAATTACAGAACGTCGTAAAAAAATAAATCAGAACGTCGTATAAAAAGAAACCAGAATGTCGTAAAAAAAGAAACCAGAATATCGTAAAAAAAGAAACCAGAATGTCGTAAAAAAAGAAACCAGAATGTCGTAAAAAAAGAAACCAGAATGTCGTAAAAAAAGAAACCAGAATATCGTAAAAAAATAAAACAAAAGTAAAAACTCAAAAGTCGGGTTTAACGAATATGCATTAGAAAAAATTCTTGCGCAAAAGGTGATGATATATATAAATGTAGGTGAATATATGTGGAATAATAAGTAAATTAACAAAATGGATGTACTTGGATTGGAAAATCACTTATTTTATTTTTTTTTTTGTTTCATATACGCTACCAATATAATAGCATGATGCATACTTGTTATGAGGACATTTAAATTTCTCACGTGTGTGTCAATTCTTTTTACAATCATAAAACGAGATCCTCCATTTTTATTAACCATTTTTGTCGCTATTGTTTTTGTTTTCAATATTTTCAAAATTGTTTCTGTTTCGTTCTTCTTTGTGCTTTTTTTTTTTTTTTTTTCCTTTACTTGCTTTCATTTGCTTTCAATTGCTTTCGTTTGCTTTCGTTTGCTTTCGTTTGCTTTCGTTTGCTTTCATCTGTTTTTTTTTTAAATTAAGAGCTACGGTTTGTCAACGTATGTATGCACTGGTGTTGAGAGAAGTTGTAAAACGTTCATCTGATGTGAAAATAATTATAATAGAAAAACGAACCCCTCTAATAATGTTAAACGTGAGAAAGTACATACTTTTCCACATTTATTTTGATTCAACAGATTTTCTTTGATCATTCCTTTTTGGAATTACGTTTTTGCATTTGCATACATCAACTTTTGCCACTTTGATGGATGTGATACTTTCTTTCATGTTCATTTGTTCATTCATTCATGGATGCATATATGTGTATATTCTTCTTGTGTGTTTTTTTTTTTTTTTTTTTTTTTCTACACCCCTGTATCTGTTATGCGTAATCCGTGAGTCTGCATTCTTGCGAAGTATCCCTTGCATGCACTGTCATATGTGCAATAACAAGAATTAGTTGCATAAGAAAAAAAAATAAAATAAAAATAAATAAATTCAGCACATAAATAAAATAAACATATTAAAATAACACGATAATAATTGGAGGTTTTTTGAAGACCACTAATAAACAAAAACAGGAAACGATTTCTGTTGTATCAAATATTTATTTATTTTATTTTATTTTTTTCTTTTAAACCATAAATGGTAGCATTCATATAAAAAGGTGTATTTCGAATAGATCGAAATAGTTAAAATTGTTTTTACTTATAAATTAAAGACTGAAAAAAAAAAAAAAAAAAAAAAAAAAAGTGTTCATATAATAGCAAAATTTATATACTTGTTGCAACTAAAATATGCATACACAAAACACATAATTATACATACACCAACAAGCACGCATGAGCATTTGTATATGCACATATCCGAGAGCAAAAAAGTTGCTCACCTCAAGAGATGGGTGATGATAAAAGAGAACCTCTGAAACAGGTTTATCATAACGCAAATCTAGAAAAGTGGAAAAAAAAAAATAAATAAATCATACATAGGGAGAGGAAAAAAAGATTTAATTTATATATTTTTTCCATCATCACCCCCACAACCTCCGCTTGTGAGAGATATCATTTAACAGAAATATTACAAATGATTGTTTTTAAAAATTATGTAAACATATATATATGTACATAAAAAAAATATATTTACTTGTAAAGTCAATTATTTACTGGAACAAATAAGTTATGTTATAATGCAGAAAATATGCATAATAGTTCCCCTGAGTATGTATGTGTTTGTATGCTCAATGTTCATTGAATATCTTTGAACAGTATATATATATATATATATATATATACAAATTGTCATCCCTTGACCCACTACCGTCTCAGAGTGACATAATAAAGCAAAAAAGATTAATATACACAAAATATACGGATTTGAAAAAAAAAAGTTTGGGAAGGAGTTCCTCCTCTTTTGAATGTGCATATGAGATAGAGCATGGTTTATATATATATATATATATGTATATATATGTATATATACCCATGCATAAATACATAATACATATGTGGAGAGTAAAAAAAAGTGTAAACGAATTTGAAATTCTATTGGCACATTTCCCCTAGGCAGATTTCAAATGAAGCGTTCTTTCAGACAATCCAATTTGTTATCATGCTAAAGCCAGCATTGCAATATTGATGTACATATGATGTACATTCAGAGACCTTTTTAACACTACACCTACTCCTACTGTTGCCGCACGTTCTTCCTATCCTTCTCGTCCTCATTATTCATCCATATTGTTTAGAGTCCCTAAATCATCATTGAAAAAAAACTCGTTACACCCTTTCTTATTTGCATCTAAACATTTATCAACCCATTCACTATATACGTCAATACATTCATCCAAGTTGGTAATTTGGTTTACATACTTGACTCCACATTTTAAGCAAATTAGTTCTCCAATGCCTTTGGATCTGTGTCTATATAAGACAATAGAAACATAAAAAATAAAAAAAAACATAAAATAATAATAATAAAATAAATGGAGATATATATGTACAGTCGATTATCTAAAGGGAAAAACGAAGAGAAAAATCATCAAAAATATACCATTTTACCAATCGCATAGATGAGAACATACAAAAAAAAAAAAAAAAAAAAAAAGAATGAACTCGTATTTTTTCACACATATTCTTACAATTTAATATCAACAGATTTTTTGTAGCTACAAAAGGGGCAATTAAATTGCTTATCCAATTTTAAGGGTTTCTTTTTTCTTGGCTTAACTTTTTTGACTTTGCTTCTTGCCATCTTGCATAGGAGATAATTTTTTTTTCTTTTTTTTTTTTTTTTTTTCTGTTGTTGTTTTTTGTTCAGTTTTTTTTTTTCTTTTTTATTATTAAGGATATTACTTTTTGTCGGCTGGTGGAAACAGTTACACAAATTTCGACGAAAATTTTCTTAATTAAGCGGTCGTATATGATTCCGTTCCTCCAAAACAGTAATGCAAATGGAAATGGATGTGTGTGTATCGTGGTATATATTTTATATAGTTATATATATAGGGTTATATATTAATTTAGCTGAGTCATACAAATAGGGAGAGGGATGATGGCTGTGTCTCAGTTGTCATTTTCCATCCAACTCTTACTAAGTGGGAAAAATCTACTGTTCTGCTTTTATGCAATTTTAAAGCGAATTTTGTAAACAAAAAAAATTTTTTGGGTAAAAATAAAACTGGGCATATTTGGATGGGGAAGGAAAAATTAAATTTGTTTTTTTAAAATGTACACAAAAATAAAATTACACTGAACTGGGAAGAAAAGTAATAGCAAAAAAAGGAAAAAGGAAAATAATATACGGTAAAAAGAAATGATGTAAAAGTGAATAAAGCGAATAAGAGAAGTAATACGGAGAAGGAGAAGTAAAAGGAAGTATAGCCAAGTCAAATAAAATAATTATGGTGATTTTATTTGCTTCATTCATGTAACAATGATGTGAAAGCGTCATAAAAGTTAAAAAAATCGAAATGTGCCCATATATATATATATATATATATATATATATATATATTTTATTTATTTATTTCACATCTTTATTTTTCACATTCTCCAACTTCAAATCATCAACTGGGTAAACTAACAAAAATAAGTGCGATGGATTGACGTATGGGTGATAGAGGAAAGGAGAAACTTTTTTTTTTTTTTTTATTCTCCCATTAGAACATGAAGTTGAGGCATCCTTTTTCTCCCCATTGTTCACAGTGAAAACATTAAAATGAAGTGTTAACAAATTTTAAAATAAAAAAAATAGTGAAAAGTGGACCTTTTTCACGCCTGCGTGCTATTTTGAATAATCAGTGGAAAAATCAAAAAAAAAAACAAAAAAAAGGCAAAAAAAAAAAGCAAAAAAAAAAGCAAAATAAAGGCAAAAAAAAAAAGGCAAAAAAAAAGGCAAAAAAAAAGGCAAAAAAAAAAGCAAAATAAAGGCAAAAAAAAAAAGGCAAAAAAAAAGGCAAAAAAAAAGGCAAAAAAAAAGCAAAATAAAGGCAAAAAAAAAAGGCAAAAAAAAAAGGCAAAAAAAAAGGCAAAAAAAAAAAGCATTGAAATGGCCAAGTTTAATAAATATATTTATATACCTACACATTTAATTACATTTTCATTGAGCGCATCAATACACCATTTGTGAAAGTGGGACAAATTATTTTTACTCTTATAAAAAGACCCTCATAATGAGAAAACAAATTGTCGGCGGGTACAGGGGGAGCTAATAAATGAAATGATATTGGCAAAAAAAAGGAGAAAAAAGAAAAAAAAATTTAGACATTTAATCATGAGTCAAACATGCAACTTTCTGAATAATACGTAGGGAAAGAATAGGAGCATTTTATCTTGAAACTTTCAAATTTAGAAAATTGCAAAAATTCAGAAAATTTTAAAAATTACCAAGTTTCGAAGGTGAGACGCAGCGAAAACAAGATATTGTCATATTGGAAAATTGCCAAATTGGAAAGTTCCGAAAAGCCCGCGCAATCAGTGAAAGCAAACTAAAGGGAAAATTCACAGCTGAAGAAATTCATAAAAATTGAAAATCTTATCTTTGACGCCCGATCACATCCATTTCATGATTAAGAAAAGCATGAATAAATAAATTAAACAAAGCAAAACAAAAAGTACTAAAAAGAAATCGAAGAAAATGAAAAATACAATTATCCCCTTTGAAGAATTTCTTCAAAGGGGCGCCACTTTCTATATCAATATTTACTTTTTGAAAAATACACATAAATCTGCACACGCATAATGTGTATACATGTTTGATTATTTGCAAGGTTGAAGAATCATCTCTTTTCTCCCCAAGTGCATTTCTTTTTTTGTGTTCATCTACAAAACAGCAGGGAAAATAAATAAAAAAAAAAAAATAATAACAAAAATAAATTAAAATAAAAAAAAATCGAGCCTACAATTACCAAGGGTAACAACAATTAATCAGTTCATTTTCCCCTCCCCCGGCCCACCACCGCATGCTTATGTATTGGAACCCTTATCTCTCACTGTGTGTGACTCATTTTTGAAAAAAAAAAAAAAAAAAAAAAAAAACCTCATGTCATCTTCTCGTACAAACATTTTCTTCAACTAATGAATAAAGATGACATAGATGGATTAAATGTATTCTCGCGTGATGGTATAGATAAGAACCAAAAAATCTTTATTCAAACATTGGAAATAGAAAATGCAGAAACAGAAGTAGAAACAAATGAAACTGCTGAAAGAGACAGGTGTAGTAACTCCACGTTGGAAATGTTGTCTGCATTAAGTATCCATGGTCAAATGGGAGGGAGCAATGAAAATGGTAATCATCCAAAATTAGTAGAAGAAAGGAAGGAAAATGGGAATGGTAAGCTTCCAAAATTAGTTCAGGAAAGCAAAGGGATTGCGAATCTTCCAAGACCAATCGGTGTCTTGGAGGGTGAATATCCACGAGCTCAATCAGGAGAAGATTCCAATTCTGTAAATGGTAAAAATGGATTGAACAACGCCAATGCAGCTAGTAGTGCTACTTACATTTGTAACTTAGATGAAGGGGTAGCAGTTCCAGTAAAGATGAACCAAAATGAAAATGTGAAAGCTAGACTAAATGAGGACTCGCAACGAGTTATTGAAGAAGACAAATTTGCACTACATTGCAGTAAAGAAATCACTGAAGTAACTGATACTTGCAAAAAGAATGCAAAGACATGTCTACAATTGGATAACTCAAATGATGTTAAAGAAATTACGTGTAATTACACAGAAGGAGATAAAATAAAGAGTAATAAAAAATTTACTATATCTAATGATTACAGCAATAGCTGCATTAGCACAATGCATAATGACAACAGTGATGTGAGTGTAGAATTGTTAAGAAAAAATTTGGAACTAGATTCTCCTAATTACGAAGGAAAGAATGATAGTGTGAAGCTATCCAATTTTACTTCTATCCTAGATGTGATATCAAAAGAAGGAGATGCGAACTTGTTATATCCCATCACTCCAAGTGGTACAATAATATGTAATGAGGAGTTATATGCAATTGAAAAATACACAAAGGAGGAGACTGATGTGATGGATGCAGTTATTAAATCAGTGATTACTACTACTGGTGCTACTACTACTGGTGCTACTACTACTGGTGCTACTACTACTGGTGCTACTACTACTGGTGCTACTACTACTAGTACCTCAAAAGGGATCCAACAGAACGAAATTAATAACGATTTTATAAACAGTGAAAATGAGCTGATATATTCCTTTACAGAATCAATAAACAATTTCAAGAAAGAAATACAGGAAAAAAACAAAAGCATCTTCGAAGAAGTGAGCAAAAGAGGACACACGTTTATCTTAAAAATACAACAAGTATTTTTAAGCAAAACGAAAAATATATTTTGCACAAAATGCATTGATCAACATGGCTTATTTAACAATATACATCATGATATATTTAAGGAAATATTAAAGATAAAAATAGAAAAACATACTAATGAAATTTACATGATTAATCTTTTAAAAAAAATAAAAAATGATATTAATAAAGCAAATTACATGATAATGAAGAATGTAAACCAACATATTGCTGACTCACATTTAACTATACAAAACATAAACAAGGACAAAATAGTTCTTATAGGTACGATAAAAAATCTTGAACATAATTTATACAAAATGAAAAATGAACAAGAACTTATAATGTCAAGAGTTAAAATCAGTATTCATAAAAGTTTTTTGAATTTTACAGATTATATTTATCACCTCTTGTTAAATATTTACACCTCGATTTGTGAAAAAAGTGATAAATTGTCATTTTTAATTAATCAATTTAAAAATATAAACCTTGAACGTAGAAACAATCTCAAAATAAAAAAGAAAAACAAACCAAAGAAGGAACATCAAATTGGAGATACACTTCATAGCGATGGATTACATAGTATCAAAAAAAAAAATAGAAAACAAAAAAGGAAAAAAAGTTCCAAGATGATAACAGAAAGTTATGCATCATCCCATAAAGAAAGATATCGTCGCCATAGTGACAATTTCAACTCATCACATTTGTCACTAAAAGGAGAAAATTTAGAGGGTTCTAATTCACACGACATGAATTCGTGCACTTCCAATTTCAGCTTGTGTCTCTCAAATGAATTGTGCTACTCGGACCTTACGCACATGAACACAAACAAGTTCACAAACAAAAGAGATAAAAATAAGGGAAGAACGAAATTTAAACAAATGTTAATCAAGAAAAACACATCAAAGGATGAGAAGAAGAGGTCTCGTTCGTTTGATAATACGGGGGAAGAAGTTGTACGTCCTTCAAATGATAATGGGAATCCATCTTCCAACAAGAGCATCAATAATAAATCCACAAAAGGGCGAGATAAGAAATTAGTTGACAAGGTGAAAAGGAACAAAAATTGCGAGCGTTACAAGAGAGATGAGCGAGAGAAACAGTATAAGAAGCTCTACTATGAGGAGTTGCAAAAAAACAAAACATTGCAGTTTCTTCTGGCCAACAAGGTAAAGAAGTAAAACAGTAAAAAAAAAAAAAAAAAAAGAAACACACAGGGACATAGTCAATTTTTTGACAATTCGTAATGATCTATGTGGAAAATAAGAGTTGTTCACTACACAAGAATGGTTGCATGCACATTGGCAAAGCAGCCTCATCGATGGGTGAACACACCCCTTCTGTATGGGATTTCCATCACAAAGGTGTATCTATGTACATATATATATATGTATATGTATGTATATATATGTATATGTATGTATATGTATGTATATGTATGTGTATGTATGTGTATGTATATGTATGTGTATGTATGTGTATGTATATGTATGTGTATGTATGTGTATGTATATGTATGTGTATGTATGTGTATGTATGTGTATGTATATGTATGTGTATGTATAAAAGGATACACATTTTCTCCCCATTTCGTCGCAGGATGAAGAAATCGCACAAGCACTAAGTGGAACTAAGGAGGAGGTACAAAGAATAAAAATGTTCCATGATCAAGAAGAGAAGAAAATGGCAAAGGAAATAAATTATCTACGGGAATTAATAGAAAATGAAGAAATAAGCAATAAGAAATTAGTCAAGAAAAATGAAGAGTTAGATGAGTTAAATCAAAATTTAAAAAAAAAAGTAGAAACGTCCGAATATTCTGAAAAGCATTTAAACAACAAATTGTATGAATTAAATATCTTACTTTGCAAAGAAAGGGAAAAAAACAAAATTTTAACATCTCAAAATGTTAAATTAAAAAATGCTTTCATACGATACAGAAATGGGGCGAATTTATTTCACAAGAAGAAATATGGCCATATTCGAAAAGGGTTCATGAATCCTAATCCTGTGGATTATGTAGACTTTAGGGAAAATGATGAAATGGTTTTTTATAACTATTTTCATGAAGAGTTGGAAAGTAATCCCGGCAGTGATGCAGTTAGTAATGGTAGAAGTGATGCAGCTAGTAGTGGTAGAAGTGACGAATTTAATAATCGTGAAAGTTACTCAGGTAGAAATGACGGCATGGAATTGGATAGCATTATCGACATGGATGAGGAAAACGAAGGAACCAACAACAGGTATGAGGCCTTTTCTCAACACAAGAACAAGATTTATGGAGATGCAATAGATGGACGATTCAACATGAGAGAAATTAGATACCCCTTGATACCAAGGCAACCAAAAAATAAGCTGCCATACAGGAAAAATAAAAAGGGTATTGATTCATTATGTAACAATAAATATAATGAACCGTATAAAAGATACTATGATCAGAATCCATTCAAAAACTGTAAATTAAATTCTCGCTGTTTCAGTGACAATTCTGTTGATGTTAGGGTGCCACGAAAGGGCCATAGTCTCCTCCGTAGACAAAAAAAAAAGGAGATCCATGGAATTCCTAAAAATGAAAAGGGAGGCCAAATGGGGAAAACAAATGGGCAAAAGTATGAGCATGAAAAAGCAGACATAATAAGCTACGAGATACGAAAGGACATTGAAAATTTTGACGAAAAGAAATACAAAAAAGTTATAAAGAATATCACCAAGGAGGAGAAAGAGATTGAAAAAATAAAAGAGGACGATTTGTATTCTATATTTATGCAAAATTGGGAGGAATCCCAAATGTGCGAAGAGAATAGGGATAAAATCGACTACCTCAACTGGTCTGGATCGTTTATGCAACACTTGAATTGTTCTGGTGTTTACACTGGGCAAAGAATAGGTATTTATGATATTGGCAATTCTGAAAAAGCTGAAAATGCAGAATGTGCAGAAACTACCTCTCTGAATGCCACGAATAATATCCAAAGGGATTACACAAATGACGAGGGGCACAAATACCCCAAAAAAAATAATATCCATGAAATTTCTACTAGAGAATCAAAAAAAGTGGATCAAGAAAATGGTCAGAAAAATGGCGCATCCTATTTTTACCTGAACTGTTCAGAAGAAAATGTCAAAAATGTCCAATTCGGCGAAATTGTGAATAGCTTATCAGAAATGAATAACTGCACAGGTGATATTTGCATTGGAGTAAACGGAGAAGTGGGTTCTGCTAATGAATCACAAAATGGAAACCAAAGAGACTTAGTAGATGTGGAGCAAAAGATGCAGCATGAACAAGGAAAGGCAGAAAGGAACAATGAGGTGATTACTTCAAAAGGGAAAAATATGGATCATACTACCAGCCCTACAGACCAAGGGACGGATAATTTGAATGTGCAGAATGGACAAAGTTTTAAGCGGTTTAACGTGATAAATTGTGCAGAGAGAAACGAGAACTTGTGTGTGGAGGAAGGATATAATGAAGTTATAATGAACTATGAAACATATAAAAAGAATAAAGAAAAATTTATGCATCTGAGTTTAAAAAAAAAAGCACTCGACGCGGATAGAGAGGATATTATGCCAGAAATGAACATAAAAAAGGATGGCAATAATAATAAAAGCAATAGTAGCAATTGTAGAAATTGTAGCAATAATAACAATAGCAATAATAGTAGTGCGATACTTGATAATGTATTAAATAAGGAACGGAACAGAAGTAGCAGTAAAAAGGGTGTCCTTTATTACACGGAAAAACAGGAGGGATTGAAATTCGATAAAAACTGCACTCCGTTTCAGTGCATACAAAATGAGCGCAGTCAAAGCAACGGAAAAGATATGGCACAAAACAGAACCGTGCAGAGTAGCACGATACATTCTGTGTGTGGGGAAATGGACCAAGGATGTATGATTCTAGATAATAGTATAGATGTAATGTATAAAAATTCACACATTGATTACAACAGCGCGGATGTTCATTTTTTTCAAATGTCTAAGAATAAAAAAGTCATAAGTATGGAGAACTCAGTAGATATGAAAAATGAAGAAAAGACTAGTGCCGGTTCAAACATAGAGGTGGAAAGAATGAAATCTGTCAAAATGTCACATTATTATTTGGACTCAAAAGAATTGACGCTACATAACGTGAACAATAATACGTTATGTAAAAGTGTTACTAGTTGTCATGGAATACAAAGGAGCGATTTTTTAAACAAAAAAAAGAACTTGAATATTGAGGATATTATCATTCCCTCTTCTAATGAAACGGTAAATTGTGATAATCATCACCAGAATAACCCTTCCCACATGTTGATTAATACGCAATGGATAAAGAATGTTGAATGTACGTTTAGTCCCCCTAATGTATGCGGTCCCAGGAATGATACTTATAATGGCACAAATTTAATTGATCAAAAAAAATTCGAAATTATGCAGAATGAAGGAGAAAATAAATTATGTGATTACTCATTGCATGAGGCAGATGCCACATCTACTAGTGCAACCGCAGGTGCAATTTCTTCAGTGGATGAGAAGCTTAAGCTTAATGAAAGAAGCCAAGGTGCTACACTAATTAATTGCCATCAAACTGATGAATATACATGCAACCGAAAAAACAAAATGGAAAATTACACACATGACAAGGTTAGCAACGATTGGGGAAATAAAAACAAAATGAATAATCATGGGTGTACAAATGAAATTGTAAATGCAGGATTGGAACAATGTTTAACAAGTTCAGTTGTTCCAAACAGAGATTCCTGTGAAAATGTGTCAAAAAAGAAAAGTGTGGGAGATAGGGGTGTGTTAAGTAGATTACTGAGAAGAAATTAACCCCTTTTCTTCCATCGCTGTGTGTGAATTTCACCATTTACTTTTTTTCTTTTTTTTTTCGTTTTTTTTTTTCACCCCTTTTTTTTGTTTTTGTTTTCACATTATGCATGGTTACTACGATCGTTAAGCATGTTTTGGTATGCTCGTATATATATATGTATATAAGTTTTTCCCCATTGCTTAATTTACATGACCTTCGCAATGCACATAACTTATTTGCTGTGTGTTGTTCTTTTGATTAATTTTTGCTTTTTTTAACACACCTTTTTTTTTTTTTAAAAGCATCCCATTCGTTACGGAATATCACTTTTTCGTGCCTACCAATGTATAGCCATTTTATTTCTGAATACTGTGTATTCACAACTTGGCTATTTTGCTCAATATATAGAGAACGACACATGTAAAATTACTCATATGTGGGTAAGTACACACAGAGGTACATGGGCAGATACAAGAATATACATATAGTCAGCGTTAACGCATAAAAATGAGGAAACTTATGAATCCTCGTTGTTATGATTCATTCGCTTTGCACATATATATTTATCCACAGATCCCCATTGAAGAATGGCATGTGAAAATATGTATATTTTACTGGCATCATTAATGCTAATCTTCTTTTTATATATATATATATATATATATATATATATATATATATATATATGTATATATATTTTTTTTCTCTCCTTTTTAATTATTCAATGGATGGAAATTTTACACAAGTATTTAATTTATCAATGTGGACAAGCTACACAAACAATTTTGTTTTTAGAATTACAAAAAAAAAAAAAAAAAAAAAAAAAAAAAATTTAGAGTATAAAATGTAGACGTGCATTTGTATGTACACATAAATTACGCCTAACACATTTCCTCTCTTTTTTATGTAAAAATATATGAACAGTTCAGAATATTTTTACCTCTTTTTTGTTAATAAAATAATTATGCGGAAATTAAAGAAATTCTGGGTTTATCAATATATATAAGGGAAAAGTGGGTGATGAACAAATTTGATAATTAAAACATGGGGGCGAGGGAAAAAAAAGGGTAGTAAAACAACAAAAAATATAAAAATTAAAAACAAAAATGGAGAGAAAATGAGAAAAAAAAAAAAAAAAAAAAAAAAAAGACTAACATGAGAATATATATACACAATGTGTGCACATTCAGGCACATAAGAGAACGGTGGAAAGATGGACAACAAAAGAAAGAAAAAATTTACATACACACATAAAAAAAAATATATATATATTTTTTTTTTTTTTGATTAAGAATGTTTGGATATAAGGACTTTAAATTCTTCGTACAAATCTGAATTCGTTTCTCCAAATATAACTTGTGCCTTTTTCAGTGTTTCTTCTCGTTTTTGTTGATGATTATTGAGCTTCTTAATATTTGATAGAAATTGATTAAACTGTTCATATGTTAGTCTACTTCTTGCATTACGAAAAAAAGCCCTACCGTCTGTGTTTTTTTCTCCTGTCGATCTGCATACGAAAAAGAAATAAAAGAACCGATATTGAAAAAAAAATAGTGAATTATATTTTTAAATGGGAGTTACACTAAAAAGTGAAATTCACATACTATGATGTATATTGCCTCATATTGCCTCGTATTGCCTTGCATTGCCTCTCATTGCTCTTTGCATGTGTATGTGTATGTCAAGGGGTGGTGCAAGTAGCGTGACTGTGCTGGCACATGCAGTGTATGAAATGTGAACCACCAAACAAAAATATTCAGCATAATGATGCAAACTTGCACTGAGTGAATGGAGAGGATTATTTGACACATATATATAAATTTCTCGCCTTTTTTTTTTTTTTTTTTTTCACGTTTTTCATAATTCCCCATAACTTCTTCATGTTTTTATCTCTCCAAATTACCCATTTCCCAAATAAGGCGAATTGAAATTGCCATTGATGATATTGTGTGTATCCGAATTAACTATTTTATTAATTAGGGTTTGACACGAATCTTCATTGCCATTGATTTCGAGCATTGTTCTTGGTGCTGTTGTTTGCAACATGTCATCTGCAGAGTAATACTGAGAGAGGGTGTGATCATGGTGTTGCTTTAAAAAATGATTACAAACGATACGAACGCAGGTGAGAAGAAATAACTCTCATAGGAAGCCCAACAATGCACCACTTCGATGAAATGCAAGGTGTAAAATTTGGGTATGGAACAGAGGGGCAGAAATTAGATGCACAAATTAGACATTGCATTTATGCAAACTGATCACATACACTGTTGTCAAAAATAGAGACTATGGTGACATCCTCTTGTCCATTCATTTTGACACACACTTTTCAAAAAGGCAGAAAGTATATATAAAATGTACACGTTCACATAATGGACTAAAGAGAAAATGGTTATGTCTCGCCTTCAAAGAATATAACAAACACAAAACGATTTGTATAAATTTGTGGAACTTGTTATACATACATGGCAAATATTGGCACAAATGTGCATGCTTAACAATGTTGAGAAATTCTTTTTTCTTTTTTATTATCATGGAGCTGCATATGTGAAATAGCTGCAAACGATTTTACATGATAAACGATTCAAGATAATACTGAAAAAAGGTGTTCCACATGTGTGCATGAACATATGAAGTGACATTCTAAATACATACAGAAGGAATTCATATTGAACTCATTGGGAGGGGATATACATAACTATTCATGTATATAACCATCATGTGTATATTTGAAAATAAAATGGAATATGTGACTCAGATGTATTAAAATGAATTAACCAAGATGAAAAAAGTGTACACAAAACAAACATACGATTTATGTGCATTTTTTTTTCTTGCACTTGTTATGCACATAAAGATGTCCATAAATTTCTTTGTTGATTCCCTCAATATGTCAAAGTAAGCAATAGTCATACGAAACTTTCGTATTCATTTTTTCTTTTATTCTTCGTTTTTTTTTCTTTTTTTAAATTACTTTATGTGCATCTTCCACTTCATGCTCTTCTTGTATAGAATTGAGAACAGCCTTTTTAAGATTCTCCAGTCGATCAATATCTCTATTCAGCTGAGGGGAAAAAGAAGAAAAAAAAAAATTACACATATGTTTGTTTTATTTTTCTATTTGATGTAATCCATTCTTCTATTTGGAGACTTGTCAGCTCAAAGAACTGTTCATAAATCATTTGCAAAAACTAGCGTTCATTTTTCTTTATATGGGAAAGTTAATTGCAAATTATTTTTATTTTTTTTTTTTTTTTATTTCTTTTGATTTTCATAACAATGAAAATGATAAGATCAGAATTTTCTATCATCAGGTCCTTTTATTTGTTTCATTTTTATGAATATCTCTCTAGACAATTCTGGTTAATTTTACAACGGGCTGGGAATGCCAAGGGCAAAGTTCAAATTACACCATCCTCCCCCCCCCCCTCCCCTTTTAGACATACACAAAGGGTGTTATGAAATGCAAAAATATAAGTATACATGTTGTATATACATAAAAACATATATCTCTCTTCAATCACCCTTTTTAAATTCTCGCTCATATTTTTACTTTTTTAATGGTTGTAATTAATTGTTTGTTTTCATCAGCTAACTGATTTCCTCTTTGTGTTGATTCGATTAACTGAACTTCCAGATTGCTATATTTTTTTTGAATTGATGATAACTAAAAAGGAGGAAACAAATGATTAAACAGAGTTGATATAAGTGAAGTAGGGGTTCAATTTCAGAGAAAAAAAAAAAAAAAAAAAAAAAAAAAAAAAATTGCATAACCACATTCTACCATAAACAAAATAATAAAATATGTGAAATGCAGAAATTAACTTGTTCTAGTTTTTCCGTTAATTGTCCTTTTAGAGATCTTATTTCTGCCTCTTGAGATGTAACTCTTGTTTTGTATGCATTTGTTACTATTTTAAACCCTAAGGCTAGTTGTTCTGAAAGAAAAATGGGGGGGGGGAAAAAAAAAAAAAAATAAAATAAAACATAAATGCACACAATTAGATACTCCAAAAATAAGCGATGTAATATATGCTTAACTCTTTTAACTTGTTTATAAAAAAAAAAAAAAAAAAAAAAATTCACAAATATGATTAATAACCGTCTGCATCTGAAGGTAGCCAACTTAGGTCTGTAGTTCCAGCGTTTGACATTTTTTAAAAAAAATTATTCTTGTATAATTTTTAATAGTGTTAATGAAAGAAAAAAAAAAAAAAAAAAAAATCGCAGTAATAACGTTTCAAACTCTGAGAAAGTTAAAAAATTGAAAATTTTGTCAATATGTGGCATGTGCAGTTTGTACAGAAAACATATAGGAATATGTGCAAGCTTATTGTTCTTCCAGATTCATATAAGTAAGAATCTATACTTATTAGGTACTAAATCATAACTAATGAAAGAAAAAGTTTCTAGCTTAAAAGAGATTTACAAAAACAGACACTGTTTTAATGCAGAACTGAAACAAAACTTTTTCTTTTTTTTTTTTTTTTTTTTTTTCTTTTTTACACTTATATGTAAGTTAGAGGTGGGTGAGATGAACAACTACGTAACTACAAACAAATGGAAATCGAAATTGACTTATATGTGTGCGTTTATAATGAAGTGGAAGCTATAATATGTATATTTCCCTTCTTTTTTTTTTTTTTTTTTTCTTTGTTTACAGTTACAAACGGGTGACAATTAAATGAACAATCCAAAATCGAAAAAAAAAAAAAAAGGACACAAAAAAATTAAAAAAAAAAAAAAAAAAAAGTGTATATTTAATCAAACTAAACAACAAACAAACAGGTACATAAAAAAAAAAAAAAAAAATGTGAATATTAATCAAACTAAAGGACGGTCAAAAATGGCACGTTATGCTCCTGCGTGTTATTGTCTTTTCCTGATGTTAATTAATTTTTATGTTATTATTTTACTCCATCCGATTGTATCAACGGTTTTATGTGTATGTTTAATAGAATGATGCATTCACCTGTGTATGGTATGAACAATGGCATTTCAACTAGTTGAGATAATGACCTCAAGAGCTTGCTTTCTATTTCACTTTATTTTATTTATTCATATATATACATATATATATATATTTATTTATTTTATTTTATTTATATTTATCATTCTATATTAAGGCACTGACACTCTAAATTATGCCTTAATTCCTTCTTTTTTTTTTTTTTTTTTTTTTTTTTTTTCTTTGAGCATAAGACCCCCCGTGAATGCATATACAGCTGAGAAAAAAATTGTAAAAAAAAAAAAAAAAAAAGAAACAAATGAACAAATGAACAGATGAACAAACGAACGAACGAACGAACGAATGGGTGAAAAAAAAAAAAAAAATTTCATACACGAATAAACAAAACGTATGTTGTATTTGTTTTTAAAAAAAAAAAAAAAAAAAAAAACTGCTGTGATGGTGCTACACAAAATATACAGGTGGAGTAGTTCACGTATTTTTAACTTCTCACCCATACCCCCTCTTCCTATTTGCATATTTCTGAATTCATGAATATATATGTAAATACTTCACTACCATTATAAAAGTTTGAATATTTGTGTGCATATCTGGACGATTGTGTATATGTGTATGCACATAACCCTATGTGCACATACAGTGGTATCCGCACGTATTGCTCCTCCCCCAACCATACAAAATTGTCGTAGAACAGAATTTAAAAAACAGGAAATTGTAGATGATAGCACAATTGTACTTAAAAGGTGTGTAGGGACAATTTTTTGAAATGTGGATAAAAAAAGAAAGGTATAATATATATACACAGTGAGTGAAATGCATATAATTCTTTGGACTATGAAAAACAGTGAATTGCATTTATCAATGCATTGGTATATACATAAAAATATATATACCAGTACAAGTACTGCTATGCGTACTGACATGCGTATGAATATATATACACATTTGCACTTAAATTTTGGGTGGGCAAAAAAATAAGCGAAAATGGATGAGAAGGCCAAATTGGTGGAAAGGCCGTACACAAAAACGCACACACACATACCTTGCCAATTGGTACATGCATAATTACACCTTATGTTTTTCAAATATGACTTAGTCGGTGCATTGTAAATGTTGAAATGGGAAATGGGAGGAAGATTTATATAGCACACTATGTTGGAGGGGTTGGAAGTGGTCGAAGTGTTGGAGGGGTTGGAAGTGTTGGACGTGTTGGACGTGTTGGACGTGTTGGAGGGGTTGGAAGTAGTGGAAATGTTGGAGGGGTTGGAAGTAGTGGAAATGTTGGAGGGGTTTGAAGTGTTACTGCATATTTTCCCTTTTCTCCACTGATGCATGCGGTGTATGCTGTTTTATGTTGCATAGAAAGAGAACATGCAGGTTCATTTCAACAGATCCTACTATTGGTTCCCAATAAAAGGATAAGGAGAATTTCCAAATTAATGTTAATCACTGTGTATCTACATGCATAATGTAAAAAGTTTGTGTTCTTGATAATATTTCTTAACATAATGGTATCACACCACAAAGTGCACTTAAGATGCAGGATTTGTCACAAATTTTTGAGAAAAAAAAAAAAAAGAAAAAAAGAAAAAAATCGGTATTTTCAGCATGAGTAAATATATTTGTTTATTACTTTTTTTTTTTTATATCATTTTATTTATTTATTTTTTTATTTTTTTATTTTCCTATATATGTTACTCTGGTTTTATAAAAAAAATAAAATAAAGTGAAATAAAATAAGAAAAAAAGGTGTTCATATGCACAGTACCCGTTTAGGTAAGGCATCCACTCGACAGTAATTTATATATCCACCACACAGTAAAAAAAAAAAAAAAAAAAAAAAAAAAAAAAAAAGACCATGCTATCGCAACATCTGTTGAATGAAAATATGCTGCTTCCGAGTTAGAACTTTACCTATACAAAACACTGATATAACATGGAAAAGCACACATGGTGAAATTTCCTAAGAGGATGAATACATTTGGTCAGGTCACAATTCGAAATTATATCCCCCTCCCCACCCTATCATGTTTACACATGTGTACATATGTTTGTACCTGTTCTCAAGAGGTATGTTTGCTGCATCCTACCTCATCCGAATGTACATGTCTAAATTGAGTTGGCAGATCGTCATATATATCTATGTATATATGTACATATATATATATATCATCCCCAAGCTACATAAAAAAAAATGAAAAAGATACAAAAGAAGAAAATGACTCTTGCCCATATAACACTTTTTACCCTGTGCCAGTGTATAAAATAAATGTCACAAATTGTCTGAATCTATTTTAAAAAAAACGTTCGATGTAATATATTTATCAATACTTGCATATACATTTCTAATTGCGTGAGTGGATATATATATATATATATTTTCCCCTATTTGGATGATAAAAGATATTGTTACAGCATTGAAATATAAATTATTTAAATTGGTACATGAGGATTTATGCGTTCCGTTCCATCATGTAGCAACAAAAGAAAGATCACAAACATTTTCCTCTATCCTTAGTCAATTTAAAAAGCGTACTTTCTTGTAATAGATTTATTTGATTTTCTCTCATATATGTTCCGTTTTGCAAGTCGTTCCCATTAGATTTTTTTTTTTTTTTTTTTTTTTTTTTTTTTAAGGAAAAAGACAAAACTGATCAAAAGAATGATAAAAAATGAGGGGTAGTATAATGGGATATATGGGTATTTTTCGAAATTAATAATGTTTAGATGGTGATTTTTTAACCAACTGATATTATGTGATTTACAATTCATAGGTAAATTAAACTTTTTCTAGAAATATTACATGTACATATATCTTGCCACAATGATTCCAAAGAACTCAAAATGAGATATTGTTTATTTTTATTTTTATTTTTCTCCACTTCATCTAGTAGTCTTATAATCCAATAGTTGCATCACCCCATTTTTTATATTGTTAGGTCCCGAGAACTCCAAAATTTGGTAGCCCTAGCAATATACCAATTCTGTTTCATCACATTTTTGCAATAATTTTTCTCGCAACCTTTTTTTGAAACTGAGAAGCTGTTGTGTCAATTTGTCATCTACCTTTCAACAACAACCTCGTATTAACATTTATCGAAACGCAGAACGATAATGCACATAGAGTCTTGCAACATTAAACATTTTCTCCTTTTTGCCAAGAAAAAAAAAAAAAAAAAAAAAAAAAAAAAACCAAATACATGCCATACATATGCATAAGCATATATGTGCTCATCCTAGTTGGAATAAATTCGAAATATGAAACACGGACTTACTACAATTTCTGTTTTGAGAATAATAGAAACCACACTGTCATTTCTCCATTTTTCTTCTCATTTGGCACCTCCCACGACCCTCTTCAGTGAGAAAGTTGTTATGTACATGTACATGCTAATTTGTGGATATCCGTTTTGTACAGACGCAAAAGCCTGCACAAAAATGTCCATTTGATGTTCATTAGAATTTTATATTTTTTGTGGATTCTTCAACACTTTGCGTATGTTGCTTCGTTGAGGAAAAAAGGGAATTTCTTACACGCTTTTGTGAAAATGAACAATCCGGTTAATATAAAAAACTTAAGAGATGTTAAAGAGAAGGTTAAATATGAAAAAAAAACACACTGCCTTGTATTAAAAAAATCTAAAACTAATACTATATTAAAAAATAAGTATACAAAATGTTGGCTTATGAATGTATTCAAATTTCCATCTGTGCTAAAATTTGTGGAATACCAAAAAGCCCTTATTGATTCTGGGGTCTATAACAAGGAATTGATGTCCCTCATTCATACATATTTGGAAAAATTGGAGGTAGGAACTAGGTCAATGAAAAACCACGCAAGTGGGCTCACGCATGACCAGACGATCGATATGGTAAAATGTGAAACAGCAGATGTGCTAAAGTGTGAAACAGACGATATGGTAAAATACGCGACGATCGGTCAGATTGGTGACCATGCAACCGATGCAGTGATAAATGCAGCAGGAATAGACGAAGGAGAACTTAGACTAATCCCACTTAATGAACATTTCAATAAAACATTACATGAGTTGATGGAAAGAGAAGGAAAGGGAATTATGAACGGAATTGATATTTCACCAGATGAAGGAGAGTTCCAGAGTGACGAGGAGAAAAAAGAATCTGCTAGTTTAAGAAGAGAGAGGAAATATTGGAACCTGATTAATAATGAAGAGAATAATATAAAAAAGGAAAAGTACCAAATGTTGAAGGATGTTAATAAGTGGCCAGAGGACAGCATTCTAAATGATTCTTCTAACCGAATGAAATATTTAACAGAACTGTTTTACCTGATAAAAAAAGAAGATATAAAATTGAGTGTGATTCGATTAGAATTTGGGTACGACAATATGAACACATCAGAAATATTGAAAAAGATATTTCCATCAGGAAATGAAATAATTCATAAGTATGAAATGATCGGACATATTGCTCATTTGAATTTTTGTGAAAAGTTTGAAGATTACAAAAAAGTGATAGCTGAAATTATTTTGGATAAAAATAAAAGCATCAAAACTGTGATAAATAAAAAAGAAATGCTGAACAATGTACATAGGACATTTAATATGGAATTATTAGCAGGTGAAAAAAATTACCTCACCATGTTAAAAGAAAACGATATAAAAATAAAATTAAATTATGAATTAATTTATTGGAATTCCAAATTAAAAAAAGAAAGAGATCGTATTTATGATCTTGTTAAAAAAAATTCTATAATTATAGATATGTTTGGAGGAGTTGGAATTTTTAGTTTACATCTCAGTAAAAAAAATTGTTTATGTTTTTCAAATGATATTAATGAGCATGCATATAACTATATGAACATTAATGTAAAATTGAATAAAAGAAAAAACATTCTCACCTACAATTTAGATGCAACAGCATTTATAGATATGTTAATCCTTTTAAACCTGTTTTCAAACGATGCATCTACCTTAACAATACATCTAAATGAACAAAATATCAAAAATATATCCCTCGATTTTATCAATTCAGTGCATGAACAAACTAATGATAATATCAAAAAGAAGAAGAGTGCTACTACAGGAACTTCAAACAAAACACCTGACCTGGTAAGTGAAAAAAAAGACGCATATCATGATGTCTTAGATAAAAAAATAAAAATCACTTCTGGTGACACAAACAAATTTGCAGATGAGCAAGATAACAATCGATACATTTGCCATAAGGATGGATTAGAACCCATTCACGACGTTCAGAAAATTTCACAGAATAGCTTATCACCACAGGAGGAAAGGGCTTCATGTCAATTATTCATAAAGGACGATGCAGAAAAGGCAATTAATGGTGAACTCAAAAATGATCTACACAAAGTAGAGATAAATTTGAAACATTACGGAGATATTCACGTGTTGATGAATTTGCCCCAAACAGCTTTTAAATTCTTAGATGTGTTCAGAAAAATTAAAAATATTTACAGTGTCCATAAAACGGATACTCAAGACAAATATGTAAAAGACAAAATGAGGAATGTGTTCATACATTGTTACTATTTTTCAAAGCCAGAATTTTTTTATGAAGACGCTGAAAGAAACATAAGGTTGCAATTAAAGGGGATCCCAAGAGAAATGAAAATTACTGAAGTGAGTGTGCAGAAAAAAAAAAAAAAATGTTCTTTCTCTAATGACATTAATAATCTGTTTATACTTGTTCTTCTGTGTTTTATATTCCGCATGTACACTGTTTTTTTTTTTTTTTTTTTTTTTTTTTTTTTTTTTACGACGTTTACCAGATTAGGAAAGTCTCTCCAAGCAAACTCATGTATGTGGTAGAGTTCAACTTAAAGGACATTGTGGGCACAGAATGATCAACATTAGATAAATAAATGCAGGGAAGTAAAATATGTTGAGAAGTTTATATTAATGTGTCATAAAAAAAAGGGTTTAAGCAGTAATTACTTCATTATGAATGGATTGAAAAGTGTTCTTCATTTATGCTCGAAGTTTAAAAATAAAATAAACAATTTTAATGAATTTAAGAGGGTACCCCAAGGAATGCTTGAAAATTATGGCACTGTCAATAACACTCACGAATTAGACGAACACAGAGAAAGATTTGATGAGATAAACTTCTTAATAATAATGATAAATGCCTTACACCCCTCCCACCCAATATATCAGATTTATCGTTTTAATACATTCTTCATGTGTTATATATAATGAAGACCCCTCACCAGAGTAAAAAAAAAAAAAGCTGATTCAATTTTACCTATACAAGGTTGGTTGGAAAAAAAAGTGGAATAGAATATAATCATTTTTATTTCATATAAAATGAAATAATAAAAATAAGAAAAGGATAACATGACCTGTGCCGTAATGGATGGCACCTTATCAGTAAAGAAGAGTTATAATAGAACCAATTTCATTTCTTAAAAAAAAGGAGCATTTGCTTTTCTTGATCTTTTCACATACATACATATATATATATATATATATAAAAGTTCAAATATTAACATGCTCCTATATCTCTAATGTAACCAACATTTGTTCATACATCCCGCGGGTAGAAAAACAATTTTTACAAATATGAAATTATAAATATATGTAATCCTTTTGTGTTGTGTTATTTTTATGGATACGGGGGTGGGAAGAACAACTCCGATGTCACGAAAAATAACACGTTTCTGTTTTCCTAAGGCAAAAACGGGATAAAAGAATGGAAGGTACCATAACAGAAGGAACTAGACTAGCGTTAAAAGAACCATACGAAGTTGACAGTTTTTGTTTAAACCGTTATGTTTGTTCAAAATAAATGAACACTTCTGTGCATATACGCAGATATAGAAAGTTGTGCATATATGTAACCTATCCTGTTGCTCTTTAATTTAATATGATGCAATATAATATAACCTAGTTTAATTTAATTTAATATGATGCAATATAATATAACCTAGTTTAATTTAATATAATATAATTTAATATAATTTAATATAATTTAATTTTTTTTTTTTTTTCGTAAAATTTTGCTCTCATGTGTTTTTCTCATTTTTTTTTTTTTTAAATGTTCAAAAATTAGCTACATCATTATAAATGTACAACAACATGATAGGAAGTATTTACATTTGTGTCTATGCATGTTTGTCCTCCTCCTCAATGCACTTGCTAATTTAATATTCTTCAAAGATGTAAAGATAATTGTGCAGCAAAAAATAAAATACACATTTTTGGAAGCGTGGAAGAAACATTTTTACCTTTTTCTCCATTTTTGAAATATTTCGTATTCCCAGTTATCACTTCTTCAAGTGAATGCAACGGGATGGGTAAAAACGTGACAAGAATTTAAAAAAGAAAAAAAAAAAAAAGAGAGAGAGAGGGGTAAAGAGAGAGAGTGATAAAGAGAGAGAGTGATAAAGAGAGAGAGTGATAAAGAGAGAGAGTGATAAATAGAGAGAGTGATAAAGAGAGAGAGTGATAAAGAGAGAGAGTGATAAAGAGAGAGAGTGATAAAGGGAGAGAGTGATAAAGAGAGAGAGTTATAAAGAGAGAGAGTGATAAAGAGAGAGAGTGATAAAGAGAGAGAGTGATAAAGAGAGAGAGTGTGAAACTGAGGTTGAGAGAGACAAAATTCCCTAATAATTTTGCTACAGTAAAGTCAGTGCTAAATATGTTGTTGCGTAGCTATGATAATAATAATGGTTTCTGAATCATGCAAACGTGGAAAAAAAATAAAACACGTGTATTTTTTTTTTTTTTTTATTTATTTTTTACGGGACGATACACAAAAGTGCAACTTATTGGGGGTTATTGAATATATGAAAACATTAGCTTCGCTTAAAAGAATACACTTTTCGCTTGGTGAAACTTAATAAGATGTATGAGTAAAACGTTGGTATCATGAATAAACACAGTTGTAATTAAATGAATACATGTCTATGCATAACTACACAAAATATTTTGTCAGTGCGAAAAGAAAAATGAAGAAATATACATATATGTACGTATATGTATATTTACAAATTTGGCAGAAATACAGTAAAAGCTTCCCTGATATATTCCTTTTTAGTCAAAATTGGGACAAAATTGGCAATCAAAAAATAGAATAAAACTGTATACTAAGAGATATAAAAATTTACACACAAATATAAACATGCGTTTTTACATAAATATATGTATACATAAGTTCTTGCGTGCAAAAATTTAAATAAACATTTACATATATAATAATATACACAAACTCTTGCATAAGTATATTTATATGCAAAAATATATACAGTAATATAATAAAGACATACATGAATATATATATATATATATATATATATATATATATATATATATATATATACATATATGTGGTATATGTGATCATGCATATACACAAATGTAAAAACGAAGATAAAAAGGCATAAGAACAAAATTCGTGTATTTGCACCTGTGTGTATATGGATGCATATATGGAGCAAACAAAACATCCTAGACTATATTGTGTTACAATATGTACATATATATATACATATATATATATATGTATATATATATACATATATACATATATATATATATGTATATATGTGTATAGCAAATTGCAACGTATTTGTTATATGTAGCAAGTTATATTACTATATGGGAATAATTATTAATTGGGAGATTAAAAGAGAGTTAACATAAACTGTTGTGCTATGGCAATTTTCTCTCCTTATTATGGTAATTATATTTTATTTTTATTTATTTATTTTTTTATGTACAATTATTTTATTTTTATTTACAACTGATTTTTTTTTTTTTATCTTTTATTTACAATTATTTACAATTATTTTTTATTATTTTTTTTTATTTCCAATGTATATTTTTTTTTTTTATTTTCAATTATTCATAACTTTTTTTATTTTTACCAACTTCAAAATAAATTTTTTTTTTTTTTTTACCCCACCGACAATTTAAGTACCCTTTGAATTTTTTTTTTTTTTTTTTTTTTTTGGGCGAATTATTTTTATATATATATATATATATATATCGTTTTTCCTTTTTAGGGAACATATATTTTTGGAAATTCTATAAAACTTTTAAACTTAGAAGGCGTGCAAATCATAAATGTCCCATGTTGCAAAAAGGGAATAAGTTTGAAAATCTAATCATGTTGTAGCGAGGCATAATAATCTACAAGAATGTATAACAACATGTTATAATACATTATTGTAATAGGAAAAAAGATAAAAAAAATACCCTTTTTTCCTTTTTTCAGTTGTAAGATTTTGCTTGTCTGTTTGTTTGTTCGTTTGTTTGATTGTATATTTGTTTGTTCGTTTGTTTGATTGTATATTTGTTTGTTCGTTTGTTTGTTTATTTATTTGTTCGTATGTTTGTTTGTTTGTTCGTATGTTTGTTTGTTTGTTCGTATGTTTATTTGTTTGTTCGTATGTTTGTTTGTTTGTTCGTTCGTATGTTTGTTTGTTTGTTTGTTTGTTTTTTTTTTTTCTTTTTTTGCCAATTTTGTTTTGCAATTAATATTTCCCCAAAGGGATATATATATATATACTTACATGTTCGTATATATGCATAGTACGAATAGTTGTATGTATGTGAATAGCAAGGGAAAACAGTCAACCGTATATATTATAAACTTATTGATATATAAAGAGTCACATTATATATACATACAGAAGCTTGTGCATGCACAGGGTACATTAGTACACACATCATAGATGACAAGGCACGAATACGTACTTGTGTGTACTCACACCTATAATATCATATTGCAAAAAAAAAAAAAAAAAAAAAAAAAAAAAAAAAAAAAAAACCTTTAAAATTTTTAAAAAAAAAAAAAAAAAAAAAAAAAAAAAGAAAACTACATACCTTTATACTCGCGGCAAAACGTCAGAATAGAAATAACAAAAGAAAATCTAGTATGCTCGGGAATCTAATCAAATTGAACTCATTCAGAGTGAACCCAATCAGAGTGAACCCAATCAGAGTGAATCCAATCAAAGTAAATCCAATCAAAGTAAATTCAATCGAAGTAAATTCAATCGAAGTGAACCCAATCGAAGTGAACCCAATCGAAGTGAACCCAATCGAAGTGAACCCAGTCAAAGTGAACCCAGTCAAAGTGAACCCAGTCAAAGTTCACAATACAGTTGAGCAGACAACTGATACAAAAGACATAGAAATCGAACGCAGGAAAAAGAAAAAGGACAAGAAGAAGAAAAAAGTGAACAATAACGAGAAATTGCAAGGGGGGAAAAAAATGATTAAGAAGTTCGTGTATCACATCGTGGCATATATCATTTTTGCACTTAATCTAAAATTATTTTTTCATAAAATTTTGTTTACATCATGGATATGGGACTTTTATCATATATATTTCTGTTTACTAGTTCTATATGTTAGCTTGTTGGTAATATACGCAATTGGAGTTTACTGTAATTTGAAGAAGTTCGATCTCAAGAATTATCCAGCAGATCAAATTCAGTCATGTAAAAATTATGTAAATAAAAAAAACGTGCATCCCTATTCGTCCTTCGAGAGGCTTGACTTGGTGAATATGAAATTTACTAAGCTCCTGTATGGTGCAATTTTTATGGTAATGCTAATGTTTGCAAAACAAGTGTTTAAATACATGCAAGAGCTATCCACACGTGCAAAAAGTGTCGAAACATTGTAAATATGAACATGGAAAATTTAATGTTGTAAATAATGAAGCGAAAACAAGCATGAAAAAAAAAAAAAAAAAAGAGAGTGACAGAAAAGAGGAAGGAAAAAAAAAAAAAAAATCCTTCCATTTATCATTCCACATTAGTAATGCACTTACACATATATTACAATATATTTTTTTTCCACTTTTCAATAGGCCCCATGGAAAATAGTAGCACATCTGGTTGTAGCCTTAACGAATATAATCGTTTGTGGTAATAATATATACAAAGGAAAAAAATGTATTTGCTTTTAGGCACTTTGTTAAATCTTGGCAATTATAACGTTTTATTTATTTTTTTTATTTTATTTTTTTTATTTTATTTTTTTTATTTTATTTTTTTTATTTTATTTTTTAATTTTTTTTTTTTTTTTTTTCGTTCCATTCCTATAGCCATATTCTCATTTTTTATGGGAAAGAATAGAGAAGATGAAGAAAATGCAATAGTAAAAATTTACTTAAAATTTCTCAAGGTTATTTGTAGAATTTCATTATGGTTATTCGGAATTAACGATATAGAAAGTCATTATCTGTGTGACACAGATTGGCCAAAAAATATAGTAGCAAATCATGTATCTGCATTAGATCCCTTTTATTTTATAAGTGAACATGCATGTAGTTTTGTTGCAAAGAAATCATTACGTAAAGATGCATTTATTGGATTAAGTGTTATAGCCTTAAGATGTGTATTTGTGTATAGGGAAAAATCAGAAGATAGAAAAATTTCTTTGGAGAGTATCAAAGAAAGACAAACAATGGTTGAACATAAAAAAAACAATGTCCCATCTTTTGTTATATTTTCTGAAGGAACAACATCTAATGGAATGCAAATTATTGAACAGAAAAAAGGAGCATTCTTTTCTTTACTCCCAATAACCCCAGTTCTCTTGGTTTATGACTATGATTTTTTTAATCCCTCTTATGATATTCTTCCATTTACCTGGTGGTTCATCCTGATAGAGTCCAATGTGAGAAACCAAAAAAAAAAAAAAAAAAATAGGTGTATCATTTTATCGATACATTTGCCTTTTCTTTTTTATTTTTCCCATATTTCTCTGTTTTTGCACATTTTTTTTTTTTTTTTTTTTAAGTGCACGTTTTTTTCTCATTTTCCCATTTTCGTTTCCCTTCCATCAGTATCAAAGCATATCCTTGAAAACATATTGGTTGCCAAAAGTTTACCCTCCAGATAAGAAGAAATATCCTAACATGACTGATGAAGAACGAATTAACATATTCCATGATGAAGTATCGAAAATAATGTTTGAAAATATGAAGAAGTATAATCCGAAGGCTCCTAAAGATATAGATGATTACAGAGACTGGCCAGGATCACTACGTACAAAAATAGAATTTTTTCAATCCGCCTTGGGAAATATAGCAACAAAGTATTTAAATAACGAAAAACAACGAAGTGAAAAAAAATAATTTTACAAAATTAACGGGGAGGAAGAGTACTGTGTGTCTCCACCTCCTCCCATCCCCTTTCCCTGAACTATAGCCACACGTGTATATATGGTCAACGTGTGTGTCTAATTTTTCTATTCTTTTCTTTATGTTAGAAATTTATACGTTTTTAGTGCTATCTTTAACCCCTCCCCCCCCCGTTCCCCTTATGATGTAATAATGGTATTAAACCATAATGATAATAATATCAATAAGCAATTAATATTTTCATCTTAATGACGGTCTTCCTCATGATAGTAATTTGCATGATGATCATCCTTTTTGGAAGGCATCCATTTGATAGCCTACATCATGAAGTATGCTGTTTCTACTTCATAATATAGTCTGTCTGATGTGATATCACTAGCATCGTCATCATCGTCATCATCGTCATCATCGTCATCATCGTCATCATCGTCATCATCGTCATCATCGTCATCATCGTTATCATCGTTATGTTTTAGTTTTATTTGTTCATTACGTTTGTTTAGTGACTTTATTACATTTTAAATACCTAGGTTTTCGTACAATTTTTTTTTTTTTTTCTACATTTTTGTCATTTTATAAAAGCACATTTTATTCCATTTTTTAATTGGAATAAAATGAGATGAAAATAATTGTTCATGAAAATTTCATCATATAAAAAAGTTAGCACATAACATTTCATTAATTCAAGTGAATTTTTTTTTTTTTTTTTTTTTTTTTTACAAAGTTTTGCCCCATGTCTACCGCTCGACAATACTTCATGCCGTTCGATGTTTATCTATTTTTTCATTAAACATACGCGTGCATAGATAAAATTGTGAAAGTCGCATTTATTCTTGTCATGATGAAATGACTTTTTTGGTGACAAAAACATTGTCCCATCCGATCAATTTTAACATAAACCATTGTAAAGAAAGCATTTAAAAAAATATTTTTATGTGTTCGTACTTTATTTATGCATACGAGTATAATCCACAGTTGTGTGTATAATTTTATTTTTCTCATCTCAACCTTTTAACATTTTTGTTCCTATAAGGCAGATGTGAGACAACAACTCTACATGATGCTGTGTGCAATTTCCACGCGTTGTTCACCTTTTGCCTGCATTGTTCAGGGGAAAAAGCTCAAATTGTTCAGATTTGTTCATAAAGGTAAAAAAAAAAAAAAAAAAAATAATAATATTAATAAAATAAAAATAATCAAGCTAGCCAAACTAGCGAATTTTGCAAATTATCCAAGTTAACAAAAAGGCAGTTGCAATATTTTTGCCACACATTTTGAAATTCATTATACGCAAAAATGTAACGTGTGGAGCAAAATTTAAATTTTCTCACTTCAAAAAAAAAAAAATTAAAAAAACGTATACATGTATATATATATATATATATTTATATATTTATTAATTTGTTTATTTATTTATTTGTTTATTTATTTATTTTTTTATTTTACCCGTTGACCATTTTGGTCATAGCTATAAATTTGCTTTGTTAACAATTTTGACCGAACTGTTCTTCCATTTTGTTAATTTCGCTCATTTTGTCCATTTTGCACATTTTGCACATTTTGCACATTTTGCACACTTTTTCAATAGTCACACAAATTAAAACAATTAAAGGGCTACTTTGTAAATATACATACTCTATAAACGAGGGGAAAGCAGAAATTGTCCTTTATTCCCCAAAGAAAGTTCCTATATTTATATAACAATTCCGTTGCTCAATTAAGACACACATGTGCGAGTATGAAGGACTGGACGTTCATTGTTCTTTTTTAGATGCTCCTTTCCCCAATGTAGCTTATAAAATAAAATAAAAAAGGAGCAAAAAAGAAAAAAGTAAACCCAAAAGAAAAATGAAACAAACAGATTAATTTCGTCCCAATTTTTTCAACATACAGATTTGAATGTACATAAAATAGACCCCTCGCATCGTACAAAATATTCATAATTTTGTTGTACAATTTTTATTTGACATTGATTTGCTGACTTTAGCAGCGGTTAATGCATACTATGCATTCTTTTTTTTTTTTTTTTTTCACAACATTAACGTCGCTTCATTATAATAAATAATGATTAAACATTGATTTTGTGGAGAAAAAAAAAAAAAAAAATCATTCATTTCTTACGATTTCGTTATATTCCTCTACATTTTGTCCTATTTTTTCCCACATGTGTAGTACACACTTAGAGAAAATATCATTTTCTATGCACACAATGTGAAACTCTATTTGACCTCTTTTCAATTGTTTAATTTATCAATTTCTTAAAATATGTTTAGATAATATAAACTCTTTCAGAGAAGCTGTTTACCAATTTGTGTAAAGAGCTCTTTTTTTATTTATTTTACTAGATTACTTATCAGGGAGAAAAAATATTCTAACCCAGGTGGAAAATTAAAACGTCCCCATTTACCACTATATATGATATGTAACGTTTAAGTGCTATATTTTGATCGCCCTGTCCAAATTGTCCATTTAATTTATACATATTAATTTTGTAGCATTTGTGACGAATTCCAAGTGTTTATTTAATTTCAATTTAGAACATGTTCTAACATTTGCAATTGTGCAGTGATGTTGAAAATGCCATTTGATCAGTGTTTGGACACCCATACTAGAATGTAACCATATTTTTTTTTTTTTTTTTTATGTACACTTTAAAATTAATTTCTAGAACATTAGTTTCTGCGCAAGGAAAAAGAAAAAAAAGTGGGTTCTCTAAGGAACATCCGTTCTATACATTATTTGCAAAAATTGTAGAAGATTAGTGAGATATTATTTATTGAAGGAAGATATTTCAGGTTTCTCAGATTTATGCCTTCACCCAAACAAACTTTACTATCCTTATTTAATCCTCATTTTGCAAAAAAAAAAAAAAAAAAAAAAAAAAAAAAAAAAATGGTGAAAAAAATAGTACTCTCCTTAGTGCATAATGCCAGCACACAAATAAATAACGAACTGGTGGCACTAAATGATGACATTCTATTTCTACAGAATGAATTTAGAATAAGCGAAAACAAAAAAGTTCAAGATTTGGTGAAAAGAAAATTTTACATAAAGGAGAAAGAAAAATATAAAAAATTAAGTGAATTCTTAACTAAATACGTAACCTTTTTGTTAGACAAAAACAGAAATAATGAATCCACATATTGTATTTATTCTCATTTTATAAAAGAAAAAAATGGAGAAATAAGGAACTTGATAAAAGACATGAACAACACAATAACAAATAACGAAAATAGTAATACTAAACTTTTGAACAACCTATGCAAAAAAAGAAATAAGTTGAGAAAGATTTTACATTTAATTAAAATTTGTAACATCAAAAACTTGAGTGACGAAAAATTGCAAGATATATTTTCCGATTTAATATTTCAACTGAAGAGTTCGAATCGATCAAACAGAAAAAATTTGTTCAGTATGTTGCTAAGAAGTGGGGAGAAATGTAAATTGAAAATGGACGAGGCGAGTAACGAAGAAGGGGTAATTGGTGTAAGCACAGGAAAGAAATTCGCAGATTGTATAATAACAAATGATAGCAATGTTAACACTGATGGTGATGAAAATGTTGGTACTGATAATGAGAATTCTTCGCAGATGAACCTTTCTTCCACGGAAGCATCAGTAGGAGTAGAAGAAAATTCAAGCATTGACCAAATGAGCTATTCTGAAGAAGTAAATGATCCACCTGATGTATATACCTCTGATGCATCAAAAGGAGAAAATAGTGGAAATGATTTATTAACAAATGAAAACATATTCGAAAGAGGAAACATATTAAATGGAAAATATCATGCGAAACATTACTCCTTGACTAAGCATTTTTTAAATAACCAAGAAAGGAATGGTTGTAACTATTCTTTAATGAATAAATTTAATTCGATGAGAAAATGTTTTAGTAACACAGAAAAGGTGGTTACTCCCTCCATTTTTAACAATGATAAAGGAGTGAATTATAATGAAGGAGAAGGATTTACATGGACAAATGAAAGGAGGGAAAATGGAATTTCAATATTAGTAAAATCTCTTCAAGAAAATATGAATAATATCCTGAGTAGACATATGAACACTGAAACTTTAGAAGGGCACATAAAAAGTAACCCTAATTTATTAGTTAAATATATGCCTCCCTCCATAAATAAAAGTGGAAAAAATGTGTACACGAAAAAAGGGAATGATAAACCCAATGATGAGAGAGTAAAAAAACACAATCGATCGAATTTCTCTGGTTCTGCTTCTTCGTCGTCGTCTTGTTCCTCCTCCTCTTCCTCGTCTTCATCTTGTGATTTTTTTGCACCTAAAGGGTGTAACGGAGAAAAAGCTAGTTCGTGCAGTAATGTTAGAAAAAAAAAATATATCTTTAGAATTAATAAAAAGGGAAATGGAACACTTCAAGTTAAAAAAGAAGGACAAAAGTCGGCAAACTGTATTTACCATTTTGAGATGATTTATGACGATGATGTGGGTGATAGTGCTGGTGGTGATAAAGCTCGTGGCAATGATGCAGGTGATGATAATGCAGGTGAAAAAAATGAATCGAAGAATAAACGTCTAGTGCGCGTTTCATTTTTGATAAAGGGAGGAAAGATATGTAGAGTGAAAAATTTACACGTAGCAGAAGATAAGTTCATAAGGAATCTAAATTTTTGCAACATCTGCACAGACAGATCTGCAAATGTGAAGAAGGAGGATGCAGAATGGGAGGAAAGGGACAAAAGTAGGATGCATCGAAGGAAGGAAAATTTCGAAATGGAATCGAAAAAAAGAATCAATATGTTAGAGGAAAATTTAAAAAATTTAAGGGAGGAAAATTTTAGAAAAAAATACGAGTTAACCAGAATAATAGATGACATGAAATTTGGAAAAACAAAAGGTACGGGAAACACTCTTGCACTTGGTCTTGATGAGGAAATGAGATCTTACAATATGGAATTCATAGAAACGAATAGATTAAGGGGATTGTATATTCATATGTTAGACACACAAAACCAATTAGAACGAGACAAAAATTTTTACAAAAATGAGCTAGAAAAACTACAAGAAGATATTAAAAATAATACAGCACCAATCTCAGATTTTTTGAAGGAAGAAAAAATTAAGTTTATGGAAAGAGAAAAAGAACTTTATAAAAAAGAAAAAAAATATTTTCATATAAAAAATCAGTTAAAAAAAAAAGTGGCTCACCTTCAAAACGAGTTAGAGTTAACAGAAGAAAAATTAAAGATAGAAAAAGAAATTAATAAAAGCTTAAATAGTAGAATGAAAGAAAAAATATATATTTTAGAAAAAAATGAAAGTGAAAGGAGAAATTCAGATATGACAAATGAATCCAAAATACATTCTTTAAATATTGAATTAAACCAATTAATGAATACAATGTCTATTGAAAAAAAGGAAAAAACAAAACTGCAAAATGAAATATCTCTTCTCAAGAAAGACATGACTTTTGATAATTTCAGAAAAGTAGTTTTAAATAAAGTAACAAAAACAAATGATGATATAAAACATTTGGCAGAAATATTAGAAATGTTAACCAAAGAATTGGAAAATAAAATATCAAAAGAAAATATAAATGATAGACATGTGCTTGAACTGAAAGAGGAATGTAAAAAAAAAATTTACATGTTAAATGCCGTAGAAGCTCAAATGAACAATGACAAGAAAAAAATGAAAAAAATGAGCGAAGAAATAGCTTATTTAAGAGAAAAAAATAAAAACTTGGTCGAATGTGTGAAGTATATGATTAATTCAAATGGAAGTACCATGTCGCATGAACATTACCTCGTCCCTAAAGATGGTTATTATTTCTCTCTAGACGATGGAGAAAAAAAAGTGGAAAAAGGAATTCATCGCCCTATGCAAACAACATCACGACTTACCAAATCAAATAATCTCGAGATGGCACATTATAATAGAAAGGAAGATGATATGCCAGATCTGAACATTTTTGCACAAAAAAAGGGAGTTGCTAAAAACAGTCGTAGTTACACCAGCTTTTCAGATAACAGTTCCTTGTTTCTCTGTCACAACATGGAGACAAAGCGGGAAGCATCTACGTATGAGGAACTTCTTTAGTGGGCATGTGAGACATACCACGCGGTGCCGGGTGGGAAAAATAGGAAGCAGTAAGAAGAGAAAAGAAGTAAGAAGAGAAAAGAAGTAAGAAGAGAGAAGAAGTAAGAAGAGAGAAGAAGTAAGAAGAGAGAAGAAGTATGAAGAGAAAAGAGGGAGAGGGGCGAAAAAAAATATATAGTAAACTAAAACAAGGAGAACAAATGGGGTGCAAAAACTGATTTTGCACAATATCGCATGAACACATTTTTTGTGTACTCTCCAGACTGGTTTACAAATTGGTGAGTTTTCAAGTAATTATCCCTTCATCGTGTTTGGATGTTTTTACACACAAAAAATTACTGGAATGCATTCAACTTTTCTGATCGTGTGCAGATGGATCCGCTCCCTTTTTTATATTGATTTCCTGTAGTTCATATGATTATCTATTTTTTTTTTTTTTTTTCATGAAGGGGGTTTCTCGCTGTACAAGTGTTGCCATAGTTGGCATCATTTTCTTTTTTCCCCTAGCTTTCACAGCTGCCCACTTGTTGAAACCTTTTCCACTCGTCGAAGTCTTTTCCACTCGTCGAAGTCTTTTCCACTCGTCGAAGTCTTTTCCACTTGTCGAACTTTTTTCCACTCTTCTTAACCTTCCCTATCCTCATTTTTATCTTTGTTTTGATCATTTTCATAGCTCCCCACATTTTCATGGCTTTCATTGTATGCGCAGCTTGTCCTTATTTTTTCCAAATTTCTCTCTGACCATTCCTGTAAATACAATAAACTAAACCTAATACCCTTTTGCATGAAATTGAAAATTCCTGAAAAGGAACTACATGAATTATCGCCAAAGAATTTTTTTATCCATTCCAATACTGAAAGTACTTAGAGTACCTATTCAGGTTTATACACTTTTTCAACATTTTAAGTATGCACTATGTATTTTGATACACTGGTGGAATAGCAACGATAGTTTCTTTTTTTTTTTTTTTTTTTTTTTTTTCTTTTTCTTCCCTCCAAAGGGAGAGTGTGAATTCTGCTCATACTTTGAAACATTTTTTGGATATTTTAGAAAATTTATCATGATCCCTTCCTTCACCTCCCCAAAAAGAAAAAAAAAAGAAGCTCTTTTCATGAAAGGTGCAAAGAGTAGATATAACATAAGTGTACAACACGCGTGTCCCAATTGAAATGCATATAATGAATGATATGCTTTGAAGGAAATTCTTTTTCCAATGTATAAAAGTGTGTATTTGCTATAGAATCGCACACATAGCACAATTATATACACAAATATGTACTTTTCAGTATTAACTTTAATAATATCCCGTCTAGCACAAGTAGTATGATCAACTCTTGTAAAAAAATTCTTTTAAATGGAAGCATTAAAATAGGTGACACATATACATTAATATTCCACGTGTGTAGTTATTCTATGCACATGTTTGAAAAAAGAAAAGAGAAAAGTGACTTAAAGATGTTTGTACCAAAAGGTAAGAGAATACAAACACGAATCAATGGATTTAATGATAAGATACTAGGATAAAGAGCCATATAGCAAAAAAATAATAATGCTCTTTGGAATATAAAATAATGTACACCACTTAGGAAGCAGCGTAAAAATGTCAAAGACATTTTCCCATGTGTATCTAAAGGAATGCAAGAATATTCCTGAGCTGTGATAAGTAATGTTACTAATTTTTTTGAAAAAGTAATTATTCAAGTAGGTTTCATTGTTGGTGCTATTAAGATTTATATTGTCATCATAGAGCCAATGAAAGGACGTATTCAAAAATGGGATGAGGGGGAAGTAGGAGTACTTTTCTGGTTTTTCTGGATTTTTTTTTAATTTTTTTCTACAGGATGATTCACTGTTTTCCATTTCAGGTGCAATTTTTTCAGCTGTAAATTCTTCATATTTGTGTGAATCCTTACAGGTTCCCATTTGTGCACTCCCTTGATAATGACTGAATTTTTTGTCTTCTTCCCCCGAACGCTCTTCTTCTGTTTCATCAAAGTGTAAATATTCTGACTTACTCATGTACTCTTTCTCGAATTCTTCATTATACTGTGCATCGTTCGATATGGGAAAAGTGAGACTCTTTAGATGTGCTCTAATTTGATGGGTTCTACCAGTTATCGGTTGACATAAAACGAGGGATTCATTCAGGTCTGCGTTATATGAAAGAAACATAAATTTCGTGACACTTGGTTTAAGGGAATATTGCTTCATGAGTTCGTGATTTTTTTGGGTGTATTTTGTAAATACATATTTTAGAAGTTTCTTATCTTCACAGTACATGTATCCGAAATCTATGAGGAAGTACTTATGATAGGTATCAAAATCTTTCTTTTGCGTTTTTGCATTTTCACACATGTAATCGTCCATTTCAAACTTTTCCACGTCAAAAGCATCTTTTAGGTAACTTTTCTTCTCATACACAATACGGGCCAGGGTCTTCATGTCACTTTCTCCATTTCTAATATCCTCTCTGGTGTATTTATTTTCATACAAAAATATATCATTTTTAAAAAATTCCTCATCATTGAAAGGTAGAGGAGCACCTTCTTTGTTACCATAGCAATACTTCTCTATTATATCATTCAATATTTTGCTATCCAAATCCTTTAGTATTTTTTTTTTTTTGTCATCTATGAGTTTCTTAATAAGGGTTCGAAAATCACCTTCTACTCTTGTTATGTACGATTTTTTCATTTTGTTATTCGAAATATTTTGCGAAAAGAAGGTTGAAAATTTTTTGTTTTTTCCGAAAAGGACAATTCCTGATGTTAGCTTATCTAGTCTATGTAGTGTGTAAATGTAGGAATCGTCTCTTTCGACTTTGTTTCCTGGTTGGTTTGCTGGTTGGGCTACCTTTTTGCAGATCCTTCCCTTGTCTCTTGACTTAATGCATTCCTCCCTGCGTCGTCCCACATCATCTGTTGATGTTTGAGATCCCAATTTTTCATCATTTTTTTTCTTCTCCTCACTAATGATGAATCCAGTTGATGATAGGTTCTCCGTTTCACCGGTTGATGAAGATATGTACTGGTTTCTTTCATCCTTTTGATTCTTTTCGTTATTTATGTGATTTGAAGTAGTCAAATAAACATCTCCCACACCAGTGTAACTACAATTTAAATCTGTTGATATTTTTTTATAATTTTTCCCTGAATCGTTCATGCACTTTTGCTGGTCTAAATATGTTTGACTTTGTTTCCTCTTTCTCGAGTAATTTATCAAACTCGCATCTTTTTCGCTTGTATATTCTCCTTCTTCTCCTCTGTTCTCCCTTTTTCCTATGTTACTACTCATGTTGTATTTTTTTGGTTCCTTCATTTCTTCGCAATACACTTTTGAACCGTGCCCTGGACTAGTACCATCTGGAAAAGGAGAGTTTTCCATTCTTTCCATGTTCTTAAAATTGTTGTTTTTAAAATTAAAGCTAATTTTTATGACATCTTCATCCAGTACATTCTCTGTCACTTCACCCCCAGCTTCACCCCCAACTTCACCTGTCACCATTTCCAAATTTTGTCTCATATCGGATTGTTCCTTTTTTAAAGAACAGGACGTGATATAATTTTGTAAAGTTCGTAGGAGTGAATTATACTGGTAGAACCCGACAGGGTGGGTAGGTATACTAGCAGACTTATATACACACAGAAAATTTTCATCTTCATATAAAATTATTATCTTATTAGATATCACAGTTTTTTCGAATAACAGGAGTTTATGTTGAATCAAGTCATTGCTTTTCAATAAATAATCACATGTCACATTTTCATGGTTAACTTTTATATATCCTTTTTTTATGGATTCTTTAAAGTAGTTAAGATCATAAGCACAAAATTCCGAGGTTAATATGTCTGATATTTTTTTTCCTATCCATCTTTTTTTCGTGTATAATTTATATGTGTATACATATGGGCTAACAAAACGTAATTTATTTTTTGTGAAATACTTGGGTTCAAATTTATTATCTACGACGTTTAGTCCACTAGTATTGGTTATAACAATTTTCATGATTCTGAATGATTTAATTATGTCTAGAAAAGCTATCGTTAGTAACCCGTATATGAACATTCCAACGGGGTTGATCATCTAAAGGAGGAACTTTAGCATGAAAATTATTCTATGCATAGTGGCCATATACAGATACATTTTTTACTCTCTCGTTAGAGTATTTATACACTGATGAAAATGGTTATGTTTCCTGTGCTGCATACTATGCTGTGTAGTCTGCTGTATACTGTGCTGTGCAGTCTGCTGTATACTGTGCTGTGCTTGGCTTTGTTAATGTGTTTGCTTTTCTTGTACTGAACAGGTGCCAATGCCTTACTCACGGCTCGACCCCCTCGCTGCTTCGGTACTTCACCACGTCACTGCTTCAACACCTCTGATCCTGAGCACAGAATATGTACTTATACCAATGCTTCCTTTAAATAAAATGAGTAATTTCCTCCAAGTTCTGATACATCCTTAACTATGAGAAATATATCTTACTGAACGAACATACTGGGCGTGAGGCACGATGGAAGAAGATTCTTTGTTTTTTTGTTTTTCTCAGTTTGCAATCCGTTAGGACATTTCACATGTGAATAGCATCACTTTATGGAGGAAAACAACGCAATGTATGTAATGTAATCCAAAACATATGCAAGTACATGAATTTTATTATATGTTTTTATGAATTTGAGTTTATTTTGAGCACACATTACTTTTAGTTCATTTTCTTGAATACGTTTCTTTTTATTACGCTTGTGCTTGTATCTCCTTAACCGTTCATATTATTTTAATCTTTGTTTTCACTTCATTTTGCCACATTTTTTGCTTCTCCACACACCCCAACTTCGGAGCAAGTGCCAACATCTGCAACGCACCAAACCAAATTTGTGCCTTGACTTAATTTTTTAAAAAAAAAAAAATCTGTTAGTATTTTTTCATTCCACATCTTTTTTTTTTTTTTAGGAAAGTCCAAGATTTGATGAAATGCTGACTTGACACTCATTGGGGAACATGACACAAAAAAAAAAAAAAAAAAGTTTGTGAAATTTTGGGGCGCGTAAAAAAAAGGGGGATGTGAGTAGGATTTTTTTTTTTTTTTTTTTTTTTTTTTTTTTTACATACATTATATGCATTTTTCATATGGTGGTAAAATGATACCTTTTTGAATTGCACAGATTTGTGTTCACTTTAGTAGTTACATATATTTTTATGCAACTGCACAGATCTGTAGGTACAATTGAACCAGAAGAAATGCTTGGACTTTTTTTTTTTTTTTTTTTTTTTTAGGTCCTTTTCAAAAATAATGGATAATGCTTAGAACCGCTTTTCTAATTCTACTTTTCCATTTTGGCTTGAATTGTTTCGAGCTAAAAGGAGTTGTAAAAAATTATGAACATGTACATAATATTCCTTTTCCCACTATAAGAAAAACATGCATGTACATCAATAGTCTTGTATATTTACGAAGAAAGAGAACAAAGAAGAATGAAAATAAAATATATTTAAAACGAAAGTCATTTCTTGTCACACTTAAGGAAGATTTACATAGTACTTTAAATAACAAAATAAAAAAATTTAGTCGGCAAATTTTACAAAATGAAAATTTTAACCTTCCCAATCATTGCTTAATTGAAGAGAACAAAGTTTATGACAACTATGAATATCAGACAAGTGTCCTTATATTTTTGGAAAATATTTTAAAAAATGAAAAGAATGTACGAAATGAGGCTCTGAGGATTTTAAAGCAAATTTGTTCAGATATAATTGAGTCTTTGCACGTATCACCTAATGGAATATTGAACATACGTATATGCAATTCATTCATTCAGCGAGAGTTTCTGCGCTTCTACAAGTTGGATACATTTGGATGTAGTGAATTCGAAACAGGGGAATATCAAGAACGAATACCTCAAATGGAGAGATATCAAAATGATTCTTCAGCAGAAGAAGAAACAAGAAAGTTAAACCAAAAGAACGTTGTCGTCCTTGACTATTGTGGTGTAAATATGGCAAAGCAGATGCACATGGGACATTTAAAATCTCTATTTTTAGGGAATTCATTGAGTAATATTTTTCGATTCTTAAATTACACTGTAAAATGCAGAAATCATATAGGAGATTGGAATATGAACATAGGAATGGTCATTTGCTTTTTAATTCTCTTTCCTTATGATGTTATAAATCAGGAAAAATTAAATGAGCACAAAGAACACAGCATGGTTAATAATGTTAAATGTGACAAGTTGGAAGAAAGAAATGAATCCATTTCTCCTCCCAATGACACTAATGATCATAGGAATAGACAAATAAATCTAACCCATCACAAAGGGGGTGGAAATAATACTGACACATTTGCAAATGAGGATGAGGATATGCAAATGTCTCTTTTAGTTGAAAATTATCTGAACATGCTAAATAAGATAAATCACGAGATTTTTCATATAAAATATCAACAATTGGATACCACAAAATGGAAGGATATAAGTTTACATAATATTGAGCATGTATACAAAATAGCTAAGAAACTTTATGCCAACTCTGAAATATTTAAAAAAATGAGCAAATATACACTAAATTTGATGTATAAAAAAGATCAGAAAATCATTTCTATGTGGGATATCATTTGTACCAATACCAAGAGGGTAAAGACAAGTTTTTTTTTTTTTTTTTTTCTTTTTTTTTTTTCCTCCATTATGCTTCATTTCGTTTTCTCCATACTATGCGTACATCTGTCACATATTCACAATAACATTAGACCAGATGGTATATTCTTCCTGCACTTTTATACTAGTTCCATTTGCCCTCCCCTCTCCACAGGATAACAAGGAAATTTTCGAAAAGTTCAGGATCCGAAAGTTGATAGACAAAGGGGAAAGCTTTTACATTAAATATGTTCCAACAATTTTGGAGAAAATGAATAATGCCAATATTATTTTTCATCTAGAGGGTAAAACTTGCCTTCTGCTTAGAAGGAAAAAGGGGAATGATAGGAATATCCCCCTTATGAATGAAGGAACACAAAGCCAAAGGAAAGAAACATACATACTCAGTAGCAATGAGGAATACTACGATGTGATCCAAGTAACAGATGAAAATTATGAATATATAAAAAAGAAAGACATTAATTTTTTGAAAAAGAATTTCACCATAGTTACTCTTAAGAATGATATATCTTTTACCTACGCAGCTATTGATATAGCTGCTATACAATATCGAGTGGAATGTGAAAAAGCAAACAAAATTTTATATATTACTGATGAAAATCAAAGAAAACATTTTATGCAAATTTTTTCCATTGCGAAATTTTTAAATATACTACCTAAGCACGTTGAATGTGTATGTCTGAACTATGGGTTTGTCTTAAATTCAGAGAATAAAAAAATGAAAACGAAAGATTTTTCAAAAGAAAATATTTCCATTAAAAGTATATTACAAAATTTAAACATGGTTAGCCAAAATGGACATAAAAAAAGTGAATATGGAAATATGAAAATAATGTACTTGACGAAATATAGAGAAAAGTTATTTCTATCATCAATTATTTATTCTTACATGGCTGTTAAAAGCTATAAAAGACAATTAATAAGTAACATTATGAAAGGTTTGCATTCTGAATATGTTTATATAATCCTTTGCTATAATAAAATATCATCCATCTTGGGACACGGAAAAAATTGTGATTATTCTGCTTTTCTAGGACATAAAGAAAGCATACATATTGATAATAATATAAAAAAAATGATGTTATATATTATCAGATTTAAAAATGTAACAGAAGAAGTGATTCACAGCTACAGCATTGAAAAATTATGTTCCTTTTTATTCTCTTTGTCTCAAAAAGTGCATTGCATATTTAAGAACAGTTTTATAAAGAAATTTATTATTCATTTGAAAAATATGAACGTTCAGAAATTTTTAAAAATATTAAATCGTTCAAAAAAAGAAGGGAAATTTGAAGGAATAGAAAGAGTCAAATCTTATGGGGAAAAACATAATATTGTAGATGACAAAGAATTAGAAAA